TTAAATCAAGTGAGAAAGCCTCAGTCAACCAGAAACGAGATGAAAGTGTTGTTGAGCGAACAGTTCGAGCAATAAACCACTGCCGTATTGCTCTTCTCGCGGGATACACGACCTACAGGTAATACATATTCACTCTTCATGCAAGTAAAGCACTCTTACTGAACTCCATCTCCAGAGATCTCGGCTCAGAATCCATGGGCGACTCCGACGCACACATCCGCAACGCCATAAACCGCGGTCTGATCCCCGGACCGCGTCTCTTCGTGGCCACAAAAGTCCTAGCGAGCACCGGCTCCTACGAGCCACGCACCGAAAGCGAACACACCTGTCTCCCCGCGGGCGGTGAAGCCGTCGACGGCGTTGAAAGCGCTCGAGTAGCTGTTCGTCGCCGTATCGCCGCCGGTGCGGATGTAATCAAGTTCTTCGCAGACTACCGACGGCGCGTGATGCGGTATCCGCCCGCGCAACAACATCCGTATATCCCGAATGTGCTGCACCTGCCTGAGGAGCCGAATCCGGATATTTTGGTGTTTGAACAGACGGAGATGGATATGATTGTGAGTGAGGCAAAGTTGGCGAAGTGTCCTGTTGCGTGTCATGCAGGGACGGTTGAGGGGGCGATTATGGCGGTTAAGGCCGGAGTGAGTACGATTGAACATGCGTATTTTGGGAATGATGAGCTGTATAATCTTATGAGGGAGAGTGGGTGTGTTTTTGTGCCTACTTTGACGGTGTGTGAGGAGATTCATGCGAAGAGGTATGGGGAGATTAAGGTGCAAGCGAAAAGAGCACATGAGCTTGGAGTGCGATTGGCGTGTGGTGGAGATATCGGTATGTTCACTCTCTGTATCTGGTTTGAGAACTCGCATTGATGATTATCTAGGTCCAGTACATCACGGAGCAAATGCCAGAGAAATGGAACTCATGATTGACGCTGGAATTCCTCTCGGGGACGTCCTCGAATCATGTACAGTCGGGGGATGGGAATCTGTCGGCAAAGATCTTTGTGGATTGAAATTCGGCTGGTTTGAGAAAGGCGTCAGAGCGGATATAATTGCACTGGAAACAGATCCACGTGAAGATAAGCTGGCCCTGAGGAAGGTTGATTTTGTCATGAAAGATGCTCATGTTTGGAAACGTGATGGAGTGGCTGTCAATATGATTCAAGATAACTTCTTGTGGCCGGAGAAATTTAGAGTATAAATAATAGCAGAAATAAAATGATAATACGATAGCCAATGTACCTGGAGCTGTGATCTCTACTCCGAACTACTTGTTATTCGTCTGTTAGCTGATTTCATCTTATATGTAAGGTGAGACTTACGAAAAAACAAGTACTAGTACAATTAGAATGAGATACCCTATATATTTCGATATATCTACTCTGAAGATTAGATGAGTTCAGTCATCTATATTCGGCTCCAAGGCAGAAAAGTGTTAACCATCTCTTAATTAATTGGCTATATAGATAAATACTTAACTATAGGTAGCGCAGAGTGAGCTGTACCTAACGACCTCCCAGCTAGAAAGGGCTTGATTATCAAGTGCCTCAAACAGTGTATATGCATCCCATCTCTCAACTTACTCTACCCGGTCTCATGCCGTGATCCCTAACAATAACTACACCTCACAACTCTCATACCCCCATCACACACAACCACACAGCTCAAAAGCTCCTCCATCTTCCGCCCTCGTCTACCTCCCTAAAAAACCAAATTCGGATTATCCCCCTCCAATAACGAGTAATCCGTCATCGGCAACGTCAAATCCGTATCGAACGGACTCAACCCGTCACCCAGAATCATCCCCGCATCCGTCTCCCCATCACTACTATTGTTCTGCGTCACGAAATTCCAGGTCGCGGGGAGGTCCAGCCAACTGAATGTCCCGGTTGACGCCTGTGGGAACTGCATGTTCATGTTGTTCATAGGCAAATGCCCGAATTGACCAGGTGGGTTGTACTGTGGGGGTGCGGAGTTCGATATTCCGTTTAAAGAGCCGGTGATGCGCGCAGCTTCATCGCGTGCTTTCCTGGGAGATTTCCGCCAGAGCATGCGGAGGAGGCGCGAGTAGCGGGAGCCCATGTGGTTTGTGCCCAGGGAGGCTTTTTCGAATCGTTCGGTGGTTAAATTGATCATTTCGCGGACGCTGCTGCGCTCCTCTTCGGTCATAGTTGTTGTTGAGCGGGCTTTGTAGAGGAAGACAGCGCTGTAGACGATGAAGAGGTAGTAAGATGAGGGCATGTAACGCAGAGTTTCTGCGGGGACAAAGTTGTTCAGGGTTGTGAGGAGGGATTTTGCGGCGTCGAGAGCCTCGTATATGAATCTGGCATCGGGCGCGGAAGCGTTGATAAGAGGCATTGGTCGATTTGGATTGTGTTGACTATCGCGGCGGAATGATATAGCGCGTGATATGGTCGCCTGGTACGCGAAAGCGTTGACATAGAGTCGGAGATAGTCGTAAGTCAACATCAAACTAGCCTTCAACTTTTCGGAGCCTATGAGGTTGAGCATACGTGATTTAGACCGCGAATCGGATTACTCACATATAAATGATCCCCAGGTTTCGTTCCACGATCGAATTGAGGTTCGGAAGTCATCCAAATATTTTGCATATCGTCCCTCCAGCATTTCCTTCCAACCATGACCTTTGGAAGAGTACAGTATGTCGTGAACGTTGGAGAATATCTGAGTCAGTTCAAGATTCGCTTGGAAAATTAATGACCAATCGTCGGCACCTGGACGTATTGGTTGGAGTGTTGGAAAGTCCTCCGACCGAAGACCAGATAATGGCCCAGGTCCTCTTGCCCAAAATCCTTTTCCAATCCGGACAGAGACTTGGCGGTCACAGATATAACACGCTGCCCAAACAAGTCGCTTTCGGTTGAATATGGCTGGGTCTTCATGCGAATCGCTCTTGAAAGATGTTCTATCAATACCCAGGAAATACCCTAGCCGTAACGCCGTACCAATATACATCCATGCCACTCGATCTTCCTCACCCTTTCCGACCGCCTTTGAAGCCTGCGGGCGATGCGAGACCCATTGTGACAGAAGAAGTAACGCTTCGACTGCCTCTACGTTTGCGTCTGCACCAGCTAATATCATGGAGATGAGATGCTGGTTATGATTGTAACACACCTGATTAGCACGTTCATCATACTTGGATGCGACTGTCAGTATGGCCGAGAATAAATGTGGTTCGTGACGAGACAGCCATGGCAATCTTGAGCGAACGAAAGAAGACCGAGGTATAATCGGAAAAAAGGGATGAAAGAACTCCTCGTAATCGGAAAAAAGTTGGTAGACCTGCTCTGGGCTAATCAAACCATCTTGAAGGGGCTTGTAATGAAAGATGGTATCGTCCAGCTTTCCGGGATTGTGGTCTATCTTGGGTAGTGAACGAGGCTGATGTTGTCTCGCTTGGCTGTTATTGTGGTCACTAGGTGGGGAGTCTTCATCGGCTCGATCTGCCACCTGAGCAAGAATATCTAACGCGTCTGACGGGTTCTGTAAATCTGCCGAAGCAATCTTTTCATGAGCGGCAATCCGGTCACCAGATTTGCCCATGATGGTGACTGTCGATTCTTGTCGGGTTCGTGTCAGCGCTGGATCAATCAGAGGACTTGCAAGCTGTGCTGAAGTTAGTGCATGTCTGTTGTTGGGGTCTGGTAGAGGAGCAAAAGGTACATTCGCATGGTCTGTTTGTCTGGAAGAGTCCGAGGCAGCAGTGGTCGCAGGTGTCGGTAGCGGTGGCCAGGCATAGGATGGATGTTCTGTTCGGCCAGTGTATGGATTTTGAAATGGCTGAGGTGCCTGAGGTGTTGGAGGAGCAGAGATCTGATTGTAAGTTGGGCTTGGGTCTGTGGATTGAGAAAAGCCGACAGAGGTGGGTGTGGTGGGGTTGCTTGATTCTGCTCCTTGAAATCCCGTATTCAAAGGAGCGTTTGCTTCCCTGTTTGATTCATCGTCCAATCTAGGCTTCTTTCGCACTCGTTTTCCACCTCGATGGCTTTCGCCGAGGATACATTCCTTTGCCTCTCTATGACACCGTCGACATGGCTAGATCTCAATCAGCATATGCCTCAAAATATCTCGCCAGTTCACATGTTAAATATCTTTGCAGCGTGAAAGACGAAGAGGGTGAAAGACGAAGAGGATGAAAGACGAAAAGGTGATGTAGATGTACAAAGTCAAGCCAGATAAATGCAATCGCAACGCTAAGGATCAGTCACATATAAACTAGCTCATGCATCAAAAGGCCAGAACAGTCTGATATCAGCTGACCAAGGATATATGTCGACAGCAGTAAAGTACAGACATGCGTGATTGATCGTCGACCATCATTCACGTGCTCCACATGAGCTCCCGTTTGGCAGTCAAGATGGAATCGTACTTACTGGTCTGCCCGCATTGAGATCCAAATCACATTTGCTCTTCCTGTTTCGGCAATTGAGACAGGCTCGGTACGCTCTCATTGGGTCTGGAGGAGGTCGGCCCGTTCTGTCGTGTTGCTGCTGGGCGAGCATGGGAGCTATTTCAGGAAGTGAGGACATTCCCAGATTGGGATTCGATGTCAATGGGGTTGTCGACATGCCATTGCCGGTGGGTGTCACGCCGGGAGGCAAGGGCAGGATGTTTCCTAGATTATTCTGGTCCATTGCTGGAGTTGCTGCTTTTGCTGTTCCGCTTTGGTATTCCGCCTTGGTGGTACAGCAATCGGCGAACGGATGGGGCGGCGAGTGACGGTCGAGGAGAGCGGGTGGGATGGGCCAGCTCCGCGAAGCATGAGATTATCCCGAGACCTCGACGGGGCCGGGCATCGATGCCGATGACGGGATTGAGGCTGTTGATAGTACCAGATTGGGTATTGGCCGACTCTGCGCGGGAGATGTGGCAATCGACGCAGGGTTTTGGCGGAGGAGGACGGAGACGAGCGGGAATGGGAGAAGATGACGATGATGGGACGATGCGCCCATATGCACGAGGCAACCGGGGAGGAGGAACGGTTGAGAGATGTGCGACCTTCCGATAAAGCGGCAGCGGTATTTATCGTTTCGCGCCGTGCTTGAGGCACGTTCCTGGACGCCGCTTTCTGATCCCACCGGCACTTCATCAAAATATGCGGGGTACTCGTACTCGGAGCTAACCGAGATCAGTTCAGCTTATCGTCCACGCCCCTTGTCCATCAACAGGTGTGTTTTCACGTGCTTGTCCCTTTTCCCCTTCATCCTCTTCGTCTTCTAAACCAATTCCATCAATGTTTACATCAATTGCCTCAATGTTGTACATCACATCTGATCTCGGCGTGGATAGTGGAAGTGGTTGTGGCACGTTGCAGTGGCGGGTGGTACTGGTCGTCACAGAGGAACTGGAGTTGTGACCTAGGTGGCTGCGATCCATCAACCACTTCACTCTTCGTTTTCCTCCCAAAGTTTTTGAACTCTTCCAACATGCCCTCCTTGAAAGGTCGAGCTCTTTTTGCGGCAGTCACCTCTTTGACATGTCTCGGTTTCCTGCTCGTAGGATATGACAATGGATTAATGGGAGGGTGAGTTGCGTTGTTGCCGTCACTCCTTTCCCAGCCAGTCTTCAATTTAAAACAGCAGCAAGTTAAAGAAGACATCACTGACGAAAGCCAGTCTGGTCGAAGCTTCAACGTTCAAAAAGACCTTTGACAATCCAAGTCCGACCATCACTGGCCTCATGGTTGCTATTTACGAGGTTGGCTGTTTCATTGGCAGCGTAGTCACCTCCATCTTTGGAGAGCGCCTCGGTCGAAAGAAATGTATCGGCACTGGAGCTGTGATCATGGTGCTTGGCGCAATCCTGCAAGCCACGGCTTATTCCAGAGCGCAAATGATCGTTGCTAGAGTGGTGAGTGGCATCGGAATGGGTGGCATCAACAGCACTGTTCCGGTTTTCCAAGCCGAGTTCAGTCCAAAAGCAACCAGAGGGCTCTGTAAGTGACAGAATTTGTTTCCCGTGCAAAAAAAAGAATCTTAATCGTAGTGACAACTCCGGATTTAGGATTGTCGTCAATCAGTATTTGGGACGGACCAACGCTGACAATGACCAGATGTTTGCATGCAGCTTTCGACCCTGAACCTCGGGATATTTCTCGCATACTGGGTTGATTACGGTTTCGTGCAATCATATCCAGATTCGAGTGTCTCTTTCCGCCTACCATGCATTCTTCAATGTATATTCCTTCTACCGATGCTGATTCTGTTATGCCTCGTGCCCGAGTCACCGCGTTGGCTGGCATCGCACTCGGATGGAAGTCGATCCCTTAAAGTGCTTCAAGATATGCATACTTATCATATGAGCGAAGAAAAGATATTCGCACTCAATGCTAGCATCGTTCAAGCCGCCAGCTACGAAGCATCTCTCGGAGCAGGAAAGTGGTCTGCGCTAAATCCATTCCGGATCCCCAACAGGACCAACAAGTCCTTCCTCTGCCACGATGATAGAATTTCATCGCGAAGAAGATTCTTTCTAGCATGCGCCTTGCAGAGTATGCAGCAACTCGGTGGCATCAACGCACTTATATATTATTCGACAACATTATTCCGCACGTCTCTCGACTTTACCCCTCATCTGGCCTCTCTGATGTCGGGATTTCTTCAGACATTCTTCTTTCTCGCATCGTTTATACCTTGGGCGCTGATCGACCGCATTGGCCGACGCCCCTTGCTCCTCTCCTGTGTTGCCATCATGTCTCTTGTGATGGCCACTGAATCTGGTCTTATTTACAAGGTACAAAGCGATAAGGATATAAGCAAATCTTATGGCATCGGTGCTGCAGCCATGTTGTTTTTATTTGAGGGAGCCTTCACCGCAGGCTTCCAGGCCACCATTTGGGTACTTCCTTCAGAACTTTTACCACTTCGTCTACGAGCACAGGGTAGTGCGGTTAGTACCGCGTGCAATTGGATCATCAATTACATGATAGTTCAGGTTACCCCGATTGCTTTGGATCGAATCGGATGGAGAACCTATATTATTTTTGCAGTGCTCAATATAAGCTTTGTTCCGGTAATATGGGCATTTATCCCGGAGACAGCCGGTCTGGAATTGGAAGAAGTTGATCAACTCTTCATCAATATGAGGCAACAAGGATTTTACCCCGACGATGAAGCAGATATTCATGATCATAGTCCACCAGTTGAATGAAACCATGGTTGAGGAAAACTAACTGACAGGCTGGAATTCTATCAGACAGTTATACTGGAACCATTAAATGATCATATCCCCAAAATAAATCTCGGGATTTGAGATATGATTCGTCGTATATGTTTCTTTAGTGTTTAGAGAAACGAGCACTACTAGTTGATGAAACCTCTAGGAGAAGCATTCTTCTTGATCTATGCGTCGCTCTTTTCCGAGGTTCGAAGAAAGTCGCTCCAGACTTCTCCAATATCGTTACCATAAATCCAAGACAGCTTTTCTTCACCACCAAAAGCAGCAATTCTAGTTCGCAGGGTCAACTCGAAACTCTGGCCTTGGTTCGTCGCTTTTGAATTCTGTACTTTTTGTTTCTGCTCGTCCAAGTGCGTATACCTACACACTCAATCAGCAATGCGAGATTGTGGGTTACAGGAACTCACATTCTCGCATAATAAGGGCTCCGGATACTATCAAATACCTCCAATGCACGACTCAAATTCCCACCAACACCGCGAGAATATTCAATCGCACGAGCAAGTATCCATCCGTCTTCCATGGCAAACGTCGCACCAGATCCGAATGCTCCAGAAAGCGGATGGCTTGCGTCGCCAATCAACACGATTTTCTCGTTCCACGCCGTAAGCTTTTCCAGTCGAGGTCCAGCGAAAGCAGAAAACTCTTTCCAATGTCCTTCAGGTACGACAGAGAGTGCTTCCAGTACCCTCGGGTCGTAGTCCTAGACAAAATGAGCAGCAACAAACATGTCGAGTGGGAGCAATCTACCGTAAAGAACCCTTCTACTCGCGCATTCGTGGCGGGTACACCCCAACTGAACTTCTTCGTCAAGTCAGTCGATGGATCTATTAACTTCCGTGCAGCAATCTCGAACAACTGGTTCTTTTCGTCGGTTTCCGCTGGGTCATCGACCAGAGAACAGTAAAAGTGTCCCGTTGGACCATGCCACCATTGCGTTGACGGCATCATATCAGATATATTTGATACTGACGAAACGGGAACAAGAACCCGAAATATCGTTGTCCCTGTAAATTGGATAGTATGTTCCGGGAATACATGTTGTCTCACCACCTTTTCACTTATTAGTTGTCGTCAACATATCAACTACAGCTTAGAAATAGCCAACCGAGCGGATTCCATCACCCCCAACAACCAGATCAGCGATCACCTCGCTTCCGTCTTCGAAAGTCAACTTGACTCCATTCTCCGACAAATCTTCAAGCCCAACGAGTTTCTTGTTCAGCTTAATGACTCCCTCAGGAACTTTGGAAATAAGCGCAGATTGCAACCTCGTCCTCCTTACTCTCTGCGGATGATACCTAATCGGGTACTTCGAAAGGGGACTTTCCTTCACAATCTCCCCGCTCAACCCATTACTACCTCATATTAGCAATCAACTCTTCCTCTTCATCTCTTGCGACCGACCGATGCAACACGCTACTCTCTACATGTCCTCTCACGTCCTCATCAGCACCTAATAGCTCAAGCACTTTCCATCCATTAAACCCCACACGGATTCCCGCACCGATCTCTCGCAGTTCTTTCGCTCGCTCGTACAATGTTACTACGACGTTAGGGAGTGATGAGAGGGCGATGGCGCTACCGAGACCGCCGGGGCCGCCGCCGATGATGGCGATGCGGAGGGGAGGGGGTTGGTAACTTGGCATTTTGAACTCTTCTCAATGGGAGATTTGGGTAGTTACGGCTTTAATCAAATAATATAATAAGCTGGGAATGGAGTTGGCGATTCAAGTGGAAGTTAAAATGACGTGCTTTGCAGTTATTTACACGTGCTAGCTGGTGCTGACCGAGAAATGATATGAAGTTTGAAATCATACGCTGAATGTGCAGATTGGTTCTCAATAGTGGGATGCATTTTTTAATACCGAACTGCATTTTTGGAAACTGTTATTCGTTTGAGTGGTCAAGTAGAACTCTTTGTCAGCGATGTACATGCCCAGCAATAAAAGCATGCTGTAAAAGCACGACTATTGCCTAATCTGTCACCTATTTTCAGAGTGTTATCGAATGCAGTGGAATTCGTAGATAATGTAGATGATTGTATGCAAGATGCTGTTCTTGAGGCAATCTTGGGGTGCGATAGGGGGTTGATATTCTATATCTTTTGGGCATGATAAGCGGCAATTTGAATTGTACACTAACCGGGAATTGGTGGTCTGAGAGACGGAAATGACGCGCTGTGTCTCTTGGATGTGGTAACTCGTCAACTTCAAGCTGGTAACAGGTCGAAGATAGATATATTTTGTGTGGACCCAGGAAACCAATCAAACAACCCTTGACCTACTTCAAGTACTCATTTCTAGAAATAACGCGCGATAGTAAAGCATCGAAAATGCCCTCTAGAAAAGATAATTCATACCTACTGTTTAAGTTCAGTCGACAATTAATCCCAGTATCGAAACGCAAGACGCATCATTTAAGATCTTATAGACTTTTCAGGCACTATGATTCTAGCACGCTACGATGGCTCACTTGGGGGTTACATGCTCAAAACATAGTCAGCATGTCAAGACAAGCCATAATTCCAGAAAAAGCTCCTATATTCTCTACCTGCTATCAATTCAAGCCGCTCTGCATTCTTCACTGTTAACGCACCAGCATCTCAACCCTTAAGCACACGTTGCGATTCTTCTCCTTGTCGACCAGGTTTCCTGATACAGAACTTAGAACACAAGCCTCCATGGCAGAATCCGTCCAAAGTACCACATAGGAAGTCTATCCCGGCTCCAAGCCGCCCACTCAATATTGACCATACGAGGCGGATCTGGTGCAGGTGTTGCTTCCGCAGTCAACCTTCTTGGATGTTTCGGTAGTGGTGATTGAGCCGTCCGTCTTGTAGACGGTCTTTGTTGTAGCGGTAGTTGTGCACCTAGTGGATGATAAGTAAACAAAGTCACAACCGGGTTGTAGGCGTGTTTAGATATGACTGAGATACTTACATCTTGAATGGTAAGAATACAGGTGAGGACTGGATGTGGTATAATAGTCATGTGATATTGAGCTGTAAATCGAAAGATGACTCGGAGAGATGGTTTGGAGAGCAGATAACTTGAACATCGGAGGTTGGCGGAGGAGGATATTTTGTATATAAGAAGGAAAGAAGAAAGAGCAACCACCGGAACAAGACTGATCTTATACTATTTCCAAGCAACCCGTTGTAAATAAAGTTGATCGTTAGCGAACACAAAAATAGAAGCACCAACCGACAGTCTAATGAAACATTCATCTGCCTCTTGGTCGGAGGAAGAAACAATGAAGGACAGCTCTCGGCTGCGTAGTGGTCGAATTATCTTTCTGTTGATGTTTTACTTTGCGTAGGCTTGTCGCGACCTTGGAGTGCGTTACATTACTCAGTTCTATTAGGTATATAACCACGCGCGGAATACGGCCGCAGCTAAAACCTTTAGTTGTTTTGTTATCCGGTCGCAGAAACAAGAATAAGCATTTAAAGGCTTTATGATGGCCTAATTACCTTTCTGTTGGTGTTTTACTTTGTGCAGATTTGGTGTGACCTATGGCCTGCGGTACAATACGATGTTCTATGGCTCTTTGATGGCCGCAGCTGAGTGGCCAAACTAACGAGGCGCAAGCCCGAAGTGAAGCTTCAAGTGCACGGACTACGAAGACAGCGGCAGCGGCTTCGTCTTTTGGTCAGCGCGTAGCCTGGTAGAGATGTTGGTAAGATATCACATAGTAGAACAGGTCGGGCATACGTTCTTGTCTTCTATAAGGAAATTGCTGTTGCTGGTGGTATTTCAGCAAGCGTCTTCGACCTCGCCTCGAAACTTTCAATTCTCACATCTGACCTTCGATTATGTCTTCTGATCAGCCGCATCCAGTCGTAACGTCGCTGCGAGACCTGACGATTATTGAAGCGTGGGATACGAAAACAAATTCGCCAAAATATGTCACTTTTTACTACATCACCCAGGATGAACGTGTCTACTTTGGTCAGTCGTCGAAAAACAAACGGGACATAACTCTCGACGAGTTCAGCGCAGCTCTAGAACCTGTCCGAGACGACGAGCTTTATCCAGAGGTTCCCACAACTATTTCATTGACAATTGCACCTGCAGAATTGGATGATCATACAGCATTCGTCAAACGCCCAGGACTGGTCTTCTACGAAGAGATGAAAGGCACCAGCTACATTCCGAACAATCTTCTCGACGAGACTATCATTATGGAGACAATCTCCCACTCGCCTCACCCAAATATTGTCAAGTACTACGGTTGCCGTGTACAGCGCGGCAGGATCACAGCAATACTTCTCGAAAAGCTACAGTGGACCTTAACCCAGTATGTCTCTACGCCTGGCTTCCATCAGGTGGACAAGATTCAGTTTGCGGCAGAGCTCCAGTCAGCTGTGGACTTTCTGCATTCTTTGGGATTGGCTCATAATGACATTTCTCCCGACAACATCATGATTAAAGACGGACTACCGATCTTGATCGATTTTGGCTCCTGTCAACCGTTTGGGAGAAATCTGCAGTCACTTGGTACGCCAGGGTGGTGCAAAGAGACGTTCTTCACCTCAGAAAAGGAGCATGATGCTTATTCAATGGACAAACTACGAACCTGGCTTCAAGAGTCGAAGTGAAAAGGACTGCTAGACGGCAACGAACGATTAGCAACTTTGTGTTGTTAATTCCCCATTGGAAGAAGCCGGCGGGAAGGCTGGGGAGTATCAGTCGCAGCGCTGAGTTGCTCTATACTACTGTGCCTCAATCAGCGCTTAGAGAGACGGGTTTCTTGCGGCAAAAGATAACGAGTCTTGTTCCTAATGAGGGAAGTACCTGCTAAAGCGTCATTTTACTATTGTTATAACTCGCGAGTCTTATTATGTAGCCACTGTGTACATATACAAGCCTAACACTACGAGCATGTCTTGTTTTGTGGTGTAAATATTAGATATCAAAATGAGAGTCCTGTTGTCTACACGACACCTTAACAATCAAGTCCATGACAAATAATTTTCAGTTACATGTCATCTACACGTTCCAAAGAGCACAATTAAATACACCATATTACTCCCCCCTCGTATCTTGCCCAAGAAACGCTCATCTTCCATTTTCAATCTTCCGTTTCCAGTCACGCATTCCCTCCGCAAATCCCATCCCGCTCCCCTCCATCCCTTCCCTTTCATCCCTCCCCATACCTCTAAACCCGCCCAACTCAACCAGCGGCACCAAGCACGGCCGCCCATGCGCGCACTGAAACGGAAAATGGCAGTCCGCGAGCCTCTTCACCAACTTCTTGCACTGCTCTATACTCAGCGGATCATTGAACATGATAGCGCTCCTGCAGGCACGGGAATTAAGCATGTCAAGGAGGCCTTGGGGACAGTGGTGGATATGATGAATCCAGGAAGTGGGTGTGTCCTCGGAATAGAGCGGAGGAGGAGATTCCGCACATTTGTGCGCTTCTGTGCGGATGAGGGATGTTAGGAGACGGGGTTCGGATTTGCATCGTTCTGCGATTGTGGGGGGAAGGCTGCGGACTTCGATGCGATGGCTTGGTTGGTGGGAGACAACGCTGTTTGTGTTGGTTCCAACATCCACTGTATCGAACAATATACCCCAATTGGAGAAGTGATTGCGATGGATGCGGAGAAGTTGAGATTCACGGGCCGGGACCTCGAAGATGATGGGCTTTTCAAGTGACATCGTGTCAATTGGAGACTCCGATGAACCAGCCGAGGGATTACACAACTCTCCCATCAAGTTTTCGATTCGAATTCTTTCATCTGCAGCATGTTGATCGATGATAACAAGTAGCGACTCGTTTCCGTCTTTGCTAAGACCATCATTCGACTTTTCAGCTACGCATAACTTTACTAATATAAACTTCCGATCGATTTGCGAAATTATTGTGGCTTGCTTCAGAGAATGCTTCGAGATCTTGCCGCTTATCTTGCTTGAATCCTTAAAGGCACGCTCGACATCAACTTGAGAACAAACATGTTTGTGTCCGTGAAGCATACGGCGTGTAGACTCGTCAAAATCAGAAATGGACGCCTCTGGAATCGTTGCCTCTGCTGCCGCATAGACTGGGTTTTCCCATGTTTTCATCAGGTTCGATACCCAGTCAGTAGAATCCGGATTCAGATTATTGCCAGTCGAATTTCGTACAGGCTTTGATTGTGAGAGACTGAGTCTCGACCTGGATCCAGGAGTCAAGCTCGATCCTATCGTGGACTGACGTTGCCTGCTCACGATTGAATGACCAGTTCTTGTATCAACCGATATTTTGTTCTTGGTATTAGGGTCCATCCATTCCACGGTTTGAGCACCATCTATTTCATTAGGAGCTTTTGAAAGAAACCCGACATGACTTGGTAGGCTACCAGTCGCGATGGTCTCCCTCTCAGGAAATGGGCGGCGAATGACTTTACCAGATGACAGCAGAGGTGTATGGGCAGTGCATTCTGAAGAAGATGTTGTTACCATCGTCTCATCAACCGGACGGCGGGGAGTCTTTCCTGAGTATGAGCTGCCTCTTTTCACTTTGCTCCAGGAATCGAAAGGAGACTGTAGGTTTGGTGAAGGATGGCGGAATGAGGGTAGCTTGATATTTGTGCCCAATAAATCCGCGTTTGTAGCAATCAAGTTCTTTGGCTTCATATATGACGAATGGTTCTGTCCTCTAGGTTGAACGTCACCTTCTCTAGTTAGTCCGCTACTACCTTTGATAGAGTCAGGTGTCTTCCTAGTCAACTCGTGGCTAAACCGGACCTTGCGGTTGTATTTCAGTCGGAAATCGTGTTTGATCAGGAATGCCTCAATCATGGCTCGGAGTAAATCTAAAATAGAAGTCAAAGAATTCTGCTTGTTGCTAAGAATATCCTCCACGTCAAGCTTCTCGGCACTCGTGAATCGCGTCTTCGATTGTATATTTATGTAAAACATCGGCCATCTATCCACTGCTTTTCGTGTTGCTTTCAACTCTCGATTTGTATACCCGTCAGATTTGTATCGACGGTCGCCAGATCGTCTCAATTTCTCGTCTTCGTCGGTTTCCCCAACCTCCTCGTCACCGAACGAAGAATTTAAAAACAAACGATTTACCTCGTCAAATAGTATGTTATGACCTTGACCAAAAGCTACAGGCTCTATACCAAATGAAATAAATTGAATGTGTTTCGAAGCAGCTGGTTCCAAGGAAATGGCGCCATCGATTTGCAGTTGATCGGCAGAGACAGAGACGCCTAACCACGAAGAAGCACTGTCTAGGGCAATGATAGAAGCCTGACTGAGTATATGGCAAATTCCGGGCACGTTGATCCTATGATTATGTTTCGGTGAAGGTTTTTCTCGGCCAGGGGGTCGAATAACCAGCCTTTGAAGAGAGCCTGCTTCTTGAATCGTCATGGCCATATCGAATGGCCAGGATAACAGCAGACTAATGATAATATTCCTCAACTCTTCCCATAGCCTACTGGTACCGTGTGCCTTATCTGCGGTAATAGCTCTCTGCTTGACTCGGACCGGCATGTTCCCAAACAAATCTCGCACGGTTATCCTTGTGCCATGATCGACAAATTTAAGAGCTTGATGCGCTGGCGCAGGGTTTTGTCGATTGACAATCGCAGCTTTGTGCATGGTAATTGTGTTATGCGAGTGGTAGTCATTGTGGTGCGAGGTGACGGAGAGGAGGGCCATGGACGAGAGCGAAGCAAGAAAGCAACCTCTAGCTCCGTGAACTGGTGTTTTGCTATGCAACCTCGATGTATCTGAAGGTACGTTAGTGTTCATCCAGCTATTCAAGCCCTCATGGAGAATACGAACGGTGCAATCTCCCTAAACCTCCTTCCTCTCTGAACTCGGCTGGTGGTATGCCAAAGCCATTGTCTTCCACCACACAGCCTCCGTTCACGTAGTCGACGAGGACGTCGACCTTGGTGCATCCAGAGTCCAACGAGTTCTTTACCAGCTCGCAGATGACCCCATTGAGACTCGTTATGGTCGTTGAAGACTTGATCTGAGCGATGGCTTCGGGAGGCAATTGCTTGATGGACATGGTGATGAAGGTACTTGGCGATTTGAATCATCGTCGAGTTCCTCCGAAGGAAATTCCGCGTACGTCGTTAAAGCTAGTCGTCAATATGCCGACAGCCCTGGAGGTTGGATATTTTATTGAAGCCATCGCAATTTCCTCGACGCCATCGTCCCAGAAGCGTTGGCTACGAATCCAGCCGGTTCATCAGTGCTGTGCGCACAGCTAGAGGTGGGTTGGTGGGTTGGTGGGTTGAATGGAAGTGATGGTGTTGAGCGGAGAGGAAAGCGAGATGCGGTCATGTGAGGAGAGCTTTCGGGCCAGAAGATGCAGCTGTTTGTATTCACGACGAGGTTGATGTTCAATGTTCTCTAGCAGGCTGAATCGAGAGTAAGCGTGGGGTAGCTAGGTCCTGGCTGTTGCAGGGTCCAATCCATCCTGGCATACTCGGGTACTGGAAGCCTCGTGCGCGTCCCATCCGGCAGAAATTCACTAGTCGTTGGCGGAAGCGGACCAGGCCAGTGCCAGTTCAGGCACAACACAACAATCCAAACAGACAACACCACCTCTCCTCGTCATCTCATCGCTCGCCAGACCTTCGTTCGAGCGGCCACTGTCTATCCTTTCATTCATCTCCTCGGCCCTGCCAGTTCATTCACTCAATCCCACCGCTCTCACTCACCGCCGCCATTCAGTGCCCTCCTCGCCCTTTGTTCTGACCAGACGCTTCCTCCTTATATTGCGCCTGAGAGGGATTGTCCTTTCCTGAATACACCATGGCCACCGCGGAGACTCAGCATGCTCAAGGTACCGTTTTCTACTATCCACACCAACCAACCTCAAATTTAAGCAACTTGTTGTGCTGACACGATGTGGTGGTTTCCAGCAGACCGACCCGGACGGCGGCGACCATTCTCGACGTGGATGAAGAAGCTCACCAGCTTCAAGAGCTCCTCGGCCGACGGCTCTTCAACCTCTCCCAACAAGAGAAGCACGTACCAGATGAAGTCGAACTCGAAGCGGCACGCAAATCTGAAGAAGAACAATCCATATCCAGAGTCGGGAACAGTGAATGGGCACACCTCAATTCCAAACGGAAATGGACACGATTCCTTCTCGACCGGACCTACCGGAGTCTCCATGAGCACACCATCGCTCCATCATACTAGAGACTCGGCACGATCCTCACAAGATGACCATCCTGCTCCGACCATTGGCAACAAGTCAACCGCGCCGACGATGTCGACCGAACCCGATACGGCACGCTCGGAGGCGGCACCCTCACACGCACCCTCTTCAGGAGAGGCAACAAATGCAACCGTCGGTGGCATAAACTCAACTCGTGGGGCGGATAGCACATTCTCCTCCCCCGCTCCATCGGTGAGATCGTTGACCACCACCCTCACCACTATCCATTCGGCGGTTGGCCCGACAGCTCCTACCACGACCGGCACCAACACGCAAACGGTACAATTCTCCCACCAGTTTCCTACATCACCACCCCCGAATGCTCTCCCAGCACATCTGGCGCCCGCTGCGAGCGGTGGCCATCCCGCGACCTACAACACGGCGACTGCGAACAATCTTCTGACGGACAATGCCTCAATACTTACTTTGGCATCTTCATCAAAGAGGAGGAGAAGGCGTTCAATGGACACCGATGCATCAGTCCGCGCATTGGCACCCTCATCGCTGTTTGGGGGCAGCCGCGAAAGTCTTCCGCTGAGTGTGCTGAGTGCCAATATCGATCCATCTGCTGCCACGCCTACTCCTCATCAACCGCGGCAGAGTGTGGGTGGATTGAACGAGAGAGCTAGTATATATTCCGCAACTGGAATCGCACCGGCATTGCCAAGTGAGCGTAATAGTTACTATGCTGGCAAACAATCGACTGCTGCGGATGGAGGAAGCATTAAGAGCGGATTGCTAGGACATGGCAGAAATGGTAGCATCAGTGGTAGCATTGGAGGACCCAATCTACCACCTGGAAGTCCTCTGGCAGCCACAAGGGACGGTATTCCTCAATCTTCCGGGGGATTGAGTCGCACCAATTCTGGCTTCGAGGGTGCGGATGTGGACAAGAAAGAAGAACACAATCAAGGGGAACATAAGGGCAACGGAAAAGCATAACCAAGCTACTTTTTATGGTGGTGTTGATTGATTTGGCCAACAACGAAAAAGAGTAGATGATAAACTTTGATTCGGGAAGAAGTGGGAGATAACCCTCAACCGGGATGGCGTTATGGCATGGTTTTTGCAGTCGATGATACCCGATATCTTAATATGAATGGCTTTTTCTGAACGGACCTTGATTTGATGAGCGAGACTTGTGCTTGTGGCCCTTTACGAGACGTTGCGAGTAACACGTGTCTGAAGAGTTGACCCAGTCAAATCTTTGGTTTGATCCGGGACTCCAGGCAACATAACTCGACGGATTTTCAAATATGGATCGCGAGATATACCGTGGATTCTTGTTGCTTTCTTCAACGATTTGCCGTCAATTTGCTCTTACATTTTTTGAACAGGAAGTTTGACACGAAATGATCCAGACAACCTCATTTCCAGTGCTTCAAGGGGTGTTTTAGAGACTAGAGAGGCTTAGTCCGTATGCTATCGCTAGCGTAAAATGGAAGCAGTTCGTACAAAGCGTGGATCAGCCGAAATGCTTGCAAGAAATTACAGCAGAGTGGATGGCCTACTTTATCCCCCAGACGACATCAAGTCAGCCAAACGTCCAGACCCGGTTCACTCATATCCCAATCTCCAATTACCCCAAGTTGTTACAATATTGAACAAAGCACTTTTGTTAACCTTGTTAGGTTGCTATAATCCTCAAGACTCAGCACGTGGACTTGATACCCGCTTAGTCGTATAACGACGTCAATGTGTTAAGAATTATCACATCGGTGCACTAGTGCTTATTAGCACAAGGAAAGTTTTTCGGCCTTCCAGCTACAATCGTTAATGCTCTAGCCGATCTTTCTTGGGCCCTGTAGAGTTGGTATGTGATTGGTGAGTTAGAGTTTGAAACATTTTCGCGCCTTGTACCTGATCTGCATTCCAGCTACTTGAACTCTAACGCTAGCGGATTATGTCGTAATATATACACCCAAACTGCTCACCGGACTCCCGGAATTGTTTGTTCCCCGATATGGCAGCATTTATTTATATACTAGAGATGCTCTCTAAATTTACTCTCAACATATCAAACTTCTTGTGTACAGACCTAAGTAGACGAAAAGACACCCTACCGCAAAATGCGCTCCTCGACCTATTTCTTTTACCTTCTAACAACCATTCGCTTTTGGGCGCGCGTTAATGCTGGAGAACTATGTACTCATGACGATTCCTTCATCCCAGATGCCGTGCTGAGGGTCACAGCCGCCAACTACTCGCAATCATGTTACCCTGCGAAGCACACCGTTCTCGTCAATGGAACATCGCCCGGTCCAGAATTGAGGCTTACAGAGGGAGAGACTTATTGGATTCGAGTATACAATGACATGCTTGATGCCAATTTGACCATGGTAAGCTTCCACGAAAGATTGTGCTTAAGTGTTGCTGACAATCTGTAGCACTGGCATGGTCTCTCACTTGCCGTATCCCCTTTCGCTGATGGAACACCTCTAGTAAGCCAATGGCCAATCCCACCCGCGCATTTCTTCGACTACGAGATCAACGTACCACATGGGATGGCTGGGACATACTTTTACCATAGTCATGTTGGGTTTCAAGCTGTCTCTGCTACGGGACCGTTGATCGTGGACGATCTTGATATCCCGTATGAGTATGATGAGGATAAGATCATCTTTCTGCAAGACATGTTTACAAAAGATGATGCTGTCATTGAAAAGGGACTTGTTGCTGATCCGCTCGTTTGGAGTGGGCAGACTGCTATGATTTTGGTTAATGGGAAAGGAGGTGGGATTTCGCATGTTACAGCGGGTGATGCTACTTGCAATTCTACTTTGTCGATGGTCTCTGTCGAGCCGGGAAAAACGTACCGGTTGCGGTTTATTGGAGCTACGGCGCTTACTTTTGCGTTGTTGGCCTTTGAAGGCCATGATAGCTTGACTGTTATTGAGGCGGATGGGTAAGTGCAATATTCTTGGGATATTTCGATGTCAGCTAATTCCAATTTAGGTCTTACACCCAACCGTACAATACATCCATACTCCAAATTGGAGGTGGTCAAAGATACAGCGTCCTCCTCACAACCAAAGCCGCCCCCGAGAAGTCCTCCTACTTCATGCAAGTCGAATCCCGCGATCGTCCATCAGTCGCCAGAAGTTTCGCAGTCTTGCAATACGGTCTAAAACCAGCAACCAAACCAATGAATCCTCTAACAGCACCACTCACCCTACCCAACATAACCAGAGGCTTCCTAGACGATCTCGCTCCCCTCCACCCATCCCGAGACTTCCCCACCTCCGCCGAAGTAACCCGTCGCATCACACTCACCGTCCACCAAAAAGTCTCTGGCCAAACAGTCTGGCTACAAAATGCCTACAACTGGACGGATTCCTTCCCACAAACACCCTACCTCGTGGCCCTATACGAAAACACCACCAACACCACCACCAACCCCGGCCTCCCCTACCCCAGCCTCGAACGCGCCCTCGCAAACAACGGCATCGACCCCGTCACCCGCACCTTCCCCGCCCGCCTCGGCGAGGTCCTCGAGATCGTCATCCAGAACACAGGCGCCGATAAAGGCGGGCTGGACATCCACCCCTTCCACGCCCACGGCGCGCATTTCTGGGACCTGGGCTCCGGCAACGGGACGTTCAATGGCACCGCCAACGACGCGTCCTGGGCCGCGCGCGGGCACCAGCCGCCGCTCAGGGACACCAGTATGCTATACCGCTACGCGACGTCGACGGGGAATGGCACGGCGATGGGGTGGCGGGCGTGGCGGTTGAGGGTCACTCAGGTGGGGGTGTGGATGGTGCATTGTCATATCTTGCAGCATATGATTATGGGGATGCAGACGGTGTGGGTTTTTGGGGATGAGGAGGAGCTGCTGGGACGCGTGGGGTGGCCGGAGGTCGAGGGGTATTTGGCGTTTGGGGGGGATGTATACGGGAAGGAGACGCATGCGCCGAGGGTGGTGCATTTTAAGGGGAATGAGAGGGGGAATGAGAGGGGGGGTGCTTGGGCGGAGGGGCAGAGGGTTAGCTTTTGGAGGGGGGGGGGGGGGGTGGGTTGATGAGGGGGGAATTTGGGAATGTGGTGTTTATATGGTTTATGTTGGGTGGATGTTTGCGGATACCTTGTTCCGGATAATTTTTGGGTTATGATCATGTTTGGATGCGCCACATGATGAAATGTAATTATATTGGATTTGCTACACAAGTTTCCTAAGACGAAGGGAACTTCATTCTCTTTTTCATTTTCAACAATACTACTGTATGAGCTTGTGACTCGTGCTTCACGTTCCAAAGGCGAGGGTCAGTAGGTGAGTTCCAGAAATATTGCTAAGGAATAACACACTTGACAATCAACTCCTAGCACGAAATCCTTTTAGTGGTACTGTGCATTGAATGTTATTCACAAATCGCAACTAAGTGACATGTTCGTGGAGAAATCCATTTATTCACGTAAGTAGCCATCAAAATCGCATAGACGACAAGCGATAATGTGGTAATGATCTTACAATGGAGGCCGGTAAGGCAAGAAGATTTCAAATGTGTCAGAGAGACATATAAGTTTGAAAATTCTAAATTCTATTTCTAACAGCTTCTAATATGTAGCTGCAAACCGATTTCAAGTTAGCTAGAGAGACATATCAGGATGAAAAATTCTAAAATTCTATTTCTAACAGCTTCTGATATGTGTCTAGTCATTATTCACCAAGCATCTAGCAAGCCACTTCAACCATTCTAGCACTTCCAGAGTCCTCTCAAAACCAAAAGCATAATCCATGGGTATCATTAAACACAAAAACTCCTTCCAATCCCCAACCACATTTCAAATCGAAACACAAGCCGCCCCAACAATAGCATCCAAAGCCGAACTCTGCGTCTGAATCGTCGACATGGAATTCGGACCGCTCCAATCAAGACCCAACTGATTATCAACCTGATCATTCGACCAGATCGAGTCCGCGTTGCGGGTGAGGAAGTTCTTATAGGTGGTCTTGATATCATCGGTCAACGCGGCGCGGTTAAACATGAATTGGATGTTCCGTCCGAAGACGCCTTTGAATTGCTGGAGATCTCTGTTGCAGGTATTCGTGGCCTCGCATTCCTCGGTGAGAATGCCGTTTTCGTCGGTGAGTGCGTTGATGGCGGACATGGCAATGGTGTTGGCGAGGTCGATGTGAGATGCATCGCCAGACGCCCAGCTGAGCTCGGTGAGCCCGCCGAGAATGATGCCCTGGTTGTAAGTGAATACGGCAGCGCCATCATTCTGGCAGGTGTTCAAGTCGAGGCCGTTGTTGATTAGGTTGTTGGAGTTGATGAGGCCCGAGGCGAGGAACCAGTCGTGGGCTTTGAGCGCTTCGTTGTAGTAGTAGCCTTGGGAGGGGGTGTTGGGGCGGCGGTTGGCGAGTTTGGCGGCGGCGGTTAGGTAGAGTGAGTTTTCTACGGCGCCGTTTTGGGTGTGTGATTTATCCCACCTGGATGATGTTAGAGCTGAGAGTGAGAAGAGTCAAGACGTGGAGACAGACCAGAGACCACCACATTTCGCTTGACCCCAGACGCTCTTTGGATCTTCAAATATCTGAGCCGCCATGTCCAGATATTTTTCATCTTTGGTGACATCGTACACCTCAATCCATGCGATCGCCCACCACAATTCGTCGTCGTAGAATTCATTAAGAAAGCCAGTGTATCCACTAGCGATTGGTGCTTGAGTGAGGGTTGTAGGAAAGATTGAATTGGTTGTTGGTGCCACGTGATCTGGAAAGTATTCCTGGAAATTGGCTAACATTGTGATGACATTTGCGCTGTTCCACCAAGTTGTGACATCTCCATAGATGCCAGTCGCAGCTGAGTACCAAGTCTGTAATTGATTGATCCCGGCAACTGAGTAAGCAATGTAATCTTGTGTTGATGCTCTCGAATTAAGTCTTTTGCCGATTTGTTGCCAATTTGGATTTGGACTTGTTTCTGGTGTTGGTAGTGCAGAGGAAAGTCCGTTGGTAAGTACGATAGCTGCAAGAATCTGGTATGCTGTTGAGGAAAACATTATGTAAATGAAGATATGCAAAAATGTGAGAAAATAAGGAGTGACGTTTAAAAACGAATGTGAGGTAGTAGTCGAGACGTGAGTCAAATCGATCAACTTCCGAAAAAGAGTGTGATGAAGTATCAAGGACTTGACCTTTGATGGTGAAGGATACCCAACGGACTATATACTTACAGCTTCAATTGAGACGCCGCGTCTAGCATGGCAATGACATCTTGGTTATGGAAGTCCCTCCCGATTTCACCGGGGAGTCAACATCGCTGATAGGACCTCACGGCCTGCTATCCACAGAAACAGCGTTTCGAGTGCTGGATTGACAAGATGAGCTAGACGCTTGACACTTTTGGTTGGAATCTCTGGACAAGCTTCCTGAAGGCATGATGAACAATCTGAAGATTATCGTCCAAGGTCAGGGAGTGGGGGTCGCTTAGAGCTCTGGTTGCGTATCAGACGGAATCTTTTGTGACCCAGAGACATGGAGACCCTTTGATTGGGCAGCTGGTCGTCGTCGTCCTTAAAACAGTTATCCTTAATTTCAAAATGTCCCAAAATGGAAACAGACAGGGGGTTAATGTTCCGGTCTGATCGACGTGCAAGGACCAATCTACCGCCAGATCCAAGCCACACTGCAACGTCCAAGATACTTGCCGGTACGAAGTCTGCTTCTCATGCACTTTGTATTTCGCATGCTGAGAGCCTGGGCTTTGGAGATGCTGGCATCAAATGATCTTGGGGGTCGTTGTGCCCAAGTCCAGTCATCTCGCTTCCGCCACTGCGCGGTTTCAACGCACCGAGCGATGGAGATCTTGAAACAGGAGTGTTCCCTGGAGATTTTTCATGCGACAGCCCCGAATATGTGAAGAGAGGAAGAGGATCTTCGAATAAAAAGAAGCAAGCCTAACCGCCAACATTCAAATGTGCTCTCTTGGTTGCCTTTGTACGCATACAAGCAAAGAACACAGAAAAGGTCGCGAAAAGGAGAAGACAGATATATCACGTGATGTAAGCTGATCAGGTGGTCCAAGCTCCTCGGTCTCCCACCTTCATAATGTAACCTTCAGGATTGTAGACTCTCAATTTTTCATTATACAAACATAGTTGCCTGCATTAAAATCATTCAAGCCATCACTACTTGATACGATCTCGCTCTGCTTGTTCTAGTCTGGTTGCACTTCAACATCGACACGAACCACTGATCCGTGTGTTTCTTTGCTTCGGTTTCTCATCTGCCGTGTCAAATCGTAACTCATTAACAACTTTAAGCGCACAAATATGGCTCCAAGAACTGGACAGACGTTGGCCATCATAGGATGTGGTAAGGAAATTGATGCATGTCCTTAGATAGCTGCAACCCAACATTCTGACATTAAACACAGGGACAATGGGGTCTGCGATTCTTGCTGGCGTTATGGAATCATGCGTGCTGTCAAAAGCTGCTGGTGAAGAACCTAGGATATCAAAATTCATTGCCACTGTCAATAGCCGAGGATCCGCTGATGCTTTGCGGCAAAGATTTGCGAAGTATAAAGGATGGTTACAAGTGCTTGAAAAAGATAATATCTCAGGCATGAAAGAAGCCGATATCGTCATGTTGGCTTGTAAGCCATATATGGCGGAAACAGTACTGAGTCAAGACGGAGTCTTTGAATTATTAAAGGGCAAGCTTGTAATCAGTGTTCTTGTTGGGTCACCAGTCGAAAAATTGGAAAAGATAATTTACGGCAAAAACTCACCCCCTACCGAGAAAGAGATTTTTCTCAAGAGAGTCATGTTGAACATTGCTGCTGAGTATGGAGAGTCAATGTCCGTAATTGAGGAAACTTCATTTTCCGAAGAGATGGAAGAGGTATCCGACTGGATGTTTTTGCAAGTTGGGAAAATTGCTCCAGTTGCTCCAAATCTCTTCGACATTGGTGGTCTCATCGCTGGAGCCTCGAGTGCATATCTGTCCTTGGCTTTTGACGGAATTTTGGACGGAGCTGTAAGCGAAGGACTGAAGAGAGCTGATGCAAAGAAAATGCTGACGCAGTCGTTGATATCCTTGGCGAAATTGTTGGAGAATGGTGAACACCCCGCTGTGCTAAGAGAGAAATATTCCAGTCCGAAAGGAACCACGATAGCCGGGCTACTATCACTTGAGGAGGACAGAGTTCGCTACGCCTTCAGCAAAGCTATTATCACAGGCTCGAAACGAAGTCAAGCCATCGGGCAGTAAATATATTTCCACATATCAAATTGGCCACTTTCGGAAGTTTCCACCAGATTGCGTCGTACGCACGTCGTTAAGTGAGAACCATCCAAACGACTTGGGGTCGATGAGTTTTTTGCACGTATATAGCGCATCCAGTGCAGCTTATTGACCTACACTCTACCATACCGTCTGAAGAAAGACCCTGGGCCAGGCTGCTGCTACATATTTCACGATTCTATGGGGCCGAACATACCGAGTAGAGTCCATATAACGTGGGAGCGATAAGTTTTTGTTCATCATTCTGTGGACAAGCATTGACAATAGGTGTATCGGCAGATAAAGTGGTAGTTTCATCAGGGGGGATTTATCTAAAATTATCAAAAACGGAAAGCATCCATTGGACCTGCGATATGTGTTCATTCATAGTAAGGATCATGGTCGGCTAGAAAAACGCACAGTCGAAGATTTCTATCGCTCAATTCACCATCACGCCCCCAGGGAGTTCTTCTAGCCCTGTGTTGCGATCCGTTAGTCTGATATACTTTGGATGAACGATCTTACCCCATGAAATAATCCATCATACTTACATTCATTTCCTTCAACATCTTCTTTCATGGTCTGCGGTACCGTACAGCTCATTGCTGCTTCGTTCGATTGGCTTTTCAATTCTTTGCACTTATCATTGCGACATCTGGCGTTGATTGCGCGTTGGAGGGAATCGTCTTTCCAACCAAAAATATAATCACCATGCTGTCCGTGGCCAGTGCTAAGAGGGTGAAGAGTGAGATATTGATCTAATGTTGTAAAAACGATAAACTTACGCATCACCCATGGCATATACAAATGGCTGAGATCCATCTTCGTTCCACAGTTCCTTTTTGTTGAACGGCCGAGTTTCCCACATTATTTCATCTAGACAGATATTTGAGTTAGTTGTCGGACATGTTCTGAGGGAGAACAATGTTTTGAATCGAGGCTTCTACTCACACATCAATTGAGGCAATTTCACCGGAAAGCCCTCGGGACACTTTCCTCTTTCCTGTGCTGCTGTATAAGGTCGTGTTGCCAAAGGTTCGTAGTATGGCTCAAACGGAATCGTGGAGTAAGCGACATGACTTTGATGATCCGGGCTATCCAAATTCACACCATCCCAGCAGGTTGGGAAAGTCACAGTTGTCCTTATTCCACCAGCACAAAAGTGATCTGGCAATGCGGAAGTATCGTTACCTGTGCATGGAGCTCCACCGAAGGGAGTAAAGTTATCGCCTTCGAAGCATCGATGGCAGATCCCACGAGATTCGCCTGCTGTGCTTCGTAAGGTGGGATTGCCAGCAAGCATACGGAAACCCTAGCTTGGTGTCAATTCCACACCTTTGCTTTGCTCTGCTACGAGTCACTTACCGGTCGGAAAGCAGTGACATTGCTGACTCCATCGTACGGTGGGATGTAGTAAACTGTTATACCGCCATTCTGAACAAGACCACCATTTTCAAACTGCCCTACCCTCTTGAACGTGCCATTTCTTGCTTTATAGTACAATGCCGCTGTCCAGTAATTGCTGAAATCCCTATCGACTCTTGTCAGTGTCCGACCAAACATCACTAAGAGATCTCTGCCATTCATACTCGCTGAAGGTGCAACTGGTACATGTTGAGCGCGAAGGCGGATCATATGCAACGGGAGCCATCGACGCATTGAAAGAGTTTCCGCCCACAATTTGATGAACATGCGGAGACCCGATGACTCCGGGAGATACTAGGGGATCCAATCTTTCAACAACAAGCTGTGAGCACGCGAAGCGCATCATGGCGGCGCCTTGGTTGGGGTTGAGTTGAGCATTGCCAATTCCAAGGCTGGCGAGGACCAGGAGAACAGAGTTTCGATACATTTCAACACTTGCAAATTCAAAGACTGAGTGTTCCGTATGAAAGACTCTTAGGTGCAAAATCAAGAAATGGCAATTGCTTAAGTGTATGGCATCTCGAGGATCTGCGGCTCGGTTGCCTGAAAGTGATTGCCGACAGCCAAATCCGCAAGCTTAATCAAACAACGCATTATTCGAGGATATAAATGGGTGAACTAATATATAACAACACAATATATACACAAAATTCATCTGAACAAATTGAAATATCCTTCGATGGGCGAACGCACTCACCGTCAGTAATCACAACATATATTATCACATTCCAGAACAAATGCGAGATATGCTACTACGATATGAAACGTCCCATTCAAGCTTCCCGATGAAGATAAAGATTTGGAAATGTATGTCGTCGAATGAAGAGACGCAACTGAGGGGAAATAACCTGGTCGTATGCGTGGGGCCGGCATGCAACAATCCTTAGGGAGGGAAACAACCGAGTCGGCTCTATGCTCATTTCATTTCGATGGCTTGAAGGAGAGGCGTGCGTCTTCGGCAGCACAGATGGGACTCTGGGATTTTATTCATGCGGGAAAGGTATGCTGGTTTCTTGTTTTGAGTTTCAATAAGAGGTCTGATTGTTGGTAACATAGTTCTTCCGAGTAGTGATATTTGAGTCTCTGCCTGGTTATTGATTGAATCTTTCGACTTGCAGAGGAGCAAAGGAGCAAACGATTTTCATTTTTTCGGCATGTTCTGTCAAATGTAATTATAATCTAGCAAATTTACTATTTTGAAGTTTTTATCCACCTAATTCGTGCATAAATTTTCTGATTGTGAGCGGCATACGCGGATTACGTGACATTCTATCAGTCTGATCTAAACTTTTACACCTCAAAATTGGCAAGAGGCTCTGTTCCTTACTAGGTTCTTGTTTTCTTACTCTATATTTCTTTTTTGTAAGTGACGTAGCAACTCAATCCTCAAATAGAATATCTGATTGTACTTCGCTTCAGTTTCGGCCGCCACTGATCGACCACTCCGTGGTGAGACAAAAGGAGTTCTAAAATAGCTGAAGACTGATCTCAAGCAAGGACACCAGGTTTTTCGAAATGGATGTTTTGTTTGCTGGCAGATCATTATCGAAGTTAAGCCATTTCTTGGGTGTCTTCTAGTGAGCTGTGTGTCTGAACATAGTGGTTAAATAGCTCCGATCAATCTGGCATATATCTTGGGAAGTTCACGACTACTTGTTTCTTTAGCATCAGAAGTGACTTAATTTAGTCAAAAAGCCGAAAAACTTGAGCATACATCGGGTTTGTAGTGCGATATCAATAAGTAGCCAGGTCAAAGCTTTCAATGTCTCGCTCGTGTCGCTCCTCATCCCCAGATCGACTCCGGGAGTCGCATTTTCGCCTTGATTCTAAGTCGAAATTCTATCGACTGAAAAACGGTTGGATCTTCTGATTGCAAGCTCGTGGTGGCGGGCGCCATTTGTAATCTTCAACGGATCCTCGTGGACTCGCAGATCTGTGTTCGGTAAGTCTCTCGAAAATAATTTGGAGTTAAAAGTCGCATCCAACATTGTTATATCTAAGTCTGGCGTTTCCAACTGTCCAAAAGCTATAATCATGAATCGGTTCCGTACAGTAAGGAAGCCATTATTCTCGGCGACAAAATTGTTAGGTCAAAAGCTTCTGTCTGTCGTAGGAAGGATGTCGGATAAGTGCCGAAAACACTTTTGCCTCTACTTTGTACAAGCTTTTTAGCCTCCTTTAGTAATGACCTTTTCAAGCACCGATCCGGAGATCCATCAACCAAAAATAGGTTAAGTGCATCCTTGTTTCAACGGGCCAGTTTGGAATCATTCCTCAACATTTCGGTTTGGCGGTTTTTGGCCTGGCCCTAAATTATATTTAGAAACAGAAAATTATTTGAAAAGATTCTGGAAGTTGAGTTCTCACAAAAAAAGAACAAACTTATCTTTACTCTGACTGTATCTATCCTACCCCTTTTTTTGACAAGTTTGTTGATGGTTTGCTGAGAAAAAAGCATAGGTAGAAATCATACATGACCATTGTTCACATAATTCCATCTACCAAACTACATAAATAATTGGTCAAAGCATGTTGCGAAAGTATTTCTTCACCTAGCCGACTTTCATTGTAATGTGGCAATTTCGCGAACACCAAGCATGCTTTGCCATAAGTGCCACTTCACGATGTTGTGTGTGCTTACCGGTAGCCATCAGGCGATAAGGAACAAACAGGTATGGTCTTCTTATTCTTCTCATAAATCTTTGCCAAACTGCCAAACCATAACACACAAAATGATGGAGAAGCTTCTCGGTGCAAGCCGCGAGAACTTTCAACCCCCGCTTTTCGAAACCAGTTGCAGACTTCAGAGTTGAAATCAAATTTCAAAAAAATTGTGTAAGACTCAAGGCGTGTCAAGAACTCCCAGGGGTCAATCGATCATCCAAATCCTTCGTCGCAGCCGCTCACCATCGCAGGGTCGTATTAATCTTGTATGAACCACGCCTTAGGAATACAATGATTTGCGGGATCAATCCTTCGGAAAGGTGATCGCACAACCGTTGGAACTTCACGAAATGGTGAGGACAGAAAGTAGAAGTATCGCGACTTTTGAAGCCAAAGTAGATGACAAGGTAACATCCAGATACCTGCCAAAAACAACCACCAACGGCTTTTTGCATATCCAGCATTTTAAAACCACCGATGAACTTTTTCCCCAATTCATTCCTGGCAACTAGTCGCTGCGGTGGGCTGCCCGTAAGCGATATCTCGGGGCGACGCGCTGCGTATGATCGCCACTCTATCCGGTAAAGCGAGATTTGATCTAGACCATCTTATAATCTGAGCAGCTGGTACTTTAACAAATCTCTTCGTCATGAATCAGCTTAGAATGTGTTAAACAGGTGTAGAGAATAGTACTATGCGGATTCTTATGTTGTTAACAGGTAATTCGTCCCAATTAAGCGACACCCCCATCTTTCGTATTCATAGGGCTGCTAGGGGTAGAACCAGTGGTAGGTGCGCTAAACCTAACACATGTTAAGCACTAAATCCTAGTCTGTCTCGCTCGCTTCAACCACGCGGTCGGAAATCTCCTCGTAATCCTTCGCCCAGGAGCTTTGAAACCATACTTCAACCACCAATCTCACTTCTAACACCAAACAAACGATATGTATGTTTTTTGGGGGTATCCGATTTGTTTCAGCAAGAACGCTGGTATTGATTGGAACACTTTAACCCACCTAATGTTCAAACAGTGTCAATTATCGCTTTAGACCCATGGAATGAAGATGGCGAACCCCGTGCATACATGAGATTGTTCGAGCGATTAGTAGAGAGTAGGAACACACTATTATAGCTGGATCTCAGCTATTCAACATGTATCCGGGACTTGTTCGCTTCAGACCAAAAATCGGATGGTATTAAGCTGCAGTCATCCTGCGGCTGCTCCGCCCCCAGAACTGGGTGGGAGGCTTTTCTGCCTTAATTTGAAGCACAAAAAAATTGAATACCCTTCACAACGGGTGAGCCGTCGGATGATTATTAGTATTTGTCGGTGGAAATTGCTTTTCTTACGCATAGATGGATGACCTTGAACCGATCCTTCATCCATCCTTGCCTTCCTATCTCCGCGCTTTACTTTTGATCATAGCTAGACCCTTCCTCCTCGTATGACTCCTTTCATATTCATCACCTCGCAGAATACCCCACACTCCTTCGGAATTTCAAGATTTTGCTGTTGCATACTCTGTTGAGCCCGACATTGTCATCTTTTCAAGAAAACATATTGTCATTATTTTTACGGAATAGCCATCGCCCTTCCAAATAACACCTCAACTTATTACTGACATACGATTCGTTCCAATTAGCCTATGGTAGTCATATTTTAAGTCTTTGGTCAATTGTACCAAATCGGGGCGGCGGAGTAGTAGTAGCTGTTGGACTTGTGCATCAAAATGTTTTCGAATTATGTTGTCTTGCTTCTTGTACTTGCGCATTCCTCGGTTCAACAAAAAGATCCTAAAGCCAACTTTTGCAGGAGATTTGGACATCAAACTACAGTCATTGATGAGAGATTATACATCGATGGAGGGCAAGTGAACTTTGGAGATTCGATTGCAACATCTCCAGCAAACCTCACAAGTCAGTTTTCAATTTGATGGACCGTTACTTGGCCACCTTCTCTTCTCTTTGAACTTGACTTACTTATTCATTTGTTTTCTAGATCCATACCTCTCCTATCACGACCTTACTACAAGCCCACCGCAGATTGAAATGCCAGTATTGTGGGCAAATCTATCTAAAAATGCGACAATACCGAGTGTTAGCGGTGGTCAGATTTGGGCGGATGGCGTGAACAAGCGATTTTTCCTATATGGTGGAGAGACAATTGGCGACCCTCCTCCCACCTCACCACAAAACGTTTACTCTTACGATGTACTTCAGAATCAATGGGATAATTTAGGAACTCCAACTGGTGATATCAGTGGAGTATCATGGGGTGCTGGTGTAAGCGTCTCTTCGATCGGTCAAGCATTCGTTTATGGTGGATGGCTGAGCAATACTTCAGTGCCAGGATGGAAAGGCCCACCAATGGCGACAAACACGCTTGTAAAATATGATATGGAGCTCAATAAGTTCCAAAACATCACCGGTCCAGCGGATAGCCTGGGTCGAGCAGAAGGCGTGATGACCTATGTGCCTGCTAGCGATGACGGCTTATTGGTGCACTTCGGAGGAATTGAATCGAGCGCAAATGGAACAATGGTGGCTTCACCGATGAATACCATTAGAATTCACGATATTCGTAGTTCTAAATGGTACACTCAAACAGCCACAGGTGATGTTCCTCCAAATCGACGACGTTTCTGCGCGGACTCAGCTTGGTCGGATGATCAATCTTCATATAATATGTGGGTGTTAAAACTATGGACTTAGTTTTTGATGATACTGACTCGTTTAATAGCTATCTATATGGTGGTCTTGGCTTCGGTGACGACAGTGTAGGATTTGATGATTTATGGATTCTCTCACTGCCGAGCTTCAAATGGGTAAATTATTACAAAGGAAGTCCTGGCTCCCCACATCATTCCTTGACATGCAATATTGTCAACCGAGGTCAAATGCTTGTCATTGGAGGAACTTTCCCAGTCAACGGAACATGCGATACTCCTAAACAATGGGGTGTTCATAACTCTGACATTGGGAAAACAAGAGGTCGTGCTTGGGAAGGTAAGTGCTTTTGCCGCAATTAAGTATTCTTATGCTTGACACTAACTCCCTGTTCAGCATACGATCCAACCATCAGGAATTATACCGTACCTCCTGAGGTTATCAATATTGTTGGAGGTACATCGTCCGGAGGAGCAGCGCTAAAGGCGCCACCGACAGGCTTTCAAGATCCTGAATTGGGTGTCTACTTTGCTCAGCGAGCAGAAATCGACGCGAGAACACCTACAAGAGCAGTGCCAGGTGCCACTGGCAGCTCGAAAGCATCAGGTACAGAAATCAAGCTAGCTGGAAGTGCTATTGCCGGCATTGCAGTTGGTGGCTCTGTTCTCGTTAGTTCAATTGTCTTGGGCGCATGTCTGTGTTTGCGACGCAGAAGAATTCCAGTGAGCCCACAGATGTCAGCTCGGTCTTTTAGCTCTAGCTCTAAGTCACTACCTCACTTGCCAGTCGCACAGGAATATATAGTACCAGAGAGCAGATTTTCCCGTTCGTATCGACCAAAACGCATAAGCACACACTCTTTCCGTTCTTCTCACCAATTACCGACAACACCAGAACCAGTTGAACTTCATGGCACCCACTATGTGATGGAGCAGGAAAACTTCAAGTTCGTTAAAGGGGATGGTCTGCAAATGAGACAAGTCAATGATAGGGACCATCCTGCACACCGAGCTTCCAAGTATATCCAGTCGCCACACACTGGCACAAGACCGTCTCCAAGCCGGTCAGGATTTTCAGTGCAAACATCCATGCGCAGTAACACCGACCGAGAAACTTTTCGACCATCACCAATATCAGCAGGGCCGATAGTATCACCTTTGGGACGTACACTGACCGGGGAGCGTAACTTTCGAGCGGTGAATGACTATCACCATTTATAGTCTTTGGGTTTTATTACTGTATTAAAATGTACATAATGAGTCGGACATTACAATAGGTTTAATGGGGGATGATGAAAGAGATTTTGTAAGCTGATGAAGATGATACCATGTCAATGGTGAAGCTTTCGATAAAGCTATTTAAATTCCATACTTAATTTGCGCCCGACTACTTGTGGGTAGCGTTTAGCGCTATTTCTTTTTTCACCACTGAACAGGTCTCACAAATGAACTGACTTACAAGATATAATTGCACGATCATCTCAAGCCGAATTAGTTTTTGACATCTTGGGGCGATGTGCAAGACATACTAAGAGTCAATATTCTTGCATTGTATTGTCTCTACAAATTACGATTAATTCACGTGTTCGCAGCGTTTTCCAGGCCCACTGAAATTTAGTGACGATTGCGATTCACTTTTACACAATAGACAGACTCTCGAGAAAAACACGATTGGCATTAGCCCGCAAATGTATTTATCATCTCCAAAAGTATGGCCAAGAGACGTTTCAGCTTCTCCCTCAGATACTCGTGCTAACTTCAGAAACACTGTCAGCCTAGCCACCCATAATGGATTCTGAAATTCTAAATGCAACTAAAAGTAGTCAATCCCCAAGTCAAGCAGCCACTTCTACTTAGCATTTCTTCATAATAACGTTGTACTCAAATCGGGTATCAAAGTTTTGTCCACAAGTCTGTTGGAATAATGTATTTAAAGGTTCAGGTCCAGGACAAACCAAAACAATGTCATGCATAGCAGTGAGAATTCGTTTTCTTGGGGGGTAAACTGGCTTGTCCGTCTACGAAAGAGTCAGCACCGTACAGTACAAACTGGGTAGAGAACTGGCATACATCGTTGCAGACTAGCACTTCGGCATTAGTGTTACAGCCACTAACAGACTGACAGCCTGGCCTGACCTCAAACGTCCCTACTGTGTCCCTGTTCAAATTAGACGTGAAGAACATTGCAGCAAGTAACTTACATAACTTGTGCTGGGCCATCGAAGCGTGCAATGTTACGTACTGCCAGGGTTTGCCGATGTCGCGGCAGCAGAGAATGTTAGCTGGATGACTACGACTGACTATATTCGTGTCGACAGTCGGTAAGCAGAAAGTTGGGGTCGTGAAGGCGAGGATTAAGACGACAAAGGTGAGATACATGCTTGCCAGAGATGTAAATAGAGTATTGTAGAGTAGTCGGGGTGATGGATGGCGAACAGAGGAGAAGCCGAGTATGGTCTTTTTTAGCTGGGATTTAGGGATATGTATCAAAGATTATTTGTGGGAACAAATGGAAAATAACTAGAAGAAACAAGAGAGAGAGTCCTATTTGAGTAAGCCGAAGCCAGTACCTCGCTTCTATGATAGTATGTACATTCACGAAGTTATTGACTCATATGTGCCACTTTGGCAATCCTACCAAGCCTGTGAGCTCGATACTGCAAAATGAGCATATGACCTTTGGCTTCAGGATTGACTCTCAATATTTGAATTAACAGTGGTCTAAACATTCTTATTCAAATTTCATTAAAAGTGAGGTTTTCAGTTTTAATTTCGTTTAGCACTTGTTGAACAAAAACACGTTTACTTTAAAACTGACAAACTTAATATAACTTTCGAATAAAAGAACTTGACCTTGGAAAAGAATGCCAATAGGTGGAGCAACATGGCTAGATCAATATGCACACTAAGTCAAGCCAAATAAAGACTGCAAGGCCGCTTAGTATACCGCTACGCTTCTCACTGAACTTCACCTTTTAACCTGTCGATAACGGTACATCGATGACACTTACAACGCACTTTGTTTTGCAACACCGGTGCTTTAAAAGCATCGTTCACTCCTAAATCTTTCTCCCAGCCTTTTTAAATCATCGTAAGTTACTAACTAAAGAGTAGTGTGAATTGATTTATCCCTACAGTAGCTCTCTAGTGGACGTTAATGTATCTTGATTCTTGAAAAGCTTGTAGCTAATAATGTTATATATATCAGGATTTTAGTAGTAACAGGTACTTGTTCCTACACGAGTTTAATTTCATTAATGAACTATATAAACAAAACATCTTGAGAATACTTTAATATATTTACTGTTAAGTTAAGTATAAACTTACAATAAGATACATTAAGGACAGGTTATTCGTATTACTTGTCTATAATTATAGTGTTATAATATACTATTATGTATAATTAGGAATATTAATTAGGACTAGGTCTGTTTAGGATATAACGAGTTGATCGAGCTCAATATATATGGAACCCTGGTAAAGAAAGATCCTAATTTTCAACGCCGTCACCCACAGAATCTGCTCCACTGTATTGATAATTACACGCAGTAGTTAGGTACAGCCACTCACTAACCCAAGATATCGCTCTGGAATTTTCGGATAATAACATTCCATTGCTCCGGAATATCTTTCTCAAAGTTCTCGCCGCAAGCAGTAGGAGATTGTTGTTGCTCAACGAGATCCACGTATGGCAAGGAGCTCTGACTAGGATCTTTAGTACATTGATTTAACACAGCTTGCATCTTTTTCCCAATGGATTTTCGGTCAGGAAAGACCTGTTTGTTTGACTATATCATAATTAGTGACTGAGGATTGTACAAGAGTTCTGATCTTATAGTCTTACATCATTGCAAAGAATTACTTCAGTGTCGTCTTCGCAGCCATATAAACTCTCGCAACCGGGATCTATTTTGTGAGGTCCCAAATAGTAACTACGGTGGTTAGGATAGGTAAATAATGAAGTGAGTGACCTAAAATTCCTTTTTTCGGTGTTGGCGTAAGGCGTCTTTGTCCCCGTAACCCCAGTTTCGCGCCATTTGGTCGCAGCAGATGACGTTCTCGTCAAAAGCAGTATTCTTTTCGTACCAAATATCTTCTGAAAGCTCTGAACCCTGTGGGAAGCACCAGACTAGAGATGAGAACGCAAGTGCGACTAGAAAGAAGAGATACATTGTGGCGAGAACTGCAGATGAAGTTGTCGTGATTGAGTAGCCTTAACAGCCAAAGCTGACCAAGGGAGAAGCTAATGTAAATTTCTTAGCTAAGAAGTCTCGATGGTCAAAGTCGCTTTATGGGAAGATTGATGTAAGAAGATGGCGAAGATAATTTCAAGACAGAGGAACAGCTTGTTTTTAAGTCGGAGAAAAAGTGAACACCTGTTCTTCGTATTAATTTCGTCTTGATGGAATTCGCGTAGTCATTTATTTTCTACTTTCGACGTGACGTTAGACGTGGGAGGTTAACTATCGAAACTAGGCGAGAATCAGCGCTCTAAATGTGTCCAAAAGAACAGCGCCGATTTCCTGGGGAGTGATCTTTTAACAAAAGCCAAGGATACAAAGATCGCGCACTACAATACCTATATAGTAATATTGACTAATCTAGGCAGTATCGCTGCGGTAAGCGAAGGCAGTGTCAACAGTTTAAGCTTCTTTGAAGCCAAATATGACTTAACTTAGCCTTCAAAAATAGTCAAGCGGAGACTTTTCTCCTGGCATCGAGTGTAAAATTGTGGCACTTCTGCTGTGGATGAAATTAATGGCAGCTGGAAACAATTTTGTTCTACCTAACCTGACTCAATATCGCGTGTCTCGTAAATGGGTTCTGTTAAATATGACTTGGCAAGCTCATCTTACGGTGCAAAGTACTAACACATCCTTTACTTTATCTGACACGGAATAGGCCAAATGTTTCGTCAAACATAGTGTCCACCAGGAAGCAGAATCATTTATATCACATGAATCTAAGGACTATACTCTCGTCTGGAAGAGACGAGCCTTTAAAACATTGCTGGATAAAATCGATATTATCGAAAAAGTAAGACACGATATTTACATTGATCTTGAGATGACCTCAAGTACCTACTATTTACCGACGAAACGCGCTTGATTTTCACTTTCCATTGTCAGGCCCTTGAAGTACGTTTTATGAAGTCAAGTGGGTGGTGCTCAACATAGCCTACAAGTGATTTAACCATTCCATTTATGCGTTTTTGAAAAGCATCAATCCCGCTTGATCAATACTGTAGTTTAAATCTATATTGCATTCCCGGTCAGAAGGTTTCTAAGCTGTTACGTGGAATTTGTGGCCAGATCATCAGTCTCTCATTAAACTCATTGACAATACACCACTTTGGTGTTAAAGATGATACAATCTTAACTTCGCTTACAATAACCATTGGTCTGTGGGCAAGTGCAGAGGATAATCAACAAAGGAACGGCAACAGGTCTTTGAGCTAATAATTTGACAACGCTGTTCATAAGAACAACACCTTCCAAGTAACATTTTGTCTGTAAATCTTGCCCCTCGAATCTGCAAGCATCAAGAGTCTTACTAGCTCAGACAAACAACGTCATTTTCCATCACTAACCATCACATAAAACTAACTATCACTAAACATGCCAGCTCTAGGAATAGGTCGTCACCTCAATCCCCTTGAAGACTTCCGCCGCACCGGCGAATTCCGCGAACGAAAACCGGGCTACAAGGTCCTCGACCTAGTCCCCGTCCTAATCTCCCAATCACGCATTCCCATGCGCGAAAGCCTTTCCGGCGCTCACCTCGACTACCTCACCCGCCCCTTACCCGAAACCTGGAACAAATCTGAGATGCAAACCCTGCTAGATATCTGGATGGAAATGTTCGATCGCACATTCTTCTTCAACTCCATTCGTAGGGCCGTGGGACCACTGGTGTTTACGAAGATTGATTCGCCGGGCATACTGACGTATGCGCAGTTCAAATCTGGGTGGGATGGCTCGAGACGACAGATCATTGTGGATTTGCATGATGAGCTGCCGGAATTTTATGAGGGTACGCGCGAGCAGTGGTATATTTGCCAGGTTATGCATGAGATGTCTCATGCTTTCCTCGGCATATTTCGTTGTAAATGTAGGCCTTGCTTGATGAGGGTTGTGGATCATTCGAAGAATGGCGGCGAGGGGATTAGTGGACATGGACCTGCGTGGTGCAATGTTATTGTAGCTCTTCAGGAGGCGTTGCAGTCTACGGTTCGTTGGCCGGTAGAGTGTAATATTGTCGCAAGTGCTCAGCAGAATATTGAGGGTTGGGTTCCAAATACAAGACAACTTGAAAATTGGGGGTTTTCTCCAGAGGATATCGATGAAGCGATGGAGGTCTGTGAGAATAAACGTCAGTCTAGACGCAGTCGAGGAGGAGGCTCAAGAGGAGGTTCTAGTGGACCTTCCCGTGGCGGTGGCGGTGGCCAGCCCACTGGACGTATCAATCCTGAGACAGGATTTCCCGATCATTTCGAGATTTGCGGCAGCGACGACGAAGACGGCGGTAGCGGCTTTCTCGGAGGAATGATAGGCAGAAAAAGCGGTAGAGGCGGAGGTGGAGGTGGTGGGGGGTCGGGCAGTGGCAGAGGTAGGGGCAGGGAAGAGGAAGAGGAATCCTATAGCGGAGGCTCGGATGGCTCTTACTACAGCGGCAGTGGTTCTGGATCAGACTACGGATCAAACTATGGATCAGATTCAGATTACTAGACTGGAATATTCAGCCCATATCCATAATTTCCTTCCAAAACATGCTTCTCGAAGTCAAGACATTTTCCTTTTTCTCCTTTCTCTCCTTTCATCCAATAGAATAACATACTCAAATACAAAATATTCACAAAACAATTCAATCTAACATTAAAATCCAACTTTTCGCAAGAATCTTTGAGCAGAAGACGCAGCCACGTGACTACCAAGTGTTGATGTGACTAGGTCTGATCTCAAAATGTAAAATTGCAACAAAGGAACTTTAACAGCTTCTATGAAACAGAGCATTCTAACAATCATACTTTTCGTTGCTTTGTCTTATTAGAATAACCAACTAAGAGTGCCACAATAGCTTTATGATAATTACCCTATTCATAAAGACCGTGAAACAGCTGTTCCTCCCATCATCAAGGAAGAGTCCTAACAAGAGATAACCTTCACCAAATAATAAATAAACAAAATTTATGATTCAAAAGGCCTATTCTCTAACGAAATAGTTTTGTTGATTTATCTGCAGATGCTGGGCATAGCAGATTTTACAACAGCCGATCATCCACTTTGTAATTGTGATAAACATGACTTCTTTCAATGAAAATGCAAACAAAGCGTTTTTTGACATGGGCTATACAAAGCTATGTAGTCAACATAGAGAAAGTCTCATGATTCACCAGGAAACTGAATGTGCAAGCAATCATTCACCACAAACATTTGCTGCACAACAAAAACATTATAGAATATGCATTGCAACTCAACAACAAGGCAACACAGAGTACAAGAAGGACAAAACACATCCCCATACAACACTCATCGAAGCCACGACTGACAGGCACGATATGGCCAACATCAGCGCTATCGATATGCCATACGTGCCAAAACTGGTCCTGGATAATTATCATACCCCAACATCCACCACCAAACCACCTCCAGCAATCCCAGAGAAGTCACATGCTCAGCCAACCCCACAAACAACGATAATGAAGTCGTCCCATCCCCAAATTGACAAGCATTTTCAACAAGGCAAGCGGCTCAAGCGAAGAAGCTACTGCTCACGAGATATTCCTCGAATACTGGAAGATCAAGCGAGTACTCCACTGGCCACACGTTTAAGCGCAAGCTCGCTTAACACCCTCAACGCGTTGACCCATACAAGGAGCAGAAGTGAATGTAGAGAGTTGCTGGGACGCTGGTCCAAAGTCCTTGACGAGGCTTTCTTTTTCGGGAGTTTGATGAACCGGATTGCGGATGTTCAATACACCGGGGTGGAAAGTGGCCAATACGGTCATTATGAACACTCTGGGACGGGATTGTGTATCAATCTTGACGCTGCAGCCCCGAGAATTTATAAGGGGACTCATGAGCAACACCTGATTTGTACTTTGGCACATGAAATGCTTCATGCGTTCCTTGATGTGTATAGGTGTCGATGTCTCGGATGTCAAGGGCTGAAAGATCCGAGTAAGGGGGGTGTTGCATATGATGGCCACGGGCCGGACTGGGCTAATAGCATGGTCGTCGTGGAAGAAGCCTTGCAAAAAGCTGTTGACTGGCCGGTGTATACCGGTGTGTGGCCTGGCGTATCGCAGAGCATGCGCAAAGACAAGTGGCAAGCGACGCAGTTCCAGACTGCTCGATGGAGAAGAGGTGATCCTTCACTTCTAACTGATGATGCAAAAGATTTGCGACAAGATCACCCGGCACGCCCAGCACGAAATTCCACTTGTCATGAACGTCTTGAAGTCCAAGGCTCTTCATCAGATGCCGTGGGAGGAATGATTGGTAGTGTCGGCGCCCACGCGGTCGGTGGTTTGTCAACCCCCGAACCAGCACATCAGCGAAGACACAAGCGGCGGCAGTATAGTTGGAGTGAGAATGGGACAACTCGATCGGAGTTAATGACCCAAGATGGACGACGGGAAGGAAGTCCAAGCCATCGTCGCGTCAACCAGATCGAAGGCTACAGAATTCCGCGTTGTGGTGGATGCTTGGATTACGGATGTGCCATCATGTAGAGTGTACCTCTTCATGGAAGTGATAACGTCGTCGTGGGGTTTTAGCATGTTGGACCATGGGTTTGTACGCTCTTTCACTCGGCGGGCTTGGCTATTGAATGTTAGTACGACATACAAGATTCTAGAATAGAAATAGACTTACGTTGTTCGAACCTCATTGAACCTGAATAATAACCATCCTCACTGATAATAATTGTTCATAGCTAATTATCAACTCGATCCATCTCCAACTTCATTCGCAAAGAAAAAGTCCCAGGGAAATTCGATGATCGAGTGCTGAATCATGTGTAAACGAAGCGTTGTGTCTGATAGTTCGAAATGCCCCATCGATGATTAAAACCATGTAGACCAAAGAGGAGGGATTCCAATAAAGACAAAGCTGTAACAGCGAGTGGTGTTGTAGGGGATAGACATAATCAACTCCGAATAGGACGAAGCCTGTGCCGAATTACTGAAGAGCGATCCCAACCACAGCCATCAGAACCCAAGTGATCATGCCAATACCGACGAGTTTTGTCGAGCCCGAAGTAGGTTTTGCAGTGGTACTGGCACTGGGTGGGGTGTTAGAGTCGAAAGTGATGAAATTCGATCCCGATATGTAACTTGTAAAGCAATCGCCCTTGATACCAGGAGCCTTCTCTCCAAGACAGCTCAAGAATGACTTTTGAGCTACCTGGTCAGTGACGTTGCAAAAGGTGTATCCACATGGCCCGCCAGTGACTCCAAACCCGCTCCTCACGTAATTCTCGCTTTTGGTATTGCCCACGCCGCAACAGGACTGAAAAACGGAAACCGGATTCTCAGGACTGACGGCTAAAACATCAACACCTGTAGTCGTACGGGTGAAATTTGTCGAGACCGCGCAAGCACGTCCAGGTGCGGTGCTCATATAAAGAGGCTTTCCAATGGAAACGTTGGTCGCATTACTGCAGGTAGCGATATTTGGGAGAAAGCCAACGGAGCCCGGTGTGCAAGAGTAGCCAGGTGTACCTGACTTTCCCACGATTCTAGATGCACAGGACATTGTGATGTATGTAATTAGAAGGATGATATACGATAGAATGGTACAACGACAGTCGCAAAAGAGGTCGAGACGGGTTTCAAACGTTTTTGAGAGGCAAGGAGAAGGACGAGAAATGGCGGCCTTTCATATCAAGAACACTTCGCAGTAATGCAACATGACGCCGGCTGACAAGCGTAGGCGCTGAGCCTTTCTATGCCTGGACTTGCTTGTACAAACACAGCAACTGGATATGCAAGTCGAGTTCCCAAAGAACCAACAGTGAGGTTACACACTGTATAGCCAGCCAAACAGAAGCCGTTCCCCGCGGCCGGGAGGGCACATAGGGTGTGATTAAGCCACCCTCCCCGAGGGCTGTGATAGTGATAGCCGTGTCAGAATCCCGGCACTAACAACCATCTGCGCCATGAATGAATATCATTTGTGAGCGCCCTTTAGCATCTTCTGGCCAGCGCCAAGGGCAAAGATAAGCACATTCGGGCGGTACGATGAACACACTGAGAGGATAGATTTCGTGATGCCAACTGTGATATGGAATATGCCGAGATGAAAGGTCTTGAAAGTCGGGACACTGCCGAAAGATGGGGTAAGCAGTAGGCGAGGAAAAGGGGGGGAAGGGATGAGCTGAAACGCTGCGCGATATCACGCGGCAGTCTATTGGTCTCCCAGACAGCGTGCTGGGGTGCCTTTACGAGCAAGAGGCCGTATTTTGCTCCGACCCGGGCCGAAGATGCACGGTCGAGGCGCACTCCTGATTAGTGACGTCGCTTAGCCCCCAAACAACCTGGAACCCCACCTGCAGAACTCCAGCTGTTTCGCAAAGGATCCTTCAATGAAAACCTCATGGTGTACCTACTTTAGTACTTTGCACAAATCATACTAAACGTCCATGAAAGATTATTGAGGAGTACATAACATCTTTTCTGTATAATATTATTAGTAGAGTGTATAAATATAATTAGAATAAAGTAGCGGACCGACAAGAAAGTTTCAATTTCGCTCAAACTGTCGCATTTCTTTCTGCTGACAAGCTGCAAGGAGCAAGAACTAATTGTAAGCTTTATATTGATCACTCATATGTCCTACCAGTAGTATGTTAAATGCTCTCCTTGGCCGTCCGCTTCCTTGTTAGTACTCGAAAATGACTTCGCCTACAATCCCTCGTCGATGACGGTGCTAATAAAGTTCTAACGAAGAAATCCACCGGACACGCATACTACCTACTTCAAAGCCGCAAGATACATATAAAGAAAGTCCCTTGCTACTACTGGGTACCTAGCTAGGAGTGATTCCCCTGGCATCACGTGAGTCAGTAGCTACTCCCAATAAAGCACGACGAATAACATTCGATATCCAACATCACCATTCCAAGCACCTCACCATCACGATCATACCAAATACACTAGAACGCAGCCAAAAATAAACATCCGATTCTAAAATAGCAACCATGGCATCTATAACAGCAAAGTACAAACTCTTCTTCTTCACACCCCTCCACGCCCTCGAACCCTGCAAAACCGCCATCTTCGCCGCAGGTGCAGGTCGCTATCCTGGAGGCAACTACACAGAATGCTGCTGGACTGTCTCGGGTAAAGGTCAATTTCGACCCCGAGATACGGCGAATCCGCATATAGGAAGTGTCGGTACATTGGAACACACGGAGGAGGCTAGAGTGGAAGCTATTTGCTTTGGTGAGGATGTTGCTAGGGAGGCTGTTGCGGCGTTGAAGAGGTGAGTTTGCTGTTTTTGGTGTCGGGTTTAAGCAGTATTGTGTTACAGACATTCTTTGCTTTTTGGGGCTGGCTGACAGAATTTCGTAGTGCTCATCCATATGAGGAGCCTTCATATGGCGTTGTTAAGTTGGAGGATTTCTGAATTCAGATATAGCAATCATCCGATTCAGGCGTAGCAATCTTCCGGGAGTTTCGTTTTGAGACTACTTTCTTGTGGATCCGGCCATTGCTCTCAAATTAATCGACCGCAGCTCCATCTAGAAAGTCAACGAGGTGCAAGAATCCAAGCGGTATTTCCGATTGCAACCAGTATCTGACGACTTTCTAGCGATTGGCCTTCTGAGTTGTTCTCGACCACCTCAAATAACCCATACTACTGGAGAACATCGGCAGGCCATACGCACCTAAGACAGTTAAATTGAAGAGCGTAACTAGCTTGATCAGACCATAAAAACTTCATCACCAACACAGATATGTTAATCACATGCAAATTGCTATGTAGTGACCTTAAAACTGTCGAAAATAGCCGAATAAGTATTAAGAAAGCTATAGAAAGCTCAGGTATATTGCAATCACCTCAATTAAGGGTCTCGAGGGAATTTATGTAGTTTTAAATGCGGATGTGCCAAAAATCTCAAAGGCCACCTTACAAAGGTCAATTTTGGATCGTAACCGGTAAAAGGTTGATGGATGAAAGATTTGTTCCAATACTTCTGCATCTGCGGAATGAGTCAAAAAGATTATCGGTATAGAGTAAACAATTAGGGATAATTCTTTTATCTATTTCGATGCTCCACGACTGGGTTGCCGTCTCGAAGTCGTCTGAAAACAGACCTCGGCAAAAATCCGTTTATTGACGATCTTCCGCGCAACCAATCAAAACCTTTAATTGAACGTCCCAAGCCAGCGATTTCTAAATCCACAATCCCACTTCCAGCCTCATCCATTCTTCACAATGGCATCACACATCCACCTTAGACAAGTTCAGCTCATATCCTCCCCCAAACATCCCACCAAACCGCCTTGATCCTCCATCTGCCACTAGCACAAAAAACACCATGCTCTTCGGCTTCCTCTCGCGCTCAACAGTAGACTTCAACACCACAACCTCCATTCCCTCTCTAAATGGAAAAGTAATAGCCATAACCGGCGGTACGTCTCCCCTTCCCCTATATACACCCATCTAACACCCTTAGGAAACGCCGGTCTAGGTTACGAAACAGTCCTCCGCCTCGCCCCCCACAACCCATCACACATCTACATCCTCTCGCGCAACGCTTCTACCACCAACGCAGCTATATCCTCCATCCAGTCGCAAATCGCGAACTGCTGTCCCATAACACACATCCCGCTCGATCTCTCCGACCTCTCCTCCGTCGCGTCCTGCGCGGCAGAACTGCAAAACCGCGAGGAAAGACTCGACATCCTCTTCCTGAACGCGGGAATCATGCTCGTGCCCCCCGCCCTCACAGCCCAGGGCTATGAGATCCAATTCGGCACCAACCACCTGGGTCACTTCCTGCTCGCCCAACTCCTCCTCCCCTTACTAAAACACACCACCACGCTTCCGGACGCAGACGTACGGGTCGTAGTCCTAAGTTCCGTCGGCATGATCTTCACATACGGACGCGGGATCGAGTATGAGGGTTTAGGGGAAGCCGGGAGTGCGTTTCGCGCGGCGGGGTTGTATCGGTACGCCCGCTCGAAGCTTTGTAATGCGTTGTTTGCGCGGGAGTTTGCGGGGCGGTATAGCGGGGAGGGGATTACGTGTGTGGCAGTGCATCCCGGGGTGATTTCGACGGGGTTGTGGCGGGAGACGTTTGGGGAGCGGGATTGGGGGTTGTTGGGGGAGGTGGGGAGGTGGGTGGCGATGAGGGTTCCGGTGGTGGGGTTTGAGGGGGTGGAGAGTGGTGTTAGGGGGCAGTTGTGGGCGGCTGTCGGGAAATTGGGGAAGGGAAGGGGGGAGGTGGAGGGTGGGGAGTTTTATACGCCGGTTGGTGTTAAAGGACAGGGGAGTTGGGCTTGTTATGATGGGGAGGAAGCGAAGAGGTTGTGGGGGTGGAGTGAGAAGGCTGTGGAGGGGTATATGAGGTGATACTGTTATGAAGTGTGTATATATTGAGTAGTTTCGTTTAAAGATACCCAGTAGTTTCCTATTAATACTTTATCGGAATGAGGAGGCGGTGGAGGGATATATAAGTTAATGTTGTCAAGGGACGTGTATACATTTGAGTACTCAAGTTTAAAGACACCTGTAAGATTGCCAGCGAAAGTTCAATAAACAAGAATGCTCTCATGGCACTGCTGATCTCCTTTAAACTTATTGCAATAATCGATCATGAAGTACGATAGCCACTATAACCCGGGTATCTTGAGGACTCTACCTCGCCCAAACGCCAGCCTTGCCCTTTCATCAATCATACAAATCCCCGACTTCCAATTACACTTTTCACAATCCACTACCACGTTCACCTCTAATCCTCCCCTCCCTCACAACACCACAACTAACCCCCTCCTCCCCCGTCATCCACCCCGGCATCCTCATCCCATCCACAACCCCCGCCTCTACCAACTCCCTCACTCCCGCAAAAACATGCGATCCCTGAAACGTGATCCGAATATCAGGACGAAACTCGCCTGCATCTTCCTCCTCCCCAGCACCATCATCCAGAACCATCGTGATGCTACTTCGCCGCCCCTTGCGCTTCACAGGGCGCTCGTCGGGAAGAGGATACTCGTCCTCGGTGTTGGCGAAGTTGAAAGATGGGAAGGCGTCAGCTAGACGGATGTCGAAGCGCTCGATACCTTTTCCGTCGTCTGCTTTTGCTGTGTTTCCGAAGCGTCCTTGCGCGAGAAGTTTTCGGCGTTTGACTATGTTGTTGTCTTCGTGGGCGCGACGTTTCATGCCTCGTGGTAGGTTTTGGTTGAGTTGGTCCATATCGTCCGGCAGGGAGGGTTCGGGAGTGGGTAATTGCGTGTTGAGAGGGTTGTCGGATCCGTCTTTCTTCTCTTCGGTATATATACTCCAGCCTCCTCCCGCGGCATTCGTCTTTCCGCCGCCTCGACGATCGATAAGCGCAGCTAGGTTTCTCGCGGACATGTTTGTGGGTTGGAGCTTGTAACGTTCTCGTGGCCGTGAGAATGCCTTCGGAATGCCTTCTAATACTAATGCTCGTACACTCTTGTTTTCCGATCTTGGGTTCGAGGAGCCAGACGATGCTAAGGATGTTGTGAGAGAAACGTATACGAATGGCGAGTCATCTGGGAACGCAATATAGAATGTCTTGCTGGTATCAAAAGTAGTGTGCTTCTGTGCCAGAGCTAATGATGTATTGTATGGACTCTCGATAATGAAGACTCGAAGGATTAACAGAGGGAGTGAAGCATGGCGGTCGAGATTGTAATGTGCCTTGACGTCAGGCAGTACTTCATTCTGTAAATTCCGCAGGAACGTTGCAGGATGGAAGCGTGGAATTGACTTTGGTGCCGGATCGGGGGACTCTTCCTCGCGCGACAACCGCGCAAGCTTCAATGCGGTCCATTTCTGCGATGCTGGGTGGTCGTAGAGATATTGCATGTCTGCCATCGCAAGCTGATATAAGGTTATCCCATGTCGCCAATCCCCTTCGATGACCCGGTCGACCACATCGCGTTTGCTTCCCTTCCCCGCCTGCAGCTCGCTGTATGTTTCCCGCAAGGAATCCAAGGACGCCGCCGGTGGGTAGAGATCCTGCGCGTCGAATTCCTCGTCGTCGTCTGGGATGAGATATGGCGCTGTGAGCTCTTGGTTCCGCTCGTCGAGCCAGTCGAGGACCAGCGACAAGAGAGACGGTCGGGACAGGCGCGCGAATGTCTTGTGGACGGTAGGATGCGACGAGGGAAGGAGCTGGGTCGATGCGAGAGCAAATATGGTGGGAATTGAGAGACCCGACATGATGAAGGTCACGGATGATGCTTGTCAATTGCCATCGTAGGTTTAAGCTGTTTGCTGCGATTGTTGATCTTGATGTTGATATTCGGAGCCGAGGTTGTCTGTATTGACGCGTCAGATAAAGGTCGACGCGTCTGTGTTTACCCCACCCCACCTCCCTTTACGAGGTTGTCCTTGTATCCGACTTTTCTTTTCCTTTTAAACGAAACGACCTTCTGCGATGGATTGTCTTATTCTGAGTAGCATCTGCTTACCACCCTATCTTTTGGAAGTCAAAATGAGGCATATCGAGCATGGTGCAAATTGCAGTTGCCTACACATTGCAGTTGACGGATGAGCTGTGCAATGCTGCTGGTCTACACCATTTTACGTAGAGGATTGTAGTACCTATCCAGTCCGAGCCTGAAGAGCGAGTACTGGATGCTACGGTCCTCGTCACGATTTTAAAGTCACATGTTCTCAACCCCCTACTGCCTTTATCCTGTGTCATTCTTGACGTTCGTGCCTACTAGGTCTTGATGGGGGATGAGAGAAGTAAATGTAACGTGTCCGTTAAGTCTCCTCCTATACTGCTACTTAGATCAACATTTGTTGAAGATAGGACTAGAGTAGGGAAAACACTCCGACCTTCAATCCAGCCCAAAGACACTGCTGCGAAGGTTGAGCTCTATCGTCTGTTCCATATCTTTGCCTTGTGCAATTTGTACTTTTCTCACAGGCACATTTGCCGCGATACTATTCTTGGGAGCACAAAACGTTACGACTTCATTCCTTCCAAAAGCTCGAACTACATGTCATCATGTATCAATCAATATTGCTGGTTATCCCGATGATTCAAATATTCCCAGCGCTCAGTCATAACCACTGGGTCTTTCAAAAGCTCCGCTGTATCTACCAAGAACATGGCCGTCTCCGGACAAGCGTCCAGACTCTCACAGAATTTAGCACCTAATCCCTTAAGCACCTCACATCTCTCTTCCAAGCTAAGCGCGTTATCCAGACCTGCGTTCCCATAATCATCTCGACTTATACTGCCCTTGCTGACCTCCAAAACCCACACACCACCATCAGAAGTGAAAGCCATCTCGTATTTTACCCTGATATCCGGTACGTTTCCAGCACCGTCAATGTTCTCACACCAAGTCGTAGGATATACAGATCGAGGCGGCAGCGACCAGAAACTAGCGCCATACTTGCGAAGCTGCGAACAAAAGATATCTTCTTCGGTCTAATTCATTGACCTCGACATGTCGCGAAAGCAGTCGAGTCCTAGATAGCCAACTCAACGGTGCTTAGGCTGACGATCCAAATACCGCCGTTTTGCCAATGCTACTTGGTCGTAGTACAGATTGTATCATCCGACTGGCTTGATGGGTTGTTGAGGTGTCATGATTTCCTCAACGGCTTCTGGGATTAATTCTGAGGATTGGTGGTGCTCTGGTGATGATCTTGAAGATAAATAGGGATTTAGAAGAAGAAGAAGAAAGATGATGGCTGTGAATATTGAAAACATGGTGGCCGACTGATGAGGTCTTTCAAATCGGATTTTCATTTTTGCAATGTGAGGTGTGTCAGATAAGCTTGGTGACCTTTCATCCGAGCGATGTGGCCTGTTGGTGTTGATTTTGATACGAGTATTGTCATCCATAGTTGGACAGTGATGTGGACTGTATGGTTAAAATTTCGTGGAATCTGACCGTCATTCACCCTTTAGACTTGACGGAAATGTGTTGATGTGCGGTTTGAATGCTAAAATTGTGCAGGTGTGTTGGCGAACATTTCTTTAGGTTAGTCCAAGTTTGGGTCGAGATAGAATGAGAGAAGCCAGACTGACATGTGAGAGGGCTCAAAAGACTTTGAAAACAGGTGTTGGAAGCCAACACAGGCCACTGATTGACCTACAGGCAGGGCTCAGCAGGCAGTCATTCTTTCAGTAAAGTAGGGGTTGTCTGGGAGATGTGTTAGCAACCCTCGAGTTTGTTGATCATTTCTAATATAATTCTGTAATTATCTTTGACTCGACGAGTGATCTCGTCCTTTACCTCGAGCTTTTGCAATTCTATTTTTCGATTTCAAACAAAATCATTTAAACACGAAGCGCGATCTAATTGACCTATGATTTTGTTTCACGTTACTGCGGAGATATTCTATATCTATGAAATTCATGGTATCACTAAGCAAACTTTACAATGTATACGAATTTGAAAAACAAAGGCTTAGAAAGCACCACTCACGCATAGATTCCGGCTTTTATGATACTTTGTTACATTGAGGCCAATTTCCAGACCTTGCCACAATTGTCCAAGTGATACAGCATCCAACACCAACAAGCCAGCAACCCACCCCTCTTTTCTCATGGGCGCAGTCAAGTGATCATCATGAAGAAAGTGCCACTGAGCCGGCGGGTGAAAAGAGTATACCAGCTCCTCGCCAATGCTTAAGACGCATGATTTTCGCTAAAAGGCTAGTCGCACTTATTATTCAAGAGTGCGAAATCCATACATTTCAATCTCCCAACTTATAATAATTTCATCGACCCTTCTCCAGGGAAGTGACCTCGGATTCGACGCAAAAAATCCAAGTATATCTCATTTGCTATGACGCTTGATAACCTTACCTATAAAGTTCTCCGGCTTAACAAACCACACATTGGTCGTCGTCCAGTCTTTTTGGAGTATCTGCTCGTCTAATTGAAACTCGAACCGACGTAGCAACTCGCATATCAACTTGCTGACTTCCAAGAGGCTCAGGTTCTTTCCAATGCACGTTCTGCTACCCATTCCAAAAGGTAAAAAGTACTTCTCCACCTCAGCACCTCGTCCCTCTTCTTCAAACTCCAACCAACGCTCAGGACGCCAATTATTTGCGTCTTGCCCAAAGATAGAGGATTTGCGGTGAGCCACCCAAGAATTTATTCCTACTGTCGCTCCTTTGCGAAAGTGAAATTCGCCAATATCTACACCCGAGGGAGGCACAAGCCGTGCAAGGGGTAGACCTGTCGCCGAGTGGAGACGAAGGGCTTCTTTGATCACTGCCTGTAAATACGGAAGTTGGTTGGATTGTTTGAAGGACATATGCTCCGTGATACTCTCTTTGACTACTGCAACATCGATTTCCGACTGTAGCTTCCTCAAAGTTTGCGGGTGTTTAAGAAGATAATATAACACAGCAGATATGGTAATTGCAGTTGTATCACTACCAGCGCCGATGTTACTTTGACAAGTCGTAAATATATCCGTAGTCGTTATCCCAGAGTCTGTTGATCGGAGATCTAGGAACTTCGAGACGAAGTCCCGAGAGCCATTTGATAGTTTTTCTTCTCCGCTTTGATAGAGTTTCTCTCGCAAAGCGATGTGGTGCTTGGTGTATTTGGCGACATATGCATGGTTCCCCGTCGTCGGTTGCAGGGGAAAAAGAAACTGATGAAGCCATGGGAAGATGCCAATGAATGTGCTGTAACTACTTCGAGCATCGATGGCACCAAAAATTTCATCTTTATCGATGCCATCGTCCAGGAGTCCAAAGCGCTGCCCGAATGTAATCTCTCCTATTACATCAAAAGCGTAACATCGAAACCAATGGCCAAAATCAAGGGTCTTACCAGAATCTGCCGCGGCGTCGAAATGAGAAATTAACAGAGAAGCACAATTATCCACAAAGGGTTCATAGCTGATCAAAGAACTCATTGAATACGCCGATGCTACCTTTCGCCGTTGTATGCTATGATGTTGAGGGTTGAGATCTGCGAAAAGAGAAGCTTGGTCCGGATTAGGTGGCATCCACGCCCAATACCAAGGTGCCTAGAAATTCATTAAAAACGGAAAGGTTGCTACGCAAAGTCCTCACCTTGATGAATTTAGAGCCATGCCCATAAATTGACTTGGCTGCGGTAATATCGTTGACAGAGTATTCGTTTGGTGCGATCCGTACAACTGGGCCAAATCTCTCGTGTAGTGTGATGTTGGTCCTTTCAAAATCTCCTTGTAAAATTTTGTAGAAGTACCAGAACCGAGTGAACCGGGCAGGGAATGGTCCTGGAACGTGCCGTAATGGATCGAGTAGCCATTGTAAAATATTGTGTACTAGGTACGTTAAGAACACACATGAAAGGATAATGCTCCAACTCAAGCCAAACAACATCTTCGTCTCAAGTTCCTTCTTGCATTCGGATACGAAACTGATGAAATATGTTCTCAGATGTCGAATCCTTTGCTGATTTTTAATAATATCGTACGTAGAGTGCAGCTATGTTCTAGTTGGCCAAGCTTAGGTTGCGCTAATGCAGCCGGCATTTCGGCGTGGCAGTTCAAATTTGCTATTTGTGGGGGTTCGGCACGCAACTTTGTGACCCAAACTTCTTGTTGATTGCGGGGAAACTCAGAGATAACGAGAGTAGCTAAAAAGAAATGATTGGCTAGTTGCCCGAAGGCGACTACTTTTGGTGTGCTCTGGATTGTATTCCCTGTAACTCCGGTCGGCCGGAAATTCCGTCAGTATAACCTAGGACTATATTGGAGAGCGAGTCTACGTTCAATCATATGAATACTGGTATACGTTAACAAAAAGAGCATTCCATTGTACAAAATCGAATGACCAAGTCAGCCAGGGTATGTACAACAAAGGACATAAGCAACTGACAGTTCAGTTCAAGGCTGACTGCTTTGATAGCCAGCCCGACGACAATAAAAACTACTATTACTACTAAAAGAAGCGTAACCGGATTCCATTACCAACAGGTACACGATCATATATTGTGTCTAATTTAGTTATTTTAGGTTTCAAATCAAGAATTGAGTTTTGTTTCGAAGCCACGGACCAAAGAAAAACAGTGGGATACCAAGCGACAGTACAGCCCATTGAGTCGCTGCCATTTGCCAGTACATTTTCACCAAGCCAACCCTATGAAGCCATACGGGTACACTGACTGTGACTCCAAATGCAATCAGATTTTTGCCAGCATTAATCAATACAAGGGCTTCACTTCCGGCCTCTGGATAAGCATCAACAACCACAGATAGCACCACAGAGGGAACGAACACCAAAGCAGCGGTCTGCATTGCAGTTCCCACTGCAGCGCTATAAATGCTACCGTGCTGATTGATAATGTATGCAAAAAGCAGCAGGCCAGGAGGGCAGACCACAAAAGGTATCATCAGTGCAGGTAAACGATGCTCAGGTAGATGCCTGTCGCACCTTCTTGTCAAACTCCTCGATAGAAGGTCGGTCAGAGGTCCAGCAATGGGATATCCAAGTACTATTCCAACGAATGAACCCAATGTAAAAATGCCCAAACCAGAGGAACTCAAGAGATACGGCGGTGGGGACAGCAACTGCGGTGCAAGCAGGGAATTTATCACGATCCTAAGTATTCGTTATTAGCATAATACACTAATCTTTGCGGACATGAGATGCTTACCCTCCGAGAAAGACCCCGTACGACGCTACCGCGAACAGAGCGTGCGGTATTAAAACAAATCGAAATGGCAAGGAGAACTGCTTCAATAAGGCAGTATGTCCATTCTCTAACCCGCGACTTTTGAATGCGAAAAGGTCTCTGAAGTAAGAACTAGCATATTCCACGTTGCTTGACGTATGATCTGTATAATCTTGGGTGGTGAATTCCTCAGCTCCCTTGACATGCTCAACCTCGTTTACGACGGATTTGTCGACTTCAGCGGCCGTTTCACCCTCATAGAAGAGTCTCTTGTAATTTGTCTCTGGTAGTAGTAGCAGTGTAAAGGCGAGGTTACATGCAATCAATATGGTGTTCAAGATGAAGAACCAGCGCCACCCTCTGGACTTAATCAAAAATCCTGCAATAGTTGGACCGATTTGAGAGCCGCCGCTGAGGGACAGAGAAAATACAGCCATAGCGCTCGCAAAGTATCGCTCCTGGTAGACATCCGCAATAATCGCGGGTCCGAGCGACTCGACACTGCCGGCCGCTGTGCCAAAGTCAGTGTCCGTTTTTCAATAAATTGTACAGATCAACAAACCAAAGCAGGCAAGGACCCGAGCTGCTACCAGTTCTGAAAGTGTTTTCACATAAATGCTCCATATTGCGCAGGCGAGGAAGATGACCATAGAGACAATGATAATAGGTCTCTTGCCAAAACAAATTGCTGCTGGTGTCCAGAATAAATTGCCAACTCCCAATGCAAGAACTGGGTAGGAGATGATGTCGTTCAGTTTATCAAAACCGACGTTAAATTCTGTCGCTAAGGCTGCAAACCCAGTTGAGATGCCGGCCGCATAGAGGTTTCCTATGAACACAAACATGCACATATTTGCGAGTATTATATGTCTGATATATGCCGGCCATAACTGGGTTCCAATTAGTTGAGTGTCGATCTCTCATTCATTGTTTAAATTATCCAAACTTACCTTTGGGTCTCCCTTGGTGCACGTTCGCCAGCCCTTCCTCGCGGCTGTCTCTGGTTGATATTCTGCCATCAAGGATTTCGTAAACGTTGACCGAGTGGTATGCCTTTATGATTGACTAAAAGCAAAGAGGTAGCTGGGTTATGAAGCAAAAAAATGGAAAGTGATTTCGATTTTGATCAGAAAAGAAGGATCAACTTCACAACTATTTTTCAGTAATGAAATAGGAAAAGTGAAGCAGACTACATAATCAAGATAGTGAACATTCTGTATCAATAACTACCCCAGGAAAGATCAAAGATGCCCAACCATTGCATTGCGGAAGGTTGTGGGTCATGGTATTCTAACCTATCGGAACATGTGGGGGAGTACCCCAACCCCTCCGCTTTCCCCAGACCTCTGCACCCCGCATCTCGTTCGTCGGGGAAGATCTCGGCAAACAAGAGGGGGAAATATGTGAGCAATCGTCATTTCTAATTGGGCGCTCCGTCGTCAAACATTCCTCATTCAGAAAGTCCGACGAGCATTCTTAGCAGGTGCACACTCGCTTAATGGCCAGCTAAATATGCGGGGATAAAACAGTGAAATATAATGTCTAAGCCGTCAACCGCGAATTGTCTTATCAGCAAGAGACTTTAAGTTTCTGTAAACTCTAATCTACCAATATAGTTTGCTAAATAAGTGATTCCTTATTTACTAAGGGTATACGGGCGGAGATTCCGATTAAGGAACTTGCGACAAGGAAGCTCCCTATTTTAAGTGACGATTAACATCTTGAGTCTACGGGGATGTGAGTGTAAGAAATAGAGGTAAATAATTATTAGTAAAAGCATCAGCAGCTGCTATCTCATGGTCATCATTTCGTTTCCAAGCCCACGGGTACGAATTCGGCAGATGTCAGCTCACCACCCATCTGTCCATTGAGCAACGTAAGCATGAAACCTTCTTTCCAATATCTCTAGAGGGTTTCTATTGTAACTTGTGGACATTATGGGCCAGGGAATATAAGCACCACACCAGAAGAGTAGAAAACTTTGAAGTAAAGCATGCTCGTGGTGGCAAAAGTACACAATCTAAGGAATATGATTCCTTGAAAGAATAATATAAATTACTTGAACACTACAGCTTTTTTTGACGCTGAATTGCAGGTAGAAGGGTTCCGCAACAATCACCAAACCCGACACCTTCGCTAACATGGGCTGTTAACCTTATCATATCACCATCCTGGAGATATGTTCTTGAATCTCCATCGCTTAACGCGAAGTCGTTTTCTCCTCCTTTGGTCAGTTCTAAAAGACAGCCATGTGAGGTTTCAACAGTTCCTGAGATGGTGCCTGTTGCCAAAATATCTCCCGTGTTGAGATTGCAACCATTAGAGGTTTGATGAGCTACTAGGTCCCTTACAGTCCAATACATCCATTTCAACTCTGAGCGACAAATAGTTGTTGTCGATTCATTCGTAACTAATTCCGCTTCGAGCTTGATGTCGTACGTATTTGCTTGTTTATTATCTCGTAGATAAGAGGAAACAGGGAGGTCTTTGGGTCGAGCTGGAATCTCGGCAGGCTCCAGAGCAAAAAGCGTGACAATCCATGGGCTCATGGTTGTGGCAAAGCTTTTTCCATTCATGGGACCCAGTGGAGACATTTCCAGGCCTTGAATATCTCGTGCTAAATTATGGTTAGAAGGGTTCAGTAAAAGGAAATTTATGGATCACCCACCACTCCAGTCATTTATCAATACCAGTCCGAATATATGGTCATCTGCATCATTTATTGAGATGGGTTCCCCCAATGTCGAAGATTTACCAATAATGGCCGCAACCTCAAGCTCATAATCCATCTGTCTTGTTGGCCCATCCACAACTTCTTCCTTTTGTTTGAAGTGCCCATTCGGCCTTGTGATAGGGGTCCCCGATACCTGTAGATAGCAGTCAACATATTTTCCACCAATATTTGCGAATCAGAAGTTGCGCTACTTCTTTTTTGAAAACCGCCGGTACAGCAAAATATCCATAGACATGGGAAACTTGAACTGAAACACACACCACTAGTGAAGAGGTACGACCGGTGTAGCCTATTGGAAAATGCAAAAACCCAGGCGGTAGGACCCTTTTTTTCATTATGGCTTCTCCGGCATTTAAACAATGTTCCATGGAGCAAGAGAAATCTGTGAATCCAGCAGCATCAACAGGGAGATGCATTTGAACCGATGACACATCTTCGGTATGTAATTCTGGTGGAGTTTTCTTGCCGAGAACATCAATCAAAATTTCGCGAAGTAGCTTATGCTCATATTTGGGGCGTGCCGCAAGTTTATTCACAGTCGGCTGAAAAAGTTAGAGAGAAGATTTGAGTTGTTCGAATGAGGTTTACATACCAGCCGAAGAGTTGCTATCAGGTCTTTGGAAAGACTTACAACCCCCTGAAGTCCATCAAGAAAGATGACAGTGTTCCTAAGTCTTGTTACAACACATCTGGTTGGATGTGCCGTCGAGCTTGCTATTCCGAAAGGTAAATTATTGAGAGAAAAATGGTCGGCATACATTTTGCAAGATACAGCGAACGATGACCAGATTGTAAGAGGGTCCTTCAAACGTGTGGTACAAATACCATTCCTTGTTTACAAAAATGTTAGGGTAATGTAATCAACCACGACCAAGCAATTTGTTTCGGGATGTGGGGGAGTCACATGTTTGGTGGGGTGAAGCTGAGCACACAGAAGCCACACACAGATGGGATGTTCTTGACAGCAAATTGTCTTGGTCATTGGAAAACAGCTGCAGAGACTTTTAATTCTACCGATAAATTCTTCACATCCGTGTCCTATTCTATTCGTTCTGCCGAAATCAAATCAGGAACACCACTCCCATTAACTACGCTTGCCTCAATGACGCTATAAATAGGAATCTCTGCTAACTTGCTCACGATATGGTGCAAGGTAGGAATTCTGCCAGTGTCTAAAGATTCGAAACTTATGCTGGCACTGCTTGAAACCTGTCTTGTTGTAGTCTGCGGCTTCAGCTCCGCATCAGCTCCGTGATGTACGACAACCGGATATTCGCAGTCCGCTGTACCTCGTTTTCCAACGGCAGGACTGTATTTGTAGACTAGGATCCTAGCATCTGACGATGCTACTTCCTCTTTTGTGTCTGTGGTATGCAAGTCCTCGATCACAAATGTGCCAAATGTTTGTGCCTGCCATGAAGCCTTCAAAGTGTAGGATGACTGCTGCCGCTGGATGTCGAGATCGCAATAAACCTTTGGCATTCCAAGTTCGTCTCTCCCTGAGAGGATTGGATCTGTGAGGTTTTCGAACAGGATTGGCAAATATGTACCATCAACAACGCTTCCATCACGTTTCGTGTACAGAACGTCATGGAGATAAAGACCAAAATGGTTATATCCGCGTCCACCAAGCCAATTCATGTTCGACACAGTTGTTGATCTGAAGCTCGCAGTCACTACCGTCGCAGGCGATTTAAATTTGAACGATTCGCTCGGGAATAAGTTTTGAAGAAAGGTCCGAGAGCTTCTAAACTTGATCGTTGCAGTGACAAACTTCTCCTCACCTGAGACTTGGCTGTGGCCGAGTGAATCTTGTCTTGGCCCAGGAGTGACACCAAACACCAACGGCATTCTCTGGTAAACTGGCTTGCTTCTGCTAATTTTCCAATTTGCAAGTACTTTGGTGGAGTTGTGGTACTCGTCGTGGCCAAAATTGTACGGAACATATTTCATCACTATCAAAATAAGTACCCATCCTTTCTCTAATAGAGAGGGTGCTTACAATCAAGCCGAGGTTTTCCGTCGACAAAATCCGCTCCTGCTTGTCGAGAAAACTCTTGTATGGCATGGGCTCGCTCGAAACGTACCTTTTCGTAGAGTTTAAGACGCTCAGGAACCTCCTCTGGCGTTGTATCCCCCGAGAAAACAACCGCGAGCGCAACGGCATCCTCAATCGCAACCCCTCCACCTTGACCTTGATCTTAAAAAACATATTAGAACTAAGACGAAAGTACATATGGGCTGCAGTTTACTTACGTGGTAGAAATGGATGCGCAGCATCTCCGAGGAGACCGACCTTGCCATTAATCCATGTTGGTAAGTTTTCCATGTCAATAAGCTTCCAGACCTTAATACTCTCCGGATCTGCCACCCGAATAACATTTAGAAGTCTAGGGTCGAACCCCTCATAAACTTTCAGCACCTGGTCTAGAGTGGCATTTTTGTTCCATTCTTTTGGAAAGTCAGCTCATTGGACGTCAGAACGATGTAAGAGAGAACTAACCTTCCGAACTTCCTTGAGATTCATGTTCAGGATGTATGCACACAAAGTTTAGCAGCTCATTGTCATTACATGGATACATAACGACCCTCCTGTCACTTAGAAACCACATGCTCAGTTGATTTGATTCTTCCATGATTGCTGAGGAGCCCGCGACTGACAACGCAGCCTCGCGCGGTATGAGGAAGCGAAATGCAGCCTTTCCTGAAGGGATTAACTTTCCAGAATGGCCGACGACTGCTTTTCTGGTTACGGACTATTAAAGAAACGGGATCAGATATGATTATCTTACACATTTAACACACAACGCTGGAATAGACTTACCCTTAACCCATCGGCACCAACGACAAGGTCGGCTTGGATTATATCTCCGTTCTCTAAAGTTACAGTGGCACTTTGAGGATCTACAGCCGCCACTCTGCTCGAGACATGGAGAGTTGCAGGCGTTCCGATTCCATCGGGCGAGGTTGCAGTCTTCTTCAATGTCTCATGAAGCCGAACTCTGTGGGAGAGCTGCCAAGGATTCTGCCAAAGTTTGCTTGACTCTGTCATGTCAATTTTCTTGATGACGTTTCCTTTAGAAGTGTAGTCTTTCACACTGTGTACAGTCACGGCCCCAAAATCTTCTGGGGGCATTCCATAGTGGCGGAGAAGACCGTTGGCATTTGGACAAAGGTGGATTGCTGCTCCCGTCTCGTTTGCAAAGCGTGATTGTTCAAGGAGCTATTTCCTCGCAAACCAGTCAGTCTTCACTAATTTATTTCAAGGTATGATCTTACCGTCACTTTATGACCATTTCGTCGCAATCCAATCGCTGCAGTCAAGCCACCAATACCGGCTCCCACGATGATTACGTTCAACGGAGTTTGTCTCGGTAATCCGCTTTTAGTGAACTCGGGTTGCATTATATCGTTTTTGCTCTCGTTAATGGACCCCATTTCGAATGTTGAGTGACTTCTTTGTTGTATGATTTTTTGGATGCAAGGTGGAACAGAGAGCTCACTAAATGTAACAGGGCTATTTATCACTATTCAACAACACTTGTCGGGCCCGGACAATGGAACACGACGAATACCGCCTCGTGGATGTAGTGGTTCCGCAGTGGGAGTCAACTCGGCTCCTACATGGAAATTACCGTTACCTCGCTTCCGGTGGCCCCGCAAAGAGAGTCTGTTCTCCACCTAGCGTCTTCATACGCAGACAGAGGTATCCTGATCATTTTTGTTTTACTTTGACTGAAGTAGACAGCCTCTACGATAGCTAAACTAATGAAGTGATGCTAGCTAAGGATTTGCTAATTGAAGCAGAATCCAACTTTATTTGAATCCGGTTGGAAGTGATTCATTTCCGTATGGATTAGACTACGTTCGATTGTACAGGATAATGATAAAGAAAGCATGGTTCTTATTCTCAGTGCATCAAATCCCAAGTTTGTAACCCTAGATCTGTTCCATATGCTAAATCTCGTCTTCCTTTTCTCCCTTTTCCCAACTCGCTATGTCTACCATTCCCCTCCAATTGCATAATTGAATAAATTGGGACAAAACGGTCCTCCAGTCCTGCCCCAAAGCTGTGCTAATGACTACAATACTGTCAGCAGCTTAAATCTTCCCCTGAGTTCGATCTATACGTACAGCGCTTGTGAAGACACCAGTAAACATAATGCTGATGAAGATGAACTCCGCCGTGTTACTTCCTCTCGGTCTCTCTTCAGGGTCCAAGTCTCTATTTATCGGCCTGTGTGGAGGAACACGGTGGTAGTCTGTGGGCCAATTTCGTTGGTTAGAGGCTAAAGTATCTTCTTCTATCATTTGATGGTTCGTAGCATCGTGGCCTGTTAAATGGATCGTGTAGTCGTTTAAAGCCTCTCCCAGCTGGGTGATAGTGTTGGTCGGGCTCATCGCAGCGAAATGGTATTGAATAATCCAAGAAAATAAATTGTCACTTGAACTTCTGCTACGTCGGCATAAAGAAACACCTTTCGTTGAAGCGGTGGTCTCCCCCGCCTCAAGGTTGTTATTTTCTCGGTATGTCTCCAAATGTGGACATCCGGGTGGGGGAAAATCGCCCCAATGCACTCCACACAAGAGTGGGACCACCCACCTTTTGGGCCACACACAGCTTTATATCATCGGTTTTGGTTTGGTAGGACAAGTTTAATTTATATAGACCAAATTTGTATGAGCATTTCCTCTCTGTTTATTAGAAATTCGCAAAACTACACAAAGCTTCTTGAAAATGGAAAAGGTTCGCGGCACTATCATCGACGGCAGATTGGAAAATGTTCGATATCGACAATATCAACTACAGCAGCTGCACTTGGCGCTTCGTAATGGAGCCGAGCAGTTACAAGATGCACTTTGCAAGGACTCGGGTATAAGCAAAACAATTGCAAAAACAGAATTTTACCTCGCCATGGACTCAGTCAACAAAGCTTACGAAACCCTTGATTTTGATCAAGCTTTGAAAGACGAATATCTCATCAAAGATGGGAAAGACAATTTAAATAGCAGATCAGGATTAGGGGTGATTGCTTTTCGCCCTGGCACACATAGCCGATTGTACTCAATTGTAACAGTTGTTGCAATGGCAATTGCGGCGAAAAATGCCCTGTATCTTGAGGTATGTCGCTTTAGGTGATACCTTTTGCTTTGCTAACCTTATGATTTGATCGGCGAAAATTACCACTCTCTCGACAAGTCGCTCAGTAATATCATCGCAAGCGCACTTGATAAAGATTTGTTCGCGGTATCTTCCAAATTCTCATCCCCGGACATCTCTGGAGCAGATCTTTTTATAGATGGAACAGCAGGTGAAGAAGAACAAATATTGACAGGCTCAGGGACATATTACAGCAAGTCATTAGCCGTTGTTGATAGGTCAGCAGATTTAAAAATAGCAGTCCGAGCCATCGTCAACTCACGGTTACCTCACAACTGTAACTCACCATACTCTCCTGGTTTGGTGATTGTTCATGAATTTGTAAAGGACAGCTTTGAAAAACTATGCTTGGAATACGCGAAAGACCTCATGACTGTGCAAGACTTTGAGAACTTCCAATATGACACAGATGTTGAATACCACAAGGACCTAGTGGAGGCAGAAAGTCTAGGTCAGATCACGCTGACGAAGTTGGGCGTGTATGGCCTAGCAATTGTAGAGAGCAGAGACAGGTTGGTACCCAAGTCCACTCAGTATTATTTCAGCTAATTGTTCTTATTAGTAATTCTGCGTTGATCGCTACAAAGACCAATAGACCTTATATTCACGTCCTCTCATCAACAGGAATTGTGGACACTACAGTGAAGCAACAAGGGTTGTAAGTACCTCACACATAAAGTCTGAGTTATCCTCCGGATGTCAAAAAAGGAAAGATTTCTATTCGTACTAAAGGCTAACGAGGAAACTTTAGTGAAGCGAGAAGAGCCACGTACCTGTTTGCAACTCCCAGCGTTGCAAAGTTCATGAGTGAACAAATCCCAGCGGCGGTCAGCTACGTCGATCAGATCCCAAGACAACTGTTGATAGGACCAGTGTCAAGTCCACATTCGTTACATCCACGTTATACAACCGAGATGTTGAGTGTACCGAGGCCAAAAATCATAAACACTGTTGCCACCATACCCTCTTCAGTGGAAGAACTTCACGAGTCAGCACTTCAGCCCCTAAAACCCGTAGGGCAGAAAATGGGCCACGCTTTAGGGTTTTTTGAGCAAGGAATTTTTATTGGACTTGGAATGACATTCTGTATCTTTGTTCCGTTGGCAACTTGGTTTTCGTGGATTGCCAGCAAGCGAGTGTTAGCTTTATGGGGGTAGAGTGATCGGACCCTTAAAAATATGTATTCTCATTTTGCTTTTCTATAAATAATCTCCAATATGAGACGTTGGAAATAAGCCAGATTTCCTGCAAATCATCTGCAACAAGTTTAGTCCGCGGTCTCCAACACTTTTCAGCATGTGTGATTATGGTCTAATCTGGCCCCTCCGTCGCCATTCGAGAGTTCCTACCTTCCGGTAAAGAGCTCAGATCTGCCATGAGATTTGCTAAACTCTCTATCATGCCTGGCAATGTTTCATGGGAGTTCGAAAAATTGGTTCTAAGTATGTTCTGAGCGTACTCCAAGACACACCTTGTAGATGAGAGCGGCTTAAAGCGGTGGATTTGATCGTTATCTATTACCACAAGACCCGGTGTCCCTTTATTCACGACGCGAAAAGTCTTTACGGATTCGTTCTCGGCCTGATTCAAAGCCACAGAATCTGAGATAGTTTCGGTGTTGACTACTCTTTGATGGGAGACTGGTCCAAATAGGTCCTTTTCGCGAGAGAAAAGCATCGTTCCGTAAATCCAAAGTGTCAGAGCCGCATAGTAGACTGCAACGGCGTAAAAGTCTTTCAAACTGCATTGATTGAACTGTGCTGCCGCCCTCAATACCTGTCCTGCATGCCAGATAGTCATTCTGCTCTCCGGAAGATTGGACCATTCTTGGAAGGTTCCGAAGACCTTTCGAGATTCTTCGGGTCCAAACTTCCCCGCAAAACGTTGGATATCTTCAGGTGCCTCGTGGGACACCATTAAGAAGAACTCGCCGAAAAGAGCTATTGAAGGATCATGCTTACATAAATCTGACATACTTGCCACCCCCGAGATCAGAGCTCGATACAGTTCATCCTGTTCAGTCATTAAAGAAAGGCGATATGCAGCCTTAAAAGTTGGGTAGAACTTTTTAGCTTCTGCCAATCTCCATATCTGACCCCAATGCCCAGCTGTTATTGCCATAGCGCAAGCCTTGCTGTCAATGAGTGCCTCCGATTGTGATAAAAGTTCTGGGTTCTGCATTGCTTCTAGTAACATCGGGATGTCCACGTCCTGCTTCTCGAGATACACATCTCGCCATTGGACTGGGGACTGTGCAAGCCACAGGTCCTGGGAAGAGGGAAGATCAAAGTCAAGCTCCGTAAACGAGATTTGTGGTGGTTTCTGAAACCCCGACGAAGCTTGCGCATCTTGAATGAATGTGCGCAGCGCCAAACTAAAAGTGGGGAATGAGCTGGTGTCTGCTTTTTGAAAGTGTATCGAGAGAATCTCTTACCGTTTGTATGATTCACGTTCAATAAATCTATTCCACTTAGCATGCAAAACTGCATCAGGGTCGTGCTTGGTAGGTCGTAAGTCTGAAGGTGTTTTTCCCATGGCAAAAACGCCCGACCTTCTCATCATCTTGGTTACAGTTAACATGAATATTATTGAAGTCTGCGTGCAAATCCAGAAAGCAAAAGAATTGGGAGATAGGAGGATATATCAAACGTACGACAATCACAGGCTGAAGAAAACTCTCCGCGATTTCCATCTTCCGCTTGACGCCACTCCAAAGTCCAATTTCGCAATTCAAAATCCAAGCTTGTATTGTTTGCAACCGGCGGGTGTTGGCGTTGTTACGTTCCCACTACAATTATTAGATGGCCAATCGTGTAAAAACCAGAAAAGACTAACTAGTTCAGCAATTGTATGCCTCACAATTTCTTGGAGGGCGAGGCCCATCCTTCGTATGGAAGGTGTTAATATTGCATTGGCACCTGCAGCGGTAATGGCGAGGACGAGCTCTGGTAAAGCCAACTTTGAATCAAACGAGGCTGCATGTATTAAATGGTCGGCATTGAATTTTGATTGTGCAAAGTGGACCTGAATTAGAAGGTTCAAGAGACTCAAAGGAGGAAAGGCGCGAATGGGGGTATGATATACACGAAGATTAAAGATGATATGGAGAATCCGGTCTCTCATACTCGAATCTATGCAACAAAAGAGGAATTGATCCATGGTCGTGCCAGGAGTTTCGGGGGTGGAGGCGACTGCGATGTTGGTGTCATCGACCTCAAGATTGGTCTGGTCATTCAGGGAGTGATCATTCTGCGTAGGATTCCAGATCCATGCAGACTTCTCAAACGCTGCGTGAAGCTTTGTTGCCCGTGAGCTCGAGCTTGAGCATTCCTCAACAGGCTTTTCGCTTTGCCGCTCCTGCGTTGGTGCTGACTCCATGAAGGGTTGGAATTCAAATCCGGCACCATCCATCTCCCACATATCAAAGTCATCTTCTTCCCCAAAATAGGTATTCCTTGGAATAAACCCAAATTGCTCGGTAAACTGATATTGGTCTGCAAGTGATATAAACTGCTCAGCAGGAGGTTGATCATACACCGAGGACAAATGGACAGAATTGAGTGCCCCACCTCCAATACTGGACCCCCTATTGATGCCAGCAGTCTGGAAAGCCACGCCAATAGACTGTTCGTCGTAATCTACCTCCATAGCGTTACTATCACCCATCATAGTTGCCCCATTCGCGCTTCCGTCTCTGGAAAATCCCGATAATTGTTCTCGGTAAGCGACACCTTCAGTATCGTCGCCCATGTGTTCTTCTATCTCTGAAGATCTTGAGAGCTGTCCCTGATGAGCAGAGCCTTCCCCATTAAGCCGTCTTGGTGAAGCAGACTTGCTAGACCTGTTACCAAATGATGCACTCGCAGCCGGATTCTTATGCAAAGAAGTAGACTGTGCTCGGGCCCTGTTTGGCGAAACTTCGCATCGAATCCCCTTTGTGACGCACCGAACACAAGGCTTTTCATCTTGACATTTGGATTTCGAGGCTATGCAAGCGCGGCAGGCGACAAGGACCCGGTCACCATCATCCTTTCGCTTGCCAGGCGTGCGGTTGTGGCTACTTTCGTGTCGGCTGAGTAAGTCGGCTCGATTGAAGCGCTTAGAACACTGATTACACCTGTGAGAGCGAGCATTCTCGTGTGTTTTCAGATGGCGGCTGAGGTGATCCGCTCTCTCGTACTTACGTGGGCACAGAGGGCACTGGTGGGTAGCTTTGTCCGAGCCCACTCGTTCAATTTGTGAGTTGCCCTGGGCCAAAGTCTCTGGCGGGAGTAATTGTGGATTTCCTACACATGCCTCCGGCGGAGGTGTGCTGGGCAGGCCGTGGGGTTGCCCTTCCATCGTTAGGCCGACTGCCGCCAGAGCTGGGACCCGTGCAGCTGTCTCATCAACGCCTCCGTAGGATGTTTGCGGGGGTACTGTACTGCACTACGGATGTTGGGCGGCTGTAGGCAGCTGTAATTGAAGGGGTAACAGACAATTTGGCAACGTCTTGGTGGTCCCGGTAGGAAGAGATGGGCGAAACGGAGAGGATGGAAAGTGGAGGTCGTTGAGGTTTCTCGTTTATTGCGGTCGGAAGATGTGGGTGAGGAAGCGAGGTGGCGAGAAACCGTGGATGCGGGGTGCGTAGTACTCCGTTGCTAGTAGTACGAAAAACTAGGATTCAATGCCGGGGGAGTGTGGAGAGGATAGAGTTGCCTACTACACAACAACCTTAAGGGCGAGGGAGTTGTGGGTGAGATATTAGTTTGTTACGTAGTGCCGAAGTTCGGTATAAGAAAAGTCGGTGGATGGAGCGGATTATTCAATCATCTTTCCAAGCCCGTTCACTTTCTGGAGATCTGTACAATGGTTACCGAAACTCCCAGCCCGGTTCATTTCTTCTCCCATGGCTCGACTGCTATGCTTGGAGAAGCGTCAAGATCCGCCGACTATTGGAAAAAATGCGGCGACGAAGCGCTAGCAAACGGCGTCAAGCATGTTGTGATAATGGTAAGTAAGTTCGTAATATTTTTTGGGATTTTGTACTGATCAGAAGCATAGGGCGCTCACTGGGCTACGGTGGGCGATGCCATCGAGGTTGCCGCAAATCCAACGCCTAAGAAGTCACCAGTGGCTTACGTGCACCCTTCCAAATATGTCGATTACGAATTAGTTGCAGACTTGCCCATGGCAGACAAGTGTGTTAAGTTGTTGTTAGACGCGGGATTCAATGCTAAAATCAACCAAACGTTTGACTGGATTCATGACACGTTCTTAATCCTTATTCGCATGTTTCCTGCTGGTTGTCCGCCGACAACGATAATCAGCATGAACGCTCGGTATGACCCACATTACCACGTCAGAGTTGGCGATGCGCTGGCTCCTCTTCGATATGAGAGCGAGAGGACTCTGGTCATTGGCACTGGCGGCTCGGTCCACAATCTGTACAGAAATTCATGGGGTCAAATGTTGATGTATCAGGACAACTTTGCCCAAGAGAATCCACCAGATATCGCCATGTTGGACTTTAGACAGGAGTTTGAAGATGCAATAACGAAGCATTCGGGATTTGCTTTACGTCGAGCAATTACCATGTTGATGAAATTACCGAATTACAGAGACGCTCATGGAACAGATGATCATTTCATTCCGGCTTGTTTTGTCGCTGGAGCTGCAGGTAGACTAGAAGATGAAGGGGCTAAATGCGAGTTAGGAGCAGAGGACTGGGAGCTACAGAACATGTGTAATTCGCAGTATACGCTAGGCTCGTGGTCGACAGACATCAAGGCTTAGGTGTAGATTTTTCCATTGATTTATTTCCCGCTTGAATCAATCGTCTACTTTTTCTACTTATCCAACAAGCGATGCGCATATTTGCAACTTAAAGAAAAGAATCACTACGTCTAAAGCAAATGGACTTTAGAACATAGAGGACGAACGACTCTATGTAGTGCCGGTACTCGGCATCATTTGTTTTCTCTGAACCGAAGAAAAGAGTTCTGCTTAGGCATTACGTGAAATAACATTGCTTTGATTAACTTTAAGTTCGTAGTCTCGGGGATCCATGTTTGCTTACAGCACTCGGTGGACTGAACTTGCAATGTTCACTATACACATTGTTTTTAACGATCTAACAATATGACAACACCTTAGGCTTTAATTTGGCAGTACTTTCGAATAATTTTACCCGAATTTTGTTTGAAAGTTACGACAGTACATCTCTCATTTAGACGTCCGATGGTGCATCCCGTCCACCTCGGACAATGCGCAATGCCGGGGACCACTGTTCCGAGAACCCTTGTCCGCTGCCCCGACGACAGACAGCACGAGAGCGAACATATATTTCAGGAGGCGTCCAACTATGACATTGTCACGGTCTCCTAAATATATTTTCTTTGTGGACTACAGGAAATAGATTCTGCAAAATGGCTACATCCAATTCACTTCAAGATTTGCACGAAGTTCACAAGGATCATCAAAACAAATTGATTTTTGAAAAGAATGTCGATATACCACGGGCTAAAAATCTTCCAATTCGGTGTAACGTATATCGTCCCGTGGCTGAGGCAGATGCGAAGTTCCCCGTCCTTGTGACTTACGGCCCATATGGCAAAGATATTCCATATTCAGAGTGAGTATCTGGACATTATTTAATTACAATATTGACTCAAATTATCAGCTTTCACCCGAAATCGTTTGCGGAGGTCAACCCGGAACACAAGTCCAAGTACAGTGTCTGGGAAACGCCGGATCCAGTATTTTGGACCGCCCACGGCTATGTAGTCGTTAGAGCAGATGAGCGAGGTCTTGGCCAATCCCCAGGGATCTTGGATACAATGTCTCGTGGAACTAGCGAGTGTTTCTTTGACGTCGTTGAGTGGGCTGCAGAGCAGCCGTGGTCATCTGGCAAGGTCGGACTATTGGGTATCAGTTACTATGCAGGTACTAGTTTGCAGGAAACGATAATATCAATATGCTAACTTCTTATCCAGGGAGTCAATGGCGAGTAGCGGCTAGACGACCAAAAGGTCTTGCAGCTATAGTTCCGTGGGAAGGAATGTCGGATTATTATCGTGATCGGTGCCGACACGGAGGTATTTTATCTAACAAATTTATCGATTTCTGGTGGAACCGACAGGTAGTTACGAATCAGTATGGCCGTCCCGGTAGAGCAGCCTCCAAATGGGGGGAAGATACTGCCGAAGGTGACTTGCCCGCGGAACAGTTGAAGTCGAATCGACGAGACCAGAATGAGGATAACCAGGCAAACTACTTTAGAGATGACGAGTACTATGCCTCAAAAGACTTCAATTTGGCGGATATCGAAGTTCCATTGCTTTCTGTGGCAAACTGGGGCGGTATCCTGCTCCATCTGCGTGGAAATGTTGAAGGCTTCGTTCAAGCAGGGTCAAAGTTGAAATATCTTCGTTTCATCGTCGGGCGGCACGATTTACCATTCTATTATCACGACGAGGTCGAGGTCCAGCGGAGTTTCTTGGATGCTTTCTTGAAGGGTGAAGATAGAACTGGTTGGTCAAAGCCAGGTGCGACAGCACCTGTGAGTGTTGTCTCCCGAAAAGGCAACGTGGGCTTCAACAATCCAGAGTTTGAAGCCACTTACGAAAGGCGCGAGGAGACTGCGTGGCCAATCGCAAATACAGAGTACATCAAATACTTCCTCTCAGCCGACGGAGCTCTAAGCACAGAGTCAAAAAGTGTTACTTCATCGATATCATATCCCGCACTCGATAACCTGGAAACTCCTCACTCATTGCAATTCAGCACTTCTCCATTCGAGACCGAAGTAGAAATCACAGGACACATCGTAGCACACCTCAATGTTTCAATGACCCCAGAGACTGAACGCGGTCCAGACAAAGATATCGATCTCTTTGTTACACTTCGATACATCTCACCTAGTGGAGAAGAGGTCCACTATACTGGCACAGCCGGTGATCCAATCCCGCTCACCAAAGGATGGCTGCGAGTCTCGCATCGAAAAGTCGACAAAAGTCACCCTCTTCACCGACCATACCTCCCGTATCGTACTTATTTTTCGACTGATGTGCAGCCTGTTGCGCCTGGCCAAATTTATGATGTTGATGTCGAGGTTTGGCCTACAAATGTGATCGTAGAGAAGGGCGGTCGATTAGTTTTTGAGGTTGCTAGCGGCGACACGCAAGGTAGCGGAATGTTTCAGCACACAAATGAAGTTGACAGGTAAGTGAAGCGATCTTATAACGATACTCGGCTCTCTCCATTATTAACTCTGGCATAGGTCAAGAAGCAAGCTTGCAGGAACCAACCATTTGCACTTTGGAGAGAATTCGCAAAATTACATTGTATTGCCAGTGATTCCTTCAAGTTCGAGTTGAAAGAGTGTTGTCATATTGCTGGACGAAAGTTGATAGAATAGTATAGGGTCTTCTTGTATTCATAGAGTTAAAAGTACAGTTATCAAAACATAAATTTTGCTTCCCACAACAGAAATCGATTTACTATGTTAAAGAGATGACATGCATATAATGGCAGTCAGACATGAAACCCACCCATTATGTAAAATTATAAATTTCAAGACATCCCGTGGAACCTGCGCTCGTGGCAAGAAGTGTGTATAATGCGATTTCACTTGGAGTCCGTTCAGTCTAACGAGATAATTGAACTCTAATGTCGAATTTTTCGTTTACACCATCGTTTGATATTCGGCACTTCAAGGTGCGAGTAAAGCAAGCCGAGGGAAGAGGTGATTTTAGGCGACCCCCACCATCCCGGGACGTAATAGCCAAACATGGTGTGGTACTATCGGCCCTACCAGCAGTAGAGCACCCCCCAGTCCTTACCACAACATGCGTCAGCAAGAAAGACTATATCTACTTTTGCTGCACAGATTGAAATCATATTTCCTAATTTTGTGATTCAATTCTGTACTTGAAACCGACAACATGACTACATCACAGCCGCAGCAACAGCGTCAAAAAGGGCTTCCAGATGTTCAACGAATCATCACAGACCACGACAGCGACGGGAAAGCTGTTGTGTCAACGGACATTCCTAGCCAAGCGGTTTGGCAACCCATTGGTCCAGCAGCTGACTTCTTTCTCGGATACACCACTCGAACATTCCCTGTGGTTTTCAAAGATGCACAGGATTCAGGAATCGCCCCTCTGCCGCAAGATATCAAGACGTACAAGGAAGATATGGTCACGCCGCCTGGTCTGACTATTAGTACTGGTAATTATACTTACAAAATTTGTTTCACCTAATTACTTGCTACAGTTTTAACACGCAATTTCCAGGTACGGTGCTGAGATACGTCGACATGGCACCAAATGCTCTATCTCCAATGCACCGAACAGTATCTTTGGACTACGGCATTGTTCTTGAAGGAGAAATTGAACTGGTTCTGGATAGTGGAGAAACCCGCCTGATGAAGAGGGGAGATGTCTGTATCCAGAGAGCTACAAATCACGCTTGGAGAAATGTAACCGCAAATGGGGGTTGGGCAAGAATGGTGTATGTACTAATAGGAGCTGAAAAGGTTGATGTTGGGGGTAAATCGTTCGAAGAAGACTTGGGTGATATGCCTGGTGTAAGGGCTAGTGATTAAGATTTAAATATATGCTCGTGAGTACCATCGAAGGAGCAAAATTATATCGCCACATGGTTCCACAAGTGTATTCTAATAACAATAGGTTCTACTATGTTATTCCCGATGAAGTAAGTGAACTAAGTACCCTCTGACAGTTCTCTCCGGGCCAGAATGAACGGTTATTTCAATTACGCTCAATTCGTGATTAATAACCTTCCGAATATGTCTCACGAACTGCCGCATATCATACAAAACAACATAGTCATAGTTTCCCCATCTGTTCATCTTACATGAACTTACGACGCTCAATATCTTGCAAGCAGCAATTCGGAACCAAAGAGAAGTACTCCGGTCTCATACTTGATCGTTTCAAATATCTAAATCTATCAAATTCGATTTTGCTTCTTACTATACACAACACTGTCACCATTCTTTGGCGATGGTTCAGTGATATTTGCGACTTCTCCCGTCTATATCCTTTTATAAGAATTAATGATTTGTCTCTTTAATGTATTATCACTCGGGAAGAGGTCTCAATTTCCATACATATTCTTATTACATTCACAGAACCAGAATTATATAATGCCGTTGCTATGTCATCCGCAACCTGTTCTCAATTTTTCTCAAGAAAATCTTTCAACACTACTCGAAGTAGGTAGCTAGGTGTACAGCACCAAGCATGACAGAAACTTTCATTGTGGACATCTCCATAAGGACTTCGCCTTGGGTTTGTCTCATCAAAGCACTCCCAGAACTTATCAGCTCCTGCTAATGCCATACCTTCCAGTACTGCCTAAGAAGAACAAGACATTCCTCCTTTCCATCATTACGTGCTAAGGCTTCAGCAACATGGTGATAAGCGTAAGGTGTGAGTGGTTTTACAGCACCAGGGTGTGACATTGCTTTTTTCATCGCGAGAAGTGCGCTTGAAGGTGGCATTGATGCCGATAGTGCCATCCAAGCTTGTGAAGTCCATGACACTTGGCGATTTGACCCGCTCACAAACAGTTCTTGTTCCTCATCGTAGAAATAATGAACTGCATCCGTCATTTCTTTTGCGACGTCGGCATGTGGCTTTGGATAGTGTAGAATTGTCGCCAGCGCGTTGATTTGTTTACAGCAAAATAGCTCCAGCTCATGCATTCCTGCGTTTGTGTCAAGCCCTTCGGACCAGTCAAGGAATTTCCAGGCTGCAGTCTTGTCAGAGGAAAATCGACTTTTTTCATCCACATGCGAAAGTGCAACTTTCATGCTCCCTAAAATAGTTGACCACAGCTCTTTCGCTGTTTCATGTTCACCTGAAGCAAGAGTATAGTCATAGACTGTAGCTCCAAATAATGCATCATAGTGGACAATGTAATCACTAGCAGCAGCGAGATTTGGTCTTTCAAAACACAAGCTGGTAAGCTTCCCTCTTCCTTCCCGAGGCAGTGCCGCAAACATATATAGACACTGTTTACCGGAATTGAAGTCCTTAAATGTACAGTAGTTGCCTAATGCTTGTAGTCGTAGATCACCCATCCAGAGCCGCCTATCTCGCCGTGGGCCATCTTCAAATACCGTTTGCATGCATGATCTTACCGTCAGTCGGCTTACTCTATCGATATCCATGAGATCTTGGTGTCTTGTATTCAGCGACGCAACGCTCGCGGCAACTTCAGGCGAAACAGCGCTTATTGCAGTAACCTTGAAATTCGAAAAGCGAACTTTGTATTTTGGTGATGTGTCCAGAATTTCACATTTGACATATCGGAATGCGTATCGTCTAGGCATTTCATCCTCGCAAGGAAGCCAGTCTACATTGATTATCTCGTCTGAAAGCCAGGATGTACTAATCCATGTGTTGCACGGGTGCAAAGGCTCAGCTACATCAAGCGGTATCTCCCCGAAAGTCAGGCGTAGTTTGGTGGGGGCATCGACGTTGACACCTTCGGCTCCCAAATCGAAAGAAAGGCAGCCAACTTTGTGAGATCCAAAATCTACTGTCAGCTCGTCTCCCTTACCGTATGCGACAGTTGCGAGGTGTTGAACGCCCCTCAACTCAGTTGATTTGTAACCAAAGAAGCTAAGAGAACTCGGCTCAAATTTGATGATGGCAAGGGGTTCATTTACCCATGAATATAGCGTTGGTGTCAAACTTTGAGCTTTCCGACTGAAGCCGTCATTGAAATGAATAACCGGCGCTGCATCAAATTTTGACTTTCTGGCACCTTGACAGCCTTATCCTGAAGCTGGGCGTTCATTTTCGGTTAAATAAGGTGCATGCAAAGGCGTAATGTTGGCAGTGCCATAATATATTAGAAGAGCCGATGACTGGTTTAGGAGGACACTTGCAGGTATATGTTTTTCTGATCAAAATTCAAGTTATATTAAAACTCCCGCCAACTCTAGAGCGAGATCTTGACACCTGAACTTGTGATTTCCAGTTTATTAAAGCAATGAATATTTGCGACTGCTGCCAAAATACGTTCTTTGCGCTAGCTGAAAAGGTTTCTGTATCCCTACCTACCTAGCCAATAGGTCAATGAGGTTTTCTGCCCCATGCCAGAGAAAATCCCTGACAGCCCATCTTTCAGCTTCTCTCCATTCAATCAATATGAATTAGGGCGGTACAGTAACCGGTTTTATTATTGAGCCGAAAGGGGCTTTTACACCAAAAGTCACTACAAACACTTTAAAGTATATAATTACCCTAACATCTAAAAGATAAACCCTTTTATTATAAGAGAGTTATTAATAGAATAAAACTTCCTATTACTTAGCTTTTTTATTTAAACTTAATTTAATTACGATGCGACCGGTAAAAGTAGAGCTAAATCGGTTTTCGCAACTTTTACCGCAAAAATTAATTTTAAGTCTATAGAGTATAACGACGCTTTATTAGAATCTAAAGCCGTTAGACTATATATAATTTAAGCTTTAGGATTATAATTAGGAGTTAAAATTAATTAATTCGGTTCCTTGGGCCAAAAGATATATGTCGTTATAAAGTGTAAAAAACGGCTGTTTTTGGTGGGTTTTTGGAAAGCGGCTCAATATTAAAGTCTAGTACTGTACATCCCCGCTCGCCATCCAAAATTACTGTGCCACTCCCTCCACCGCCCTCCGAACCCTAATAGGGACAAATCATGTTTCCATCCTCACCAAGAAATCCGGGGTTCTCCACACTTCAGACCAAAGTTGCTGCTTGTATCCGTCGCCATTATCTCATGGGTTTATCCTGCTGAAATCTTCCCCATCGAGATTCGTGCGAAGGGCAATTCTCTGTCTACTCTCACCTTGGTGTTTGAACCTTCTGTTCGCTCAGACGGCACCCATTGCCCTAGAACGGACGGGGTTTAAATTTTTCTACTTCTTCTTTGCGTTCAACGTGGTAGCATTCCTCTGTTATATCTTCTTCTTCCCCGAGACGAAGGGAAAAACACTTGAACAGATGGATGAGTTGTTTGGCGATCAGTTGGTGCCTTATGCTCTCAAGGACCCCAAGGGAGCTGAGACAGTGATGGGGAGAAGTTTGTTCATACTCATATTGATGAAGTATAATTTCCCTTTGAGCTCTCGGGAAAACTAGTACATGGGCGGGGGATAAATCAACTTCGTGCGCCTCTGGAGTATTCCAGTCATAAGACCTTTAATTTTTTCTGGGGTTGTAAAGTAATAATTGACTATCCCTACCTAAAATTCAATAGACTCAGGGATCTCTTGTCGCTTATTTCAAGAATACTCGTTGAATTGATCTACCTTTCAAATTTAAATATTCACTGTTCCAAAATTGGCTGAGGGGTATTTTAAAATAGTTAAGAATCTTGGTTTTACTTATCATATTGTCTAAGAGCACTTGTTCACTGCTAGGCATCATAGTCTAAAATGACGCGAAAGTATCTCGGAGTACTTGACAGTTAGTAGAGAGAAGAAGTGGAACATTATCAATACGACTTGAGACTTATACATATACTATATACAGCTTTTAGCGCATATGTTTTCGATGACGACTCAATGAAAGCTAGAGCGGTGTCCAATTCTGTGACTTTTTAGTTGCCCTATTCGTGCACTATTTCCAGCATTCCAAGTATATGACTAAGAATGTAACTAGGAATGCGACTAAGAATAATATCCGCAAAATTTTCACTACTGGGATTGTAAATCAGCTGCGGTTTCAGGGGTAGCATTTCTCACTAGAAAGGCATTCCAATCATACATGCCAAAGCTAGCGTCCTCTCTAAGGTATTTCTATAATTCAATGATTATCGAAGCTTTATAGAAGGCCGTTATGAAAAATTATGTGAGGATCTATCCGCTTCTACCCAGCCAATTTGAATTCTCATCAGTCATGCCACCAACCACTCTGCTCGATTTGTCGAACGACGAATTTCACATGATCTTTCAACTACTATCACAGCCCGATCTTGTTGCGTTGTGTCTCACTTGCAAGACGCTTTGCCGTCTTCCCGAGCAGACTTTATATTCCCAAGTGAAGTTCAATTGGTCGACATCTAGCGTCCCCCCGATCGTTCAACTTCTGCGGAGTTTATTTTCAAGACCTCAACGATCGACGTACGTGCGGTCTCTCGTGCTCGATGGCACGCAATTTGAAGGACATATAAATCGTGGCCCAACCTACACTCCCAGTATTCCAGTAACAATAGAAGATATAGAACGACCAATTTCCTGGATCGAAAGCTTGAAAGTCACTTATCGAAATCAATGGATCCGGCAACTTGAAGTAGGAAACATAGATGCCTTTGTGACGGTGCTTATCTGCCAATTGTCGCATCTGAGAAGCGTCAAGATAGGTTCCGATTTTGCCCTAGACAATCTCATTCTTAGCATGGTCCTCAAATCGGCGCTTTGCGAAGATTCGAGTCAAAACAGCGGACTATCCATTTCTCAACAACTCCAATCTGTAACCTTCACATACCAATTCGTGCAACAATACGGTTCTTTGCCAATTCACAAAAACACGAAGGAGGTCTTGCCAATACTCTACTTGCCAGCCCTTCAAAACCTTTCCATCTGCATAGACAACCCCATTAAATTCGCGTGGCCTACGGTCTTGCCACCAAACCTTTCAACACTAGTATCATTGGACCTGCAATTCCTACGCGAAAAACATCTTCACAAAATACTTTCACTCACTACGAGCTTGAAGATGCTCAGATGGTGTTGGTACTGGAATAGGGACACGGCAACCATAGGTCGACACCGGTATTTCAGTAAGGACATAGATCTTGATAAAGTTACAGAAGCATTGCTCTATATCAAAGACACAGTCGAGGATTTGACACTTACTACCCACATAGACCATCTTTTGGACGGGGAAGACCGTCCTTATGTCACGGGGTCGCTGAGTGGACTCTCAAAATTGCACCATCTGAAGAGATGGCTAGTCCCTCAATATATGCTAAATGGCGGATATCGACCACCGATAGCAAAACCGCTGGTTCAGATTCTCCCGAACAAGCTTGAATTTCTGGGCATTACGGAGGATATATATGATCCTGATAGTGACAGCGTGTCGCCAACAGACCTCCTTGAGCCACTGCGACAATGGCTTTCGCGCAGGAAAGATCATGCGCCTATGCTTCACAGCATTTTCTTCATCACGGAAGGGTTTGATTGGCACCAGCCAATACGGAACGAATTTACGAGAATTGGTGACCAAGCTGGGGTTTCTATTACGTTCCCACTTAACCCGCCTCCTTGTTTTGCACGTTTTGGGTCACCTAAAGCAATCAATTCAATGTGGTTCTAAGAGATACTAGCAGTCAATGGCTTGATACTTGTCAGGAATTCCTTTGCGGTTTTGATTTGGTACATGCTCAGGAGATCGCAAAACATTCAATAGCTTCAACAAGATCGGAAATTTTGGTACACTGTCCATGACTAGTTCGAAATATTCCGAAGCGACTCTATGTGATCAATAGTCGGTGACCCAGTTGGAAAAAGTGTAGCAAAATTGTAAGCCTGCCCAAGGGTATCTTTTTCCAAGACAGTCAACCCCAGCAAGTCCGTAAATTCTTTACAGCCAAATCCCTCGTTGACTTTGCCCTTGAATTTGTCCTTGGCTTTTTCCTGGACACTTTTAGTTGCAGGAATGCTTATACTAGCGTCAAACGTACCTTGTCGACGGAGCATGGATCTATGTGAGAATGTTCTCCGTTGGGCTTGAGCTTTACAGTACCGATTCTCGCATTCTCCAGTTTCGATAGGTTCAGGCCATGTTTCATATAATATAGATGCATAGCCATTTCCTCTCCACATTTCCCATCATGTATGTGGCGGAAGTCTTTCCCAATCTTTTTCCCACTCTTTCTACCGCCCTTTCTCGCGCTCTGTCTCGCGCCCTTTCTCGCATTCTTTTTCGCATTCTTCCGGGCGCTCTTTTTCGTACTCTTTTTTGCACTCTTTCTGGCACTTCTTTGCCATACAATCTTTCGACAGCGCTTCAAGTCTCTCTTGACCGGAGTGTCCGAGCAGTCATACACGAACGAGAATCTTCCTTTCTGGGATGAGGCAACAATGATCTCACGGTCAAAGGCCAGTACAGTCATAGCCCCCGGTAGTTTCTTGTTACGGTTCATCATTTCGTATTGTTCCTGTTGGCAAATCAGTCGTTCGTTAATAACGCAGAGACAGCATGTTGGAAATCTACGCACGAATTCGTCTTCCATTTCTCTACCTGCTTCTAGGGCGATTTGCCATAGCTGGGCATCCGATATCACACCAACTGAATTTGGAAATGTAATGTGACTAGACCACATGTAACATGGCGCAGATATATATGCAGAATCAGGCATACCATTCTCCCGGAGGAGGGGGAGGGTTGCCATTGGAAAGTCCAGTCTGACTTTAAGTTTGCTTGTCGATAATGGATCTCGTTTTATCAAAAAATCACACCTAGAAGCAAGGAAGTCAGTGAAGGCACACAACGCGACAAGAGGAGGGGGAGGCTAGTACAAGCTTTTCTCCGGTACTGGTTTAGACATCTTGAATGATTTTCGACGTCAAACTTGAGAACGATGCAAAGCTCGTAGAATATGGCGCAAATACAATTGCTTTAGTCAAAAGATGGGTTTAAATTTGAGAGCCAGCAGAGCGAAACTTAAGTACACATAATAATTACATTGCATCCTCATCATACCTTTTTGCTAACAAAGAACTTCCATGAAGCTGATGGCAATATGAATCAAGAGTCCAAGACACAAAGATAGACTGTTTGGCAACATCGTAATGAGACATTTCGCTGATGCTTTCAATTGCATGCTGGAAACCGTATATTGTAAACCAGCTGAACAAAGCTTTGATTATTCTTACGAAAGTGGTCAAAAGTTGAAACAGAACATTGATGTGCCAAATAGGGCCAGTTGAAAGGCACGGGGCAAGTCGTTGAGACAAAGGAGTCCCATGTGTCTGAGCGTCCAGACACTTTTGCCCACGACGAAATCCTTTGATGGATATGAGACATTACAACTCTAAAATTAGATGGATGTAAGGAAAATATCATTGGAAGTAAGTGTGGGATGTTTGCACAAGTTATTTCAGTATTGAAGTGCTAGTTGAGAACCTGACTCACATTATCATCAATGATAAATCTGTAATGACTTTCTTTGGAATTCATCCAAGCACGAATGGCACTGTTTGCCAAAAGAATTTGTGGAAACAAGTTAGCTTGAAAGATTTAACCTTCAGTCTATTGTTACACTTGTTTGATACGAAACGATATGTTGCCTTGTATATTTCGAATTGATCCCCATACAAAGTTTCCTCCAGTGAACACTTGAAACCCAAGATCATCATCAATATCAACAAGATATATGCAAGTGCATAATATTTCAGAAAGTCACGAGGTTCTTTGTCAAAAGTCAACTGAATAGGCCGACGCTCTCTAACATCGTAAAACTTTGCTGAAAACCCAGAAAACAGCGCCTCCTCTGGGTCTAGTTAATCCTGAGCGAGGTGTATTTGTGAACCACCCCAGCTTTAGTATCATTTTTACTTGCCAATATCTAGCTATCCTATCCAACGACCAGTTTCCACGGCCCTTTGATCTAAAGTTGCGCGGGAAGATTGCGAGAGAGTCGCAGAGTTATGCAGGAAAAGGCATACGTGTTTAGCTTACCAGTAGACATAAAACGGAGACATAAAGTTGATTCTCATCAGAGAGATCTTTTCCTCATCAAATCAATGACAGCTGTTGGCGCGTTATATTGCGTAGCTATTAGTGCTGGCGACAGTCTTGATAGAATCACTCAAGCTTTCGATTTAGACAGTGGTTTGTTTTTTTATTACTCAAAGCCAAGTATGCAGATCTAATTGCTGTTATCTTCGAAGATTGGTCGTGTATATCGATATGATTACTACTTAATCAACAATACTAAACGGCGGAGTAGGTCAAGCACACGCACTCCCATTTGAATCATATTCCGGTGTAGTGATATCCGATCGTCTCAGTAAACAAGCTACTAACGAGATAGGTAAATAGATTATATTTATAACTAGGAAGGAAAAGGGTGTAGATCTATGAAAAAAGAAGTACAGCCGATACAATTCCGCATTCCCTTTAATTTCTTATATCTTTAAAACCAAAATATTAATTCCTTACATCTCTACAGCTAAAAAGCTATAGTACTATTCGTATAGAATACTTCTTTTAGGTAAATATAACAATAAAAGGGGGCGGATAACCTAGTATTATTTTAAGCGAGCCCCCTTAACCCAATTTACAAATACTTATACTGTAAGTAGAACAAACGTAAAATATCAAATTAACCTAAGTATATTATAACCTTCATTTCAAGTACTCTACTTCTCCCGGTCCTACTAATTTTACTATTTAAAGCTAACAGCGTATTTCCATCCCACCGAACCCTTCTCGAAATAAAATTTCGCACAGAAATATCGCATTTAGCCCCTTTTCAAATAAGCGAGGAATAAGACCTACTTTACGCCGAGGCCAAAAAAAAAATCGGAACAATTATATAATTCGCCAAGCCCTCGATCTAGATCACCTCCCAGGATCAACCCCACATTCCCACCACATCCAGGGGTCACGACATGAAATTTTGAAGAACACCATCCTGTCTTCTTTTCAGTTTTTTTCCGGGGGTTTTGCAAAATGTAAATGACAGACAATTAATTCTCCAAATAATTTGTGTATATATATATATACGTATACCGTCTTTCATTTCCAAATACGTCGCCAGACTTAATTCACCCCGCAAATTCAAACAAGGCTCCACAAGAAAACGCGTAAAGTGGTGTGACTTTTGCTAGAATCACCTGTTTTCTTGAACTTTAGAGGGTGGTGAACAGACTAGTTCAAAGAACTTTAATTACAGTCTTACCTTCTTCTCTCATTTTCTTTCTTGTTTTTCCTGTTTTCATTCTATTTACAAATATACGGGCAGGAAAGTATATCTTCATTTCCCATACTCGCCCACGAAACACAAAACACACACCACGAAAAGGCATACCACACGACGACGAACAAAAATGCCATTCTCATCCCCCTCCCTCCTCTCAACCCCCTACACCACCCTCCCAATCCCCAGGAACCTGATACCTCCCCGACAATCTCCCTCCCCCTCCACCACAACCACAACCTCACCTACCCCGCACATCCTCTGGATCGGCTGCACCACCACCCCCACCACCGACACGAACGCCGTCACGAACCCGCGCGCCTCGATGTTCATCCACCGCAACCTCGGCCCCCTCCTCAGCGCCACCGACCTCTCCACGCAATCCGCGCTCGAATGGTCGCTGAACCTGCTCGGCGTCGAACACATCGTGGTATGCGGACATTACGGGTGTTCTTTCCTCTCTACACCCTCCACTTCCACGGAAGAACAGACGACATCGTGGGGCGTATGGGGGAAGGATATAGCTGCGTTTCACGCGGAGCATGCGAGGTTAAGAAAAGGGATGGGGAAGGAGGAGGAGGAGAAGCGGTTCGAGGAGTTATATGTGCTGGCTGAGGCGGAGTGGTTGGGGCGGCAGGAGATGGTAAGGAAGGCGGTGGTGGAGAGGGGGTTGAGGGTTTGGGCGTTTGTGTGGGATGAGGAGAGGGGGGAGGGGGTGAGGGTTGTTAGGACGGGGGAGAAGGTGGACGGGGAGGTGTAAGATTAAGATGTGGGTTGGGATAATGAGGCCATTACTATGTGTGTTACACCTGAAAACAACCAAGACCTCCTCCTTAAAAAGAAGAAATAAGGCGGTTCAGAAACTGTCAGGTTTTAGGCATATGGGTTGAGGTTATTAGGACGAGAGAATAATTACATAATATACATCTATTATATCTACAAATACAACTAAACCCGATTCTTTAAGTCCTTTAGAAAAGAAACCGAGGCGGTTAAGAGACTGTACTATTTTAGGCCTATAACTTTTACTTATTAGTTTAAGAAGAGCTATCTTATAATTTATTAGTATCTATACTACCTTCTACCTTAATCTACTAAATCTACTAATAGAAAATAAAGCTCTCTTTTCTAATACTACTACTTTATCTACCTCTTAATACCTCTTCTATCTACCTTCTACTACTCTTTCTAACTATAAACCCTCTATTATACTAAATTACTAATACTCTATCTTTTAAATATATATAAATAATAATTATAGTATTAATAGTCTATATAAGACTTTATAGAGTATATAGAGTATATAGAGAAATAGTATAGATACTAGTAATATATATTAATTTTAGAAATATAACTAAAAGACTCTTCTTTAAAACCCGTCTACTTTAAATCGTTTAATAAAACCTTTTAATTACCTAGTTATAAAGCCGTAGAATGTAAAATATTAATCGTATAGGCGTAGACGGAATTATTATATATATTAAATCTAAAAGAACTCTATCGAATCCCGCCAAACTCGCACGCTCCCTAATTATAAAAATACAAAAAATAAACACTAAACAAGGTATTACTAATTCCATCTACTCCCATCCACCTCATCTTAAACACAATACACCCCCTCTTAAACCCAACACCACACCACCTAATCCCTAACTCAACCCCCACAAAGACCCCCACAAAACCCCCCTAATAATCAACCCTCTTCTCATAAATCGGCATATCCGTCAACCGTCCCCCCTCCTCGGGCGAATCCCAAACCACCTTCCCCTTCTCGCCCTCAAACCGCGCAAACTCATCCGAGATGCCAATCACCTCCCTCGACTCCCTAACTTCTCTCGCACTAATCCCCATCTCATCCTGGACGATCCAGAGCGTCGGCGGCGGGCGCGCGATACACGGGTTATAGTACGCCATATCGGCGTCTTCGTGCGCGTAATGCGGGGGCTCCCAGTTCGGGACGAGGGCCTGGACTTTAGCGTGAGAGGCGAATTTCGCGGGGTTGAAGAGCTTGGCGAGGAAGGAGGATTTCTTAGTAGGTGCGAGGGGGGTTTGTGATACTTCGCTTGGAGGAGTATTACTGTGGGTGGCGTCGAAATTGGCGTGTCTGATGTGGAGGAGGTCGGCTTGGGCTTTGCCGTCCATGGATTCGGGAAGGTAGGTGGTGAGGGGTCCTAATGCTGATCGAAGCATGATGTGGTAGATGATGGTTCCGACGAGGAAGACTGCCATGAGAACGATTGGGCCGGGAGCAGTGTTGATGGCAAAGAGGCCGATTAGACAGATCTCGGAAAGATAGATACCAACCATGAGTTGTTGGAGAGCTTTTGCGTAGGCGAGGCCCTTGGTGTCGATGTTGTTATTGACGACGAACATTGAATTGTATCTGACGGCGAAATATACGAGTGCAAAGCCGACTGCGGCAAATCCCATTACGAGTGGTGCAATGATCGAGTATGTGATGGCAATGATGCCTAAATTGCCGAATCGAGGATATAGTGAGCCCCATTGTAAACCGGCAAGATTGATATAACGATTATACATCTTTCTGGGTGACTTGTCCAAGAACTTTCCAACAACGGTGATCATGACGAGAGGTCCAATGCTTAGCAGCTGTCCAGCCGCCAATCCGAGACACTGAACAATGATGTATGAAATGTAAAAGTTCGAAGCTTTAGGTAAATTCTCTGCAAGAAGTGTGGTAGCGCTACCTGGTTCGTTGATGATCTGGGTTACGACAGAGGCGGCTCCAGAAGAGAAAGTGGTGATGAGGAAAACTTGAATGACTTGGAATGCCATATACCAGTTCTGAGTTTTGAGTTCGACTGCTGGATGAGTGACTTCACCACTTTGTTTCATCATGACTAAATAATGTTAGCTCTAGACCAGAACCCAAGAGACGTATTCTTACATCGACAAACAATAGGCACCAAAGCCATCAAAATAGAAAGCAAAATTGATGGCAATAGTCCAGTGACAACACCCAGAATGACCTCTGGTATGCTATTGATGAAGCTTAAGAATGGAACTTCTACTCGGGAATTAGCGCTGCTTCATCAAATACGCGGGGCACTTACTATCCGTCAGATAATTGATGTTACTGATAGCACCGACAACAGCAACCGGAATAGACCAGAAGATGATCATCAGAGTCAGGAAAGTGTTAGTAGCAATTTTTCTCGGAATGCGTTCCTTCTTGGTAATTCGGAGGTTTTGCCAAATGACATCGGACGGCGTCATAGATACCGCACGAGGATACATCTTAGGATTCTTCTTTGGGGTCATTCTTCTGTATGCCGTCCAAGCAGTGTGCTGCGATGTGAATTCGACAAATACAGATGGCAAGATCTTAGCATCAAAGTGCTGATGCGCGTATTGCTGTCTTTCAATCTCGGGATTGAGTCGTTTGAGTTCGCTGCGAGTGTATTCGATGGTATCAACCTTGTGTCCAATACAAGGAATCTTTCCCAATCTTTGAGTTGGGCGATCCTTGTCCTTCTGGAATTGAGATCCTGGCATTGCCCTTTCCTCATTACTCGCGGTAGCATTCAATCGTTTGTCGTTCTTCTTCGTCCACTTCAGTCGTCGCTTATTGGCCACCTGGCAGATTTTGATCTCAGCCGCCTCAAGTTTAAAAGCATGTTCGTCTCGCTCCTCGACCAAGTCTTCCAAATCACCACAGTCCGTAGCAAGCCATGCGCGTTGTACACCGCCTGCGAAAACCTCCTGGAGTTTGTTCACGTTGAGAAACTCGGCTGGAACATCAGTAAACAGGACGGTCCGGGAGGAAATCCTGGAAGCGTTGAATGGGGCGAGGAGGTATGCGTGGCGTAAGTTGATGAAGTAAATTGTCTCTCGAGTGACGATCCACATCACGAAAGCTGCCAATGTCAGAAGCTTGTACATTAAAACATGGTGCAAGACGACATACCAAAGAAGATCCAGCCACAGAACACATGCGCATAGTATCGATTCTTTTGCTGATCGTTGATATTGGAGAACGAAAGAAGATCAAGTTGCGTTTGCCCGCCACCACCCGTCGCATTAACAGGGAACAACACAGGGAACGTAAGGCACGAGCCGGCAAAACAGATGACTGCCAGAATCTTCAAAAATCGCAGGTAAAGGTATCCATCGAGTGACTGATGGTTGAGAACATGCTCATCGGGAATAGACTTGAAGGTGCTCAACCAGCCGAACTTCTTATCTGGCAATGGATGTGACTTCTCCCTGTGACAGGTTAGTATAGTTGTGTAAAACAAAGGCGAATCCTACCCATCGTAGAGAGTGTCGAGATACGTTCGAGGACGATATACGCGCTTGAATTTGCTGCGAATGAGGAAGAAAACTGCGGTAAAGGCGATAGCTTGTGCGGCCACGGGTACCAAGGTAGAAAGGAAACTGGAGAGTGAATTAGATGATCCGGTGCTGGTACCAGAACCAGCGGTTTGGGAATTGGTGGATGACTAGTATCGCTATCAGCTTGAGCTCCAAATCGAGGATCGATATTGTTTGTTTGCGAATTCAATCCAGAAGGGGGCGAAGAGACATACCATTTTCACTGTCGCACAGCTCAACCGAAAAACCTCATATAATAGTGAGACTCGACAATCCACAGATCAGAAGCAATCCGAATTATTGTAAAGATAAAGGAGGCAACACCCTTAGTTGTCGTCGCAATAATATGAGGTTGGCAATTTAGGTTCGGCTCCAGCAAATTGTTCCAAGGTCAACAAGCGTTCGTCCCACCGTAATCGTCATGTTGCTGCCGCTTGACACATCACTAGTAAGTAGCACTCGAGTCGTCGATGCGACTAAGGGGTCTAGTGGTGCACGCTTGTGCGTAGACAGTTAGAGGCGTGATCGACGTGGAGAAGCGATCACGACCAGCTGAAATGACATGGGCCGGCGCAGGATGGGAAATGATTTCCACAATAATGGAATAAAACCCGGTTACAAAATGGTAACAAAAAATAACAGATTTATTAATTAAAGAAGAATTGATCGCAGTGAAAAATGAAAGAATTGAATTATCTAAAGTAACTTCAATTCGAGGCAGCCAAGCATACACAGTCCCACGAGGTTGGAGTCTGACGTCGAGACCTTCATGCTAGGCCGATGGTGTTCCAGGAAAACAAGATGAGATGGCAAATGCAGGGATAAACCGACTGCTTAGCTGCACAGGAATCGACAGTGCGACAAGGCGTCGGACCGTACTAAATCTTAGATCTGGTCTAGGCCTAGCCAAGTATTTCAGGGTCCAAGGTCCAAGGGTTGGGTTGAGGTACGTGTACGAAGTACACGATTGCCATTGATATAGAATAAAATAAAAATATATAAAAATGAAAGTAGAATAAACTATTTTAAACGGCCGAGAAAGGCGAAGCCCTCTTTGAACCTTTTTAGGTCGTAAAATCCCCACGAGAAGTGGGGGTGCGCCAAAGACCTGTAAGTTGAAAAGAGTAGTAACATATGAGAGTTAGGCAAAACTCTTGAGATGGCTGAGAGAAGCGACATATTAGAGTCCCTAACGTTTTATATCCCGAGGGTGAGATGTATATGTCAAAGAGCTATAAATGAGAAAGAGCAGCAAGATGAGAATAGAACAAAGACCTTCTGGTGATTGACAAAAGCATAGTAACTCCCGTTCTCTCCAAGCTGGTGAAGACCTCGTGGTAAAACGAAGATCAACCAAGGACCTACAACTCAAGATAAACCAAAAGATTAATATGTTCGCAGTCTGTCGGACAATACTGATTGTCGCATATACAACAGAGCCCCTGCTGCACTTTTCTCTGCTGCACTTAACATACCAACCCCGAACACCACCCCACTCCACGAACCACACTCAAGGAGGCGGACTAAGATCCAACCCCTCAACACTAAACTTAAACGAATCATTCCTACCCATCATCAGCAAACCGGCTCCAAATCAACAAAGAATCTGCCTGCATACCTCGAATAACTGCCTCCAACATCAAGATCCAGTCTCCCTCTAATACAATCCTCAAAATCCACATCGGTGAATAACAGTCCATCGTCATTATCCCACAAGGGACCTTCGAGGACGTCTCCAAAGGGGGAGATGATGCAGGAGCCGCCTCTGCATATGAAGTCTGAGGAGTTTGGGTTGGAGGTTTCTGGTGACTCGTCTTCTTCGTGCAGGGTGTCTGGGAGAGCAATTTCATGGCCTTCTGGCGTGACGACTGATTTCCTCCTCACTTTCCTCGAGCCCGTCTCAGGCAGCGCAATCTCATGACCATCCTCCGTAACCGACATCCTCCTTAATCTCGTAGGCAGAACCGTGCCTCCATTCACATTTGCCTTCCCATTACTACTCTCTGCATCCTCGTCCCTTATCCAAGCCGGGAGATTCGATTCCCTCACACACTGATTCGCACTCACCACAAAACACCTCCCCTCCGCCCCCACCGTCCTCATAAGCGCCAGCCACGCATCCCTCGCATCCGCCGTCGGCGCGAGATACAAATTGACATTCTGCGCATACAACGCCTGTCTGAGGAGCGGCATATAATTTTCCCAGCAGATCGCCGCCGCAAGCGTGATTTTCGTGCCGTTGATAATCGTGGTGACGGCTCGGAGGGAGGACGGCTGGCCTTGTCCCCAGATGAGCCTTTCGCTGCCGGTCTGTAAATCTCAGCAACGTCCTTGGTTTCTGACGCCAGAATATCATCACTTACAGGCATAACCTTCCTCCTCTTCCCCACGCACCCCTCGCGCGGACACACATACACAACCCCACAATACAACGTCCCGGCACACCGTTCCACGAGCCCAACAACCAGAAAAACGCCCGTCTCCCTCGTGATTCTCTCGAGCTCCTCCCGAGTCCCATCGCCCCTTACCCCCTCCAGTTCCCTGCGCACCCACCGCTCCCCCGCGCCCTCAGGCGTATCCCCCAAATCAACCGCGTCTTTGAAGTAGGAGAGGAACTGCTCGCGGCCCTCGGGTGTGCGGGCGCCGATCGAGGCGCCGAAGGTGGCGGTGCGGGGGTAGCCGCCCAGGTAGGCTTCGGGGAAGAGGAGGAGGTCGATGGCTTGGGATTGCGCTTTGCGGGTGGTGTGTTCGAGGGCGGTGAGGGTTAGGGCCGTGGTGGGGAGGGTGTGGGATTGGGAGATTGCGAGGCGGATTTTGGGGGGCATTTTGGGTGTCAATTGGTTGTGTAAGGGTTGTGGTGGGTGGTGGTGTTGTGGGAGGGAGGAGGGAGGGAGGAGGGGGTGAGGATGGCGGGGTTGGTAGCTTGCTTGTTTCTTACAGGGGCTTAGCTTCTGCCCCTCATTTGAGGAAGCGAGGACTATAACCTAACTTCGAGCCTCTCTCTAGACTAATCTTCACAAGTAAATATAGTAACAATAAACTTTACCTATTATTCTAGAGGTCTAATATCTATTCTATAAGTAAAAATGTAATTTATATAACAGTGTTTAATTCTATAAAATTACTAGTTCATATTGCGATATAAGGACCGAGTATATTCTAACCAAAAATCTATTTCTTAGTTCCAACTTACCAAGTACAGGCAAATTGGCACTTTACAGACGATTAAGCTAAAAATAAAATAAAATAACAATATTTATCAATTCAATCCAAAGTTACAGCCTAGGGTATCATACTCCAATAATCCATTTAACCAACCCCAATATCAACCATCACTTCTCCCCTCCCCCTTCCGCTCTCCATCGCCAACCCACGCCCAAGCCCCCAACACCTCGCACAACCACCTCATCCTCCCCACCACCTTCTCCCTCCCAACCTCCTTAACCGTCCTAACAACACACGCCTCAATCCCCCCAAAGCACTCCCTCCTCCGCAGTAACATGCTCGGCTCCAGCACCACCTCCTTGTCAAGCGGCCCCAACACCGCAGTCGCCACCTCCTTCTCGCCCAGAAACCTTACGCAAAAAGCTTCAAACATATCATACTCCACCAAGAAACGTAGCATACTCTCCAGATCCTCTGAATCAGGGAAGACATCTTTCGCCCCATCTTTCGTACCCAAAACTTTAGATAAAGAGCTTAGGTATTTCAACTCCCCGATGATAGATTCGAGGGAGAGAGGCGGAAGACTGCGTAAAAGCGAACGATCATACCCAATACCCGCACGAAAAATATGATTACACCATACACTCCCGATAATACACGGGATCAGCACGGGATAACCCTCCCAATGTTCAGCGGTGACGAGACTCGCTGCGCCAGCGAAGATGCCGATGGCGCCTAGGACGGTGGAGTGGAGTTGTACGCGTCTGGTGCGCTGGCGGAGGAGGGATTGAATTTCAGCTTCATCGTGTAAAAGGCGCTGAGAGGCAGTGAATTGATGTTGCGCGCGACGGAAGATGTAGATTGACCAGGCGGCGTTGATGAGGCCGAATGCAGCGACGGGCGCATTGCCGATATATCCAGAGAGCAGGTTACTCGCTCTGAACACCCGCGGGTTGGCGCCGCCTATGGCCATGAGGGTGCCGATACCGACCATGACGCAGCCGAAGCCCATGAAGATATCCAAGCCGGTGCGATCGAGGAGTTCGGTGCCCATCTCGCGGTAGTTGACGTTGAGGTATGCTTTCGCGTCGCGGGTCGGGGGTTGCGAGGATAGGAATTCGCGCTCGGTGCGGAGGGAGACGTAGTTTTGGTGGGAGAGGTAGGCGTCGTAGAAGGCGAAGTAGGAGATGAAGAGGGCGAAGAAGCCGCCGATGCCCATGAGGACTGCGGCGAAGGCTGGGACGGGGATTTGGTTCCAGACGTTGGCTGCGAAGTCGCCTGCGTTTGCTAGTTCGAGGAAAGCGACGCCGTAGAGGAGGGAGTTGCGGAGTCGATATGTAGAGATTGGGACGTAGATTTTCTTCTTGGGAGAGTAAATGAGAGTTGTTGGGGGGTTGGAAGGGTTCGTAGGTGGTAGATTTCTTGTGATTGGGGTTACGCGTTGGGCCTTTTCTTCTTCGAGGGAGTGTTCGCGGGTGATAATGGGTAATGTAAGAGTCGATGAGATTGCGGATGAGTTTGGTGATGAGCTTGCCGACTCCCCTGTGGCTTCATGGATACTTTCGAGGACATCTTTTCGTTCTTTGAGGGAGTTGTCTCGAGTTGCGGTCTTTACTTCTTCTTCCTGAAGTGCTGATTGATTCGAATCTCGCATACCCTCATCTTGACTGCGGAGGCCTTCGCTGTCCTTCGTTTCGGGCTCAGCTGCATTTCCATCTTCGCAATTCTCGTCGTCTGTAGCATGTTTTTCACCCAGATCTCCTTCCTCAATCTGCATCACCACCGCCTCTCCATCAACCCCTCCAACTCCACCCCAACCATTTCCCCGCGATTCAATATCCTCGTGATTACCATCCATGTCATGCATCGTGATCGTCAATTAGCCAACGTAAAAATGCTAGAGCATCGTGGCTGTGTTCTCATACAAAGGAGACAAAACTCTTGGGTGCGTATTTATTTTCTGATATGTCGCTGTCAGCACCAAAAAAAGCTCGTTAGTAACCCTACTGGACCCTCCCTTAGACTAAAAGAGGAAATAGGCTCGACTTCGATGCTGAAACGCCCATCCCAAAAATCTACTAGTCGACCGGCAACTTTGCCGGTCTAATGTGACGTCAGATCAGCCTTTGAATGCCGTGTAGCCGTGGGTACGGGTAACAACCCGTGTAATTAGTCTTGGGGATCAAACTTTGTTGCATAGTCTCGGTCTACAATAAATCGTACAGTATTATACGCATTCTGAGATATGTGGTAATGTTTTCAAAATCGAAAATCAAAAGCCAAAACTCGCTTAGCCCTATACCTTTAGACGAAGATCGGCCGTAGATTGAAACTACCTAGGTAGATACAGAACAAAACGTATAGTGAGCCCTGAGAAGAGTGATACTAGTCTGACGGCCTACAACTTCTTTTTGTTCTAAATCTAAAAGAAGCATTTGAAAGCCGTAAAACGCCCTGTGGATATATTCGAGCGATACTTTTATGAGAGAGAGAGAGAGAGAGCGCGCGCGAACTGAAAGCATGCTCCCACCAAGGAAATGCTACCACAGAGAAAGTGTAAAATCCTGGGGATACGTACGAACTGTTTATAGTCAGAACATAAGAGAGACAAAAGGAAGGAAAGAGAACGCTGCCACTTGGCAGGTTACAATTGACAGGTCTACCATTCGGATAATCTGCATAGTCTACATTCTACAACTCCAGATCATCTCTTAATCCATCTAACCACCCCCCTCCCATCTATCTACCACCCCTCAACCCTCTCAACCCCCCATCCAACCCTCCTCTCATCCCTCAATCCCAAAAACCCTCCCCGTATTCCCCCACGCCATCTCCGTCACCTCCCTCAACTCCACCCCCCTAACCCCCGCAACAACCACCCCAACCTTCCCAATAACACACGGTTCATTCCTCCCCTTAACACAGTTCCCCTCCGCCCACCTCTCCTTCTTAACCCACCTCCCCACCTCCTCAAACCCCTTCAAATACTTACTCCCCGCATGACTAGCCCTGATCTCGCACCACGGGCCGTCCGTCTCCAACATAAGTCTTTCCAGCGGAATCTCCTTCACCACCTTGAGATTATCCTCCGTTTTAAGAGAGCAGCCGTTGACGCCTATATGCCATCCCCGTTGCACTAACTCTTGCATTTCCTCCATCGATCCCGTGAAAGAGTGCACGACGCCGCGTTTCGGGAGTCGATCCGAGTATTTATTCAGGATAGTGAGGAAATCGGCGTGCGCGGCGCGGGAGTGGAGGAAGAGCGGGAGTTGGAGTTCGGTGGCTAGCTCGAGTTGCGCGGTGAAGTATTTGAGTTGTGTTTTCTTTGGGCAGAGGGTCAGACGGTCGTAATCGAGGCCTATTTCGCCGAATGCGACGCAGTGGCCGGAGGATTTGGCTTCGATTGCCAGTTTCTTGAGCTGCGAAAGTAGGTCTTCGGGGGATGGATCGTGGGTTTCGAATTGTGTGCAAGAGCAAGGATGGACGCCTATTGTGGTGTATATTGTGCCAGCTAGAGCTCCATTAGTATACTAATCCACATCTCGGAGGTGTTTGGACATACGATATTCCTTCGCCAACTCCACAGCTTTCTTTGATTCCGCCAGATCACTACCCGTCACGATGAGTTTCGTACATCCTGCTTCTTTTGCGCGGGCGACTACCGCGTGGAGGTCTGCGGGGTGGCGTTGGGTGCCATGGTAGATGCCGGAGTAGACGGGGTCGGTGAGGTTGATTCCTATCTACTGTGTTTGTGGTTAGGATGGTTTGATCGTTTTGGGGTGTGCTGGGGGAAGTACATCTATGTAGCGGGGTTTGTAGGAGCTTGGGGGTTCGGGGATGGGAGATTCGGTCGCCATTGAGAATGAGCGAGAGGAAAAGAAAGAACGCTGTTTAGGTATGAGAATTGGAGAAGCTGTTCGCGATACTTGGGAGAAGCGGAAGCGGTTCATGGATGTTGGATGTGGTGATACGTGTTGGAGAAATGTCCTTATTAGAGTTGACGTCGTTGAAGCTCGAGGTCTCCGCCAAGCAAATCAATGATCCTTGCAATATTGTTTGCTACATACTCGAGTACTATTTCCAAAGCACATCCAGCTATAGAGTGTCTTTAGTTTAAATAAATAGATATATCAGTCTAGTCTAAATCTGTCAATTTCTCATTTGTGAATATGTTCGTAAAAAGGGTGAAGCAGCGACTCTAGTAATGCCATTCTCTAGATATGGTTGAATGATACATATGGAATTGACATAACCAAGCAGGTTTTAGCAGAAGCCATTTATTTTCTGCCTCAGATGCCTATGTTTTCTCGTGTGTTTCGCAACACGTCGCGGAATTGTAGAAAGATGTGATCTCATCGCACAGGCTATATCAGTATCGCATATACAAACAACCCAAGTCATATAGCATATTTAACTACACGTTTCTTCTTAAATTCGTGAGCTACGTATTTCACCCATCCCACCATCAATCATCAACAAAACGAAATCCCCTTGATTCGACCTCCCATGTCAAATCAAGAAATACCTCGCACCGACGCCCAGCCATTCGTAAATGACAATGCAACCTCCAACCTCCCACCTCAACCCTACTTTATGCAAATGGAAGAAAATAGATGATACCGAATCGACAGACAATTGCTCGGATGAGCGGACCAACTGTCGATGTGGTTATGACCAATTATGTATGGATCCGCTATGTGGTAAAGCGCTAAATGGCAAAGAATAAAAGCAAAATTGATTATATCAATTATGCCTTAGTTCCTACGCCGTCTTTGCGTTCGGAGGTTTTCCGTCCGACAGCAGTCTCCTGACTGAACTTTTTCCATAACAAGTTGATATCCTCTTTGTTGTCATTCTTCTCCGTAATCAAATTCTTCAACCATTTGTTCTCCGTCTCAAGTTGGTTGATGCGTCCCTCCAAAGCGCTGACTTTGTCGCTCATTTCCTTGGATGTCTTCTCGAGTGCTTGTTCACGTTGCTTCTTCTTCACTCGGAATCGCGCAGATGCCGCAGTATTGCGGCGACGCTTATCCTCCTCAGCAGCCATACGCGAGGCTTCCTCGAAATCAGGAGCTGGTGAGCTCTGAGACATGGATCCAGCCTTTCGCTTCGTGCCTGTCGCTGGTGTAGTCAAGCCAGAGGCTGGCGACCCAGCGCTTGATGGAGCTGGGTACAAAGGTTGGTTTGTATTGATGGGTGGTGGCTGAATCGGGCCATTACCGTCGGTGAACGAAGTTGGCTGGGCAAATGCATTGAAGTCTGGAAACTCGAAGTTGCCTATACGATTCATGGTGTCGTCAGCATGATTGCTTTTGCAACGAGAATCCGTGGATCAACGTGAAAGTTATAGGACCACAGTCATCAACCCGGCACCTCAATAAGGAAGGTAACCAAGGTTGAGTATATTGTTCATTTGGTGAGGTTGGCTGAGATCGGTGTTTCTGGAACACGTGATATCGCGCCATATACATGGATGATAAAGCAATATGTCGACCAATGGATTGAACAAGGAAAATGGAAAATGTATGCAAAGCTACTGCAAAGAAGCACCCTTATGCATCGAAATGCAACGGGGAGGTGCACGTGAAGGAGCAGTGATGGCTTCGCGGGGTGGTAGAGACAATTGCGAAAGCAGTCGATGGCATGACACCTTGGTCAAGCCAGAAGGAAGATCTGAATAGCAAAATGAAGGACAAAACTCGGGGGACACGACTAAAAGACAACAAGAATAGATCTTCATACCTTGCAGACCAAAATCCAACGACTTCATGTCGGTTCCCTCTGAAGCAGCGGGAGCTTGTGCATCTGGACCACCTCCAAGTATATCTCCATCTTGTACTCCTAGATCGAAATCAAAGAAGTTTGTATTCGTGAACATAGCCAGGTCATCTTCGAGGTTGAAAGTGTTGTCCTGCGAGGATTGTAGGTCTTGGGCGGATGGGATCGCATTCAAGTTCGCAATGTACTCCGAGACATTAGGACCCCGCCTGCCATTGTATGCCATATTTTCGGATGTGTGCGACGAGTCACGAGTGCCGACTGATGGAGTTTATTCGTGTAGATTCGTCGCCCATGCGTATCTGGTCGTCGTCGTCGTCGATTTCGTTCGATGCGGTGGTAGTGTCGAGGTTGTAGTTTGGATGATGGAGGGTGGGAGTCTTGCGGGCAAGTCCTTTGTATTTCTTTGTGGCTCCGCGCAACGCTGCCGAGCAAGGCGCCCGTGAATCGAATGGTGAGTCGACGGGCAGTGGTATGTTACCCCAGATTGGCGCTCTAGAAAGATGGGGAAGCGCGGGCGCTGTTCGCTTTGGGCGAGGAAAGAAGCAAATACGCTGGTATTTTAGGTGGTTGTAGAGGAAAACTCACCTGGTCTCAATTTGCTGGTGGTGTTGAGTGACTTGGCCCACTCTGGTCGTGGATGACTAAACGGATTTCGATTTTCGGCTTTGATGGCTTGACCAAGCGTGGGATGATGGAGAGAAACACGGGCAAACCGACACTGGATTGGATCGGGATCTGATTTTTAAATTATCTTGCAGATGAGGAATGAGACAGCGTGCATGAATTGGACACTCGAAATCTGTCAAGGAAGAAGATGAGTATTCGAGAGTTGTATCTACAATAATACATAGAAAATACAGTAACAAAATGATATATGGCAAAGTCATGACTTCATCCCTTCCATCCGGCATCACCTACGCCCTACGAATATCCCAACCATTTCTACATCACTCTACTTTGATTCCTCAAAGGACTTGAGAAACTCGTTTCAACCTCGGAGAAGTCCAGAGTCGATTTTTAATCAAGCCTATCCAATCATCACGCCTAGCGCAATCGGACTTTACGTCCGGTTAATACTCGGGATCTGTCATAGATTCAGACAAAGACCCGAGTCAGAAGCCGAAGTGGGGGTCATCGCCATTGGAAGTTTTAATTCGCTCTCTCTTGAACGGGCGTCTTGGTAGTGTGGAAGGCAGGACGTAGGTCGGCTGAGGTAGGAGGCTAGCGGATAAACGTCGGCTGAGGTAGGATAGTTACCGGCGTATAAGCGGTATATCGATAGCTATATATCTACTTAAAAGTACTAATTATATAGAATATAAGCTATATTAATAGTAGTATTATTAAGTTATAGCTTATATATTAACTACTAGTTATATTAATAGTAATAAAGAGTATTTAATATAATATAAGTTTTTTTAATATATTATTAATATATTAAGAATATATTAAAAATATACTAGTAAACTCTTAATAACTTTAACTTTTAAGTATTTTTAGACTTTTATAATACTTATAGATTAGATTTAATCTTATAAAGTTGTTATAATAGTATAAAAGTATAAAATTATTTAATAATACTATTAAAAATTATTTCTATTAATATATTAGTAACATATTAGTAATATATTAAAGATAACTTTAAAATAAACTTATATCTTTCTTAAATACTTTAGATTTTTTTTCCTTTTTAATTTATATAGTAAACGACTAGACAGCAAGCTAGCACCAGGAAACCGCGTCCTCCCACATTAGGCAAGGCGTGCGCACGGACCGGCCGCCGCTTTCGCGCGGTGTAAGAACGTCGCGTCGTCTATCGCTAGCTCCCTTTTCAACCCCTTATTCCTTTCTAACCGCTCTAGCGACCCCTTCCACCTGTACTACCTTCATGCGCATTCCGCCCTTCCCGCCTAGAATCCTGCGCCGTCTAGCCCCTGGGCAGGTCTTGAGACGTACCTATTTCTTACTTGCGTAATTGGTCTGTAACTCGGCTAGATGTAGATTAGGGCTTTTTCACATTAATTTTGTCAAGATTTGGCGATAATATCTTATGAGTAACTCAATTACTAGACACATGCGTCTGAATTGTTCCCACTGGTGTGAATATCCACGTGGTCGACAGACTAATCAGTTATCCGTTAATAATAATCATTATATAGCTAAGCCAGGCAAACAATTGTGCATGGAGAATCAGGATCAACGATATTAAGAGTACTAGTATCGCTAATCAGCTCCGCAACTTGAACTCCTATTTCAGAACAATTTTGCACCTTGAATCTCAGCACGAAGTCGGGCTCTCCGCGAGTAACGCTAACAAGCCTATCTCCCGGGCGAACACGCAGATTTGCAACTCCAGCATGTCCACCTCTCGACACGAACATGCACCTGCCCCGCAGGAATCGTGCGATGAGTTTCTGTCTCGGGTGAAGGGCCTCGGACTCAGACCATGGATTCTGAAGATAGGTAAGGGTTTGCCTCGGCTGATCTTCCTTGACTTTTGAGCCTCGAAACTCCGCATGGATTCGGTAGAGGTGGGCACTGAGGAGGTTGACTACATCGATGTTCCTAATGCGTTGTCGGACTGGTATTCGGAAGATGCGGCAGGACCGACAGACTTGGTCGGTGTGGTAGGCTTCTTTGCGGAGGAAGGAGTAGACGGTCTGGAACGATTTAATACTCTGGAAGACGCCGTTATTGTTGTTGTCGTCGTCGTTGTTGGGTTTGTTTTGAGAATCTTTTGTTGAAGAGGTGGGCCTCAGTAGGATCACGGTGTCTATATAGTCGATCAACTGGACGGGCGTATTCAGATGGTCCTGATGGTCTGGGTCTTTGATGACTGGCCATTTAACTCTTCTCTCGCCGTTAGAGAAGAGCTGCGATGACGCCCCATAACGAGTTTCGAGCCGGTACGACCACGAGTACTGGTCGTACTCGAATTCCGTGAATCGCTAGTCTGGCACCCATGATGGTAGATCCGAAATAACATGCTCACCGGAGAAGGAGCGAGTAACGCACGCAATCGAGAATAAATCGAGAATCGCAGGTGTGCTGTCGGTGCTGGTGTCGTCGAGCCGCTTAATTTGAAACTTCAACTGCCATCGAGATAGAAAGGTGTATGCGGATTGTAGAGAGTTCGACACGGAGCCAGCATCATCGATCTAAGGTTTGATATGCTCTGGGGAAGCCCATAAGTGAGAGAAATACCCTATCAGAGTAAGTACACGGTCTCTATCCTCGACACACTTGGAGTGCCGAAATACCACCATCCCTTCTACCGGGTTGCGAAGTTGGGAATTCTTCTTGGACCGTAGTTTCTCGATTGTGGTGAGGACATGCTCCATATCGCTGAAAGCTAATGGCATTCCTTGCCCTTCTCTTAGAATATCGTCAACTCTGACATTTGATGTAGCCTGGCTGAGAGCATCCCAAGACAACTCAAGACTTCCACTCTGACAAATGACGTCGGAGGCGAGAGCCACTTCCTGAATAATCCACCGCCTGTAAAAATATGGCCTTGAGAAGAATTCTCGAAGAGTGAGATAGACGGGATCGAGCTTGTCCCGCATTACCTCCAGTACCAGCTCCTTGTTTGGCCGCAAAAAGGTGTTTCCAGCGTGACGCATGTAATTAAACACCAGCTTCGCGTCACGTTCAGGTCCAAGCCAAGCTCGAACTACGCTGGCCTGGCTATAAAGGCGGCCCATGATCTGAATTTGCTGCAGCTTCTCTGGGTCGTAGCCTTGATCGATACAAACAGCATCGACCCAAAGATTTCGAACATGTTTCTTATCCCTCAGAGCGCGCAGCGCCTGAGCAAGATTTACACCGATTTGTAGAAAACCTTTCCCCCGCGGAATGTCGCAGTTGCAAGACTAGCTTTTATCGATGACGCCGACGGTATCTTCGCAGATCAGCTGCTCGGGAGAGACGGTGGCATTGCCCCAAACATAAGAGAGCGCATCGAAGCGCACGCCACCATTGTCGATGTGAGAGCCTTTCTGCTGCTTCTCGTCATCGCGAAGTTCGATGTGCTCAATGATACAGTGGAGTTGGGCATCGTTAAGTCCGGGAAGAAGGCGAATAATACGGATTCGCGAGTGGTTGGCGTCTATCGACGTTCTATCAGTCTTGTCACGGTGGCGAGGGTGAAGAGCAAAATATTGATACGGCTCTATACTCTATTAAACGCTGTCAGCCCAACCGTGCAGGGAGAACTATTTGTCTTTATTAGACCTCACCATTTGTCTCAAAGTACTAATAGGACTCTGAGCCCACCGTCCACTCTGTCCAAAGGATTGCCAAGAATTAACGAACTCTTCGATTTTATGGTCGCGACGCCTTGGCCGCCAGGTGCCGATCGCTAAAGCAGCGTGGGATTTTGGCTACTCGGCTGCAGAAAACAGCGACCAAACCCTCTAAAAACAGCAGCTAGTTTGCCGTTTAGTCGTTAAATAGAGTATTTATAAGTTATAATATGTTATTATTATTATCTAGAAGCTACTTAGAAGTTTATTATATAAATAATAATAGTAATATATTCTTAATATATTCTTAATATATTAATAATATATTAGTAAAACTAAAACTTTAAAATAAAAAGTTTTCTATAATAACTAATAACTTCTTTTATTAGTTATTATTTAATTACTATTTAAATACTTTAAATTTAGTATTTTTAATAGAATATTTTATTAGTATATTAAAGTACCTAGGTAGGTAGTAAAGGTAGCCGGAGCTCGATATCCGAGTCGTCCGAAACTAGACCGGTATTTATCCGCCCGACCTCCTACCTCAGCCGAGCTGCAAGCTCGTGGAAGGGCGTAGACCTCACTTTTGCAAAACCTCACCTTCGCCGAACATGTGATGCAGCTTTCCACCAGCCCGCGAAGGCCCACCAGTAAGGCTGCGTGGTGCCTCCAACTCGGTTCAAGTCGTTTGCTACTCGTGTAACCGCACACTTCCATGAAGTCAATCGAGAAACTGTCTTTATTTCTCCCTAATGAGGTAGGCCGGCTTCTCATAAATTTCAACATAAATTTCAACATAAATCTGAGCCTTCAACACCATAGCACACAGATCACCAAAATGGCGCACCAGTTCATCTGCGCTAACTGGACTCCAGACCGTACTGACTGCAAAAAGTCTGGCACGTTTACTTGCAAGAATTGTCATCTCGTGCTGGTGTGCCTTTGCCATCTCGTCCCTATTATCCACCGGAACGATCTTCCCTAACCAATCTATTTAGTACTGCGGTGCGAACTGCCAAAAGTCACATTGGCCCATCCATAAGAAGGACTGTAAGTCAGATCTATCCAAGGCGACATGGGAGCCTAGCTGGGTTCTCGAAAAGCGAACACCCGCTTTCATCGGAGGAGAGAGAATTCAACAATTCGGAGGGCAGAAATATCTTTGGGGTAACGTTCCGGCCTATGATGTTCTTCAACTCGAAACAAATGAAGGTCGCGATTATGGGAAAGATCTTCACCTCTTGTTTGCAGGTGAGTTTGGTTTGTTCCTCGAATCTGATGGGTACTTTGGTGACAAAACCCTAAATTTCTAGCTTCTGGTGATATTCGAAATGTTGCTGAGACCATTGCAAACATCCCTAGCTGCTACTATCAATCTGTCCAAGTCACAATGAACGATAGGGATATTGACATCGTGGCACGTAACGCCATAATGATTCTTATTGCGTTCGTTGTGGATGATATCGACAAAGCTATAGACAGTATTATACATGTTTGGTACTCGGCTCTCATTCGTGAATCTGACTTCAACATTCTCCAACAGTTGATTCGCCCACTCATCGAAGACACTTGCTGCAAGATCAGGAGCAAAGGACCACAGGCCCTCTTAAGCAAGACTTGGACGTTTGGAGAGCGCTCTCTGAGACTCGTGTTGGAAAAGTCGGCATGGGACAAGCTCCTATCCTTCATGGATATTCCTGCAGGTCTGACTTTACAACAAGCTGACCGAGTTCGCACTGCCGTTACTCTTGCTGAGTCCAGGAAGGATTATATTGATCGGCATATGCTTTTCCAATCTCCTTCACACCGAGTAGCAATGAAGCGATTTCGAAAAGACGGGCTCTTGCTACCATTTGGAGCTCTACGCGATGAATTTCGTTTCCCAAACCCGTCAGTACATGAATCAAAACCGAATTCATTAGCTGATCTAACCAATCATAGAACCTTCTTTCAGACTGCAGATTCCTGGCAGATGAAGGACAATGCTGATCCTCTCAATGGATGGCACGCGAAGGAAGTCAGAGAACATCCAAGTGGGCTAGCGACGGCTGACATATACGGCAAGCTCTTCTATCATATCCGCGCAGTGCTTCGGGATTTTGTTAATCGCATGTCGGATTTGTCAGTATCTTTCCAATTGTTTCAGGTAGATGCTTCTGATCTTCCCAATCGTCTTAAGCATGGCTCGTTTAGCAGAATTGAGGTAAGTAGATGATAACCTCCTGGCCGTTTCTTCGGACTTCCGAGCTCTGGCCTGAGTTGATGCATTTTATGCAGGTCTCTAATATTGCGGATGGCGGTTATCTCGGAATCCATCGCACAGTCGCCCTACTCGGTCCTCTGCTTCAATCGCCTAGCATTAACCCACACGCAACCCTTATTACTCTCTTTATGAACGTTGTCGATGAAAACATCTCTGATCAAGATCAAATTGCCGATACTACCCCGCTTAGCCCAACCACCAAACGACTTTTAAAATACCTCCCTTTTCATGGAATGCCGAGTAAAAATATCTATGACCCTAGAATCATCAAATTCAATTTGGCCAGGAGCATTGTAGCAAACTATGACTACATTTTTGATAGGTATGTGATGACCAAGCAGAATATGACCTATCTCTGTTACTATATAGATGAATGTTAATTGCATTTCAAGATTCGTCAAAAACGCCGAGCTCTCCAAATTCGAACCGCTCATAGGATTTGCCATGAAAGAAAAGAACACGATCGTCGAGAAATGGCCCTTTAGATTGAAACTTCAGCCTGGTCAACCCGGAGCCCAAGAAGAGTTCGACCGACTGCTCAGTGGAGGGGTATCAGGAAAAGAGATTTATTTGGAGTGGAAAAGAACTAGGATGTGACTAGCTGAGCATCGTCGACCAAGAGAATGTCGAAACGATGACGACGATGAGCATGGAAAAAATGGATCGAAGTGGAAAGCCTTCGATCTGTGGCCTGGGCTGGGTTATCTTTGCCTTGAAAGAACTGAAACGCGTGAATTTGGACGTTGTGGCGTTGAAAGAACGACAAGAAAAAACCTAAAAAAAAAAGAAATTGACCAAATGAGTAGTTGGAGCACCATTTCTCACCCCTGAATTTTACGCACATCCAATCAACAATCCTTCTCTCAGACTGACGTATCAAAATTTGATAATCAAGAAAGTTTTCCCTACACAAAATCATGCTATTGACGTACTAAGTCCTGAAGTGTAGAAGTATATTGTATATTCATCCACGACAGATTCTCGTTAACTATTAGTACCCACTAGCCCTAATCCCCAATCCCAAGCGAACCCCTTTCTTCCCGCTCAACACCTCAAAGGCAAGCCCATCACCCATCTACCTACTGCTGCTTCTCCATATCCGCCAACGAAATATCTGAGTTCGGCCAAAAATGCGACAAATCGCCCACGGGCAACTTAAGCGTCATCCTCATCTCCGCCGCCATCATCACAACCGTGATATAATACCCGAGGAGCGCCACAATGAAAAATATCGCCGCTCCAGTCTATGTTCATTAGCCTTCCCCTTCCTCTCCCTTAAACATACAAGATAATCTGCTTACCTTCTGCAGCGTCATAGCCATCCCATAGTCCCCCGTACTAACCTTCCAATACGCGCCTCCAATCACAAAACTACTAATAAACGCAAAGAAAAAAATACTTGCGAAAATCGTGTTTGTCTTGAGCGTGAAAATGAAAGTAGTGAACAGCCAGAATCCCCACACCATCAAGTACAGCGCGATTGCCGCGTTAAACGCTTTCGAGGCGGCCCCTTCGGCCGCGGAACCGGTGGTGGAATAGGACTGTGCGATCATCCACGAGGGCGTCTGCAGGATCGCGAAGGAGAGCCAGTACACGGCGAACATGCCCATTATCATCATGGAGAGGAAGTTGCCCATTATCCATTCGAAGATCATGGCGGTCAAAAGGAGGATGGGGCCGGTGAACCAGAATATGCCGCTGGGAAGTATTAGTATAATCTGACAATAAAATGGGGTTGGAGTCGGCATGGACGTACGCTACGCCGACGAGGGTGGTGGCCCCTCCCCAGCCCATGAGGACCATTGCGTATGTTAGGGAGGCGATTACGAATCTAGACTCCAAATCAACTCCTCTGTTCTGTCTTTTGCACTGGATATTCCTACCCCATCAACCCAAGCGGCGTCGGATTAGCAAAGCGTCTCCTCGCATCACCGACGGTGTTTGTTTTGGGCGTTAGATACAACTACTTTAATTAGTTCCGTATCAAATATCAACGAAGCTAGGAATAGGAATTTAAATGAGGATAAGAATAGGAATTAAAGTAGGGAATTGCATTGCAAGAGATAGAGAAAGGATTACCTTCTCAAACAACTCCGGCGAAATGGTCATCGCCCCAGCAGACTTAACGTGCGAAATCGGGTTAATGCCATCTTCAAACGCTTCTTCGTGGGCGGTTGCTCTTTTGGAGGGGATGCTGTTTGAGGAAGACATTTCTTCTTAAATACTCTATTCAATTTCAAATTTCAACTTGCTAAAAAACTTAAAGAACAAACTCTCTTTCAAAGGAGGATCGACAATCTAAACATCCCATACCCATCCTCTTAAATCAGCTTCAACCATCCCATGCAGTTGGTTCCTCGCAAGGATCAAACACCCTTGTCAGACTTCCCCGCATCCCAATACGACTCCAGGTTTCTCGCTTGCTGTTCAGGCACCCTGTACCGAGTCGCCAACCCCGGATCTGGCGCTTTGTGGTTCGAATTTGGTGGAGAGGACGTGATATCGTGTCCCACATGGCTTGTGTGATGTGGGGAATATGGGTGCGATCGTGAGGTCTTTGGAGGACATTGGAATCGTATTGTGGGGTTGTGAGTTTGAATCGATAATGTAATGCTGATGTTGGAAACTCTCGCAAACGCAGCGAATAAAACGCAGTTGGTTCGACGAATGAGGTGAGAGGAGTATGTGCAATGCCAGAGGGTGCATGGGTGTTGGGATGACAGATATATTACCGTGCATTCTGCATTACGGATTGAGGTTTTTGTGTTACCCTCGGATACTGGATTGATGTGGTGATGCAGGGGAGCTTATCTGGTTGTCGAATGATGGGGGGTGTTGTGGTGTTGGAAGATGCTGGGCCTGTAAGAGGTAGGGTATGGTGTTGTGCGATCGAATGATGTTCTTGGATCCTGGTTGTTGTTAATTAGTTTTGGGAAGTGCCAAGTCAGAAGCTCTTACTTTCTGCTTTGCCGTTTATTAGTCGCTTACTTGCTTCGACCACCTTTTGTTCCAACTCATCAACTCCAGCTTGTTTAATAATCGCAGACCTCTATAGATTCTAAAGGTGTACCTGATGATACGCAATCGACCTCATCCTGCGGGATCTCGCTGGCACCAAAGCAAAACGTCCTCCAAGTCGGACTCGGTATAGTGTATGGCACTCTTTCTGTTGGCGATCCATAATCCAGCTCATAAGTCTCTGTGGCAGACAGGTACTTTATTTTCTCCACTGGCGGTATGTCTTCCTGCTCCCAAGTCGTTGTAATATATAATTTCTCCGGTTTCTTCTTTTCTGATATATAATCGTGCTCCGAATCTGTAAGAATATATGGATTTTCCAGGTCTTCCCTTTCCAGCATGTAATCGTCCTTCGAAGTTGTTGCAACTTCTTCTCTCTCGGTACTCAAAAGATCCTCAACCTGACTCAATTCCAGTGTTTCTTTGGCGAGTATGGCCTCTTGTTCCCTCTGCCAGAGCAACGCTCGTAGATGAAGATCTGTCTCGCCATGTCGAAACCGTGCAAGAAATTTCTCAGTACTTTCGTCTAGATCAACGCAATCATCCTTCTTGGCTGGATCATTGTCGGGATTCTACAACCACCAGTCAGCTCAGTGTTTTCTAAAATGAAACCAAGCGCGTACATTGAACTCGAATTTTGCAGCGAAGGCCAGAACAGAAGATGCCAGAATAGAAACAGTATTATCAAATACCTTGTCTTTTCCAGCGAAATGACTTTCGATCCTCCTTCCTTGCTTTGACGCTAGCGCTCTACGAAGCTGATTCTCCTTCCTGAGTTTCTCATATCTCTCCAGCTTCAAGGCTTCTCGGTACGCCTTCCGATCTGCCTGGTTCGCCGCGAAAGCCGCTCTGTATCTGATTTGCTCATCCTGTGGCATCAACATGCGGGTTCGATGTTCGAGAAAGTTGGTTTTTGGCCGTCCTAGTAGAGTTCCCCAGGGTGAATTGGTGAAAAACGCGGTTTTTGGTGGTAGAGGAGGAAATGAAGCAGGGCCGAAGTCGGGATCGATGACGGTTTTCTGTTTATTCCGTCGTTGTCGCGTCTTGATGTTGTTAGCAAGTGATGAAGTGGGAATTGTACATCCAGCTTCTTTCAATAGATCGATACTTCGTCGTCTCCCAGAATACATATTTTTGAAAGAGTATTTGGAATTAACGTACCCTATTTCTGGTGGTTGCATCCATCTTTGGTTTGCGAGAGACATTTACTTAGTTAAATCAAAAGATCGAAAGGTGAGATCGACAAGGTGAAATTGAGACGGCTTCAAACAAAAACATCGATTCAGTAACGGGATATGTCACGTGACTCGGCTACCTTCCATAAAGGCTCGGCGGTGTATCTTTTTCAGAATAATAAATAAGAAATTAAGTGTAAAGTATTTATTTAATACTTAGTTAGTATTACTTTAAAAATCTAGATATAGTCGAAATTAAGGTTACTACGTTTAAATATTTATATATATTTAGCTTCTGTAGTCTTCGATTTACGCCTAATTTTCTTTTTTATATATTAAGTTAAGTATACTCTATTCTTGTATTTATATACCTAAATAGTATCTTATAAGTTTCGATATTTTAATAGCGAGTATAAAGAAGAGTAATAGGTAGGAACTAGGTAACAGATTTCATTAAGTTATTAAGGGGTTCGCTTACGATCTAAAGCGCTACCTAGGTAGTAAGTATTTATAATAAGTCGATAAAGCTTGCCTACGGCAAGTAAAGGAGTAACTGGCGTGTTAGTTGATGTAGGGTCTTTAAGAGGTAGTAGTTAGTATTGTGGGCTCGAAGGGTGATTCTTGCTTACTGTCAACAGACTCTTGGGGTTTTAACATAATTCTGACTATTATTGCTAATTAGTTCTACTTATAAATACATACATTTGAATACTTTTACTTGCTAACTATTTATTTGTCTGTTGTTACCATTTCTCGCCGTCATCTCAGCAACGTGTCCGTCTCTTAAGTTAATAATCTCCGAAATCACCGACACAAAAATTGATACACGAGTATACTGCGCCAAAAATTCCGATTCTGTCCTGCGTAAAGATACTAATTACCCCAAGAATGTGTCCCCTCAATACGAAGTGTATTGGCTGATGGTAGTCACCTCGGCGGCTCCTCGTCTTCTCACTTGACGTTGCTTGTGGCCTCGACCCTTTCAGTTTCCGCCTAAGCAGCAACTTGATTCATTTGACGACGTACTACTTTGCGTTCAGCATTGACTTTGCGCTGCCACAGAAGAGCTCGTAAGTGTAGATCCGACTCGCCGTGTCGAAATTCTGCGAGGTACCTTTCAACGCTCGTGGTAGGGTCTGGTTGGTCATCATCATTCTCTGAGTCATGGTTTGAATCCTATTTCCAATTTAGTTTGTTACTTTGCACACAGTAAAGTAAACATACAACTGTTTCAATTTTCACTTTTGCGGGCGGCAAGGCAGAAGACGAGGAGGGGTTCGAGAGCGCAACGTCGGTTCTTCGTTTGTTGCCAGGATACTCATCTCCCTCCCATTTTCTTTTTTGGAAACCCTCTGCATTACGTGCCTTTCCAAATTCAGTGGCCAGTTTTTGCTGTTCGAGCTTCTCCTTTTTCTTCATTTCTCTGGCAGCCTTTCGTTCGGCCTTGTTCGCCCGAAAAGCCTTCGCGTATTTACTCTGCTCTTCCTTCGGCATGAGCCTAAGTGTACGGGAGGTGACGTGATTGTTTTTTGGCGGACCTTGTGGTGGTCCCCAGGGTTGAGCTGCGGAAGAAGTTATTTTTGGCGGGAGAGGAGGGAATGATTGAGGGCCGAAGTCAGGGTAGAATTCTTAAACTCTGTTCGCACCACACTTTAGAAGAGAGTATGTTAGCAAATATGAACCATGAATATCCACTTTATTCGAGCTAGCGAGAGATATCGTGACAAAATTTCCACAGATGCTGGGCTTTCCACGAGACCCGGGCAGAGTAGAAGTGTTATACCATTCTTCCTTTTCGGGATTTCCCCATCTGGAAGACCGAGTCTGTGTTGGATGCAGGGAATTTTAGGATTTCAAATGAAGAAAGCTGAGGGCAACTGTGAGGGAAACGAGAAGATGTACCGCGGCAGGTGATTTCTCAAAAGTATATCACGTGATCAGCCTCCTTCCGTCGAGGAAGGCGACGGAGGGAGTCTGAATTTAGATAACGTGGCACAACTTAGGTAACAATGTTGCAGGAATAAATCATGATTTTAAACTATGAGAATGATGTCAAAGATCCAATATATAGTGTTGATTGATATCTGGCCAGGAAGTTTGAAATTCAAAGCACACAAGCGATAAGTGAATTCACTGGGTACCCTAAAGTAGGACCTCTATTTAATCATCAATTTGCCCTACTTGAGGAGAGTCTATTGTTTTGCGATCGATGCTGCTGCGATTTCAATCTTTCAGGGTTATTTAAAGACCCTCATTACCCTCCGATCTGAGCCCGTTTGAAATAATTACTGCGTTTTTGGTGAGTTGTTCCAACCTTGCAAAGTGCCTGCTACTTGTTTGGTGTCCTATGAGTTAAGGAGACCCCTAGTGGCAGCACGCGTGACAAGAAAACAACATACTGCTTTCATGATAGCTGTTTCGCTTTAGCGAGAAGTACAATCACAATGGGTTACACTCAATTCCAATCGTTTCCCAGTAGTCTATCAAGTGTCCGTAACTGCTACATTTCTCCAGAGTTATTTCCTTGTCATCTACATGTTCCTTAATTCAACCTCAGACAGTTTTGACGTTGAATTATTCTCCCGCTTTCTAGTCTTACCATTCATCATCAGAGACACTGTTCTGAATACATACTTCCGATATGCATTCAGTTCTGATCATTTTTGGCGTCCTAATCATCCTCAATCTCACCACCGCATCTCCACTGCTACCAATCGATGGTCTCGATCTTCCATGGCCTGTCGCACCACTCAGAAGTTCTTACCACGTCACCCCTGAATCCGAACCCATCTCTCTGGAAGAGGACGTTCATACGAAGATTGAAGAGTTCCGCGCTACCCACGGTACCGCCAATTTTAATGATGCCGCTCCCAACATAAGAACTGAAAAGCCTAAGCGCGACAAAGTAAGTTCACATCTAGCTCATCAAGTACCGGTTGAGCTTTAACTAACAAGTATAGATCAAACCGGGTCTTTGCTGTTTAGATATCCCACATCGTAATTGGCCGAACGCTTACTACGCGTGTGGGGTAACAGCAAGAAATGAACTCGCCCAGAAAGCCACAGTGTCAATTCCAGGTCATTCATGTGTCCGTGGGGTATGTTATGACCTAGCTGACATTGGCTTTGTAACGACGTTAGATTTTCCCAATCTCGCTCATTTCTTATCTAACAAATTATACTAGAATGAATACCCAGTTGAGCCTCCCGGTGAACACTTGGCTTCGCACGTCCATGACATTCAACAGATGTGTACATACACAAATTCTGATGACCTACTTCTTTCTTGCGGACAGCAGTTGGATACAAATGGTTATAACGTGATTTTGAGAGGTGGTGGCCAGAGGTGTCCAGAGGGGAAAGACCCTCGCCTAGAGACATGTGCTTCGGCTTCATATTGGAACCCCCCGCCCCGGTTGGGGGCTTGGCCTTTGCCCGAGGAATTCGAGTACCGCAAAATTGAGAACTACAAGCCTCCACCCCCAGAACCACCAATTAATCAAGAACTATCAATTGGTCTAGCACCACCCGCCAATGGGGAATATCTGGGGGAGGAAATAGAATAGAAATCGAAAACAATCATAGCTCTTGCAACACAGTTTATATTTAAAACTTTCCAGCAGATTTCAATTTAGGACCTTAAATATGTAAAACTGAGTTATCTCTTAAGATACCTAGTGAAATCAACAGCGCGCAATTTTTCATTTGCCAAAGACTCGTCATTATGTTAGGGTAAACAAATCTGCGGGCGGATATTTCTCCAACAGTTGGCAAACAGTCTACATAAAGTTTTACAAGCTCAGAAGCGTTCGGATTCTGATCTACCATAGGTATTCTATTTTTGGTCCAAATATTAGCATTTTGGTAATTGGACAAACGGGACACGGGGAAGAATTGAAGGTAATACTAAATATCAGACTTTTGCCCAGGAGAGAAACAACCCTCTTCGAATATCCGTTCCGGGGAAGACTTTTTCGATCCGAGGGACATTGAGTCTGAACTTGGACTGAGAAGTACTTTTGGATCAAATGTGAATCTGTTATTAGATTAGCGAGAACAATGCTTATTCAAGACTAGACACGTGCAGCCAGTCTCAAAGGAGGTCCCTCTGTCAGATGGGATATACTTTTAAGACTGAGTAGGCTAGATTAGATACATATAAGTAGGTTGTAAAAGCAATGTTCAGGCGATGCTGCTGGAAACAGAAGAACTCACAGGAATCTTTCAGACGTTGTTAACAGAAACAAATTGTTAGTCGCAAGTCGCCATTTGGTCAACGTCAATTGTATTTCGCATGCACTGGCTGATTTATGGGAAACAACAGTGAATATATTGAACGGGTGATCGTTGCAGGATAGTTCTAGTTTCTACCCAATTACTACAGTCTATTCACAAGAAACTCTACAGTTCAAAGTCACTAGGGAGATTTTAACTTTTGACAACTCTACATATCTATTCGAATATTACGTTTGCATATTTCTCCAGTGGGCTACTGACACGCATTTTGGCGAGGCTCCCTTGAGTTTAACTCAATGAAGAAACAGAAGTAGTAGGCTATGGTATTTTTTGAGCAAATTCCCGATAAATTCTTCTTGTAGAAAGACTTCGACTATTTCTATTAGCCTTAATTGGAATATCCTCGCAAAGTTCACTAAAACTTTAATAAAGCTCTGGCCTCCTCCCTTTACCACTCTCAACCCTCCACTTCTACATTTACTTCATTTCAGAAACAGAAACATAAGCTATCAATTCTCACTACTTACCTCATCATCGATCAACTACGAGCAATATGCTTCTCTTCAATGTGATCTTCGCCGTTGTCGGCTTCCTCACTGTGTGTGGCGCCATGCCAACAATTGGCTACGAGGATCAAGATTTACCGTATCCGCTTGTTGAAGATGAATCCTCAGACGGTCTCTCTCCTGACATCGAAGCTGCTCCTTTCGAGACTGATAGTGAGTCTAAAGGCGCAGAAAAGGCTGAAAGAGATTTTACTCGACGTAATAAAGTAAGTAGAGATTCCCATGATCTAAAAAGAAGTAACACTATTTTTGGATTAATCCAATGCTTCATAGGTAAAACCACCTCTGTGCCTGAAGGACATTGATAATCCTGACTGGCAAGACACTATGAGGGTTTGCGCAGAGAAAGCAGCCTACGAGTTATCACAAAACAAGACTATTAAAGTCCCGGCAAGAAAGTGTGTTCAAGGGGCATGCTTTGACGAGGCAAGAATCTACATTTGTAACGACGTAAGTTCTGTTTTATTTCAAAATTCCTGTTTGACCCACGATCATTGACGTGACTTAGAATGAATACGATATTGAACCAGCTGGAGAATATTTGGCGACTTATGCCAATGACATGGTCGACGAATGCACGCATAAAAAGTTTCCGCTTTGGTTCCCCTCCATAACCGCCGGTCAAGCATTCGATACTGACAATTACAATGTCGTTGTACGAAAGGCTGATCCACTCGAATGTCCTCGGCCTGGTAATACCTGCAAACAAGATTCTTATCCCGGACATCCTAAAACTTAATATCTTGTTAACGCCGACATGTTGTGGATCCTAATTTTCGTCTGGGTCCACGGAAGTTACTTTACGTGTCGAGATGATCATTGCGCTTAGCTTTTAGTTTTATCAATTTATGATTCTTGATCATGCTACTTTACTTGTGTCTTTAATGATCGTCATGATGTGATAAAATCGTAAAATTTGAAATTTGAGAAGTGAAACTGGCATTTAAATCAACTGAACACCTGAGTAGAGTAATTTTTCTCAGGCTGTCGTAGTTGTTTTTACTTAGTTTAATAACATTAGTAAAGACACCCGCCCATCATTATAATTGGTGGATTGCAGTTATAAGACAGCGCATTGTTGGTTGTCAGACTCCTTAGTTAAGGAAAAGTGTTGTCTACTTATGCGACCAAGAAAATCTTTGTAGCTGATCATTGTGGTATTGCACCCAACGCGCAAATATTCTATCCTTACTAAAGCAAATTCTAAAAATACTACCGTGTGTTTATTCTACGTTGGGGTAACTACTTTGACTCAAGGTGTTTGCTTCCATTGAGTAGGCTTCCACTATTTTCAATCTCGAGTTCACGCGGAATCATGGCTAGTTGAACAGACGCGCTGCAGTAACCGAGTTGTCTCCATGTAAATTTTGAGAAAGACAAAGAGGTTGTCAATCCAAGGCGACATCTTAACCAAAGATAGTGTTCTCAAAAATCTGAGGTTTTCCATAAGAAGTAAGAGTAGTGCTGCAATGAGGGATTTTGCCACTACCTTTATTGAAACTCCTAAAGACAATTTCCCCTTGATTACCCGATTGTATTTCACCTTTATACCCAAACGGTCTAAGAGCGCAGGGCCATTAGCTAGAATATTTTAGCAAGTGTTTGCAGCCGATATGAAGACTTCCGCGGAACTATCACAAGGATAATCTAATCATATTTCCCCTTTAGGCTTTCTGTTAGGTTACCAAATTGATTGAGCAATGGCTTGTCATATCATTCACTATAAGTAATGGCCCGCGGTATAACCACTCGTAACTTACATTATGTGTTAATCGACAAAGTCGCTACCTATGAAGCTAGCCATCCGTTGACGTTCATTGACATTAGATGCATCCTACGTGATAGCTTATCGACCTAAGCGAAAGAGGTTGATACCAATGTAACAGCTAACAACAATATATAATCTCGGTAAATAGTTCAATATGCTCTAATCAGTAATCGTTCGCTTGTTGTGTTAGCTGAATAACTCAACTCGTTTTTCTCGGATCACCTTTCTTTAGTGATCATCTATATTTTACTCTTATTTTTGAACACAAATTACCGGAGTACTTCAGAGCTTTGCCCGCTACATTTTTCTCATATAGCAGAATATAAGCCCGTCATGTACCTTCTCACCATTATTTTCCGCAGTCTAGTTGCGATTGCTGTCTCTGCAGCCATACCGACCGTCGAAAATACCGATTTACCATGGCCACTCGTACCACCCCAAGGTCTCTACGAAGCAAAAGCCGACATTGTGGCCGCATCTCCAGGAGAAGCATTTGATACTACCTCATTTGGCATACGTCAAGAACATGATGCCGAGTACGCAAAACGCGGAGCCCCCGGGATTGGGGGACACAAAATTCTCCACAGCAATGTATGCATTTTCCCTCACACTGTCACACACTGCAAATTGGCAATACAATTTTTTAATGACATGCAACATAAACAGACTCTCTGCTGTAAAGACATTGAAAACCGCGGGTGGAATTATGCATGGAATGGTTGTGCTTTAGAGAACTCGTTGTTGATAATAGGGATGAAAGAGTTCTATGTACCACCAGAAAGCTGCATCGCTGCATCATGCTATGATGAGTCAGAAATTTTATTATGCAATGATGTAAGTTTCCTCTCTATTTCAATTTTGGCACCCATCTGTTAATTGTATATAGAACTCGGTTCAAGTTACTATAGAAAGTTCAAGAATAGGACTTCACATCTCTTCTATCCTGGGGGCGTGTACCGAGTATAACGATAAGGGACATTTCTCTTGTGGCCAGGAGTTTAACCCTACCGCAAATTACAATGTCATCGTCAGACGGCTAGATTCAAAGTTCATCTGCAAACCACCAGAGGGGTATAAGCCTTCCAGTTCTGAGAGTTGTAAAGATCATTCCCGCCCATCGACTAAAGGATGATGTCTTTGATAGGGGGATCAGTCTTCGCAATTGCATCGCCAAGTTATTGATCTTTGTCATCTTTACTTTTCACAAGACCTAATTTCAAATTACTTCTGATACTACACGGTCACTTTGTTAATGATGAATATCATATCTCCCAGATTCTCCTCCTGGTGGCTCGAAAGTGTGAAATATAAAGCGAACGATGGTTAAACTAAAGCGATATATAATTCTATCGAAGATTTTAATAAAATAGCTTATCACCTAAACGTTGCTTTTTCAACCACAACAACGAAGCAAGATAACTCACGTACATCAATTCTGTTCCCTCAACGCTTTTGTTCGCACCGAGTTAGTTGTGCCCCATTGCATACCACTTTTAGAAAGATTTCCTGGGCCATTTCTATCTTCCCTCGACTACACTTTACATATCTAGTTAAGCTTTATTAGTGGATCTTAGCTGCCATTTATCTATGATTTCTTGAAAACAATTGCCGCTTGAAACCCCGCTTTTCGCTTGAATGGCGACTTTCCATGCAAGCAATACTTTACCGAGCTATAATGATTGCGGACTGCTCATTATGATGGTGGCTCGAAGCGAGCGAGAGATACCTCGTAGTTTATAATTTGTAACTTCTTTTCCGCAATTGGCAACACTTTGCCTACCTCGTAGACTATACAAGTTCTCTTACTTGCCACGCCTTCCACATTTCACCCTTCTTGACAACCTTAATCACTCCTGTCATCACGTTAGAGAAATTAGCATACGACGTCTTTTACCTTACATTATCACCTAAACTGGCGTAAAAGCTTGACCAAATAAAGGAAAACATGCTTTTCGTCGCCATAATCTACGCAACTCTATGGATTTGCTCTACCGACGCTGGGACCATCCCAACAATTCAAGTCGACGACTTGCCATGGCCACTCGTTTCGTCCGAGAACGACTACCAGCTCCTTTCGGACAGCAATCCAGCTCCAGAGGGTGACAATGTTGGAACCACTGTAGCTCGCACTAATCATGGTTTTACTACTCTTGACAATGTAAATCCCAAGCTTGAACAAGATATTTCTCGGCGTGGTGATCAATATACAGTATGCCCATGACAAGAAAGATTGATTTGAAAGTTTTCTGACATCGAACAGAAATACTGCTGTAAGGACACAGGGTGGTCTTGGAAAGAAACTAAGTGGATGTGCGGGCACTATGCAGCCAGCGTAACGAAAGAGATCCCGATCATTGGGCACACGTGTAACCGCGTGGCATGCTATGATGAAGCAGAGATAATAGTTTGTAACGACGTCAGTCCGAAGCATCAAACTACGACCATTTCTATCAGTGCTTACATGGACTAGGAACTATTTGCGGTCCGGCCTACTGCTGCGGATATATCCGATCGCATTGAAAGTATCCAGAAACAATGCAGCTTCACAAAGAAAGATGGTACTCATGTCTCATGCGGTCAGGAATTTGATCCTCACAAGAAGTATAATGTTATTCTAAGGCTTGGAGATAAAAACAGTTGTAAGACTAAAACGAAGCAGAACCCATGTCAGGCAGATGCTCTCTGGAATTTTGAAGCTCTGCATGGGGGTTCCTAAGTCGACGGTTCTGGAGAGTTCTAGCTGATAACTCTCCGTATAGTCATTCAAGTCAACAGGACAGTAGTAGTAGGACGGCTACATTCCGGGAACCAAACATGATTAGAAGAATAGTAATTCTCATGATCTTTCTCGAAGCATGATTTCAACTATGGAGGAATATTTAGAAGCCGCCTTTTTTATGATATTATAAAAGTTTTGAAAGAATCTGTTGACATAAAATCACTTCTACTCTTTTTTCGCCTTAGTTCCACCTATTCCCGTATATATACCTCGTACGAGCTCTGCTCACTTACTCTCCTTCAGACATTTCAATACATCACTTTCTCCCTCTATTGCTCACTCTACTACTTCCCTTCCACGAAGGTCATAGAATCCCTTTATTCATTCTCTTGCTCCTCATGAGAAAATTGCTGTTATCCTATCATTGTGTTTCTGAATAGCACACAATTTCGCTGGCCATTTAAAGACAGTAATTCTTCACTGAAAGGGAATGTCTTAGACCAACAAAAAAACATAAATAACCAATATCAAAGGTTCGACGACTTGAATGATTCTTCGTTATAAAATCTTACTATAATCTGCAATCACGTTTGTGGACCAAGCTCACTTTCTAAAAGATGCTTTAATTCCTGCTCATAGCTGCCGTCAACGAACCAAAAGATAGGAGAGACTATCTGCACAAAACCTCCTGCTTTCAAATATGCGTACTCATGACTCTCATGTTCCCTTCTTATTCTCTTTGTTTATCGTTCTTATTCACATTAATTTCTCCGATAGATGACAGCCCATCAATAATATCTCCAGCAAAAGTTGCCATCATGTAAGATGAGAAGGAGATGTAAAGCACGCTACCAAGAGTGAGTTTATGAGAATGAATATAGACAGCTATGGCCACTCACTTCATAAGGACCCATGTCGTCAGCAAAGCATACACATCGGCTTTGCCGACATACTTGAATCCCGAGAACGCTTCTCTCATTACTAAAACCTTAAAGTAAGCTGCAATTCCAAACAATTATACATATCTCGACTTACAATAAAGCATACTCTTAGTCAAAGTCACGGTCCCGGCAACTAATCCAACTACACAGGCCTTACCCCCCATCTTCCCGCTTACACCCTTCCCCTCTTTCCTGCTCTTTCTTACAATCGCGTAATACCACAAATACAGCACCACCTCAGTGACATTGACAACTCCCTGAGCAGCCGTCCACCCTTCGCCCTCGAGCCAAGCCTGTTCACCATAGACGCCGTCAACGGCGGCATATGTACCAACTTGGGTCCAAATTGGATCATGCCATTTATGACCTGGAAGTGTGTGGGGTCTGAGAGCGATGTAAAGCGTGTCCCAAATCGTGAAGGGGAATGTGAATGCTGTCCAAAGCAGAACTGGAAGCCGAGGAGTATGAGACCACACCATTTTACTAATACCAATAAGACTAATAATCACAGACCGTGAGTAAAGATGGTATTGATCGGTGGAGGGTAGTGCAAAAAGTTCAATTTAAATTTGCTGGAATGGTCTGCTGTGGACGGGTGCGGAGATTGACAGCCACAATTAACGTACAGAGCTCGGTAATTGTTGGTGACCGGTTGGCTACAGTCATCCTTCAAGGTGCATGCCCATGTCATTTGATCCCCGATCCAACCTTCACTTACGTACTATAGCCGAGCACTGTTGTTAACCCATCACACATCATCCCGGAGCTCCTTATAACGAGTATGATAGAAGAACCACGGTTGAGACTTGAATGCATTCCCGTGTGAGGTCAGTTACCAAATGATTTTGTCCGGGACTCGCCGAGCCAAATGGTCTAGACGCTTATTAAAGATTGCAGCTGGTGATGCAAAACCCCACATATTTCCAAAAACTTTGATAAAGATTCAGGCTGCTATAGCGGATGCTTAGTCTTCCTCCGTATGAGACGTTTGGAACGCAAGCAGAAGTGTGTTAAGAACGATTCTGGAACCTAGGCTATCTAGTTGAAATTTTACCCATTCCTCGGTGCTAGAAGGTTGATCCAGCAGAGCAAGAAACTCCATAACTAAATCTCAAACCCGCCATAATGCAACGGCTTGCATCTAATACATTTAGACAACATAATTGCAGCTGTTACAGCTCTGCAAGAGCTACGTGTATAATTGCAAGCATCTGCACACCCGACGTGAAGGTGATGACCCTATAACAGCCTGAAATTATGGGGTACAAAGAACAATGCCCACAACGACATCATCGAGTTGAGGACTGTGATTAGGGAAACTGCAAGTGATGTTTGATTCGTGAACAGTTGATATGGTGTGACAGGTATGTGCAGTACTTTGAGATTTCAAAGAGTAAGGAACATATAAATCCGACGAATCCTAGCATTAAGGGATCGACAATATGTCAGGGCGACCGCTTACATATCGAGACGGCAGGACGCAATGCAATGAGTATCGGAATTTTAGATGTAATGTTAATGGCGTTGCCGGTGAGATCCATTCTCTTCATTCCTTCTGAGAGTGTAAACTGAGACGACTTGACTCGTAAGAGCAGAAACAGAAGCACGATTGAGGTGATGCCGAAGGGCAGGGTAACCAACAACACTCATCGCCAACTATACCTCTTCATTATGCTCCCACCGATGAGTGGTTCGAGAAATGTCCAAAATGAGTATACGGTAGAAATCACTGCAATGAATTGTCTCTTGCTCTTAGAAGTGCGGGATCTGAGACAGTGGCATTGGCAATCAAGTTGATATCACCACTCCTAGCTCCCTTTGTTGCACGGCCTACTATCAACATAGCACCGCTGTTAGATCCCCAGCAATTCGGACTACCCACTGTAAAGATGCAGACAATGGACATTGCTCACCACCTTCGACCGAAAATGCTGGCTAGTTGGCCTAAAAGATGCTGAACAGCTGCAGTAGGCAAGATGGGTCATACCCTGGCTGAGTGAAATGAAAAACTGACCTAGTTAAAAATAACAAGTTGTTGAACCAGATATAATTTTGGCCAACATCTAAAGATGCTACAAACGTAGGCATGGAAGTTGCAACAAAAGTATTTCCAGGGCAGCTAGTTGCACTGGTCATGTATAAAGCACAAAGAACGTTCCAGAATCTCACCCTCTGTGAGGTTTTGGTTCGACATAATTTGAATCTGGATTAAAAGCAATTAATGTAAAGTTCCGGGCTGTGACAGTACTTTCAGCCCACTCCATAAAACTGCATAGTCAGCATAGATTTATGAGAGCCACGACATGCCTTCCAAATATGGGCTCCATGCATGTCTGCGGTGTGTGGACGACCAGGACGTCATACTTCCAGTTATACAATACACCTAGGGGTTCTATGTGAAGTTATTTTGGCATTCCTGTGAGCAAAATCTGGATGAAGTACTGTCGCTTAATATTGGCACGTTGTAATTGAATATGGAATCACGCTTACAATGCCTCCATCTTGCCGCCACAAAGTTGAGTTCACAAGAAAACGGTTGTTCGTCACTCACCATATCAGAGCCTGAAATCATTTGAATTGGTTTAGGATTGTAAGTATTGTTGGGGAAACTTTTAAAGTGAATTGAGCACTATTGTTCCTAAAGTAGTAGAGTTCAATGTTAGCTTCAGCAGATTACTCAACATTTGTAATTTGACATACATTATTCGACATGGGTAAACGTTTTCGCGCAGACAAAAATTGATATTTTATGTTACTCTTAGAATTTCCGTGAAAGTGAAATGAGATGAGACATCCGGTAGAGCGCTCAACCAAAGGCATGACCATTGGTAACAAACAAGCTTAGCCCCAGGCATGTTTGGCGTTCTGCTTTCTGGGCTGAAAAGAGGGTGCTCGAGGATCATCCTGAGTAAGGAAAATGATGTCCGGGATCTTGCACATGGGACGTATAACTTGTTCCCTCTTGAACATGTGAGTAATGTATTTTCGGACTTTTTTCTGTGACTTAGGTTTACAGAGATTGAACTGCCATGGTGTAATGTGGTATTTATTACATTTACTACACAATTCACCCCCTTCGTCGTTCTATATTACGAGAGTAAGTCTTCTAAGATTTTGAAACCCATCCGTTATCTGGTCTTCAAAGAGCTGTGACCATCTCGCGACGATATACTCAGCATGGAAAGGAAAGTTAGGTTTGCACCACGAAATGTTCCCTATGGCAATAGACTGGACTTTATCAAGATTATTTTCAGGATTCCCGCATAATCTTTTGAGCAAAGACAAAGATTCATGAGGACTAAGATTCAAATACTTTGTGTATTTAACATCATTCTCTACTCCACATCGAATGAAAGGTCCAATGTACCTTGGATCCAATGCCAGAGTGTCCAATTCGAAATTGAAGTAAATAATAGGTACTGACAACTTACGTCCTCTACGGTTTATCACAACCCATTGAAATTGGCCAATGGATAGAGGTGAAGTACCTTCCAGTATGCGACCGTAGTGAAGCAAAGTGGTTTCTCGAGATTTCGGGCTCAAACTCAGGGAGGCTGGCTTGCAGTAGTTAAGATAATCGACCAAAACAAGCCAATCATCGTTTAGCTCCATAGGATTCCATTGATTGTCATTAAAAGAAAACATCTGGTACATTCGTAGCGTTATCGTCTGTGGGGTGAAACTTTCTTGCCAAATTATGTCCTCAATTTCGGTGGGGAAGAGGGAGGTGATAATCGAGCTTACAGATTTCGAATGGAATGGCATTTCTGCCTTTGAGTTGGTTACAGGTTGCCCTTCTGAGATCATTATGTGTTCTTTGGCAATTATCGAGGATAGAATACAACTTTTTACTTTGTTTGACTGTTTCGAATTCTCATTTTTATGTCTATTACATTTCATTGTTCTACATTTAAAAACATTTACCTTAAACCTAAACAGATTTAATCTTTTTTTACATGCGAAAAACAATTTTAACTACTAAACTAAAAACAACTTTCATAATAATAAAACTCTGCCTCCTGTAAGTGGGTAAAAACAGCACTAACTTATTTTCAACTAATGAAAACATTTTTATCAGAATCACCCGTACCCGTACCCGTACATATCAGAAATCGAATGCGGTTTCTGAAAAATCATGACTAATTTTCTTTTAACTTAATTATTATAGGCCAGGAAAGAAAGATACCCATGTTGAGCAAGTGATCAACCACTAAAGAACAACTCCAGAGTCGTTATCCTTGAATGAGGACTTTTTACCATGCTTTGTCAGGTGAAGTCAAACAATCAGAAGTCTCTTTGCGAAATTCATTAGAAGAAATTCCACGTAGATTGTCAGTTCTCCAACCTATATTATATAGGGTTTTCGTCTTTGAAGACGTACTTTATGATGTTTGCCAGTCCTTGTAAGTCCCCTTTAACGGTGCCAGATTTCTCTCTCTCCACATAACCTTCTGTATAGCCTCCGTCAAAATCAATAATCCATGCGTCCCCACTCAACTCTGCGAAGCCTTCATAATCCATAACTTCATCTCCACTACGTGCCACTACGTGCAATCAATACGTTGTCTGGCTTTGCGTCACCCCAAACGATGCCAGCTTGATGGAGAAGTGCCAATGTTTCCGTGAGCTGATCAGCCCATTTTTGTTTGAGACAATTCGGCGTATTGGCGTGCGCAGCACACGACAGAGTTGTAAACTCGCAGTCGATATATGTGAGCAAAATGCCCATAACTCGCTGTAGTTCGTCTTCAATAATCGCAACACTTGGTGAAGGACTTAAAGCTTGAGATGCATTTTTGATGTTCAATAGAACCTCCTCAGGACGATATACGGGCCAACTGGTGTGGAGAGTGGATCGATTGACTTCTGCGCCAGGTGAAGAGAAGCCTGGGACTTTGAGTTTTATTATCGGAGTCAGAGTTTCATTAATGGCATGAAGGTCGTAATGAGAAGTCTCGGCATTGTAGTATTCGCTGAGACTCATTTTCTGTAGTTCGGGTTCTGGTGCCGGAGCAAGCTTTTGGAATAAAGGGGAACAGCATTTCAGAGCCCAATCGTAGAAATCTTCGTCAACGAAAACTGGAGTTTCCTCAACTTCCTCATCTTTGCCTGGGAAGTTCTCTCTCCTTTCTGCATTGATGAAGCGCAGATATTCTTCTGTGATTCTGGCGGATCCCTCCAGATTTTCGGGTTTTATGTGGATATAGAAGCGTTTGTTGTAACGACGAACCTCAAGATATGAGTTTTCGTCATCTTGACTGAAGCCTATCTCACTCACGACATAATGCTCCAACGATGAGGTTTCTTTGTCGTCCATAGTGAGTACCGGGTGAAATTCACACCAATTATGGATGTGGAATCTAGTCTACAAAATAAGCATCTTGGTGCTTTAGGCAGTAGCCTAGGGTATTTCGCAACCTGTAGAACTCACGTGACAGTCTTTACCCGATATTATTGGCCACTATTTCGTTTTGGTAGTAGGAGGACAAGCTATTCTAGGTAGGCTGCAAATGCCGAAACTATATCTCCTAGACGAATTTGATACAGAAAAATACCTTTGGGTCATCACGTACCTTGGAAGTTCTTTTAGATCCAAGTCACATCATTGTGATTTACGTCTTGCAGGGATTAGCGTTCTATATATAAACTTTGAAAACAAAAGATTCTAGTTTGCTTGATCGTTTTGATTTGTGAAAGACGTTCTCACTAAGCTTGTTGACTTCGCAAGATCTTAAGTATTATTATCGACAAGAACTAGCTTCTCTTTCTTGTCCACTTTCGGACAGATTCAGATGCCCCTATTGATTAAGCGAGAAGCCAATAGGTACGATCTCAAAATTTAACTAGATCTAGTAGAAGCAATGACACACTTCGTTCTACTGTGACTCTAGGGGTTTTACCATATCACCGTTCTATATTAATTGTATAAAAGCATGCCCGTAGGGAGAATAATGTCTATATTAAGAAGTAATCCGAAGCCCAAATTTACTTCTCCTAACTCTCGTCTACTTAATAGGCACATTTATCTGCTTAAAATTATAATTTTGAAATACGTTATCTTTAAATGTATAAAGTTATGAACAAAGAGCATACCTCTCGAAAGAGGTCTATGTCAGTATTTTGATGAGGGACTGTTTAGCTACGCCGCCTTCTTCAGGTCAGTCGACAGACTGTTTCTCGACAAGTATCTTAGTAGCTTTTATTAGACCTATTAGAATAAAAATTTAGGAAAAATATTTCAACCATCAAGTTTTAGATACCGCAGTCTTCGTGCATGTGTGTTGATTAAACTGTGACAATGAGAACTCGCTAAATGTAAGACGAGGGAACCTATCGCACTTTCCTTGTTAGATTATGACACTTCACTTGCAGTTCATGATTATTAGCTCAGCCTTAACTATGATTCCTTAAGTGATTGATAATTCACTTGCCCACCACAGCCTCAAGCGCCAGCCCCTCGTCTGGGGAGCTATAAATACGGTAAAGGCCTCTCATCTTCAGCACAACTGACAACTGCCAGCTGCCAGACGTGTTTACCTTATCGCCCTGACCCTGAAGCAAACCTGGCGAGATGATGCAAAAGTGTAACAGTGACGCTGAAGATATATGGGAGCACCTCTCTGAATCAAATATAGTGACAGAGTCTGGTAAGTGCAATTCCCAGATAAATCGGATCAAAGGCAAGTCGTATGCTTACAAAAGTTTCTCAGAGGACATGGCCATTATGTCGTCTCCACATCTGCCCATGGACAGGACTGTTGAGGCTAATCCTACAGACAAAGCCAACAAGCTAGTTGATATCCCCAAGCTTGAGCCTACTGGCAATGTCAGTCATCGAACTATGCCACCAAAGATCAGTGCTGCAAGAACACCATCCAAGACAACTGGAGAGTCTACGAAAGTCCTCATTGAAGAATCAAACGACTCAGGCGTATCGGGAAATAGAACATCTGTCAAAAAGCCCCCTAAGGAAGATAGGTATGTTTTACCTCCAGAAATCAGAGTTTGATGTTGACCTTCATCTCAGTTGGCTCGAAGCTTTTGGATCTTTGCTCCTCGCCCTCATCGTCCTTGGATTACCTATAGGGTTGTTTGCGGGGATGTTGTGGTGCGCGGGTGTATTTGATATGATTGCCAGTAGCAGACCTCCATCAACAGTGTCCGCTCCTCACCCCTCGCTAGCATACGGAGTCATCACAGTTACCGAATCTCACTTCTCCACTGTCACCACTTATCTGCCGCCACATACCTCGACCATTTACGATACAATCACAACGACGGTACCAAGTCAAACACCCATCTCTGACTCTATCAGCCACAAGGGCAGTCATGAACAGACTGTTTCCACCTGTCGCAGCCTCGAAGAATGTCTGAAAGCGCGTCGAGCTGATCAAATTCGACCACTAATATGGCAGTTGGTATTTGAGGTAGTAAAAGTGATAGTTGGGTGTCTCATGTTCTATATAGTACTTATTGGTTTATTGGGGTGGTGTTGTGTCCCATTGGGTAATCGTTAATGTGGACATGCTGATTGATGCATTTAATCAACCCTCGGGGTAGTAAATTCTGATTAGCTCTAGCTGGGTTGAAATGAGACAAGTTGGCCTGGTATAAAAGCTACTTTACATGCAAGATTAGGAAGATATGTCAACGTCTGATTTGAGGGTGCACCTATGGCTTCTAGTGTGACACTAGATATCTAAAAACCAAATATTGGTGTAGCAGCCGATGTCAAACGCCGGGTAGTAAAGTCTCACTAAAACAACGCAAATCTGATACAAGATCCTTTGTGGAACTACCAGACACACGTTTATTCTCGAAATTACCACCTAAATCTCAGTTCTCCATCCTATCGCCTCAGTGAACATATATTCGCTCTCACATCACTTTAAGTAAGATTACTATCTCAACCACACGCGATAATTAGTGAATGCCAATTCATGTTCTTCTCGTCACGTGGCACCACGCCTGAACTACACTCGGGGATGACTATAAACCTCCCATCTTGCAACAATCAAGTCTTCATCTTTCCCTCATCGTCAACATCCCTGAAACCAAAAGACAAATCGGCACGATGAGTAGGGATAACGAAGAGACCCTTGGTGTCGCACCAACACCCCACGTACCATGTCAATCTTCCGAGATTGGTAAGTAAACACTCTTTCGCAGCTGATAAACTACATCTCTTAAAACCGTGCTAACCATACTTTTTGATTCTGTAGACCCAACGCAACGAGTCAATAGTCGTGATATTGACCAAATGGCCCAAATGCTCAGTAGGGAAAATCGACGACTACCAGATGGGCTTTACAAGTTCAACAAGGACAAAAATGGCAACCTGATTTCCATTGTCGATGTTTCTGAGGAAACCATGGTCGATATGAAGAAGGCAAACATGCAGATGAATGTCATGGAGAAGAATGATTTGACAACTAATATCAATAAGAAGAAGAAAGTTGTGCCATCCAAAAATAGCCTGAAGAAGCGATTTTGGAAGTGGTACTACACTAAGTAAGACTTTTTCTACAGGTGTTATTACAGTGCTAATGATCAAATAGATACGAGAAAAGTGGTATAACTAACGGAGCGGATGCCATATGTCTTGCATCTCTTCTCTTGGTCCTCGTTATATCCTTCGTGGCATTCGTAGTCGCATGGATCTACGTTGACAAAGCTGAGGACGCTATGAGGCAATGCATTCAAGATTCGGGTGACGGCGATCCAAATGGAAGGTGTCCAGGCCAGCACCATTCGTGAGAGTTATTGAGACTATCACCGAAGCCCGTCCCACGACTATCTATGTAACGACCGCTACGCCAATTACCGTCACTACAACCATGCCGGCCTCGACCATCTACCAGACAATCGTTCCGCAAAAGACGGCGACGAGTCCAGCCACTTCTACTACTTTGAGTTTCGCTGAGTGCACATCAGAATGCATAGACGATTGTAGAGCATCGAGCCCGCCGGAACGACCATTCGATCTGACCCGGATGTGGATCGCTTCGATTTCGATCCAAATGGTACTTGGCATCTATTGTACCCTACAGTTTAAACGCATGAAAGAATTTGATCGCGACGCTGAAGAGAATGCGTTGCTTCTGCCAGCCGATAACGACAAAATGAATAACCCCGGTGTTAGCAAAGACAGGTTTGCCAGTCTCAAGTTTGCAGTGACTTTCTTACTGATCGGGTTTGTTGTCATCATCCAGCTCATAGTTGGACTTGCTAGCGTACAAATTTGGGCGGATTACAACGCAGCACAAAAGTAAGAGGTAGTTAAGGAAAGAAGAGGCAATGACCTTTTGACAAGCAGTAAGATAACTGAGATGATTTGGCAGCTATAGCGGGTGGATAGACTGGTTGTTAGTGCATCAGGTATATCACGAACGAACGATAATATCTGGTAGCTATAGCCAGTAAGGACATTGATATTAGCATAAATACCAAATCCATAACGAAAAAATGTACTTGAGCACTATAAAGTCAGAGCAACACTTCAAGTAGATGCCTAACTCTTGTAATCCCTGAAACCCATGAATCCCATGAATTTACAGTAGTTCAAATAAATTGAAAAAAGATAATTCACCTTCACATCACCACCCAAGCACAGCCTCCCATATCTCCAAGCCCAAGCGAACAGAAGTTCACCTCTTCTAAGCGACCAAAAGGCCTAGGCTCCGCCCCCTTCAGACATATATGAACATCGTATCCAACACCCATCTCTCATCCGATCATCTCCTCATCCCAATCTGAAAGCCAACACGAACTCTCAAGATGGCGGGGCAATACGAAAAGCTCCCCAGTGACGATTCAGACGACTGGCACACTATCATTGACGAGTCTGGTAGGTAACCATTCATCGGGACAGCTGAAGAGGAATATGTGTGCTGATATTGATTCCAGAGAAAGATGAAACGGTGAAATCTAGTGCTGGCAACGACAACAATAACAATAGCAACAACATCGGACGAATTCCAGGAAATGTACAAGTAAACCAAGGAAGGACCAACAACAGAAACGCCGGTGCCTCTGCTGCAAATTCTCGCAATATGCAGTACGAGTCCAATCCACCAGGAGCCGGTCATTGGGAGGAAAACCCCGACTCGAGAAAGCGCAAAGTGAAACAAAACAAATTCATGTAAGTCTTCTCTCCTCTAGAATGTATAGTACAGCTCATGCTAAGACATCGCCAGGGTCTTTCTATGCGACACGAGGATAGGCAAGTGTGTCTTTTTCGGGTCCTTAGCCCTGCTTTTTGGGTTGTGGATATGGGGATTGGTAATAATGGACGCGAATACGAAGCAATGCATCCGAGATTCTGGTGATGGCGATCCATATGGAAAATGTCCTGGTCATACCGCTTTACCGCTGGTGAGGGTTGCCCAGCCAGTGATCCAAACTAGTCTGGTTCCTACGACGGTGTATATCAACATGGCGACTACTACTGTCAACATACCAACTACTGTCATGACCACCATGTCAACGATAGTCACTACTGCCATACCAACAACTATCACGACGACCATGTCAACTACCCTCTATCAAACTCCTACTCCAGCTACGACAGACACCATTCCAGTGGCTCCTACCTCCTCCAGTCATTCCGATTGCCCACATGGCTGTCCCACACGAACAGACAAGCTAACACCACCGGAGAATCTACTTCCTTATATAATATCGATGGGTATCTTAATATTGCCATTTTTGGCGTTGCTTTTAGCGGCCCTAATTAGCCTGGGAAAACTAAGACAGGAAGCTGCTCAGCTGGAATCATCACAGCCGCCTTCTTACAGCGCTCAACCGGACGGTATTGATGTAGAGCAAGGTTATTGTACACAAGGAAAATTCGGACTGGCCGGCGTCTCCAACACAGAAGAAAACTCTGAAGCGAAACAGTCGATTGATATGCCCTTATCTAGCGCAACAGACAACAAGCAGGTTGCTGTTAATGCAAAAAGAAAAGCCGCGATTAACCGAGAGACGGAGGATGTTAAATTTGTGCTGGTTGTTCTTTTTTTCCTTGTTGCTACGCTCGCCATGGGTGTAATTACAATGACCACAGGACATGTGAGGCAATGGAGGGAATGGAACAACTCGCAAAAATGAGTGATCATGGGGAAAGATCAGGCAATGATGAGCTGTAGCGCAAAATGGGAGTGATTTGGCGTCTTAGTAGCTAGCCTAGCAAAGTTGTTGGTGTCGGTGTCGATATTGGGTTCATTCTTTTAGGCGTAACAGAAAGATGAAGCCACGTGGCTTGTTATCTATTTTGAGGAGACTACCTCTTAATATGACTATTCCTACCTCGTTGAGTTGATCGGTTCTTTGTGATACACAACTTGTAGCTGAGTGATAGGAATCTGAAAAAGAAGTTGCATCTGATAGTCTGATAATGATGAAAGTAGCATGGGAGGAATAAAGAAACACTCACATATAGACCAAGTCAGCAAGATCGAGTAGCACAAAGTCCTGTGTGCTTCTGGTGAAAAGTAAAGCCGCGCCCTACTCAAGTGAAACAGCAAATTCACGGCGGCATACACATAGACCGTTCGGTGAATCAACTGGAGAGCCGCAATTTTGTCTATATGTATTTTAAACACCGCTAACATTCTATGGTCCATCCTCTACCATTGCTTTAATTTCAGGCTTATTCGTCTTCAACGGCGGTAGCATGGACCTTGAGACTTGTCTCGACTGCTGAGCCATCAAAGCATCTACCACAACTAACGCAGCCATAGCCTCCACAATTGGCACAGCTCTTGGGACGACACATGGGTCGTGGCGTCCTTTCGCCTCTAAAGTGCCGCTTGCATCTCCGTCGTATGTAGCGGTGTTTTGAGCCTGGCCGATAGTTGCAGGAGGCTTGAAACCAACTTTGAAGTAGATATGAGCACCATTGGTGATGCCTCCTTGAATGCCCCCGGAGTTGTTAGTTTTGGTGGTAAGTCTTGGTCGTGGGATGCCGTTTCTTGTCGCTCCAGTTTCGAGAGGTGGTACTTCGGGTGCGAGAATAAAAGGATCATTATGGATTGAACCAGGAACTTCACATCCACCAAACCCAGATCCAATTTCGAATCCTTTCGATGCTGGGATGCTGAGCATGGCGTGTGCAAGCATGGCCTCAATCTTGTCGAAGCAAGGCTCCCCTAAACCACTCGGTACATTTCGAATAACACAAGTAACTGTTCCACCGATGCTGTCACTTTTATCTCTGAACGCAGCAATCTCCTCCGCCATACGATCTGACGCTGCTTGATCAGGGCATCTGACTGGGACAAACTCGTCCACCTTTTCTCTTGTAATTGTGTCGATCAGGGAGAGGAATGCTGGGTTCGTCGATGGTGTTGGGTGTGTCGCCGTTGGTGGGAACATATGAATCCCTCCAACTGAAGAAGTCCAAGCTACAATCTCAATTCCGTGTGAAAGCTTCAGGTATTTCTCAGCAATTGCACTTGCAGCTACCCTTCCAATTGTCTCTCTGGCACTACTTCTCCCACCACCACTACTGGCTTTGACACCGTATTTCTCCAAGTATGTCCAATCCGCATGGCTGGGCCGTGGGTACATATCCATTGTCGAGTTTCCATAATCTTTTGGTCTCTGATCCTTGTTTCGAACGACCATCGCAATTGGTGTCCCCAGTGTAATACCAAATTCGGTTCCCGATTGGATTTCGACCGTGTCCATCTCATTGCGAGGTGTTGTAAGAGCACTCTGACCAGGCCTTCTTCTTGTCATTTGAGGTTGGATGTCCTCCTCTGTGAGCTCCATTCCCGGAGGTACACCGTCTACAATGCATCCTACTGAGCGACAATGCGACTCACCGTAGCTAAAGCAATTGAGTTAGCAATTGAGACCTAGAAAAGAGGTTATTGGAAACCCGTACGTCGTGACCTTGAAGAAATCTCCAAATGTAGACATCTTGCGTAGAAAACCTTGACGTTTTTGTTATATGTGCTGCGAAGTTGGAAATACAATTGAAAGACAACCCTGCACAAGTTGTACTTTTTTTCGAACTCAGCCTGATGACTCTATGGAAACCCCTCCCGAGGTCGGCTGCCAAGAAGGGTCTCCGAGAACCGCTCCGAAGGCCCGATCCGTGGATTGGGGGAATTCCCGACGACCCCTGAATGCCGTAGTGCGACGCGACACCTGGATGGGCAATAAGGTCACCCGATTCTATTTGTCTTGAAGCTATTTACAATGTCACCATCAAGAGGACTCAACTCCTCCGTCTTGAGAATTCTGCGGCTCTCAAAAGTAAAATTGAATTCCAATCAATCTCGAACCATCTCCATTTTCACAGAAATACCTAAAGCCAATACTCAAATATACGTTTCCCGAAGTCATTCTCCGTACCTGAACTTGTCAATCGAACATCATCTGTTGACGAAATCGCCAGCGGAGTCCACGATTCTCTTCCTCTACACAAACAAACCCTCGATAATTATCGGCCGAAACCAGAACCCCTGGGTAGAATGCAACCATGCAGCTATACGCAGCAGTCCTCTGCAACCACTGCTTGTCCGTCGGCGATCTGGAGGGGGAACAGTCTGGCACGATGAAGGAAATGTGAATTACAGCGTCATCTGTCCAACTGAAAAGTTCGACAGGAATAAGCATGCGGAAATGGTGGTTCGTGCACTGCACTCATTAGATGTGCAAGGCGCAAAGGTCAATGAACGGCATGATATTGTGATGAATACTCCAGAAAGTACGGTGCCGTTCAAGATCTCGGGAAGCGCATACAAGCTCACAAGGCTACGGAGTTTGCATCATGGTACCTGCTTGCTAAGCAGTCCCAATCTGAAAGATATTGGGAAGTATCTGGGCAGTCCGGCTAAGAAATTCATCAAGGCTCGAGGGGTGGATAGTGTGAGGAGCAAGATTACCAATGTCCACGTCGGAAACGAAGACTTTGAGAATGCAGTCGTGGAGAAATTTAGAGACATGTATGGAAATGTCGAGACTACATTCGTCGGAGAAGAAGAAGGAACTGTACCAGCGATTGAAAAAGGCGTCGAGGAACTTAGTGTAAGTTTGCTCTCCACTCATACGATGTATTAGCTGATAATTTAAAAGTCTCCCGATTGGATATATCGTCAAACTCCTCAATTCCACTTCTCATACCCATCCGCACCCGCTTCAGAAGAACTTGAACCAGTAGTAAGTCTCAATCACTCAATTGGAGCTCCTCGATTGTCAATTGACATTCCTATCACAGCAGACACGTTCATGGAATATCGCTTTTATAGCTCGAAATGGTGTCATAACCAAATCAATAGAACACAACATCTCCTCTGCACCAGGTGATTCAAATTCTTCATCCGTCGAGAATAGTATCATAGGCACGAATGTCTACGAAGTTACGGATTGGGCTCATATACTTCCAGTACATGAGCAACAGGAAATCCCAGTTGCAAAGGCTATGAACGATATGCTCTTGGTTGGTGTGACACCAGCACAGGGAATATAAAACTTCACATATCCACACTGGCGCCAGAAACGACTGTTGGTCTCATAATGGGCGCGAAGACGTGTCTATTGAATCCTTCATCCGCTTGAAGCAAATCTTCATACATCAAGCTCTCATTTGTGGTCAAGGCCTACATGCCACTCACGCCGCAGCTTCCAAACAACAGACATCATCCCGTAAGTATCTTCTGGGCAGATGCAAACAGCTTAAAATAACCCGCAAAACTGCAGACACCACAAACCTCCCCACACCCCTACATAAACCCCCTCCCATAAACCTTCTCCCCCAAAATCCTCAACTTCATCGGCATCATCGAATCCCCATAATGCTCCTGGACATCACTCTTCTCCACCGCATTCCCAATATCCGCCCACCCACCACTTCCCGCAACCCTCACACACTCATCCCTCTTGCTCCTCCCCCACCAACTCGGCAACAATCCCTCCCTCCCCTCCGCCAGCTCCAAAAACCGCCTAAACTCCCCCCGCGGATCCTCCTCATTGTAAATCCCCATCGTGTTCCCCGCAAACGTATATTCATCCTCGCAGCGCATGCGGAAACAGTCGATGAGGCGCACATACACGTCTTTCTCGCTCATCTTATGCAGTTCGTCGTCGTTGCCGAATAACGCGTTGACGCTGGCGAAACCGGGGTTGTGAGGACCTGATTGTGCGGGTTTGGCGCCGCCGCAGATGCGTTTGTGGGCTTTCCAGTCGGCTTTTTGGCAGTCGCGCGAGCAGTATTTTTGGGTGTGGCATTGGGCGCAGTGTTTTAGGGGGGTGGGGAGCGTTGATTGGGGTTTCTGGCAGGTCGTGCAGAGGGGGTCTGAGGAGGTGGATGGGGTTGAGGTTGGGGGTTGGAGGAAGACATGGTGATGTGTTGGGATCTTTAGATCTGGAAAGGCAAGTTGAAGTATGAGCACCAGCGAGAAAGTTAGGAATTTTGTTTGTGGTTTGAATTTTTACTTGTACTGCTCTGGGGTCTTCTGGTGAATTGAAATATTGGCAGACGCGATTTAAAAAGAGGCTGGACTTTGCAAACACGGTATCACGTGTCGTAGTGTTGACGCGTCAATGATCGGGATATGTGATGTTTTGTAATGTTCAAGAGGGCTATATGTCGCACCAAATACTATGGGGTTTGAACTTCAGATGACTGACCTGATAGAAGCTTTCTTCGTGTATCCCATATTGTTGAACGAATCAAGCTAGAGGACCGTGTTCTAAGTCCATCAATTCTCCGTTAAAGGTCTTGCTCATCTCATCCCATGGCTTATTTGCGGACGGGTGGCCTGGGCCCATCGAGGTAGTCCCGTCTTCCCGTCTTCCCCGCCTATGTACTAACTATATTCGACCACGAAAGCTAGTGATATTATATGGTCTACGACCAGGAGATACTATGACAGCGGTTAGCTAGCAACAGAGTAACGCAAAGGCAAACTTACTAAAGCATGATTCCCGCTCCAGTAGCCATAGCAAGAAACTGCTGAGCAGTCTTCTTCAATTCCAACTTTCGATCCTTACCCGTCTCCAATAACTCAGGAATCACCGCCACAGTCCCGACATACAAGAACGTGCCAGCAGTAAAAGGTAGGAGCATATCACCCCAAGTCAGACTTGTGCCCATCAATCCTTCAAAGCGGCCATTAGCACCATCACCTCCACTTCCGCCATACTCCTGTACGGCAATACCAATGACGGTGCCTAGTAAAGCTCCGAGGGCTGTGAGGAATTGCGCTCCCATGGCGGCACGCTTCGAAAATCCAGATTGGATTAGGAGAGCGAAATCGCCGACCTCGTGAGGGATCTCGTGGAAGAATACTGCAACAGTTGTAGTGGCACCGATGGTTGGGGAGGCGTAAAACGAAGATGACATTGCTAGTCCGTCGGTGATGTTATGAGTGAAATCGGCACTGTATTTCGTTAGCATGTGCGCTATCTCGAGGAATGTAAATGTCTTACATGAGGTTCAAATATCCTGCCAGCTTGACACTAGCATTGATCTCCTTCTCCTTCTCTTCCTTGACCACCTCCGGGGCACCTAATGAATTCGCCTGTTTCCTCGATCGCGTACCCTTCGCAGGAGAGCTATCAATAGCGGAAGTGGACCCAATTGGCTTCACAACCTCAACAGAACTCCCATGCGAATGACTATGATCATGACCTCCCTCACCCCCGGTCGCAATCCTCAACCCCTTATCCATAGCCACGAACGTCACAAATCCGACCATAATGGCCACACCGAGCAGCAAATTACGATTCGGTTCAACCAGCACAAATCGGACATGTTCAGGGCTATCCTCTCCCAAAAAGATCTCCGGCAGCAAATGGAACAATGTGTCACCCAACAGTCCACCCACCGCAAACGCGACCATCACCGAGAGCGAAGAGGGATCGATATTCGGCGGACATAGCGCGAGCAAGAAGTTCGGCGGGCCAGAGATATACAGCGTCGCAAGAAGCGCGTTAACAGCCGGACTACCAGGAAACAGGACTGCGAAAATCCTCGATGTCAAGCTCGAGGTCTGAGGGGAGGTTGCGAGTTTGTAGGTATTAAGGTCTTGTACCAGCGCGCATTGCTAGAATGGCCAGGTTAGCATGCTCGTGATCACATCCACATAGCCTGTTTATGCTTATGCAGGCACAATTGGACACACCTGAAGCTCGTCCTCGATTTCTGGGATGCTCATGGACGCGATGGATGCATGGTGTTTTTCGGCGTAGACGTATGCTGCTACCATGAGCAGCAGGATAGCCACCCGGCGGGGTTGGAAGAAAGGCATTGCGATGAATGTCAAGGAAGAGATTGAAGTGGTGAGCGGGGAGGTTTGTTTGTGTCGTGATATTCCAAGCTTGTGGTTCTGTCCCCAGCACGCTTGGCCCAAGCTTGAGCTGACCGTTGGATTTCTGGCAGTGGTCCTTCCAAACTTCCTACCTAGGTACATACACACGACTTGTGCAATAAAGCTAGCAAGGTATGTTGCTATCTTACAGTAGCAGTGAATGATACAACTTTCTTTACAAGTCACCATATTTATACTCAGTATGGATATACACTATTATAACCGAGTTCTGCAGTGACGCCAGTACAATTAGGAATCAGAATTGCTCTGTCGCTGCTACAAGCCAAAAGAAAGGCATAGTATTAAACATTATATCTCAAAATAAGCTGAGGACTAATGAGGAGGGGAGATTGGTGGGAATCTATCCCAGCGCTGGACGAAAAGTATTCGTGCCACGTGAAGATGTCTGAAGACAAACTACACTAAAACCCGCTGCATGGAAAGGGCAAACATTCCAATTAAGGACTAAGCCTCACGATCTTCCAGCTCTCACCCTCCTTTCTATACTGAAATCGATCGTGCAGTCTGCTCGGTCTTCCCTGCCAAAACTCCACCATCTCAGGCTTGACCCGAAGTCCTCCCCAGAATTCTGGAACTGGAATCTTTTCTTGACCTTCAAATTTCTTCTCGATATCTCCTACCCAATCCTCCAGTTCTTCTCTACCATTGAGAACTTGACTCTGTCGACTCGCCCAAGCTCCAATGCGACTCCCTCGTATTCTGGTATCAAAGTAGACTTGACTTTCCTCCGGCGTGAGGCGTTCAACCTGACCCTCCACGCGTACTTGACGCTCCATCTCTCTCCACCAAAATGTTAAGCTCGCCCACTTATTGCTTTCCACGTCCTTGGCTTTCTGGCTGGTTCCCCAATTGCTGTAAATAACAAAGCCTCTGTCGTCTAATTCCTTCAAGTATACCATACGCGCACTCACTCTCCCCGAGGGTAAAGACGCTGTGGACAAACACACGGTTTCGGGTTGGTGGACGGAAGACTTCTGAGCAAGTGTGAACCACGTGTTGAATTGATTGAATGGAGAGGAGGGGTCAAGTTGTGACTCGTCGAGGGAACCTTTCGTATATTGCTCCGCTTGGGCACCGGTCTTGTCGTCCGCGGGTGCAACTGTTGTCATTTGGATCAGTATTGAGCAGAGACCACATAGATGGCGGGGTACCACTCGTATGATTTACTTACAGATCATTTTGTTCACATTCTGTGGAGGGTGAAGGGCCATCGTGAAGGGCCTTTGGCGAAAGGGAAGACGTGATGTTATTCTCATGTAGAGATTTTGGTTTCTATTGTCGGCGTGGTGAGAGAAGTATGCCAGAGGAACACAAATGTTGTGGAAATACAATTTGTTTCGGGCGATTGATGACGCCCTCGGGATGTGGAGCTCTTTGTGCCCCGCTAACACCCGCTTCAGCCTTACCAGCCTTGTTCACGATCAGAACCAACAATTGGAAGAACGTAGCAATATGCCTCGTAATCTTTCCGCTGGTATATACACTCGTCGATTGTTCCAGTATCTTATCGAGAAAATGAGCTCCTAATTGCGCCCAGAACGCCGTTTTATGCTTTTCGTATAGGGCATACCCATTCACCGCCTAATCCATGCTTGGAGCCAATGTGACTAGACTGAACCTCATCTCACCGGCACCAGCTGCTGCTTCTCTTTTGAAGAAAGGTCGTGCTCCCAAGTCCAAGGCCTTCTCACTCAAGACATCTTCCTCTCCAATATTACCCCTGTTGATGGGGCCCTTCCTCCTGCCATCCATTTCCCAAAGATTATTCTTCGCGTCCTTGATAAAGCAAACATAGTGTAAATCGACATTGTCCTCGGCATCGGGCCTATCGCTTTGACCTTGTGAAGCGGCACCTTGGTGTGCGGATTCGAGGGCTTGCGAGTTGTACAGCAAATCTGCGCGTTCGATTGGGCCGAGGGGGGTTGCATCGTCAACCAGCTTGCGTAGATCAGACCCGGGGGCTCACAATAGTCAGTAGATGTTGAGATATGCGGAAAGAATAACCAACGCACTGATAAAGTCTTTTGCAGTGCCGTTACTGACAGCGTGGAGAACGCCGATGAGACCGCATGCATTCCGAATCGTCTGCTTATACCAAATGACAGGCTCCTCGCCACCTTTACCCTCATACTCTTTGTTGGATTTATCTTCTTCCATTCTGTAAGTCTCGTAGGTTTTGCTGACTGGGAAAACGAGCAGAAGAGCGCTTGCAGGTCGAGGAACAAATGCCAACATCTCAGGGTCGTCTATACTCCAAACGTCGTGAAATGAAAGAGTCGACGACAAGCCAAGTTTGTGTACCAGAGAGCTCATTACTTCTGGGTTGTTTTCTAGAAAGGAGTCAGCAAAGATTCAGTCGTTGTAGCAAATGTGAGGCAGACCTAAAGGGACAAATGCCTTTCTGCCTGTTGGGACATCCGGGTTATCGAATTCCTGGGTTTCGGCCATGATTAAGAGCCTTGCGTAGTTTTCCGACGTCCAAATGAAATGATCTTGAGGTTTACAATTATGCTAGACAAAAGTCTAAATTTACTTGGGTTTGTTATACAAGCAAGAGGTATGACGCGCCGGACAAACACAGTGGTAATCCGGCGCCGGGTTTATCCGCTCCGGTTGATGCTGGACTTCGGTCTTCTTCGTCTCTCTCTCTCTTTCTTTTACCTTTCGAAAACCCAAATTCCTGTCATGTTCTTATTTCATATATTTAAAAGGCTTGATATTCACTCGCTCGCATGTCTCAATCCAGAAATAGCTCCTAGAGCCTCTTTCTCGACGATCACGTTATGGTGTTATCTAGATCCACGAGTTTTCTCTGGTCTCCTTTGTTCAGAATTCTCGCCTGAGCAAAGGTATATCTCTACCTCTCTTCCGCGCAAATCACCGTCTTGTCTCAATTATCCATATGATAGCAAGGTCAATCGCCCCGCCAGAGAGCTACAGAAATATACAATGCATGTGGGACTAATTGCGTTCCATATCGCTATTTAGCCATACTCCCCGAACGAAAGTACATACGAGGATTCAACATGGGTTAGCGTCCCGATGATTATTTCTACCTCCATTCAATACGTCATTTAGGTGTGAATGACCCCAGACCGGAGTAGATATTGATTGCAATTCCCGAGAAAATCGTAGCCAAGTTCATATATAAAGTCAACTTTGGTTGCCATGTCTTTCCGTCTCGCTTAGCATCAACAGATGCGGACATGATTTTGATTGTATCAATTTCGATGTGAGCAGAAATGATTATTTATTCACATGTGGGAAATATATACAGCCTATATGCTGCATATCTCTCAACCCGACGTGCCACGTTCCACCTTCCTGGTTTATGCTTTAGTGAGCGTGCCCAGATCGGGGTTGAGTTTAGATGGGTTTGGAACAGACCATAGCAGTTCTTTCAAATCTAGGTCGTGGGGTATTCAGGTTCACACCCGGAAGCTTCTCACCAGTTGATAAGCTTACATTGTAATGTATATTGCTGCCTAAACTCTCTCAGTTCCTAAGGATTCAGATGTCAATCTCAACCAGCATTTCCCCGAGTGGGTATCTGTCGCGCATCCGTTTAATATCGAATTACAATTTGTAGTCTAATTAGCTTCACGCCTCAGTGGTAGCTCGAGCACACATCACATCTGATCGTAAAGCTCGCGCTGCCAAGACAGCGAAATTGTTGTATATTGCTACAAAAACAAAATATTGCAGCTGAAAGAACGATCATATATCGTGTCTGACAACCAGGTCTATAAAGGATGCCACACCCTACATGACAGAATTGAAAACACCTCTTCTTCAGCTGCTTCTACTACCATCAAGTTTGATCCTACTCTCAATCCTCCAAAATGCGTTTCCTCAACTTGATTGCTCTTTCTGCGTGTATGCTCTCAAGATTTGCTGTTAGTATCTTGTATCCTCACTTATACCCCATCTTTAACAAATGCCTAGCTCCCCCAAGTCATTGTAACAGTCACGGAAGTTGTGACCGTGGACCCAGTCTGGACAACAACTGTTACCACGATTATCACAGTTACAAAATCAACAACCACGACTAAGGCAACAAGTACAACAAGCAAATCTAGCACCACTACACGACGTCCAGGCGGCCCTGGTGGTCCTCCATGGACGTCGGGCGGTGGTCCCCCATGGGGCCCATCCACAGTATTTACGACTGTTTTCGTCACTGAAACCGAGAAAACAAAATCGAGTACCACGACACGACGGCCAGGTGGGCCCGGAGCTAGCCCAACAACTGTATTTACGACCGTTGTCGTTACTGAGACGGGTCAGCCACAACCGACGAATGGGGACCCAAATGCTACGAAATGCCCTGCACCGTTATGGTACCAGTGCGGAGGAAAGGTCTGGACTGGATGTAAGACTTGTGAGAAAGGACTAAAGTGCTGGGGTAAAGACGGTATGTCTTTGTGATGATTGGGTGTGATGATAGCTTACTTACTGGGTTATAGAATGGTTTTCTCAGTGTCTTACTCCGGACGCTATTCCAACCTCGACATAAAATTTCAGAGCTATACAGTGGTATCGGAGATCACAAGGTCCTCAAACAAGAAGTGGTTGGAGTGAGAGACATCCGCGAAGAAGCACAAACCCAAAGGCATCATTCAACAGGAGTTGTATAAACTCGCTACTGTAGCTAGGCTGCGAAGTATATTCAGGATATTCTCAATAGCGCAGGTTCCTCCCCGTATGATCTACTTACCACATTCACGCACCACTCTGCAAATTGTATCACACTTTCCTTTATCTATTTCGCGTAAGCTCTCCTGTACGCGCAAGTATGGTTCCTCTTTCTGTATGAAACAGCATATTATTTCACAAATGCCGATCTTCCTATTCAAGTGTATGGGACAGAAGAGTATTCAGCATGAGGGTTGTTTGAATATTTTCAGACCAATTCCTTGGCGATTGTTTGCCAACAACGTCGTCCCGAATGTGAACAGCTTGGACCAGTGAAACTAGAATGTTCCAAAAATTGAACAAAACTGATATCCAGCGAGTCTGCCAGTACGAGGTATGAATGTTCTTTGCAGATCGGTACACGTACTCTTATGAGACGTGCCAGGTGTTTTCGAGCTGTCGTTTAAGGATTATGAAGCAAATAGAATGGCCCGTAAAAGGGTCGTTCTTGTGCTCACCGCCCTCGTGGCAGAATATCAGAGCATCGCCACTCCCTCTCTACCTAAGAAGTCACCTCAATCAGCAACTGTCCAACGTGTGTTTTTTTTACGTATAGCACGCGCATATAGTATTTTAGGTCTATGTTGACATCTGAGCTAGGCTCGATCTTCTGCGCCGTGATAGACCTCGACTTCCCGGATGAGTCATGACCAAGAATGCCCAGCTGTGGAGTCGTTCTAGTTTCGGCCAAGTTTTCTAATACAATTATATATATTTCTATGTGCAGGGAACTTCATCACTTGATATCACTCAATATCTAAGACGCTCAAAAAAACCACCTTCACCAACAGATATCTAGTAACATTATCCATAACCACCAAGATGAACATCCTCAACCTCCCTCAAGAGCTTATTGCAATGCTTCCTCTCCACATCCACACCATCGAAGACTTCATGAATTTATCATCAACTTGTGTCACTCTTCGAAATGGCCTATCAAGAACCACTCCCAATCAGATTCTTCGTATGGCAGCGGCACAACGCCGGATCTTCTTTCGACCAGATCCTCATTTTCTCATAGCCGCTACAGCTCGTCAACTTAGCGAATGGGCTCTTCTGAGTTCAGAGAATACGCACATCCTTAGGGAGGCATTCAAGGACGGTCCAGATGCGTTGCTCGAACTATGCATCGAGAAGAGCGGGATTACAATGGAGGAAATCCGGAGGCTACATGCACTTCGCTTCACAGTTCTCAACCCTGTCGCGGATCTTATTGATCGTGCAGCTGGCAAGCAGTGGTATGATGTTCCAAATTTCTGGGAAGGTGGTAGGTCTGATGCAGGCACCATCTTCTGTGAGCCAGAGAGAGCCATGTACCAGATTATTACATACGGCGAGCTGTTTTCGTCGACCTTGAAAGCTGTTTTGTACCCAGAGCTTGGATTGCCAAAGCATGATTTAGACACAAGACTTGATTATCTCATGTACTGCGTCCCGGATTCGGTCTGCGAACCACGTAGGAGGTTGGTTTCATGTGCAGAACCACGCGGGCTTTATGCTCCAGGCAGGAAAATCGTTGAAGCAGATCAGATGGCACTTCGACATCTTCTACGGACTCGTAAGTGGAGGGAACCGTTCGAGGCCATTCAGGAGACTATTGGGCCAAAGTATGAAAGCGAAGATGATAACGAGGTCCATTGGAAGCAAAAGTTGTGGATATCAGCGGCTCAATGTCGGGGTTTTGATAGCGTGACTGCTTTACAGCTGGGTGCTTCTAGTCAATACACAAAATCCCTTGAGGATGATAGGACTCGGATTGACATTATGGAGACGGAACCGCAGCGTTTTACAATCGGAAGCAGGAGGAATCCTGCCCATGAATTTCCCCACATGGGCGATGAGGTATTCCTTTGCATGAGAGGCTACTGGCAGTTTGATTAATCAGACTTTGGCCTAGCATCAAATGAATATATGTTATGATAGTACGCGCTATATTCAGCTTTATTAAAATCGATCACCGCCCACACACCGCAATTGTTATCAGATGTTCTTAGTAATGCCCGGCTGAATCCCCTCCAGTATCCCCACCAACTCAGTCCACACTCTCTCTTGCGACTTCTTTCCCTCCTCACTCCTCACAAACTTACTGGGTGGCGTGACAACGCAATCACACATATACTCCCCATGTGAATCCTCATTCGCAGCAGCTGCAAACACAAGCGTCCTACTACCTACCTCCGTTTTTCTCGCAACCAACTGCCTAAACAACCAGAACATGAACCCTCCAAAGCCCTTGCTATCTCTAGATAATTCCGAATGACATAGTCCCGGATTAGGATTGTTGACGATAACCGGCTCGGATGCGTGAGGTCCTGTTGACATCTGTGCTGCCAATGCTCGAATTGCGAAGATCAGGAGGAGTTTCGTGGTTGGATAGCGGCTTGCCATGTACTTTGGATCATTCTTCTTGCAGGCTTCGAAGATTGAATCTTCATGACGTTCATCAAGTGGAGACTATATTCATCAGCACGGTCACCTCAAAATTCAACGGGAAATCCACTCACAAAACCATGCACCTCACTCCCTACAATAACCAACCTAGGCACTCCCCCCGTCTTCCCCGCCGACTTCCTCAAAACCGGCAACATCCCCACCGCCAACAACATCGTCCCAATAACATTAACCACAACCCCGCTCTCCATCCCCTCCACCTCCTCATATTCCATCTTTGCAATCCCCGCATTCTCCACCAGGACATCCAATCTCTCCAGCCCTTCCGCACGTAGCGTAAACGCTTTGATAGAATCATAATTACTCATATCCAGCACCCAGGTCTCGCAGACTCCAGTGCGACCGGTGCTGGCTTCGATATTGTGACAGGCGGCTTCGCCTTTGGCGAGGGAGCGACATGCCAGGATCACTTTTGAGGCACCTAGATTTGTGAAGTGTCGGGCGGCTTCGAGACCGAGACCGGTGTTGGCGCCGGTTACTATTATGGTTTGGTTTTGGAAGGAGAAGGTTGGAGTGGGGAGGGTGGTGAATTGGGATTTGAAGAATGTGAGATCCATTTTGAGTTGGGGGGGGAGTCCTTCGATGGATATTATGCTTCTTGTCAAGGTTGTTTTTGTGGTTTCGGATGGGATATGTAGGTTCCTCTTTCAATATATAAACTCTCTTCATCTCAGTTCAGGGGAGCCCCCTCGCTTAAGACATTTTTCGCTTAGCCACCCAGCGGAGTTAATCTACCAGACCCTCAGTCTTAATTCCGGTAGCGGCGGGAGTCTAGATTCGATTTTCTTTTCTTTTTCCCGGGCTTTTTAGTCTTGTTTATTCCCATTCGCGCTGTCGTGGCCCATTGAGCCGACATTCTTGTCTTGCAGAGTTCCGAAGTTCTTGGCGATTGGTTTGTGCTGCTGGATTGTGGAGTTAGTGGAGTTTAAGGTTAGTGCTAAGCGACTCTCGAGGGAGTTAAGCATAACTTTGACCAACTCTCTTGTAAGGCTGGACAAATAGAACGAACGTTAGTCACGTTCTTAAATATACTGTGAGGTTGCAGTTAGAATTTTCTATAGTGAAATGCAGCAGCTGTCTTAAGCCTGCCTTTTGCGCAAGACATATAAAATCCATATCCTGTTCATTCTGTCAACAGTTCCGCCTGGAGCTTTAGGTGTAATTTTGTTTTCTCCTTTTACTTATTGAAATGTATAAGTCCGCTAACTCTGGTGGGTAATTTCGATGTTTTCTGCGGCCTTATCTAATATGCTCCAAAGAATATTAACTTAACGTCTGTCCCACGATATATCTTTGCACAGGATGAATCCATAGTTTTAGAATAATGAGGCTTCTTCTTCTTGTAAGTCTATAAGGTTGTTGTCAATAGTGATTTTCTTTCGACTATTTATCCATACGAACAGCACCAAAGTGCAGCATCGCGAGCGTCCATTGATATCGACTTCCAGACGATTTTACGTGGGCATGAGTCGACAGTTATTTTGATCCACGGATATAATAGTGTAACAGAGGACAAACAGGCTAGGTAGGTTTCCTCGTTAGTAACCCTGGTATCAGTTTCTCAGCATAAGGGCAGTAGCGCGCCTTGATATTAATATTCGCTCCGCAGTCCAAAAGCATCTTAACACCAGCCTCAAAGTTTGCATGGACAGCCATATGCATCGGTGTCCATCCGCTAAAGTCAGGGGCATCAACATCAAGCTCCTGCTCTTCTTTATGCTCGAGGAGAGTTTTGAGTATATCTTCTCTACAATGCAACACAGCCCAATGCAGCGCAGATCGGTCATCGCAATCCATCTCGTTTATACGCGCTCCGTGGGCTAGCAGTGCGGTGACGATGGTCTGATGGTCTTCGATCACGGCGTATATGAGCGGGGTGCGGCCATTGCTGTCCTTCTCATTCAGGTCGGTATCTTGCTGGATGAGAATTTTGAGGATGAGATCGTTGCCTGTGCGAGCGGCGATGTGTATGGTGCTTAGCCAGCCTTTGTCATGGGCAGACCCAAGGAGATTATGGTCAAGCTCGACGGGCTGTGGTGAGATGGGTGGAGGACGGGAAGCAACATCGTTGCTAGAGTGTGGTCCGAGGAAGGTGGAAGCGATTGGCGTGAACGGTGAAATGTCTTGAGGAGTCATATTCAAGTGAAAGTTTGAGCCATCATCTGTTGAGAATGAGATGTTGTTGCTAGCGAGTATGCTGTCCATGGCAGCAACATCCCATTCTTCGAAATGACCCGCCTCGAGACGGGGACTGTCATGGTGTTGATGAGGGGGGTTAACTAGGGAGTCAAAGGTCTCCGTAGATGAAAAGAAATCCGATGTTATGGCATTTGAAGTATCAGTGGTGGTAGTTATTACTCGCTGATGTTCTGGTGCTGGTATGCTAACAATGCTTGACGGGTTTTCGATTGACGCAGGATCAATAGATTTATAAAGCCTTTTTTCTACAAACCTCGTAAGAATATGACGCTAAGCTCGCTAGGGGAGAACAGATTTACGGCGAAATTTTCGCTGGGCAACTCGGTTTTGCAGGCGACGACGTTCGATCGCGTCGGCTGGAAGCTGGATGTTGTGATTCATTACGATGGGTCTTGGTCCAAGTTGCTGAAGATTGACTCGGGTTGTGGCAGCTAGTTTAGTTGACAAAATTGAGAGGCTCTAGACGGAGAATATCTGGATAGTTTGAGGTGGCAGGTACAGCAATCCTAACTTACCTCCTTATCACATTAGTAATGCTGCAATCTCGGAGTCGGAGTCGGAGTCGGAGTCAGTGTCCCCCCCGCCTCCCCTAAAACATGAAACTTCGTCGTTTTCCTCTTCTCATGGCCCACACCTATGTAAGATTGCCCCACGCTTCATCACTTTAATACAACAGCTCAAGACTCAGAGTTCTCTGTCTTATTCTTGTAGTACAGCGACTAGATGCAGTCGAATTCCGAACACACCAATATTGGATGATGCATCTTCAAACCGCCTGTCAAAATGAGAGACATAATACTTACAATTGAGCAATACACTCCAGGCATGTCCCTCCAGCGCACCACAGAAATATCGTGGACTTGAAAAGGGATTCTCATTGTACAGAACATATGCCCACAGCTTCGTTGGCTTTACCGTAGCCTTTACGATTGAACGCAGCTCTCTTCAAACAAAGTCAAATTCTTTCACGAATGAGTAGTTTGCGAAGCTACTGATTCAGTGACAACAAAATTCCAGATAGCTGCAAAGAGCACAATCTCTATCATGACAAAATGCAGCGCAGTTAGGAAGGTTATCAGCCAATCTACCATGGGACCTCTACTCCATTGTATTCCCACAACTTGCCACCATGGCTGTCTCGAGTTGCTACGTCGATGACTTTGACCATGCCGGTAACACTTTCCTCGGAGGTGATCGCGGCCTTTTCGATGTTGAAGCTATGCGCGGCGTGATTGCCTATATTGAAGTTAGTAGTACTTCTAGCTGAAGGGGTTCAGAGGTACAATACCAAGGTCAGTCTGGACCCATCCTGGATCAATCGGAAATGCGGTAAGCTCTGGCTCTTCCATGTGCATAGCCTTGGTAAGCCAATGAAGCACAAGCTTGGTTGGTGCATACGCTGCATTTTGAAAAGGGATCATGTTTCTAAAACACAAATCGTTAGTCTACGTATCAACAGAATATTGCTAGATCCGACTTTGATTCAACTTGAGTTCAGTTCCAACAGACTTGGAGTCCCATGAAGAGGCATCTTTGACAGCTTTGGACCCTGAAGACTCTACAGCTGAGGGTACTTACTACACAACTGTCAGCCAAGACCAATGATTTTGGGAAACAGGAATCACCAACCGTAAGGTATGCTGCACTAGATCCAATACTAACCCACATCTTCTTCTCGCTTCTCTTCAACAGCGGCAGCATTGCTTGATAAAGCCAAACGTTTCCATACACATTCGGCACTATATGGCGCTGCATATCCTCGGTTTTGACTTCCGAAACCTTTGGATAGACATATGCCACGCCCGCATTGGCGATGACAATATCGATATAATCAACTCCATCTTTGGCTAGAAGCTTGGCTGCAGCTGCCGCGTCGGTGGGGACCTATCATCCAGTCAAAAGGTGAAATTGTGGACTTTTCTCGCCCGACACTTTCTCTTGCAAGTTATCAAGTAGCTCCATCATTTCATATCGCATAAGTAATTGAAGCATTTTTGAATCAAAGCCAACAAGGATAGAGACGCAATCAATGTCATTGGGGGCAGAGAGTTTAACAGTAGAGCCTGCTGTACATACCGTGGCATCAATCTTGATAACTAACAAACGGGTGCCATCTGCCGTTGGTAGTGTAGCGAGCGCTTTGGATGTAGCGTGCTCAGGGTCCCGGTTCCCAGCGATAACAAGATGGTTTGGTTTGAGGAGGTAGAGTTCAAGAAGGCCCTTGCCAATTCCCCTATTGGCACCGGTGATTAGGACGACGGTTTGCGTCATTTTTGTCTATGAATCTCGATCTTTGTAAAGCGGAAGAACAGTAATGCAATGGAGAAGAATGAATATCCTGTGGAAGAATTCAACATAATATAGAGAGAATTGAACATAGTATAGAAGACTGGAAGCGTGCACGGAATGCTGACCTTGCATGTCCGCTATTAAACGTAAGTTGGGAGGTCTAATCAAATTACAATGGTAATATTATGGGCCAAATTTGAAGGAGAAAAGCTCTGACAGGATTTCGATGTAATCATGATTTGTTGTCGGATGTATTAGTTCTGATATTGAGGCTTATCAACTAGTGGATTGAATGATTATGCTTATTGTTTATGCTTATACGCTAATGCAGAGACGCTTACCATGCATCATTTTTGCTGATTTCGGATGCGCATTGACCAGATCAATACATCCTTCTAAGGAAGACCTTCACGACCTGAACTTCATTTTAGAACACAATGATTTGCGCAACTCCACAATTTGTCATGGAGGCCTTATTCAAAGAGCATTTAAAATTAATGGCACAAGTTTGAACTTCTGAATACAGCTGTGTCCACCACAATATAGAATATCGTCAAGTGGCTCCAGCTCACCACCTAGTTCCACGAACTTAACGAGCTTTCTCAAATGATGTCTGAGAGGTTTTAGTGCGTCGTCTTCTCAGGAGCTTACCAGCACAACCGTTCGTGAACCCATGGAGGGCCTGAGGCATCTTAGAAGTTTAGGGTTATGGGCAGAGTGAAGCTTATCCAAGTCTCTTGTTGTTGGACAAAGAAATGACAGTACTCTCGTAATAAACATTCTATGAGGTTACTGTTAATCATTCTTCCAAAGAACGAACCAAAAGCGATCTTCAAGTTACATGTTACCATATAACCCCCTCTTTTAAACACATTCTGCTGCTCACTTCATTGGAGGTTGAAGACAGAGTTTGTTCTCTGGATCGAGGAATAACATTTTCGTTCTAATTCCTAAGCATGGTGTTAGATGTTCCATCTCCTATGAATGTTAGAACAATTCATCTTAAAGCATGAAGGTGGAAATATTGTGACTGGGTCCATGGCGAAAAAAGGTCAAAGTCAGATTGAATCTTCTAAAGTTTGCCAGCTTCCCTAGCCTCATTGATTCAAGGTCCCTATCTTTGTGATAGGACTAGCACTGTAGACTGGGGTTCTTCATCGTCCAACAAGATATACTAGTAAATAGACAAGTTCACCATCTTCCAGCCTTGAGCTTCACGACTATCGTCATCATAATATGTCAATATTTTCCATTATGAATTAACGTTATTCACAATACCCCACGAAAGCCATATCTACGCCGAAACTCCTCAAAATAAAGCTGACCAAACCACTCAACAGCAACATTGCGATGGCATCCACTACTCTTAACCACGAACTGATCGCCTACCTCAAAGCCCACAGCAAAATACCCATCCCATTGAGTCCTGAGTACTCAAAAATGATATCCGGAATGGAGTACCTGCCCTCACCCTTTCACCCCATAATATAAACTAAAGTCGCACAGCTTCTCTATCTCCCATGATCCGGCAATGCAAAAATACCGCCTCGCCGTTCGCGCCAAACTCCAGGATTTCAACACCCAAGTCATCACTGAAGAAAGCACACTCACTGGACTCAAAGAACGGAACATGGAAATCGCATCAAGTATCCTGGGAGCAGTCGGCGAGAAGTGTAATATTGAACCCCCATTCTACTGTTCATGGGGCTGTAATATTATTCTCGGCGACGGTGTTTATATGAATCGAAAGTGAACCATTCCCCATTTCCATTCTACTCCCTCTGCTAACATGGCTAAATAGTGTATCTATTTTCGATAATGCGTCGGTTACGATCGGAGAACGCACGTTAATCGGCCCCAACGTTACGATTTGTACGGACACGCATGAGACTGATACACGGAAACGGGTTGAGGGAAGCTCGTTTGCGAAACCAGTGAGAATCGGCAAAGAATGTTGGATTGGGATGGGTGCGTGTATTCTGGCGGGAGTGACGATTGGGGATGGGGTTGTGGTTGCAGCAGGAGGGGTGGTGGTTAAGGATATTGGGAGTTTTGTTCTTGTCGCGAAGGTACCGGCGGAGGTTGTGAGGACTTTGGATGGTAGGGATAGGAGTTAGAGGTTTGGAGTTTATATGTGTGAGTCTCTTCTGAATTGGAATTGCCGGGGGTTAATTGGAGGTAGAACGTTGACTTGAAAATAGGCATTGCGTTTAGAGATCAGTTAGAACTCGCAAACCTAAACAGTACCCAACTTAATTAAGCACATGGAGAAGTATTCTAGCTTGTCCAGTCCAAATTTAAAACAAATTTCGGTACTTAAAGCACGAAGTGTAAATAAACATACGACCTCAATGGTGTCCTCTGGAATGGTGATCATTCTGGTCTATTTGGACGATTCATGATATTAGAGTAGAATATACTTATTCAATTGTAACTTGGGATGTTCTCAATCAATGCTTTTTGAGTTTGGCCAACTTATAAGCTTACTTGACATAAAGAAAAATCTGAATTTCTATTTTCTAACTATTGTGTTCTTGCACCTCACCAGCCCACGAAAGTGGTACTCTTCCCTTTCTCCTAAAGCTTTCCCGTTTTAAGCTAGACTGCAATTAAGGACACCATCAATTTCGTAATAAACCATGAATCTTACTTTAATGTTGTCATCCTTAGTGTCGAGGTCCCTACCTCTAGCAAGATCCAGGATTGGGATCAACCCTACCCAAAACAGTCAGTAAAACCCAAACCACCTTCACGCTCAGTTTTACGTACCTATATTTCCACCCTCCAGCATCATGCCACCCCCCTTGATTACAATTATAAACATTAACCATCATCTCCGCCTGACAGACATCATCATCCAGATTCAGACTCGTCGTCGTACTCAGATTCGTGATTTCCATATCAACATGCTGTCCACCCGACACATTGACACAGGACGATTTCTTCTGTAGAGGGGCAAAGACGCCTTGAAATGCACCTGCGACGCGCGGGTTGCCATAACCATGACAGGCTCGGCCGACCTGGATGCCTGTTTCTTCGGCGCTGATGAAGTCGCCGGTGACGTAGCAGCCTGCGTGGGCGGGATTGGTGTAGCTGGTGAGGAGGATGGTGAGGAAGGTTGTGAATACGTTTGAGAGGTACATTTTGATGAAAGTGGCGATGTGCAGACTTTTAATGAGGAATATGTATTGGTGCTTTGAATAGTAGCTTGATTGTGAGGCTGTGTTGAAGTGAGAGTTGCTTATTCTATCGTCTTGTGTACAACGGGGAGGAGGCTCTTTCTTATAGATCGAGCTACCCTTCCCAATAAGCACCTCTAGATAATCAGTGGTCAGCACGACCGTATAATCTATATTTTCAAGAAAACATACCTGCTATTACCAATTTTCTGTTGCCTCCACTCCTAACCGTTTCATTATTGGTCGCATCTCAATTTAAGACTGAAGAGACTACTTTCCTAGCGAGTCGCCCTTATTTTTGGAATTGAACAGGAACGCCACGGGTATCTTCCAAGACTTTTCTTGACAGTCTAATAAGACACAGCGTTGTAGTCTGGTACCTGGACAGGGATGAACGTCCATGTAAATGGTAGAGAGAACGGACTAGCGACCACACCGAGTAGTCTTTTACGTACTATAAGCTTTGATCGCTACGAGAAGCGAGTAATTCGTGATGGTTCGGCAAATTTATGCTTACATGAAGGTAACACTCTGCTAGTAAGCGCGGGACGCTTACGCGTCGGCCTATAAGACCCTTTACTTCGGTTAGGGCTTTCAGAATATTGCTTTTGCGAATAGAAACTAATACTCGGTCACCATTCGTGGATGGGAGCGTGGTATTTTGGCGTCCTGCCCCAGTCATAACCGAGTCCCACATAATTGTAAAACGTCCTCGTGTAATTCAATAAACCACCAATCATTCAACAGTTAAAAAATAAAGAACGAGTTATCACCTACTCTATTGACAATTTCTAGCACAACCAACGGAATGACCATCATGAGACCAGAAATACAAAGTAACAAATCAATCTGAAAAAGCCAGCTTCGAATTTAAGCACTCTACTACCAGCCCATGGCAGTGATAACCCTAATTTCCACTCCCCTCTACGCAAGCACCGTAACAGTATGCACATACTTGACCTTCCCCCCCTCCACCCTAATCTCATGCGAATCAGGCATATTCCCCAACGAATCAAACGCACAAAGCACATCCACGCTCCCCACCAATTCATCAATCACATACCGCCTCATCCCATTCGGTTTCGTACTTCCACCATGCGGTAGCTGTCCACCGCACGGTCTCGTCAATTTACTCCCCTCAACCCTCTCACAATCAGTACCCCACGGTATGGAATCCGCGGCTTTGGCATCCGTCCACATATCCAGATATGCGTCGCCTACGCGCTTTAAGAGATCGCGGTTTACGGGTGCGGTTTGGACGCCCCAGTTTTCGGCGCGGAGGTAAGATTGTGTGAGTGTGGCGTTGAAAAATAAATCTTTAGTCGTTGCGACGATGGAATCGATCATGCTAATCCCTGTCCCACTGTCATGTCTGATTTGAGTGGATATGACATAAGGTTTTGGGGTTAACACAATGAGGTTTGTGTAGCTAGCACACGCTGTAGTGTCGGCTGTGGAGCGGTTAAAAGTGATTTTGAGGGGCGAAACTAGGATTCCTTTTTTGAGGTCGATGATTTTGTTGTTTTCGCGGTACGTGAAGTTTTGGGAGAGGGCCAGCGTAGAAAGCGTGCCGGTTGTTTGGGTGGAGATGTAGGTTTGGGCTGCGAGAAGGAGGGAGTCGCGAGTGCACTCGGCGGTGGTTTGAGAGATGCTGAGGAGTGCTAGGAGGGTGGTTTTGAGTTGGATCATTTTGGGAATTGAGGTGGTTTAAAAGATTATGATATGTCTCGTCCTTGAATGTTAAAATTTCCAGTGTTCTGATTGCAATATCTTAAGGAAGACATGATCTCTGGAAAGGAGTGACAAGCTTTTGATATATTCAAGCTTTGTAACTGCCGGGTCCTAACGTGGCGGCTGTTGTTGTAATGAACACTTTGGATTCGGCTAATGTTTTGATTGAAACGAAGTCTACCCGCCACGAAAGATAGAGTAATTCAATCTTGTGGGGCTTCAATAGTACGCAAGACTACAGATTCTCAAATGGAGCGTCATATCACCCTGCTCGTTGGGCAAAAGAGTTTTAGTATACATGCTTACTCCGCATTCTGTAGCCGCACCATTGAACGACATAGTGACAGGCGGCGTGAATGAGTTGACCAGCAGGTGTTCATGTCATGGAGTCGATGTTTTGATCATGTAGACCAGTATTCAACAAGAAACGTCTTCCAATTGTATCCCTGAGCCGTGGTAATTGATTTCTTTGTTCAAAAGTCTTTCTCAGCGTAGAATTAGAAAAGGGATTGAAGAGAGGTCGTCAACTACGAAGCACAACAACACGACTCTGAGCGAGGATGGTTAGCGGCTCAGTTCTATTTGGCCCAGAGATGATAGAGACGATCATCATATCCCTCGGAGCAGGCGATTAGATTCTTGCGGGAACAAGTTCCTAGGCTGCAAGCCACGTATGGGCCAGGTCACCGAGTTCCTTTGTCGACATTTTTCGCTTAGATGAATGAAATCCCAAGAGACAAATAATCGTAGCAACGCACGACAACTGGCGTCCAATCTGAGATGGCCTTCCTAGAAGGTTACCAAAACCCCTCATTATTCTATCATGTGATTACCACAAACTTCATGTCTGATATTGTTGACTTTGCGATTTAAATCGGAGATCCCTTCCGAAATGGCGTATGCTACAAAGAACATGTAGGAGCATTCCTTACAGCCCCATCATCATAAGCAGAGCTTTCCTTTGTCTTGATCAAAATTCTGACCGCAGTTTCATCTATCATTGGTCTGGTTGATACCGCGAGCTGAGACAAAGAAATAGAGCCACTGAACAAACATGGTCTGATTGAGGCGGTATCTCGAAGAACCATACACTGCGCAAGTCGTCTTTTAAGTCCATGTTTGGCGTGGAAGTACCCGAGATGTTGGAATCAGGACACATACATGTGCACGAAGTCGAGAAACACCAATCAATATGCTTCCTATTGGAAACTGAGATGTATTCATCAACAGGAGATCCAAGGAGGTACAGCTATGCGTGTGATGGTACGCAGATATACTCGGTCGGGGGCTGGGGTTTGATGACTCCCACTTCGCCTCCTGTCGATAGAGGATATTTCGCGGGGGCATTCGTACCGTCGAGTCCGATGCCAAATTATGGTTTCCAGTCTCCGAACAGCTATGGAAGTCTTATCAGTCCTCCGACACAACCGATGTTCCGTCAAAATATCTTTGAAGACTACAACCCCCGATACATAGAAGATTTGAGAACAGAGAGAACATATCTTCTCAACACTCTTCGGATTGAGAATGAGAGGGCAAGAGAATTACTTAACCGCGTCCCACTGCTCGAATGTGGTGTGGTGGATAATCAAGTCCCGCAGATGCGACGGAAGATGAGGAAACAACTGGGTTGGATACGACATCGGCTTAATGAGACAAATCAACAGGAACAGGCGATTATGGCTAGGTTGGGGCAGTTGATGGAGCAGATTCGCCTGGCGGAAAACCGGAGAATACAGATGGAGATGGAGAGCTTTAATTTCCAGTGCATGCACGATACTGCTGTTAACAATATGCAATCGTTGCATCTTGATCCTAGGACACCGCATTTCCATCCTGAAGGGGGGTATCCATTCCCAGTTATTACTGAAGTTGTTGAGAATGACAGCTACAACGATGGAGCAGGGCCGAGTGACGAGCCGCCTCCACAAAAGGATGATGGTCATAACAATTCCATTGACGAAACTTCCAGCGCGTTGACAAAGGAAGAGAAAGAATTGATAGTTCATGGTACAGTTGGAGGATCCGAACATGTCATAAACAAGAGACCCGACCTGTCACAAAGATCATCCTCAATTTCCATCGAAGAGCGGCTCTTCGATGACGGATTCGGTGGAGAGCAAATACAAGAGCAGAGAAGACATAGTCTGCCAACACTACCGGGAGTCTCGCAGATATGGGCGCCTCTGGAAAGCGAGAGAAGGGATATGATGGAGGAGTGAAGCGATTGTGAAGCCAGATTTCGGGCGTGGTCTCAAAAGCCTGATTAGAAGTTTATGTATCTTAGAGAAAGCAGGTAGCCATTGTGCTCTGTTGAATATTAATCATGCCCAAAGAATCGGCGTGGTTGGAGATGAGTTACGCGTTGTGCGGTTGAGCGCTGATGAGGCAGTGTTTGGCTCGAGGTGATGATCCCGGCTCTACTGGAACTCTCCAAACTCGCCATCATCGAATCCAAAATCATCTACTGGTTTTGGTGGATCTATATTCTGGCTTAATCGCTTTTGTGCCTTGACTTCTTGCGCACTTGGTGGTGGTGGTAATAATGAACCTCCAGGTGGAGGAGGTAGCGAGAATCCGGATCCACCAACATTCGGCGACTGTGGAATGGGATTATGTCGTCGACCTTTACCCCCAAGATTGACTGTTATGGTTTCCCCTTCTTTCAAGCTGAAGTCTTTCTTGACTTCCGGCTCCTTCTGTTTGACAGGCTTCTTCCCACCCGATTTGCCATCATCCTCAATGCCTAGCGTCTTCCTCACTTCCTGGAGCGCAACGCTGAAGTCGAAAGCTTCACTTCGTTCCTCGTACCCAATGCCTAAAACGGCCTTTCTTCCTCCTTCTCCCTGGACTCTCACAGCGAAGAATCTTGACGAATCCAAGACCTGCTCGACAACATCGGGTATGGTATAAGGAGCAGCAGCGAAGAGTTGTCCAGTCGCAGGGTCTTCGAGCAGAATGTCTGCCTTTACTTGCTCCTCTGAAGGATTCGTAGGAGAAGGTATCGCTGTCTCGAGAATGCGAAGACGGGCAGTAAATATCTGTCTTTTATTGTTGTCAGCGGTCCAGGAGGCTGCGACGTATCCTTTCGTGCTCATGAGGGGAGGGATATTGTAAACATGGACTGAGGGAGCGATGAAGAGAATTCTCTGAATGGCATCGGATGGTAGTGGCCGACCGGTCGAAGGGTCAATTGTCTCCATGACTAAACTTGCTTGGAAATGTTTTTGGACGTGAAATTCCCCGCCATGGTGGTTATTTTGGGATCGAGGGCGATGGACCCCGAATCAGCTTCTTATCTTATCTTAGCGTGATTGGCTCAATCATGTGACCTTTGCAACAGCGCAAATCCAGTCATTGCCCTGCATGAGCAATGTGACCTCTCGTACAGGCATAATTCGATTTTATAGGTGACTCGACTCGGCTTAGCCACAGACATTTAACCATCTCAGATGGTCATGAAAACAACCATTTCTCTAGGAAATGTTACCATACGCATAAACATGGACGACACCGCTTCTAGTAAGTGTAGTTCCCTTTAGCTCACCCGAATAGCTTCAAATCCAGCCACACGCAAAACAAGTACCATTAGCTCACCAAATTACTCCGCAGCTTCACCTTCTTTCTACGAAGGCAGTACCACCCCGCCGCCCCTCACAGGCCATCCACCTGGCTTGAACAGAATGGCAACGGTAGGAAATGTACCTCAATCTGGAGCTGGAGGGAAATCAGAAGCATTTGAGTATGGTTCTCTCGCATTCTTGCATTCCTCATAATATGGAGTAATGACTCACGTTTCCTAGTATTGTCAAAACATATCACAGACTCCTCGCAGAAGATCCCGAACTCACAATGCCTGTGGCCGCAATTGAAGCCCTCATCGAGCTCCTCGTTCAATCCCGCGCCGTTACCGTATTCGAAACTCTTGACCTGGTGAAAACACAATCCGACTACCTCAAATCGCGGATCCCAAATTCGATATCTCTGTCCGCCGGTACAGACTTGTTTCAGCGATACATGATATCCTCATTAAATCCAAGAAGTACGGGAAATTTCGACGCCGTAAGACAACATCTACTTAGCAATGGTCGATTGTTTGTCAGTCGGGCCAAGGCAGGAAGGGAACGGATCGCGAATTATGGACGTCACTTTGTGAGAGATGGCAGCGTGGTTCTCACTCACGGTGGATCAAGAGTTGTCGGCGCCTTGTTGAGCAAGGCCGCAGACGCGAGCGCCAGTGGAGGAAATGTTCGATTCAATGTCATCTATGTCATGAATGATGCGCGCAATTCGGAAAGCAAAGCCGTAGTATCAGCGTTACGAGCAAAGGGTGTTCCAGTTGCTACGATACCGGAGGGAGCTGTAGGGTACGCAATGGGGAAGGTCGATCTGGTCATGGTGGGTGCTGAGGGAGTAGTGGAAAATGGTGGCATAATTTCGAGGCTCGGTACATATCAGATTGGACTTTTGGCGAAAGCGGCGGACAAGCCATTTTACGTCGCAGCAGAGAGCCACAAATTTGTTCGATTATATCCATTGGATCAATTTGACCTTGGTTTCGATCAAGAGGTTATCAAATTCACAACAGAGGATGAGGGAGAAGCCGACGAGTATGGTGTCAAGACTCCCAGAGTGGTGGAGAGGCCGGAATATTTTGGAGCCCCTGATGTACCTGAAACTCCTATCGAGGCTGTCGATTATACGGTATGTTTTCCAGCATGATAGTTTACGACATGCTAACAGGAATGATAGCCACCTGGTTTGGTCACGGCTTTGATAACCGAAGGGGGAGTTCTCACCCCAAGTGCAGTCAGTGAGGAATTGATCAACGTATGGTGGTAAATCCCGTATGTCCGACTGTAGTAGGAAGCGCCGCAGCACTCATCATACCAATCCCCGAGCCTACAAACGCTTTGGGTTGGGACACCTGTATAGCACCTCGCCCATTGTACAATGCATAGTCGCACGTAGCCGAGAATCATATACGAGCCGCGACATTTGGAGGTTCTTGATACATCGTGTCATTGGCACGACACAAGTTGGCCAAAGAGCAAAGCACTATAGCTATAGAATCTATCAAGATTTATAGGCGATTTTTGGCCATGTATCTGAGGAGCGTGCACAGAAGGTGGACAGAGTCTCGAAGCAAAGCACTAAAATTGAGAGCTTTCAATCGATGTAGCGGCGCCTTATTTATTGAGGAAGGGCGATTTAGCACAGAAGCAAAGAAGATAGAGACTTTTAAAATGCAGATGGTTTAGCAGCGCTCACATATTTCAAGCAGAATTCCATTGCTTCTATCGGCTGCATTCATTTCTCTATGTCACTACACGTGACGATATTGGTACTATTATTAATCGTCTAATAGACCTCGGGATTAAATATTGTTACGGCTACTCTTTCATTTGCTGTCGTCGTACACACGCATCTTAGATGGCCTGATCTTAGCACGGTGGTGTGATCTCTTTAGTGGGCCAAATATCTTTGAAGCTTGTTCAAGGTTAGTAATGCTCTTATTTTGTCCTTGTACGTTGATTAGCTCCGTACTATGTAGTTCGATAGATACAGCAATTAGTGGGTAAACAGGTGTTTTTCTACACACGCAGCTTGTTGTTATTCTTTAGATTTTTCAACCGGCACTGAATCTTCATTCTTGGATATTTGAAGACATAATTTCACGTCACACAGAGATAAATGATGGGAAGTCCGAAGTCGTGATGTCACTTGTATTGATCTCTCCATGCACGTTCCATGCCGGAGAATACCCCGAAGATCCCAGTCTGACCACTGTCAAACCCGAACGTTCGCCGGATGTTCGCTTATTATTGAAGATAATGGTGACGCTTCGAGGCTTCACAAACGATATGCCGGCTTTGAAGTTGGCATGATGCTTGTTCGTAGGACAAGATTCAGGTCTAAGAGCATGGCTTGGTGAAAGGTGAGTGGTGGAATATGAGATAGGGGCCGCATGTTCCTGGATCTGTTGTACGAGACGTACGAAGTCGACGAAACACTTTTGATTCTTGGAGCGTCGTTTTGCCCGGTTTTCAATGGTTATGAATGGTAGGATAAAGTGATAACATGCAAAGAGCTAAGCTAATCTGGAATCAGTAGGTATATCAAGCAAATCAAAGACCGCGCTTGTGTACAGTCAACATGGGTTATGTAACCCAATCACTCATGCATATGAAGCAACTCACAGTGATAGCTTATTAAACAGGAGCTGCCCCTCGTTACCCCTCCTCGCTGTACAGCTCCTTTTGTTTATCTCAAGATAACAAATGTCGTCACGGCCTATAGCTCTCCACTTGAATTAAATTTCGTAGCCTAGCTTTCGAACATTGACCGTCTATTCTGCATTTCTACTTGGCTGCGACCCAGTACAATATCCAAGAATAACAGATATTATCGTAAACATGGATGCCCGCGAGGATAGAGATGTTCAACAGCAACAGAAAGCAGTAAGTCTATGTCCACATCTGGACTTGCGACTAGTCTCTAAAAATAAATTCATAGCGAGCAGATGAGTGGAAGTTAGAACAGGGTTTCGCACCTCGGGATGGCGGAATTGGCGATAAAGACATCGACACCTTTCTTACCATTGAAAGCAGATTTCCAGATGGCAAGAGAAACGGCATCGACCCAAACGTCGCGTTTGCGGAAGAAAAAGAAGGCTGGAAAGGCTACATCGAATGGGAGAAGTATCCCGAGAAGAGAGCACAAGCAGCCTCCATTCTCGCGAACTTCAAGTTCCCACCACCTCCAGAATTCCAATTGGCGCCTGTTCCAGATACCAATCCTGTGCTTGAAGGTATCAGGTGGAAATTATGGCATAAGGCTGTGGGAGGCACGCTTACGGATGTTCCGGAGTTGAGTTGGAAGGTGGTGTTGAAGGAGAAACATCCGGATATGTTGCATTTGTTACAATTCCCTTATAATGGAGAGTCGCCAAAAGTATGCATATTCAAATCTTATGCTGGACGAAATCAACTGACATTGGTAGCGTCTAACAACTGCTGAACCGATCACACCTAATCCGCTCCACTTTGTCCGTAATCACGGCGGTATCCCAGATATTGATCCTGAAAAGTATACTCTAGAACTCGATGGTCTGGTCAAGAATCCACAGACTTTGACACTGGCGGATTTGAAGAATGAAGAGCTGTTCCCTCGCCAATCTAATCTGGTTACTATTCAATGCAGTGGTACCCGTCGAATTGAACAGATTTCAGAGTACGCGGGTGAGGGTGATGAGATGATCAATGCGCCTTGGGCTGAGGGTGCCATTGGTACTGCAAAATGGACTGGTGTTAGTCTGAAGAAAGTGATCAAGCACTGTGGGGGTCTTGTAGATGGGGCGAAGCATCTGGAATTTTATGGTGCGGAAACGTATTTCAAGCATGTGAGTTACCTTGTCTCCATCCACTCAAGTGATACTGACGAGTTTCCAGAACGAAGTTCAAAACTACGTCGTCTCAGTCCCATGGTCAAAGGTCAAGCTAAACGAAGTCTTACTCGCTTGGGAAATGAACGACGAACCCCTCCCCAAAATCCACGGCTTCCCTCTCCGCGTAGTCGTCTTCGGCTACATTGGCGCACGCTCAGTAAAATGGCTCTACCGCATCAAAGCCATCCAAAAGCCCTCTCGCGCCCCCGTCCAATCCAAAGAATACCTCTACTTCAACGGGCAAGTCGGCAAGCACAACCAGACCCTCACCCAGGGCATCCAAATCCAGGAAATGCCCGTCAGCAGCGCCATCATGTCACCCTGGCAAAAAGACGTCGTCATCCACGACGGCAAGATAACCGTCAAAGGCTGGGCCTACTCGGGCGGCGGTCGCTGGCCCGAACGCGTCGAGGTCTCTCCGGACGGCGGCTTCCTCTGGTATCCTGTGCCCGTCGACAACATGTCCAAGAAACACAAATTCGCATGGCGGACCTGGGAGGTGGAGATCCCCGTCGACGCGGAGGGCTGGACGGAACTCGTGTGTCGCTGCTGGGACAACTCGCTGAACACGCAGCCGACGTTTGTGCGGAGCGCGTGGAATTGGGGGTTGCATGTCACGTCCAGCTGTCATCATGTCAAGATTTATTCAGTCAATACGAGTAAACCGCTTACGAAGATGCGGATGCAGGAGTTTAAGGATAAGGGAGTTCCGTTTGAACCGCTTACGAGACCGACGGAGTTTGCGACGCAGAGTATGGAGGAGTATGAGAATTTCTGGGCGACGCATGATCCAAGGGATGTGGATGATTAGATCACCAGGATGGTTAGTGAATTGTGCAGATGGTGCAGATGCTGAAGGTTGTTCTTTTTATAAGCGTCTCATCTTTCTTGTTGTTTAATGCTTTCTCTGATTCTCAGCATACTGATTTAATGATTGTCACGAGAAAATAAAACAGCTTCCATCTAACCTCTGTTATATTTACTCTTTCCTTGAAACTAAAAAGATACTTCATCTAGTATTTCGGTCCAAGCACCGTTCTCAACTCATCTCATTTTATCCGATATACTGCTCGGAGACAGATGTTCGTAAGTTAGTAGTAAATTCCTTACTCATTTCAGCTCACGTTACTTTCAAATTTTCATTTGTTTAGTGTTTGAGAACCCCCGACGACAAACTTCTTAATTACGTCTCTAATTATTCGCAGAAAAGCTCGCATATGCACATGCAAACTTTCGTGGTTTTTCAAATTAGTCTCGGCATCCTTCGACAGACCTCCCCAAGTTATAGGTTCGTCAGAATCGGCGAAGGCGGCTTGCAGACGTTGGCCAAAGACCTTGTGTTTGAATCGAGCAAATGGCTAATATATACCGTAGCATTCATCCTCTCCTTATTTATGTGAACCCAGTATGTTGGCGAAAAGGGGTTCGGAATACTGGTCGAAGCGGAAGCCAGTAATTCTATAATATGTCCAACCTTTCGGTTTTCTTCCTGCCGCTCTTTCGTCTTTACCTAGCCAACTTTTCTGCGAACATCTTCGGCTTTAGCTTGCGCTAATTCAAGATTCGCCTTAGCGTTTGCTAATGCATGCTCTGCTTGCAAAGAGGCGCTGTTTAAATTCGCAGAATCGCTGTCGTCTGACAAGTCAATGACTGTCACTCTAGATTTTACGACTTGTTTTGGCTTCGCCTTTTCGGTGCTCGATCTACCTTTCTCGGTGCTGCTCAGTTTCGAACCATCGACGGTTCCTTTTCCATTTCGAGGGGTTCTGCTGCTCGCTAGCGAATGGCCATAGTCGTCTTGCTTTTCTGGCTCCGTTTCTGTGTAGACTACAGCTTTTGCGCTATTCATTAAGGCCGTCGTACCTTCTGCTTTCTCTTCTTGACTCTTTGCCTTCTCCTTCGCGGCCGCAAGCTGTCGTGACACTTGAAGTATTTGATGTTCCAGTTTATCTATTTGTTTACGCGATAAGTGTGTTTCTATCTGCTGTCTTTTCGACTTTTCAGTCGCAATCCTCTCTCGTTCTCTTTCTTCCTCCTCCTTCTTTCTGTCGGCCTTCTCTTTCTGCGTTCTCTCTTCGTTGACGAGCAACTCCCTACCTACACTCCGAAGTTTCCTTACGACAGGCCTAAGGATTATTCCATCTTGCTCTCTTCGGAGAAGGCAAATGTCTTGGTTAAAAGGTAGACGGCTTTCGTGTAGAATCTTCATTGCTCGTTCGTACACAGCCCGTTTGGAAGGCTGTCTGGCTCTTAAAGAATTGTCGTCTACCCCTAAATCGTCATCGCTTGTCAACACATCGTCCTTGTATCCTAATCGCGTCCTCCAGTCATTCAGCTCATCGAGGTAAAATGGCGAAGTGTCTTTTTCAAGTGGGAGGTTCGCCATAGTCGCGTCAGGCTCTCGAGCTACAAATCTCAAGGAGGCAGAATTTGAGAATTTGGGAATTCATAAGAGGGATTATACACTCGAGCAGAATTGTCGAAAATTTGTAGAGTAAATCGACTTGCGGATGTTGTCGAAACGAAACATGTCAGCTAAGAAGAGTGAGGAGCGTAGAAGGGAAAAAGGTAATTAGTTGCTAGCGTCGAATGTTGGCTAGCTTCAAATGTAGGTAAGTATCTCTAGCTAAGGATAATATCTAGGAAAGATAAAGAATAGATTAAAAAGAAAGAAGATAAGATCTAAAAGAATTTATTTTTTCCCCTTCGTCTAACTATAATAGTAGTACCTTTATCCTAAGTAACGCTTCTAAAGTTCTTATTAGTAATAGATAGATTATTATATATATATACTTATCTAAACTATTACTATTTATAGTAAACTCTTAATTGCATTTTCTCTTCTAGAAAGATTAAATCTAGTATATAATAAGTAGACGCTATTTTATTTCCTTAAAACAATTTAGTTAGATAATATATCTAATAAAAATAAATTAACCTAGAATGAGAAAGACAGCTTTACTTAAACTTAACTAGATCTAACTCGATTAATCTTTATTTTCTTTTAAACTTACAAACAATTCATTAGAGCAATATATCGGACGAGATGTGATTACTTTAAAAGGTGTATTTAGATTAGAGCTTAAAACATTTCAATTTAACTAAGCTCCATTTCCTCACAATTTGTTTTAGAGCCTTACAATGGATGAGGTGAGTTAAGACAAAAGAGGTACCTCGCTCATAAACCTCCATTTACTCACAAGGTTAGATCTACTTGACTCATGAGTAGCATATTCCATTGAATGAGTGGAGTTAAAAAAGATGCATGGCTCAAACTCACTCACATAATGGATAGTGACTCATGAATACACCGTCACCAAGAAAGCATAAAACAAAACACGATGCAGATTCTTAGGTCTTCGATTCATCCATTTCCAAGCATCACTACCTTGCTATCTATTTACCACAGTCCATGGCTAAACCACCAAGTAACTTCTCGAAACTTACAAGGCTCCTACCGGTCTGGCTCCGGTAGTCCCAGATACCGTCACCTAACCTTGATCACCAATTCATAACATCTGCATAGCATTAGTCACGCAAAAATGTAAGGGATGGGGGGAATATGAAAAACCTACCTCTACCAAAAAGCGCCCTCTTAGCCCAATCCATCGCCAACAAGATCCTAGTCCTAAAACTAACACTCTGCGCAAAATACACACTTCTCCAAGCGTAAACCGCCCATAGACCACCACTCGTGCTCCATCCCTGTCCAAGGTCAAAGACCGCTGCATTACCAATATACGCCAAGCTACCAAGGTGATGGTATTCAAAGGCCTTGTAAACAGCCTCATCGAGATCACCATCACGAATGTCATTTGCCTTCAGTCCAGGAAGGGCACGAGCCATCTTGTTGAATTTGTGTCCGAGATATTGTCCCTGTTGGTGTGCGCGCTGCGCGGTTGCAGGGAGCGAGGTAAGTTTAGAATCTATCTGCATGAGCAACTCGCGAAGCTCGCCAAAATCGAGGGTACCACTTTGATCTTTGTCATATGCGGCGAAGAGTTTATCGACTCGTCTTAGATGGTCTGTAGCTTGCGGGAACCGCTTTCGTACTCTGCTAGCTATTTCGCGCCATTCTGAAAATGTGATTTGAACCTTTTCTGGGTCCTTGCCCTTCTCCCATGCAAGAGTACGGAGGAATGTTACAAGGTGGTCTGCGATATTGTTCTGAACAGTCGCACAATCTCCTATAGCGTAAACATCACCAAGAGGTGTGCCGTTTAGACGAAGATGGGTATCGGTTTCTAAGGCGTGACGATTCGTTTGCGCTGGACCCAAAGCCTCAGCGATTCGTTGGCAGAAATCTGTTTGTGACACGCCGGTTGACCAGAGACAAAATCCCATCGGAAGCTCCTTGGTTACCGTCTCGCCGTTCTCGCCTTTTTGAGTGAACAAGATGCTCTTCGGCGTAACTTCCTTGACTCTTGAGTTGGTGAGAATCTCAACTTGATCGCGGGCGAAACGTGCTTCGGCATATTTGGATAATGATTCATCGTATGTATTGAGAATGTGACCTCTACTCTGAATCAAGTGAACGGAGATTTCGTTTCTCAGAATCTTTGGAAAATGTTTGGTGAGGTCCTCATTGAGCAGGTCAAAAAGTTCAGCAGCAAATTCCACGCCAGTTGGACCACCACCACTAACGACGAAGGAAAGAAGACGTCTTCTTTCGTCATCGGTAGTTGTCGGTAAGCAAGCATATTCCAGGTTGGTTAAGATGCGATTTCGAATTTTCTGAGCATCATCGATATCTTTGAGGAAATGGCAATTCTCCAAGCCTTTGACTCCATGTGGATTCGTAGTTGACCCAACCCCGATAACAAGTTTGTCGTATGGAAGGTAGAATCGCACCTCATTTCCGTCTGCATCTGTCTGTGACAATTCGACTAATTTCTCTGAAAACTCAACATGCTCAGCTGAAGCTCTTATAAAATGGCCTTTTACTCCGGCAACGATCCGGCGGATAGGCTCCACCAGAGATCTGAACTCCAAGGTTCCCACTGTAGCAGAAGGTAACATAGGGGTGAAAAGGAAATAATTTGTTGGTGACACCACAGTTACGTGGTACTCCTCTGGATTCAGAGTTTTAAGCAGCGCAACGCTTCCCCAGCCGCCTCCCAAGACCACCAACTTCGGCTTGTCCTTCTGCCTTTCCATGTCGGCAGAGTCATCGTCGTCGATTTGTACCTCCGCAATGGGTAAGTTCTTTGGTCCTCCCTTTCGTGGGCTCAAGGCAATCTCCGACACATGGATATCTTTATAGCTCAGATCTTCACGATACGTTGATGCGTCAAACAAGAAGAAGGCGATTACTCCCACCCCAATCACAGCCACGGAGCTTCCTACCAGCGCGGCCGTTCGATATGCAAAATTGGCCAGTCGACTGCGGTGTTGTGGGAGAGGTTTGCCGGAGACATTTCGAATGGTCGCAGGAAATAAGAGCTTTCGCAATGGTGCAGGGCGGACAGGATCGGAGGAAGCAGATAATGGAACTTTCGAATGAAGTGATCTTTGGTTTGGAAATGTAGTTCGGCTTCCATTGAAGCTATCCAAGGCGTATGGCCGCCTCAATTGAAGGTTGGCATGTTGACGAGCTGTAAGAGAGAGCTGCCCTCGAGCCGCCAGGCGGGAGATGTTCGACATGGGCCTTTGCCCTGGCATACCTCGAATTGCCTCCTCAAACTTTTCTAGCCCGACTGATAAGAATGATAGGTTGTATACTTTTAGGGATATAACATTTTCAAACGAATGAAGGTGTAAATAGGTGTTCGGCGGTTGTGGGTGGAAGGATTTGTTGCGGTTGGTGATGTGATGCTTGTTATCGAGCTGCCGCCCATCAGAGCCAGGCGGGCCAGTACAGTGCTGACGTAGGTAGGAGAAAATGTTGGAGCTCGGGAGGCTGGAGCTCTCAGGAACGGGACGATCGACTTCACCCCACCGAGCAAAAATTGGGAAAAGAATGATTTCACGAATGCGAGGATGCCGGAGACACCGAGTTTTTATTTCTTTTTATTTCTCGCGTTCGAGGTCGTGAGTATATGCAATTACTCAAGTGTTAGTCACATAGCGCATTGAAGATAGTAGACAGGTAAATGTGAATGGGCATTTGGTATTGCGCTTCTAATGGTCATCGAGTAATGTTACACGCAAATTATTGTTCTGGAGACTGCTGACTAACCCAGGGAGGGAAAATCTTCTCCCAAATGCACCTGAACGCCAACCTATGCTACACCGGCAAAACGAACGCCCAAATGTTTTACTGCATGGAAAATCTTGAGGATACACCTAAAGGTCGGCTACTTTCATCAAGTCCTGTTAGCAACAGGAAGCAAGATCTCATGTAACCATAGGTTCATGCCCATTTTCATTCCGGTCATCTCGGTTATCAAGTCCCAAGTCAAGACGAGCTGGCAAATTCTTCTTCGCATCTCTGGCAGTATTCTCGGCCCACGCACGGAGACGCACCAGATTTCTGATGGCAGCATCCCGTCTCTGGTTTTGACACTTCAAAATGGCTTTGTTGACATTGTCCGCCACAGACCTACGTAGATCAGGGTGTAAAAGTGCAGCCAATTGCGGTTCTAAGTTGTCTGGTGGAAACACCAAAAGAGCCATTGTTCTCTCTAGGTCCTCTAGAAATTCAGGGTTCGTAGGCGCTCGGGGTGCCAATTGCTGAGTCGCAAAGGTCAAGGCGGGAGTGATGTCTCCACCGGGTTTGGAGTTGCATTCTCGGATAAGTTCGACGAGCTGCAATCTCAGGAGAGAGAAGTGTAAGGGTGGGTTACTATCTAAAACCTCGAAGATGGTCAGCATAGGTTCGCAAGAAACCGAAAACATTCTAAAATCTTGATTGAGTATTGCTCATACTGAGGACTGAAGTATGGTTATTTTTCTCATCACCGACCCGAAGGCTATATGAGTGGTGCATGAAACAAAATTAATCATCGCGATGGGGAGACGGGAAGGAAAATTCTCATTTACTAACCTGTGGTTCAAGATCATTCAGGGCGTCAATGGCATCCTGAATGCTACCCAAATGAATGGAATGCTGGATCTGTTGACGCGCTCTGACCGACTCTTCTTCCTGGAGTGGTTGAAGGTTGGCTTCTTTAGAGAACTTGGCCGCAGCTGAAGGGTAACCTTCGGTGGTAAGATAGTCTAAGATAAGAGCATTGATATCACTGCAAACATTCGACGTCAGCATTAAATCCGACAAGAAGCTTGTACCCAGCACCAGAACAACGGAAATCCACGTGCGCTCAATCAGATAGACAACTAAATGTTTTCTCCGCATGCGTAATTTTTAGGAGAGATTCCCAGTTGATGAAAGTCATCATGGAAAGCGCACACAGAATGTGGGGGAGGGGGTTGGATCGGAGGGTTGGCAGGATGACTGACCTTTTCATGGGTTTCACCTCCTCTACGCGTCGCTCGAATGCGTGACGGAGAGGAGTTGCAGTTGAAGCAGTCGACGACGTCTGCGTGGGACAACAGTCAGTCAGCCGCTGCCTTCACGCAAACGACGTCGAGTGCACTCACCATTCTTGCGGTGAGTCCAGTTAGATATCTCAATCCATTCGAGACCGACACCCAAGGCAGAGAGGCGGATGTCCTGCACCAGCGCCAATATTAAAGTCCGCGACGGGAGAGAAGGTTGATAAATTTATTTGTGTGGTGTGGAGGGAGAAAATGTTTGGTTTGAGGTTGAAAATGCTGAAGAGAACGGAGCTTCACGAAAGCTAGTACGAGATAGGTTAGCGAATGATCACGTGAATAATGTCTCTGAGAATCGGTTGAACGTCGGAGATAAACCAGAGCTCCCTGGACCCTGACCTGAGCTCTCGGCCGCAGACCAAGCTTGAGGGTCTTGGTCCTTCCTATCTCGACGGCGTGAATGCCTTCTCTTTCTTCATATATTCACGATAATTTGCTCGTGTGGTATGTTTGTATCTTTACATTACATGGCTATCTAGAATGAAGTCTCGGTCAGGGTTATTCATCTCTCTCTTTTTTCTTCAGCCTAGAACGTGTACCTGGGTATCTATGCTCTGATCCTTTGCGCTTCATTCCGCTTGCACTCTTCTCAATCCTACCGCCTGGGTCGACAATCACCACATCGATATAGGTGAATTTGTGGCCATCACTTGCTGCTATCCAATAATACATCTGTCAGTTTCAGTCTTAATTGTACAATTTACCCAAAATGTCAGTAGATTTCAGAAGTCAAGGTCCCTACCAACCGCCTTGGGCGGATGTCTGCATCATTGGTATTGCGGGCAGTTCTGGCTCAGGAAAGTCTACGTTGTCACATGCCATCGTATCCCAATTGAATCTTCCATGGGTCGTCATTCTGTCTATGGTAAGTTCAAGGTCATCTCAAATTCAAATGGCAGAATTTGACTTTCTACAGGACTCATTTTACAAAACTTTAGATGAAGAATCTTCAAGAAGAGCGTTCAGAAACGAGTACGACTTCGATTCACCTGATGCTATCGATTTCGACGTACTGGTTGATCGGTTGCAGGATCTTAAAGCTGGGTAAACCACAAGTTCAGGAACTATGCTGCATTGCGAAGTCTGATGTGAAGACAGAAAACGTGCCGAAATCCCAATTTACTCATTTTCAAAGCATGCCCGGGAAAAGGAAACTACTTCTATTTACTCGCCACATGTTCTTATCCTAGAAGGCATATTTGCGTTGTATGATGAGAGAGTTTTGGAGCTTCTGGATATGAAGGTATGTAAAAATTACTGTCATTTAGAAAGTTTCTTGCCTTGAAACCTAACTTGTCTACTTCCTCTTCTAGATATTTTGCGACGCAGATGCAGATACTTGCTTGTCTCGGAGAAGTACAAGCGCCAGCCAATTGCTAAATTGCCCTCATTGACAAAATTGTTCAGTTCTACGAGATGTGTCGGAGCGTGGCCGAGATATTGAGGGTTGTATAAAACAGTGGTTCGGTTTTGTGAAGCCAAATTTTGAACGATATGTTGAGCCTCAAAAGAAGGTTGCTGGTGAGCTTGATACTCTGTCAATATGCCAGCAAGATTCTAACGCACAAAGATATAATCGTTCCAAGAGGCATAGAAAACCGTGTAGCCATTGGTAGGTTCTTATATACTTCAAAGTCGGACGCGTACTAATCGTATCGAAGTAATGATAAAACAGTACATTGAGCGGAAGCTAGTTGAGAAGTCGAAAAGCCATCGGGCAGCGCTCAAGAAATTAGGACAGAGCTCAGAAGATGATCCTCTCTCAGCCAAGGTCGAACTTCTCGAACAGACTCCTCAAGTCCGTGGCATGAATACCATCATCCAAAACATTGATACGACAACTGAGGACTTTATTTTCTACTTCGACAGAATAGTCACGTTGCTGGTAGAACAGTTCGTCACACTTCATGAAGACAATGCACTCGAAAAGCACCTGCTGACTTTTTTCTAGTGCCATGAACAACGTTTACTTCAAGGAAAAGACCATTCAGACGCCCACCGGAAACAGATATCACGGCCTAACAGCCACAGGCGAAACCAGCGCCGTAGTAATCCTCCGCGCCGGCTCTACTTTCGAAACTGGTCTCAAGCGCGTATTACCAGATTGCAGGACTGGTCGACTCCTCATCCAATCAAACGTTCGCACCGGAGAACCAGAACTCCACTACCTCAAGCTCCCAGAAGATGTTCGTAAGCACGACGGCGTGCTGATTCTCGACCCTCAGATGTCAAGCGGCGGGGCAGCTCTCATGGCCGTGCAGATTCTGGTCGACCATGGTGTTCCGGAGGAGAAGATCGTGTTTGTTACATATTTTGCAGGGAGGATTGGCCTTAATAGGTTAACGAAAGTTTTCCCTGGAGTCCGAGTCGTGGTTTGTACTATCGTGGCGGATTTCGAGGAGCGTTGGATTGAGAAGAGGTATCTTGGATGTTAGGCAGGAACGGTGTAGGATTTAGGACTCGTATATCAAGATATTAGAGTTAATTACCCTACCTCGCAGTAGTAAAATTATCTATACATACCATCTACTTAATAACTAAGAGTAACGAAAATTTCTATTCCTCTAAATTAGAGTTTAAAAACTAGTTATTTACCGAGAATAATAGACGAACTACGACACTTAGTCCAACATTCTGATCAAATATCGTCCTTCTCGTCTCACACTTACACTGACAGCCCTCATTTATTGAATTCAATATAGAAATTCAGAAATCCATCGCATTCCTCCCGCACAAAGACCCAAGGAGTAGTATGAATAATGATACGGCATTAACATATCCATAAATGTGAAAATATATCTAATCGGGAATATCTACAGACGAAGAGAATGATCGGACATTAAATTATATTCCCTTTCCCGGCTTCTTCTTCTCGCTGGTAGGCGCATTAGTGGTATCTTTCTTCTCCTTGGTATTTGTGGTATCTTCCGTCGTCTTGGTATCTTTACTCTCCTTACTCTCCTTACTCTCCTTTACGGCTTTACTAGCCCCCACCTTAGTGTCATCCGCCTTACTACCCTCCTCCTTCACCTTTCCCTTCTTCTCCTCACCACCGACGCAAAACAAATCCCTCACCCCCTCCCCATCCTTCAAAGGTTCCTCAGCATTACCGTCACATCCCCCAACCTCCCTCCTAAACTCCCTCCTATACCGCCCAGCACTCTCATCCATACCAGCCATATCCACAACATTTCCATCCCACGCAATTAGGGGCATACTGGAAAACGCCGGCAGATCACCGCGGAATGGAAGGATCGTCCAAAGTGGCTTCGTGATCAATGGTGCTTCCTTGTGAAAAAGCGATTTATGCTGTTCCGGATCCGCTGTGAGCTCGCCGTTGGGCGAATGTTCATCTGTGAGGATGTCTGTGGCGTATTCTTCGGGGGCGTGGTAGAGTTCGTTGTGGAGGGTTGCTAGGGAATCTGTGCTGCCGACGCCTGGGTAAAGAGTCAGGTATCCTCGTGCGCGGGAGAGTCGTAAGACGTGTTCTAGCCAGGAGGGATATGTTTTGCTGATGAGTTTTTCGTTCAATGTCGGTGGGATTGGTGATTTGTGGGACGCGGCGATTGACTGGGCTACGAAAGCATGGAGCTCTGCCCACTTGTCGCCGAAATAGAGGGCGGCGTTGCTGTTTGGTGCTTGCCATAAGAATGGCGTGGGGTCTGAGGTATTGGACGTCGGAGGTGAGAATGATGTAGAATCGTTGAGGTAGGTTGATGGAAGATCTAAGCTTATTCCCAGCAGATTATCGCTTAGAATGAGTCCTGATTTCGTCGAGGAGTACTTATACTCCAGCATCGCGTACTTCAGGTAATGGAAGAAAAGAGGAGAGAGTTCTACATGGGGCGCCAGCACAACTACATGATTCCAGGCAGATTCTGCTGGCCAGAAAGATTCCAGAAATCGGATAGAATTCTCCTCAGCAGTAAGCCCGTATTGAGGTATCCTATGGTGCAGAGTAAGTAGACTTGGTGATCCATCTTTCACACCCGGCGGCCATCGAAATGATTCTAGATATCGTTTTGTCGGGAGATCAATGTTGTGAGGAAGCTCAATCGTTAACCGAGGATGAGGTGAGCTGAAGTAGTCTGCCTTGGTCAATGATTCCAACAGTCTCATGAGAGAGCCAGATGCTGCTGGCTGTGCGTGAATAACAATGTCCATTGAGGCCTTATTCCATGCTGGTGATCAGTTAGCGGGGTTAAAATGGATGGGAGAGATGATCATACCACTCAACGACGTGCTATCAAGTCGTGTCAACCACATCAGATTCTGCTCTGAATCTTTGGGCAATTCTATTAAAGTCTTCCCTAACGCAAGAGCCCTTAGTTTCAGACCCTTGAACATGAACGGCTCTTCATCCCCTGAACCATCGATTATGGTTGCTTGCGGATGTACAAAATTGTTAATATGGTTATAACCAGCCGAAGTAACTACTTCCATGCGGTAGTCTGAGCTTTGTTGTGAGAAGTCTGCTCGAGCATCTGTCTCTTGTTAATGTCCAGCTGCAATATGGTTCTGGCAGTTACATACCATGGTACATAATTTTGCACTCCTTTCCAATCGAATTTACAGATTTCAATACTTCCATATCAATAATGTCTCGACCGATGAGTGCAAAATGAACATAGTTTCGATCTTGCATAGCCATCTCGCATGCAATCGGAAGGAGAGTGGCTGCAGATTTCAGACTTGCTGCTGCAAAGAGCTATCCCCAGTCAGAAAAGTGAAGGCCAATGTAGGACTTGGATTTACTCACCACATTCCGATTGATCAAGTCGCCCCCTCGTGTACCAGCGACAGCATGAAGAGAAACTGCCAAATCATAAAACTTGATGGGTCCGTTAAAGTCGTGTGCCACTTCCTCTTGTTGCTTGGTCGGCTTCGACGTCCCCGAATATCCTGCGACTGAAGGTTTCTTGTGCGCATCTGATTTCGCAGATGGCGGAGAGGGACCCTTTTTCTTAGGATCATTCTGCGTATAGCTTGGTCTGGATCGTGGTGGTTTGAGATCCGTAGGTATGTTGTGAATAAATAAATATATCGCGAATATTCCCAGCAATAACATCCCCAATCTTTTGATACTCCTCCGCGGCGGTCCATGTTGGACGCGCTTCTGCTGCCATAACCCTCCCAGCCCTATTGATGTCTTCTTCCCGGGTTTGTATTCATCGTCGCGTTTCCCAAGCTCCTCGTCGCCTACGAATAGTCGCGGCGCCATCGCATTCCAGCTCGACCTTATGCCGCCCGGCTAGCTCCAGATCAAAGAGGTGTTTCCATATATGTCGCCAAATGCCCTTGTTCTTGGCTTGCTTGCCAGCATAGAAGACACGAATACCACAATGTAATGCGCTTGGGTGGACGGACTTGGGTCCGACGATGGCTCGAGGTCGTGTACACAAAGGTCGTCGATCAACCAAACTCTGCAAAAGTCTGGATGTTTTATTATAAGGGGATTCCAGAGATGGGAAATCTCTTATGGCTTAAAAAGCCATTCTTTTGCTTTTGCGAAGCTCCAGGTGAGATGTCAATACTCTTGGCTCGATAGAGTTGGCCCGGATTAACTATTGTGCGAGCGATTTCCCTCCAGTTCGAAGGCCAAGCAACTCCGATTTAAATTTCACCAACAAACCAGGTTCCCATGTTGAAGATTTTTGCTTTGAGGGCAAATAGGTATCGCACGTTTATTTGTTCTTTCTATCAATACCGTGGAAAGTTTTGGTTATGTGTCGTTGGTGAGGTGTCTTGGGGTTGCAACATTCGAATCTCCTTGACATCAGGACCGACGATTATTTGTCCAAAGCTGCCTGGGATTTTGTACGTGATCCAAACCGATGAGAAGAAACTCGCTATACCATCATGATTAGTATTCAAACGATCTCTTGTTGAACCTCTTTTTCGTACAAGCCATCTTCCTTCTTGTTGAGGTCGAACTTCTTAGACAACTATTTAACCAAGCTCTCAAATGGATGTGTGCCGTAGTCTCTATCATAAGCTACTCGGCCGTTGGCTCATCACTCCCACGATTATATAATACCCAATCCAGACCTTTTTGTTCCCGAACCTAGCGAAGCGAAGGGCACCAGTCATCAGGCGAGTTGTTATTATGTTCAGCTGCCGCCGAGATCAAAGTGAGTATAGTGTTAAAAGTGTCTCAAACTTGATGGAGAACAGAATCAATGCTCTGAGGAATAGGTCTAGAAAGAGGCGACGAGCCAGAACGACTTCATAGATAAAAGTTGTAGACTTTCATGAATCGGATTTATTATGGAAATTAATAATGGGAGTATGCTTCGCTGGGACGCGTGTTGGACCTGGCCATGTTTTTTCATCAGCATTTTCTTCATAGGGCTGTCAGTTTCAACGATTCTTCGTTATCCTGACTGCTTTCATGTATAAGACAAAGAAGTGAGCTATACTTGTTGCCTACACAACTCATATCCTTCTCTTTCGCAGCGATGCCTAGGATGTCCACGTCACGGCCGTCAGACTTCGGGTATTGTCACAGAACAAAATTTTATGTTTCACCTGTAGGTAACAGCACTTCATCGGTATATTAATTAGTTCCTTCTCCTCGTTCTAATTCCCTAGACCCATACAAGACCCAAACTATAACTATGCAATCCCTTTCATCCTCGAGCATAGCACCTATCCCCTCCGTTCCGGGGTTGTATATCTCTGAGTAAAGTTTTCTACCTTGCCCCTACAGTACCACGCGGACTAACATACCGAAGCCGTTTCGCAGCACGCTCCTTGCCGCTCCTAAAAAGTCTCAATATCACCGCTATTCTCTCACTCACTTCCGCTGCTGAAGTGCCGCGGTTCCAGCCTGATGCCATCGAGGGATTGGTGCAGAAACATGTGGACGTGGATGATGATCCGACGGAAGACCTCTTTGGTATCTTGGAGGATTGCTGTGACTGGATTGCGCTGGGATTAGATGCTGGAAAGGGAGTATTGGTGCATTGCACACAAGGCATCAGCCGCAGCGGCAGTGTTGTCGTCGCTTTTGGTAACTCTACATATCTTTCCAATCATAAAAGTATTCTGCGAACTGACAGCTGTAGTTGCGAGGAAGTTGAAAGTTGATTATCTTACTGCACTGAAGACGGCACGCAAGCATCGACCGCAGATTAATCCGAATCTGGGCTTTGAATGGCAGTTGAGGATTTGGATTGAAATGGGATGCTCTGTGAGTGAAGAGAATGGGAGAGATAAGAAAACTTATAGTGAATGGAAGAGAGCGAGGGATGAACTATTTGGGAAGGGTGAGGAGGCGGTCTTAAGGGCTAGGAAGACGGCGGTTGGGGTTGCTGTTGCGAGGAAGGGAAGATTGAAAGGAGATGGAGGGGAGGAGGAGAAGGAGGAGGGTGTGGAGGTGGTTTGGAGGGAGAGGTTGAGGAGTGGGTGGGTGCCTTGGTGATGGTGTTAGAAAGATATTTTCCCACAACTTCATGGTTCCTTAGTAATATGTTTAAGTAATAAACGATTGGTCTCTATTAAAAAGGGCAAACAAAATGGTTAAGGAAGGAGCGTCATAAAATCGTGTTCTTGCTCCGGCAAGTTTTCTCCTGATTTTGTGATTGGCTGGTGAGCTGTAGTACTCAAATTCACCTGCAGGACTCCTAATACGAATATTCTGGATGAGCCTGATCAGTTCCATTCTCCAACATCCACTCGGCAGCTTTCAGATATCCTAACATCGAATGTCCATGCTCCCCAAACTCCGCTCGGAATTCTCCAACTGTAGCGTCTGGCAGGATATACCGATGGCCTCGCCACGATCGAAATGCTATGCCATGGAAACTCCGAGTTTTGTCAAGGTGATGCATGAAATCCCACGCACGGATCTGGTGTTTATCGTAGAGCGAGTTGAGTTTGGTGTGGAAATTCATGTCGCCGGCGGCCATGGCGGCAAATGTGTAGTGTGCAAGTAGGTTTTTGAGATTGTCTTCACTGGCCCAGTGGTGACGAGAGGGGGTTTCGGAGCCGAACTGGTGACGGATGTGGTTGAGGATTTCGCGGAACGCTAGACTGATCAAGAGTTAGAGTTGGGTTTGAAGTTGCATAATGGAACTGGAGATTTTGCTCACATGCTCACACCTCCTCCCATCGAGAATCCAGTCACAATAACATGTGTCGGTACGACCTCTCTCTCCACCATCCTCCTTAAATTCATCTCCAATTGACGCAGCAGTTCCTCTTTCATACCATTCCACATCTCCAGGTAAAAACTATGCACCTCATCCCCATCCACACGGACAACAAACGGAATATCATACCAATTCCCACCTTTACTCATCGTCCATAGATTCTTCTCAATTTCATCATCGCTGCCACCGCTGAATGCAATAATAACTTTGGAACCATGCACAACTAGCACCGCTTTTCGAGCTACATTAACACCGGTATGAAATGCAAGAACATTGAGATTTGGGTCACACGTGTCGCGACGCATTTGAATCTCCGCTTCTTGAAGAGATGCCTGCTCGGAAGATTTCCAGAGGAAGTATGCCACGTCTTTGATGTCGCTCCAGTCCGACTTTCCGTCTTGAAGCTTTACGAGAGGCATTGCAGTTACAGTTTTGGACAATGACTAGGAATCAATGTGCTTACTGGTGAGAGAAGAAGGTACCTTTTTCCACCATATATAGAAGCTTGCTTTTCGTTTGCTAATTTTGGTTATATGAGTTTGTTCGCCGCGGACGGGATGGTGCAGTGTTTTAGAAATGGTTCGAGAGACAATGTTGTTGAAATAAAAAATGTACTTAGTGGAAGAAGATATAATATGGTGTTAGTAATAGTAGTAATAAATCATAATGTTATAATATTTTTCAAATATTCGCTTGTCACAATCAGTTATTTGTTTTTCAACTAAACAGCGTTTCCACGTTAGGTACCTTAACTTCTCCCCTATTATTCGGGACCTATAAAATGAGCTTCCTTCTTACACTAAAATGATTAACGGTTAATGAATTCGTTTAGGAGATATAAACCAATGCTGCTTTATTTGATAGTGTATATGGTACCTCTCAGAAGCCCTAGTTCTTGATACTTAAGTTGTCTGTCCCATTTTGGTCTTTGTGATAATAGTGAAGTACCTTGGTATACTCTAGTTACCCTTGCTTTTTTGGTGCATATGAGGATATACTGTTTACTTATGGCGGCCCAGTTGAGTGGGTCCAGAAGAAATATTTTACCGGCACCGGATCGCTTACCGGAATGCTTGTCCTATGTCGGGCATTTCTTCGGTCCGGTACGGGGTATAGAGGGCATACTTCTTGGTTACTATAGCACCCGGGTATTCTCTTCTCCCAAATGAAGTATATCTTCATTGGTGCCCTTTGTATGTACGGAGGTAACCAAATGAACAATGGAAGACTGATATAAACATGTGAGCTTACAGTAAGCAAGACCAGTGTTTGCACCACAATCACACACATCCTAGATCAGCCGCCAAAACCTCGCCTCCCAATCTGCTTTTAACCAAACAGAACCTCATTTTTCTCTCCTTATGGCGCACTCATGTCCGACACCACCGTTCTGGACTCACATCCTCACAATCAGGAAGCAGACTATCTACAAGACGAGAATGCGCAAAAATCGATTATCGCGTTCCGCGCGATAATGCTGTTCTTCGTCACGTTATTCTTGGCTTTTAGAATATACACCCGTCGGTTTGTCGCGATACAGAAGAAATTAACAGCGGATGATTGTAGGTACTTACTTATCACATACATGGCTCATGGACTGATGTGATCTGTTGTCTAGTTTTGGTCCTTTTTGCATACGTATGTTGCAGATGTCTGTAAATGGGCGTGACGTGTTCTGATACATGGCAGTGTCTTCTAATAACATATTCTGCCATCTTGATTACTTGCAAGTCATTTCTCTTTTTATTCTCTCAATTTCCGAGACTAATCCATATTCTGATAGTCGGAGAGTACTATACGGAACCAATTGGTGCAGCACAACTTATCCGTGTCAGAAAGCTTCAAATCGCCAATGAGTGGTTGTACATCGTCCTTTGCGCCACGATCAGAACCGCGGCTTTGTTACACTATGAACGTATTTTCCACCCATATGAACGTTTAAGGCGGATTCTCTACACTGCGATGATCCTGGTAAATGGTCTTTACCTCATCCTATTGATTGTTTCTGTTGTAAAATGCCGTCCCGTCTCCAGAAGCTGGGACGTTTCTGTCAAGGGAGAACGTTTGCCTATGAGCGCGATAGCATACTCGTCGGCTGGATTGAATGTTTTGTCGAGTCTTTTTGTGCTGGGAGTGCCGATGCCTGTTTTATGGGGGCTGCAAATGAAAATTCGAAAGAAGATCATGATCATGAGTGTTTATGGTGCTAGTGTGATGTAAGTGTGTCTCAGTCTGTTTAATCACACCACTGACGTACTGACATGTTAATAGAGTTGTCGTTATGAGCATCGCTCGCCTCTCCCTAACACCATCTTCACTCAATAATGATAGCAACTCCATGTCTTTCGACTATATTATTGTCTCGTAAGTTATCAGACATCTCGCAATGTAGACGTTTCAAACAACTCCGCTAAACTGCTTCCTTCAGTGTACTCGAGCTTGACTTGAGTGTAATATGTGTCTGTTTTCTCGTCCTCCCTACCTTCCTTGATAAGATGAAGCCGAGGATAAAGATCAAATTGAGATGGATCGGATATCAGCGCCAGACATCTTCGGTTTTGAACACACCGGATGATGTGGTCACGCTGCCCCTTGTCGGTTTGAATAAGGCCGCTGGAGGCGCAGGGGCAGATGATTGTATACAGCATTAACGCAAGCCTTTAGAGAAGACGGGCTCCAATTTCCAGATAACTAGACCTTTTAATATACTATTCTGGTCTAAGAAAAGGAAATCGACACATCTTTTTGGGTTAAGAGACAGATATTCCTGTTTCTCATGTGTTTGATAAACTCTTAAGTCAGATCACGACCCACGAAGCTGTGTATCACTAGTGCGTTGCAAAACTGACAGGACATCATCAGTCAGCCAACTTCCTAACACTCCTTCCTTTGGATTTATAACAAGTCTTATGAAAACAGAAATTGTGGTCAATTTACTCAAACTAAGTAAGTAAACACTGCTTTTAAGACAGGACATATCGCTGATTTACCGCAAGAAAATATCCCGTCAGACTTGCAGCACACTAGTGCATTGTATACCTGAGGACTATCGAGTACCATCGAAATCCCTCACATTGTGACATATTGGTTGGGGTCAAAGATAAGAGGGTGCGTAGTTTTCATAGGTGTTCGAGTGTCATGACTTTAAGCTTTGATATAGTAAGACATCTCACTCCACAGATCCAACAACTCTAACCCAAGCTTCTCTCGTCAGCCTACCCTTAACCTTACAGTTCCGTACCGCTAAAGTCAACAGGTACATCTCGAAACACCTGACTTTGTCTGGTAATTCGCTTTCAATAAAAAAGAAAGAAAAAATAAGCAAAAGCTGCTCCCACGAACATACGCCACGGCGTTTAAGTAACTCCGTACACGATTTAAACATCAAATTTCTATTCCAGTACCTGTCGTCGCACTCGCTTAGCCCCTGGCGGCTCCCCCGGCTCCTCCCATCGAAATAGGCATAAATCAAGCATAGAGGCACAGTGCATGTACGCGGTACACCAGTGACGAAGCAAGTAACTTTGTTACGAATCGGCCCTAACCTGCAAAGATATATGTTTTCTTGGGAATCAACTCGAGCGCGAAAGTGGCGATGCGGTAATACGGCGATGATCGTAAGGTACGTACTTTATCGTATAACCTTTGGGAATTTGTTTGAGGCAGGGTTTTTGGGAAGATTTCAATTTAATTTCTGAATTAAGGGTATGCCCGGTGTTGAAATCCTTATTGACTCCTGGAGCGCGGTGAACCCACAGGTTTGATGTTGAGTACTGGCCGGACTGTAAGATCTGCCATGAGTAGGACTGACCTATCAAAACTCAGAATAATAGAAGTACGTTCAAGGAAAACAGTGCCTTGAACAGTACAAGCTTTGTGGAATTGAGTCTACAACGCCGTTCTCTGGGAGTTAAGTGGTGATGCGACGATGATCGCGCGCCAGAAATATTTTGACCCATGGCTTAGGTGTTTTTATTTGGGTCGGATACTTCGCCGGAGACTTTTGGAAGATTCTAAACGGCTGGATTAGGCCTTTTCCCGGTCTTGAACCCCCCTTCTCTGGGATTTGGTACCGCCCCTTTCCAATTGGACTCTCGTACATCTGACCTGGAGTCTAAAGATAACCAGTCGGAACTGGCACAAGATTTCCCTGCGAGGTCCGTTCGTCCCTCTGACTCCTGTGGCTATACGTATTTGCAGCATGGAAATAGTATAGCTTCAAGAAAAAGAGGATGGATCGGATGGTTGAGCGCCAGAGGCGACGAGATCCTGCAGTGGATGTACATCGCCTCGAGGGGGAAGACTAAAGTCACACGATTGCCTGTCCCTGCTAGACACCTCGCAACAAGAAGGCTTTCAGCCACACCTGAGATCTACTTCGAAGAACTGGCTTTCCAAGGGCAATAACTAATATATTGTTTCTTCACACCACTTCATTTATGTATCATATCCCGTAGTGACGGGCTTGTGAAAGAGATGAGTATCCCTACCATGTCTTCTAGCTCATTTAGGATTGGTTCAACATTCACAGCTAAACATTCTCAAGTGAGACTTTGGCTGGGGTGGCACATCTATTGAACTTTCCCCTTGTGCCTCAATGGAAGGACTTGGGCAGCACCTACTCTCGGAAAGCCTCCTCCAAGCCTTTTAAAATCATCGTCAATATCATTGTAATCCTCACTCTGTCAAGAAGATGGTCATCCTACGAACGATACCCCATAACGGTCACCCTACCAACAAGGATATCTTTGTTCCATAGGGAACATCCTTGGCGACACGCGCAGGCTCCCCGTCGGATTCATTCTACTCATTTCCATCATCCTTATATCGTCAAGACAACTTTCTGCAGAGGAGTTTACCCCACAACGGTCATCCTACCAAGTCATCGCAGTGAGGTCTCGAGGTTTTATTCTCAGGATAGGATTGTCAAAGTCTTGCTCTATCTATTTTGAGACCCGAATCTAATGTGCATATAAACCATTCATTGTCCCAAGCTTAAAGTTCTTCCAAACCATTTCAATTCCTCATATTCATATCACAGCTTTACATTTCTGCAACAACCCTTATCTTTCATAAACCAGCACTACATACTTAATTTGCCTTACTGCGTCAACAATCTATCTTCCTGGAAACTATCTACCGCGGGTTGTTCAACATGCAGCTTTCTCATATAGGACTTATCGGGGTCTTCCTCAGCAGTGTTATTGGCTCCACCATCCCCTCCATACAAGACGATGAAGCTCTATCTGCACCATCACTGTATGCACGAGCCTCCGGCGGACATTTTATCTTACACCTGAACAAAGCCCTCACCGCAGCGAAATACGAGGATCTTCAGACGGAAATGGAGTCTGATTTCCCAGATGCACAGCTCGATTTTGACGAGAAGATGACGACTGTCAGGACCACTAGTACAGCGAAAATGAGATGTTCGCATAAATACGTGAGCGATATCGAGAAGGCGATCAAGAAACATGAGTATAGATCCTACATGACTACAGCCACCTGGGTTGACCCTGAGGGGGTTGCCGAACGATCTCTAGAAGATTCTCCATCTGCGCCATCTTTTGATAAACGAGCCGGCGGCGGCCATTTCATCTTACACCTAAATAAGGCCCTCTCGGCATCGAAGTACGAAGATCTACAAGAAGAAATGAAAGACGATTTCCCAAAGGCAAATCTCAATTTTGATGAGGAAATGACGACCGTCAGGACTACTAGCACAGCGAAGATGACATGTTCGCATAAATACGTGAGCGATATCGAGAAGGCGATCAAAAAACAAGATTACAGGTCTTATATGACTACAGCCACCTGGGTTGATCCTGAGGAGGTTGCCGAACGGTCATTAAACACAGATGGCGAACACACCAAGGAAAATGAAGGACTCTCCAAACGAATCGATGGCCCAAACACCAACTACATCGCCGTTCGTATTGCCGTCATCAAAAATAAGAGCAATGGCAAGAGCGACATGGGAAAGATGCAGGATAAAATGGACAAACTGATCAACGATTTGCACGACAATTTCCCGGATGTCAATCCAATGTGGACTGAAATGAACACCAGTGGTGAATCGAAGCTGAGTATCACATCGCAAAACATGGACGGTGATATGGACACAATCGCAGTGTACTTGGAGGATAGGACGAGTTCGCCTAAACTTACTTATGTCAGGGTGGTGCAAGGTGGCAGAACCGTTTCTACTTACAATGGTTAAAGTGGTTTGGGTATCTAGGTGTGTATTCTAATCATAACCTGAAATCTTGGATCCTGTACTGACACATCACTTTAGGATTATGAGTTACTTTGTAGCGAACAGCTCTAGTGGTGTAGTAGACTAGAAGACGTTTGCGAGGAAATATATGGCATTGCGGGAGTTGGTTTTGTTTTTGGCATAGATACGTTTCGAAACTTTGTTTTTGTTTTGGAAGAGTCAGGTGTAGAGAAACAGCGTTTCGTGTACTTGGTTTTGATTTTCGTGGAAATAGGCAGGCTCGAAATTGTAGATCTACACCCCAATTAAACTTTGTTATTTTCACTGTTGCAATCTCAAGTAAAATATTTCTCCGTAATTCTCTTTTATCAAAAGGTGCTCTGATACTTGTTTAAATGAATGGTGATCTTGCAACTCGCGAACTCCTGACATCTGAATTTGCGAATGAGAGCCGAACGATTTTGTTTGATTTCCGGACTTATATCTCTTTCAAGATATCTCCACCATCCAGTCCGCAAGATCTTCAGCATACAACTCGAAGCTTCTAAGATACTGGCAATAGATCTATATCTCTATCTACATAGCTTTAAATCACTCTGTATCGTGTGATAGGAGACTTGTCTAGCAGATGAAGAGGATTGCAAGCTTGGGAGAATACGAAGAAATCTGTCTATTTACTTCTACATACAAATGGCTCTAAAGATGTATAATACCATATAACTCACTTTATTAGGGGCATCACTTTCGATACCTTCAATCTCACTTCAAAATCTATACCCTTCATATCCACGCATCCAACCACCACATCCCTATTGACACCCATCAACCCCTCAATCTCTCAACCCCTATTTCCCATCATATCGCATCACCTTGCACTACCCATACCGCCCATACCCATTCTCACTCCCAATACTCCCAATCTCCCAATCTCCCACGTCACATGACAACACCCCATCGACCAGCTCAGCAGCGACAACAAGCCAACCAGCTCATCAAGCATCGACCAATCACAGCACGACACCGAATTTGGGCTCGGGTCATCGCTCTTAGGTGTAGCACCATATTCTTTATCCTTGATTTGAAAGGATTTGTTGTTTTGGGAATTACGGTGGCTGTGATTTTGGGTAAGGAGACACGTGGAGGACGAGAAGAAAATTGTAGATTGTAGTGTAATGTAGCCACTATAAATTGGCAGAAGTCAAAGAAAATTGTCGGATTTTAATTAAAAGCGCTTTAGTAAGTTAACATTTATTATAGAGGGTTATAAGTCTCATCATAGTCGAGATTTTACTATCGCCGCGAAATCCCGATTGCAGGATTTGAGTGTTCTCGAAAAGTTGATTTGCATCAGAGATGTCACCATGCAGGAACTTAAGCATTGAGGACTCGAAGAATAGTAATTGAAGCAATTTGAGTGAATTCATCCATGTGCACTCGAGTCTGCTTCCTGCGTTTGGTGTTTGAGGTATGACAAGAGAGTCTGGGACGAAGATGAGACGAGAGTCATGAAAACGAAGGATACCCACCTCAAACAACGGGTTAACAAATTACTCGAAGACGCAATGTCAAATTCTCGCCTACACAAACCCCTTCATTCCGTTTGTCGAGGCTACTTGCACAAAGGTCATTCATCTGATATCCTCCCGGACCGGGAACTTGCACTTCCAATGCTATAAGCCGAAGAAGAATGGCATTGAGGAATGAACTCGGTGAGAGAAACTCGAGTACAAGAATTTGATCTTCATGAGGGCTGTATGAGACTTTTATCGACGACCAGATTTCAGGAAAATGATTTAAAAATCGAGATTCCTCATGAAAACCCCCAAATCAACACCCCCCCAAGTTGGCACACCAACCAGACACCAACCCCCCCAAACCCACCCGCAACCACACCCAACCGAACCACAAGGCTTACAACCTGGATTTTCCGTACACCTGATATCCAACCTTTCCGTGGGGGTAGGCACATCACCCAAAACGGACGTGGTGTGCGCGACTTTAAGCATATAAAAAATGCACAACGTATGAGCGTATCGGGTAAAATCCCGTATTGTTCACACACATATCGCATTTGCCACGTCAGAGGTGGTGATCCCAGGCGAGGAAGATGTGACACTGCATTGCGGCCCTACCCGAACGACGTGTTGAATTGACCCCGAGAGCTCGAGTTCTTTGAATTCTCCAAGTTCGTTTTGGTGCAATTGATTGCCCAAAAGATATATTTGATTGCGTATTATTTTTGAATTGATATTTGGTTTTATTTTCTTGCTTCGTTTGCTTTTTTACTTTTCTATTTGGCACTTTTGGAGACGTTTTGATACCCGAGCTCGAGCCCGAGATCGGACGCCGAGATGGCAGGAAAGAATAAGAAGAAGAATGCGAAGAATACGCCGGGTGGGAAGAATAGAACTCCTGTTAGTGCGGGCACTCCGAGGGTTGAGGGAAATGATGAGGGGGATGGGATGCCGGTTGGGGAGGTTGATGAGAAGTTGGAGGCTTTGATAAAACCGGTTGGGAAGGTGAAGGAAATTGTGGCGAAGTTTGAGGGGAAGCCGGCTACGGATGGGGATGGAAAAGAGGGGGATAGTCAATTGGAAGGGGATGGGAAGCCTGAGGAGGTTGCAAAGAAAAATCCTGACGAAGATAAGAAGACGGTTGCTGAAGTCGAATCACCACCCAAAGACGAAACATCAGAGAAACCTCCACAAGAAGATGTAGCGTCAGAAATGGCGACAGAACCAGTAGGGGATAGCGAGAAGGAAGTCGTCAAAGAGGAAGACAAACCGCCAGAATCTGAAGTCCAGGCCGAGATGGGGCCAAGCCCAGATACACCGGATACTGCTCAGGAAGAAGAAAAAACACCAGAACCCACAACAGAACCCACCGAGAAGAATACCGCCGCAGAGGAATCTACTACAAAACCAGAAACAGATGCAGAAGTGCCATCTGAGGCCACGGAAGAAACCCTCGCCGAAGACGTTCCCGCCCCTAAAGAATCAAGCGAAGACACTCCAGTCGTTGCGGACGAAGCTGTTGCAGCAGTAGACTCAACTGAGCCAGTCGATGAAAAAGCAGATGCAGCAGCTGCTGAACCTTCCACAACAGATGATAACGACTCCGTTAAAGCATCATCTCCCAGTGATGACGACTCGAAGTCAGATAAGAGTACCAATGCTACAGAAGTAGAACCTGAAAGTCCTACGACGGACGACAGTCCTGGTGACGAGACCGAAAGCAAAGAGGAGGAGGCCAAAGTATCTGACGAAAAGCCAGAAGAAGCTGCCGAAGAGACTGAGAAGCCCAAGGATGAATCCCCAGTAGCAGAAACATCGGAAAGCCCTGTTGTGGAAACGGCCCCTGAAGTATCCAGTTCTGCGGATGTTGTGGAGGAGGAGACAAAAGACGACAAGGCAGATTCTACTGCTGATGAAGCAGCCGGCGAAGCTCCTGCCACTCCGGAAACAGAAAAGGATGCACCGGCTGAGCCTGCTGTCGAGGCAACTGAGGAAGAGTCACCTAAAGACACGCCTTCTGCCGAAACTGAAGCTTCTGCTACCGACGACGCCGAGGATACGAAGCCTGAATCGGAAGAAGATCAGGCAGAGAAGGAGACAGTAGCGGAGTCTGCTCCCGAAGTAGAGGCTTCAAAAGAGGCGGAAACTAAAGATGAATGGAAGGAACAAGAGTCTACAACAGATGCCAAAGCTACCACTGATGAAGTCAAGGCAGAGGAGGCAGCAGCAAATGAGGAAGTGTCAGATGAAGCGGCAACAGAGTCAGTTCCAGTGGAGGACAACCCCGCCGATGCAGAGCCAGTAGTTACTGAACCTGCATCTACGGATGAAGAAACCAAAGATCCAGAGCCAATTCCAGATGAAGCTCCTACAGAGGAAGAAACTCATGCCGATGCAGCAGAGACGAAAGAAGAGGACGAAAAGCCAACTCCCGTCGTGGAAGAACCAGAAGATGAGTCGGCAGCCGCAGCTGAAGCAGAGACTGAAGAATCAAAGCCGGACACGACAGAGGATAAGGAACATACCCCAGAAGCCGAATCTGCTAGCGAAGAGCCACCCGCTGAGGTAACAACTACCGAGCCAGAAGTGGTGCAAGATGAGTCTACTAAGGAAGAGAGTAAAGAAGACGATATAGCCGCTCCCGAAGCTCCTGCCGAGTCACCTGCGGAGGAAAACAAGGAGACTGAGGTTACAACAACAGAGGTTACAACAACAGAGGAAAGCGCTCCCGCGGACACTGAGCCTCCCGCTACAGATTCAACTCCTCCTGCTGAAGAGGCAAAAGAAGAGGAAACAGCTGATGCTGAGCCGGTCAAAGAAGCGACGCCAGAGGCACCAACTGTGGATGATTCTCCGAGTGAGGATACATCTAAAGAGGCGAACGTAGAACCTGCGGCAGTTGAAGATGTCAAAGAGGCGGTAGTGGTGGAGGAGACGAAGGAGGAACCTTCTGCTACCGAAGAGCCATCTCCCTCGGAGGAAGCCCAGAAAGAGAATGAAACTGCAGGAGATGCTCTGGTTGAGCCAACACCTGAGGAGCCAGCAGAAGAGACTCCAGTCGTTCCAGCTCCGGAAGAAACTAAGGAAGAGGCCCCAGAATCGGAAGAAGCTCCAGCACCAGATGTAACTCCCAAACCCGAGGAACCATCCGAAGAAGTCAAGGACGAGCCCTCGCTAGCGGAAGATGTTAAGCCAGCAGAGGAGCCACCAGCCGAGTCTGCACCTGCTCAAGAGACTAAAGATCCTGAACCAGTTGCTGAGGCAGCTAAGGAAGAGTCCTTTCCTCCAGAAGAAGCTTCAGTAGAAGCTACCCCGGAAGAGCCTAAGGAGGCCGAGCCAGCTGCTGAAGAGGCCAAAGATGAACCTACCGCTGACAAGGAGAGCACTGAAGAGCCAGCCGTTGACGAAGCTGTAGTCCCACCCGATGAGGAGAGTAAAGAAGCTGAAGTTGCTTCTGAGGAAGTCAAGGAGGAAGCTCCTGCTCCTGGTCCAGTAGAAGCTACCAGCGAGCCAGCGGTGGAAGAGGTCGCGGAAGAAGCTGCTGCTGCAGAAGTGACACCGGCTCCCGAGGAAGTGAAGGAAGAAACACCAGCGGCTGATGAGCCCAAGGAGGAAGTTCCTGCCGCTGAAGAGCCCAAGAGTGAAGCCGCTACAGAAGAGCCTCCAGCAGAAGTACCTTCTGAGGAAGCAAAGGAGGAGCCTAAACCCGATGAAGAACCTGCGACGGACCCCGTCGTCGAGGATACTCCAGCAGACCCCGCACCAGTCGAAGAAACTCCAGAAACAGTCGCCGCCCCAGCTGAAGAACCTCCAGCATCAACAGTCGAGGAACCTCCAGCAGAGAAAGAAGAAGCACCACATCCAACCGAACCAGCCGCCGAATCTTCAGATCCCACCCCCGAGATCGTAGAAGCAGCCCTCGCCGTCGCCGCAACCGCCGCCGTCGTAGAAGCCGTCACAGACAAAGACGCCCCAGCCGAAGAAACAGCCACCGAACCCATCACCGAAAAACCCATCGTCGAAGAACCCGAGCAACTTCCCGACGTTCTCGAAGAGCCCACAGCAGAGACCCCCGGCTCCCCAAAGACAGAGAAGAAAAAGCATCGAAGCTCCCGCCACAAATCCTCTTCATCCCACCACACCTCCAAAGACAAAGAAGCCATCCCAGAAGATGCAGAGCGTCGACGCTCGCACCGAAAACGGCGGGACAGCGAGACGTCTGTGAAATTTGACATGCGGGAGATGGTGAAGGAGATACCGATCACGCGGGTGCCAGTGAAAGAGGGGTTGATTAAAGGGATATTCGGGAGTTCGAGTCCGAAATCGCGGCCGGTGAGACGGGATAGCGGGATTTCTGGGACGGGAGGGAGTTATTCGGAGAGGATGCGGGAGCGAGAGGAGCGGGGACATAAGAAGGAGAGGACGCCGGAGGAGCAGAAGGCTCATGAGGCGAGGAAAGCGGAGAGGAGGGCTGCGAAGGAGAAGGCGGAGGCGGAGGAGGTGGTGAAGAATGAGAGTGCGGTGGTGGATGATGATAAAAGTGTTGAGAAGGAGGTGACGCCTATGCCGGCGATGCCTAGGAGGTTGAGTTCGAGGAGGGATAGTATGATGAGTAATGGGAGTGGGAATAAAGATGCGGAGGGGAAGGTGAGGCCGCGGTTGTTGGCTTTGAAAGGGGAGAGTGTGGTTAAGAGTCCGTTTATGGTGGATAAGAGTCCGCATTACAAGGAGGTTACTACGCCGACGAGTGAGAAGAAGTCGACTAGTAATTCGACAAAGGGGAAGTCTCCTATGGTCGATGATCTACCGATTACTCCCAGCAAAGAGAGACCTGATAAGGGAAAGCGTCGAGATTCGAATTCGGGGGAACGACCTAAGTCTTCTCGACGAGAAAAGGATGGTTCGGATGATAGAGAGAGACGTCCTCATCGCCACTCCCGTCATTCCTCGTACCGTCAAGATTCAGACCGTAAAGACCGACCTCACCGCACCGAGGAAGAGAAAGAAGCGCGACGTGTCCGCAAAGAAACCGAACGGAAGATGGAGATTGCGCGTCAAGAGGTCGCCGATGAGACCAGAGCTGGAAGGGAGAAATCAGATGAAGAAAGACGTGTTCGACGGGAGGAGCGACGAAAGAGACGAGCCGAGGAAGAAGCAAAACTGCGAGCTGCGGAGGAAGAGAAGTCGAATAGTCGGGAGAGCATTAGACGTGGAGAGGAAGATGTGAGTCTTGAGAGGCGAGAACGACATCGGCATCGAAGTGAGCGTGGAGAGAGGGGCGAAAGAGTTCACCGACATCGACCGAGGGAGGAGAAGAAAGAGGGCGGATTGAAGGGGTTGTTCAAGAAGGTTTTCGCTTGAGGGTGATGTGATGAAGTTACGTTTGGCTCTCTAGCCTATTTTCGACGGTCTCTTCTCTTCTTGATGATATTATGATACGATGTATATGACCGACAATCCAATGGATGTCCTTGTTTTCCTTTCGTTACGTTTCATGAGCTGCAATCGAGCTCTACTCAGTTTTGTTTCGAGATATGATATGGCTAGGATTTTATTGGACACTGGGATATGGTCAGCAAGTACAGATGGATAAAGGGTATATACTAGGATTTTAGGATGGATTGGGCGACTGATCTCTGTATATTCTGTTATGTTTAGTTGTTTTGAAATTTTATCTGTATTTTTCCTTGATTTCTGTACTCCATAAGTTTTCTTCAGTTTCGAGGTGGTAATTGTGTATAGCTACAGAATGGAACAAGGATTTAATGTCACGTTTTATGACTGAAGACGTTGAAATAGGCTGCATCCATCGGCATCCTAAATGTGGAGGAAGATAATAATGCCAATTGCTGAGATTATGCTGCCCATTCGTGGAATACTTCCCACAAGACAATATCTCTAAAACATACAAAAAGCAAGCATTCCCAAAATACGATTTAAGTGTAACAATAGTCAACCTCCACATCAGATCACAATCAACCACACGTTCAAGATCTACGAATCTCAAACATCCGAGCACCTGCATACCGTATGGAAGGGCAAATGGTAAATACGAGATCGAAGGTCTGACGAGACCACAAGGCTGGTAGCGAACCTTTCTGATGCTCGGTGAGTCGATGTGTTTATTCTCTCCCAACACCAAATAATGCAAGAAAGAAAGTCGTGATTCGTAAGACTCGTAACGCGGATTGATGACAACCGACTTGCTCGTACTTCGTATTGAGAACTGAGCAATGAGCATCCACAAAGCTGCAATTGTAAACGAACAACACGAATGACAAATAGGCTGCACTTGCAGCAGTACTCGAGTAACATGACTTCGAAGAGGTGCAGAAAAGTTTCCAAGCACGAAGATGATCATTTCGTTTCAAAAAATAAGAAAGCAAAAGACGAAACAGCGCGGGCGCGAAACCACCCCGGAATATATCCAGCTGTCAACCCAACATCGGCAACGCCATCAAGCAAAACGTGGCAGCAAAACACGCAACCATGATGCAATGAACTCGGAATCTCAGATCCAAAGGCAGACATCACTTACATGAAAGACATCGAAACGAAGCCCCAAAAAAGGCGCCCATCGCATTCTCGTCCCAACCAGCTCGTTTCTTCCTGTCAAAAGCCCCGTCTCCCCACCCTCCCTGGGTAAGCCCAACCCCGTCGGCTCAATCCTGAAACGCAACAACCACCCACTCACAGCCGTCATTCTCCACGCAGAGCCTCGTTGGCTTCAAGCGCTCCGCGACCATTGGCCAGATGCTTGAAACGTTGTTTCCAAAAAAGGGCGGAATCCCTCATCCCCTTTCCCGCTGAGCAGCGCGAGCCTGGGCTTCGGGCAAGGAATCCAGCACGGTGCACAGCGGAAAAGAACGAGGAGCAGCAGCAGGCCCAGCCAGCAGCAGCAGCGAAAAGCGCAAAAGATGTGCAGAGCTCGATCGCACCTCTCCGTTTTGCGCAAAAAGAACAGTGGAAGCGAATACTTTGCACTCATCCTGAAACACAGGGCAGGCGCGCCCTCTTGCATCTAGAGGATGTGTCGTCCCACCACCGCACTCACTGACTTGCTGGCCCAGAGCTGGAGAAAGCTGGTGCTGAGTTGATGGAGCGCGGTGTTGCTGGTTCGGGTCACACTGCGTGTGATGGGACATACATAATGTAAGCGCACGGCGGGAATTTGATGACTTCCCCTATTCTCGTTCGAGGGAGAATCGCGTTCTGTGTTCTCCAATCTCCACACCTTCGTTGAACTGAATATTGAATTGCGAAATCAAAATCTATTGCTTCGTAAAGTCGCTCGCTAAATATAATTACTGTTGAGAGATATTGTAAGAGGAAAACGTATTGATGATGGATATGGTCACCCAGGAGCAGGACTCGACGCTGCGACGTTGGGTCTCGTACAAGGGGAAGAGGCGGCCGTCGAAGAAAGATCGCGACTTTCTGTGCGAGGAAACTAAACTGAGTCGGCCGCAGTTTGAATCGTGGTGGGATTGTAATGTCGAAGCTCTCAAACGTATGTATGCGCTTTGTTTTCGCATTGCGACTGTCTAACAATTGATTGTAGGCGACAAAGCTCCAACGATTCCAGCGATTCCAGCAAACCAATATGGATTCGGCCTGCCTCTAATGAGTAATATCAACCCGACTCTTCCGCTGAATGTCTCAAAGCCCGTATCGCATTCGCAGGAGCTACACGATGTTCCTCAGTTCCAGCCGATGGATGTCGATTTCGATTTATACTCACCACCACAAGATGTCTGGTCGCCGATAGAAATACCCCAACAGGAAACCTATCAATTCCCGAGCACCTACAATGGCCACAATTCTTATAGTAGCGATGCGTGGTCGCAACATTCCGGCTCTCAGAATCGATCGAGTCGTTCTACATCGTCCTCAATTCTGGAAACGTATTCCTTGATCTCTCCGCAATCTGCTGTACGATCGTCTTACGGCTCGTCTCTCTGGACCGCAGATTCCGCATCGACGCTCAATTCCGTTTACGATCCGACTTTGGAGGATCTCATGATGGAAGATGTTGGTTGCGAGCAAGCTCAGCCGATCAGCATTGGCAAATTTAATTCGAATCCATCTGCGCGCCCAGCCTCGAAGTTCTCCTGTAAATCGATTCCGGAAGAACACGTTCATTTCGACACGCAACATCACCACCCCACACCACCGATTCCACAGGACATTCCACCCCCGGTGCCTGCAAAGCCTGGAAAGATAACATATCAATGTACAGTGTGCCGTAAACCATTCAACAGAAAAGACGATTGGAGAAGACACGAAGAATCGCATGAGCCGCAGAAGTACTGGATATGTATGGTCGACCGAGATCCGGCGCTGAGCACACCAACAGGATGGCTCTGCGTATTTTGCGATACAGTCAAACCGGATCGCAATGAAATCATGTTACATCTCATCAAGGAACATCAAATTAACGAATGCACAAACAAATCTGTATCGAAACGAAGATGGGGAAGGAAGGATAAGCTCAAGCAGCATTTGCAACAGGTTCATCATCTAGCAGAGACTTCAGCAGGTGCTTGGGAAGAATGGAGGAGAGACAACACGCCAAAGAAATGGGCGTGGGGCTGTGGATTTTGTGGTGTGTGCTCATTCACATGGAAAGGTATGTGCTACATGTTCAAAGTTTTGGATTTGGGTGCTTTTTGATTGTTTTGGGAGAGCTATGTCTGCAGTGAAGTCCTGAATCGTGTGGATGTCGCTTGCATCGAGACACTGCTCTCACTTGAGATGCAGACTCAAAGCATAGCGATTCTCATGGCACCACGCCATTTTGTCCTCTTCACAAACCTGCGTTCTTTAATTGTCTTTTGCTGACTTTTGTTTAGGCCGTAATGACCACATCGCCGAGCATTATGAAAAGCAGAATTTGAGTGCTTTCCAGTGGTGTCATTCTCGCGTAGTAAAAGCCTTGTTGAAGCAAGCGTATCCCGACTTCAATGCTCTCACGGCGTGGAAAGCCCGATTCCCAAATGGCGATAAAGATATTCAGTGGTCGGAAGCCGATGCAACCAGGCTGAGAAGAAAGCTGGAATTCCACGAGGACCTGCCAGATAGGATAGCTGGCGAGGCCCAAGTAATGGCGCTCAAATTTCGAGCCAACTTTCAAACTCTTGCCTGGAATCCAGCGCCCTCTAGAGGAACGACACTCACAACGCCAATTGGCTATGTGGATGTTAATAAAGGTCCGTGGCAACTCGACTCGAAGGAGATTGTTCCACATATCAAGTCTTCATCAACTCCGGAACCTGCTCCGATGGCATATGAGCTTCCTGCGGCGAGTCGGACCAATTTCTTTTAGTTGTACGATCAACTTCAGGCATTCACTGCTTTGTCCATTTGGATTCGCCATCTAGGGCCAAAGTGTCGTATCGACCAAACTACCCCGAAGGCGCTTATCCAGGACACGATACCAATGATGGTGAAGAGCCAGCCGTTTCCAATGGCGTCGATGATTGGGTGTGCGACGATACCCCCAACACAACTGAAAATATTTCTGATGAAATTGTTGACTGCAACACCGGAGCTGGATTTCTTGGGCATCATTTCGGTCAACATTGTCGTGACCGAACCGAAAATGATCATGCTACCGATTCCGAAGAAGAAGTTGGCAATCAGTGGGATTATCCAGTGTAACCCCTTTTCCACCGTCCATCCATACCAAACAAGTGCGCCTGGATACATCACGGCAGCTAGCCATGCATTTTCTCTCAGTCGATCTTCTGGAAGGAAGACTAATTTTCCATTTTCATCGTATCGATTCGCGGCTCGAGCTTCTCGATGCATAATTCTATCCATCCACGATCCACCGAGGACTGAGGCAACTACATATCCAAGGGAGTTGGGTATGTAGAGGAGGCCCAAAATAATGACGGAGTAATTGTAGGGAGATTCAGAGAAGGTCTGCTGAATGGAGATGTTGAGAACGTATAATGATCCAAATGTAATAGAAGCGAGGTATACCGACAGGAGCACAGGAGGGAATCGCAGGAAAGCGAGTACGCTGAGCGGGTCGATAAAGCAGCGCTTGAAAACCGCTGCGGCCTTTTTGGTTTTGATGTGAACGGATTGGCGGGTCGAAGTACGTGTTAGTTGAGGTCGGACAGTCTTCTCGTCTGGTAATCCGTTTGTGGTGATAGGCCGTTGTACAACAAGTGTTTCAGGGAGGAAAAATATCAATACAAGTAACAGCGCTCCACCGTATATTGCTTGAAACCATTGTGTGCTCCGCCATCCCCATCTCTGTGAGAGTACCCCTCCCAGTATGGGCGCAATTAAGGGGCCAAGCAAGGGGCCCAAGTAGAAATATCCCATTGCACTACCTCTTTCTCTCACTTCCCATATGTCCGCGATTGTGCCGGCTCCTACAGCTTGCACTGATGCAGCTGCACCGCCTCCAAGGATACGTAATATTATGAGCATTCCAATTGATGTGCTGACAGCTGCTATCACACTGAAAATCATGAACAGGGTAAAGGAAATAATGTATATAGTTCGACGGCCAAGTGTTTCGGAGAAGGACGACCACCATAACGGAAAGATCGCTAGACTGAGCATATATAGGGCGACTGAGAGATTCGTGATGGTAGGAGTCGTATTAAGGTCTTTGGACAGTTCCGGAAGAGCAGCTGTCAAAATTAGCATTGCATATCCATATTGGACAATGTACTTACGAAGAAATATCCCACTTCCCATCGGCGCTGCAGCTGCAGCTAAAGCGATTATGGCTGTAATGAACCATTTCACACTCCTCTTATGCTCCTTTGAATTTTCAACCTCGGGCACAATGGTAAACTGGCTGAACAGACCCCTTCTCTTGGAACGTGGGATTATCGTCGCAGCTCGAGAACGAGCGGATGGTGTTTTCGATATCGACCGCGTGGGTTCATCTCCTTCGGGTGGGAAAGGTATGGTAGCAGCTGAGGAGTGTGAATGAATTGAAATCTTGTCTGAAGGTGCGGTCTCAGGTTCTCCATCTCTCAGAGTAGCAATTGCCGGGTGTTGAATAGCTTCATCTGGTTCATGTTGTATTCGATTGTTCGCAGCTAAATCCGCTTTTTCCAGATCGTCTACCATGCTTCATCCAGATGGCCCCGCCAGTGTGTTCGACTAGTTGGAATAGTCGTTAGCTGGGACGGGTCTATGAAGGTAGTTCAGTTCCTGTAAATCTGGGGTACAGCTTGACTTTCGAGACTGATGACGGAACGGTGAACAGTAAAGGTTCTTAGCTGTCTGATAGGAAAGAACCTCAGTATGTATGTAGATTTTGGCCTTTAATTCACTCCGCCTCGTTGAATGAAGCAATGTATGGGCCGGTTCTTGTGCAAGATAGGAAGTGAAAACGCAATAAGTGACTGAAAGTAATAATGAAGTCTAGATGCCCCATGTAGTACTTACCCGTCGGCCAATTGTCAAAGGGCGTCCAGTGGAGCCGCTCCATATTGAGAGTAATTGTCAAAGGGCGTCCAGTAGAGCCGCTCCATATTGAGAGTGTGACATGGTAGCATCCCATCTTTGCTGAAACCGTCGGGAATAACAATTGCCTTGTGGTGCAGTTGAAATGTGCCGCTTCTATAGAGCCGGTTGTTGGAGTTTGCGAAATCAACTCGGGATCTCGGCACCTGGATGGTACGGGTCCTGCCGATTGGTGACCGATCGTCGAGTTGATGTTCCAAAAAGGAAGTCGCGTAAACAGAGAAAATATGATCAGGATACTGACATAAGCTGAAGCATATGGAAAGTAAAGAGGTTGATTTAGTACTATGAAAAGTAGAAGATCAAATGATAAGGTTATCAACAATGATCGCTTAAGCGAATCGAAATAAAAATGGACCCTTGGTGCACCCCTGCAGGGACGTCAGAATTTCTAAAACACCAAACGACCCCACCACAATGTGCAACACATGGTCTCAAATACGTCGTATTGATTCATTTTGCATGGAATAAAGCAAGGTTTCTAGTAGACCTTTTGTTGAATTTGCTAAATACTAGTACCCTTCAAGTGCCTGTCCACTGGTTCCGACAATCCATTCCAACCTGACCATGGAGTCTCTCGAGGAGCTACAAACTCGCCATCGCAAAGAGCAGAAAGATTTGCAGGCAAGAATTACACAGAAAAAAAAAGGGGCAACGAAGAAAACTCGAAAGGGTGTTAATAGCGAATGCGAAGATCTTGAGAGACAGCTGAAGGAACGACAAGAAATAGAACGAGGCACATTGAATGGCAATACCACCGCTGAACAAGTCGAAGATTCCGAGTCAGACGATTCTGCGAACGATGTCGCACCTCCGGAAGCTGCAGAAGGGATCAAAGGCGTCACCAATACCCTCGAAAAGTCTTCGATTTCAGAACCTGCTTCGGAAAATGGCCAGCCCAAGAAACGAAATCGAGCAAAGGAACGACTGGCAAAACGCGCTGCAGAACAAGAAGCCGCAGTAGCAGAAGCAAAAGAGGAGGCTAAAAGCCAGCCAGATCCAAAAGCAATCGAACGAAAACAGATGCTCGAAGAACTCAGTGCGAAAGGCTTAGTGGAAAAGACGATACGACCAGATGGGCATTGCTTGTTCTCCGCCGTCGCGGATCAGCTGTCACAGGTCGGCATATCACTTGATTCGGATAGAGAGGCAGATTTGAAAGAAGACCAGCGTTATAAGGTTGTCAGAAAGGCTGCCGCAAAGTATATTGAGGGACATCCAGACGATTTTGCTGGGTTTTTGGATGAGCCACTGGATCAATATGTCACCAAGATTCGAGACACAGCGGAGTGGGGTGGTCATTTCGAATTACTGGCTCTGGCGAAAACGTACAATGTGGAAATCTCAGTTCTTCAAACTGGTGGCTCTCAGGTAATAGAACCTGGACTAGAAGGTACATCCGAACCAGAAAAGATTTGGTTGGCATATTATCGACATGGCTTTGGGTTGGGAGAGCACTATAACTCTCTTCGAAAAGCTCCTTGAGGTCATATTTGGAAGCAAACAGTCTATTATTACACAGTTCTTGGCTACTGGGCATCTGGATGCGCCCAAACTGATACCCAATCAGTGACCTTGCCGTCTTTGCTATATCCGACATTATGAGTCCTTTTAGGTTGGAAATGCGCAACACGCTTCAATCCAGTCTTACTTGGCTCACCCAGCTTGGACTCCTGTAGTCCTTCCTCCTCGTGATAAGGAAGGTCTTCTCCCGGCCTCGAAAGATGAGCCACATACACCTTGGGAGGAAGAGCCCATGGCGGACCTCCAGTCGAATGTGGTTTGTACGTAGGGAACTCGAGACAGACTATTCTCCCCTGTGGAGCAAGAAGTTCCACAACGCGCTTCGACCAAGCAGCTCTCATAGATGGTGGTAGAGCAGACAAAAACTGGTTACCGTCAGTCGGAATCAAATATATTACAAAACCACTTACAGTATGATCATAAATCAAATCAAACTTCCCCTCCCCCTCAACCTGTTCCAAAAACCCATCCCTAAAAAAATTCCCCTCAACCCACTTCACACTCCCCTCCCCCCCTCTACTCCTATAAACCTCTTGATCCTCCCCACCCACCCCCTTCTCAACCTCCCTCGCCCCCTCCAGCGCCCTCCCCGAAACCTCCAACCCATACGCCTCATACCCAAACGCCTTCAACAACAACACATCATACCCCTTCCCACACCCCGGCACCAACGCCCTCAACTTCCTCCCCTCAACAGCCGCCGGCAATACGTCCTTGCGCTCCGAAAGCAGGTCCACGAGCGCCGGGTTCGGAAACCCTTTATCCCAGGGCAGAAAATTTGCACCCCAGAGATCGTCCCATTTTTTGGCGTGTTCGTCTGATGGGATGGAGAAGTGCGAGAGGAGAGCGGCGCGGGCGTCGGTGGGTTGGTCTTGAGACATGTTTGTGGTGTGTAAAAGTGTAGAGAGGTGGTGGTGGGGTTGGAGGGGTAGCTGTAGATAGCTTTGAGTGCGAAGGGGTAGCGGGATCGATACTTAACGCTTTACTTATAGGAAAAGAGGTGCAAGGATTATGGATGTTTTTAATTAGTAGGAAGATTGATTCTCTGGTGGCTTTGCTTGGCTTTGCTCACTCTTGTTGTAGATGCGTTTATGATTTTGGTATATGGTTGATAATCCTTGTCAAGGAGTTTTGAGACTGTCCGTCACTGCGCACCACGGTACCCTGCTCACTACCCTCGTCGTGCCTCGGCTCAAAGCTTCCCCAGGTCTCGGCAATCGACTGTTTCCTCGACTCTCCATCTTTCTTTGCTTGTAACAACATCTTTATTCAAAATGGATTCAGCAAGTTTATTCAATGTCAAGGTAAGAGAGTCTGGAATCTGCGAGATTCAGCAGGTTGATTGGTTCATCAGGACAAAGTGGTGCTGGTCACCGGCGGCGCAAAGGGAATTGGGCGTATGATTTCAGAAGGTAAGCACAACTCCCAGTTCATCTCCCTTATGACCATATGTTAACACTCCCAGGCTTCGTAGCAAACGGCGCCAAAGTCTACATCTCCTCCCGCGACGCCTCAGCCTGCGAACAAGCCTGCAAAGAACTCAACGCCCTCGGTACCTCTCCCCTCCTCCCCTTCTCCCTATCCCACCTCACTAACACCCCCCCAGGAAAAGGCACCGCGCACTCCATCCCCGCCGACTTCTACAAACTCGAAGACTGCACGCGCATGATTAACAAGCTCAAAACCCTGGAATCAAAACTCCACATCCTCGTCAACAACAGCGGTTCCAACTGGGGCGCCCCGTACGACGAATTCCCCGACACAGCCTGGACGCGGGTCCTCACCCTCAATTTGACTCGCGTCTTCACCATCACGCAGGGCGTAACACCACTCCTCGAAGCCGGCGCCTCGCCCGGCGACCCTGCGCGTGTAATCAACATCGGCTCCGTCGACGGGCTGCGCGTGCCGGCGCTCGAGACGTTCAGTTACAGCGCGAGCAAAGCGGGGTTACATCAGCTGAGTCGCGTGCTAGCGAATCATCTAGGGAAGCGGAATATCACGTCGAACACGCTGGCGTGTGGGCCGTTTGAGAGTAAGATGATGGCGGCGACGTTGAAGAATTTTAAGGAGGAGATTGTGAGCGGGATTCCGCTGGGGAGGATTGGGAGTCCGGAGGATGTGGCGGGAGCGTGTTTGTTTTTGGCGAGTAGGGCGGGGAGTTATGTTAATGGTGCGACGATTGCTTTGGATGGGGGGAGTTTGGTGGGTTCGAAGTTGTAGAAGGGTATGGGTCGGTTGGGTGTAGATATATGTGTTACTACTGGGAGGGTTGCTCAAATGAACGACACTTACTCATAACAATCGACGGTATACGTATCAATCTATCAAAACAATCGTTGAAATGAAAAAATCGCTAAAAGAAAATGCCAGACTATACCATATTTCTCCAAGTGATTAGAGAACTCTATAAAAACCTCATCCATCCCCAAATTCACACAAGGTACTTCCATATCACATATCTCATCTCAACCAAACTCAACATATTCCAATTCACAAGTCAAATACCCCAAAGTATCTAAGGAAATAACCATATTACCTCAACCTATCAACTAACTAATACAATTTATCCTTCTACACCCCTTACTTTTCCTCCGGCAAGCACCTTCTCAAGTGGTACGGCGGTCGACAATAGCACTTCCCTATCTTTTTCATTTTTCGATTAGTTGTTCGAATTTATTCTCGCCAGTATCTGACAACTTTTACTTTTTCTCCGAAAAGAGGAACTTCCCTTCAACCTCAACGGCCTCTAAGAGTTTCTTGGTGTATGGGTGGTATTTCAAGGCTTGATGGTTGATGGTTTAGTAGTTTCTACCCGGTTTCTTGCCTTAATAATTCTTTTCTCGCATAGATCCGTGTGAAACTCATCGGAGTTGATCTGCTCCTCCCCTCATCCATCATTGAATTAATCGACGAGTGATTGACACCGCTAACACAGATCCCTAATCTCATGGCCTCTTCGGCTTCATCCTAGTGGCTTCCGACTCTAATGTAAGAATGCGGATGAGGACTCGTTCCGCGATGTTGAGAGTTGCCGTGATGGATTGTTCATCCCAACACCCAATTTTGTCGATGATATCCTTCGAAGCAGCCAGACTAAACACTTCGATATAGGCAAGCTTGCCTCTCCCCCTTATTTAACTCTCACACCCTCACATCTGCTTGACATCTCCCGGTCTCATCCACGAACCATCCTAACCACTTTCCGAGTCTCGGCAAGTCTCTTCTCGCCCGCACCCTTCAAACTTTCGAATAGACGCCATTCGGGCAATCCTATCTGGAGATTCCAATATCACTCAGCTACATTTCGTGAAATCGGGGAACATCCCGATGAACTATCTCCCGTCGGGAAGGCTGCAATACTATCATAAAGATAGGCTCGATAAATAGACACCAAGTTTTCGGGTCCTCGTACGTTCACTTCGGATAAATGTTGCAGGCTACGTTCTCTGTAGAAACCTTCCGTGAACTCGTAATGAAGATAACGCGATCTCGCCATCGCACGAAGGCGATGGTTTGGGTTCTTGTGGTTGTTAATTTGACGAGTAGTGCCTCCAGTTCCTCGGGCTGCTCCAACGTATCGAGCTGCAACAAGGTCATCGACAAGGACCAGAGGACGATGAGATCGATATCGATTTATCGTCCTAAATTCCGGGATCTTCTAGACAAAATATACATAATTTGTCGATTGCGTTGGAACATCGCTTTTAAACGACACGTACCTCATCGGGTAAGAATGTACTCGATCTATTCATTCGTCCGCCGCGTGTCGAAGACCACAAGTTCTTGCTGGATTCAGAGACCATGGTTTCCTTGGTGTTGTGATGAGTTTTGGTTAAAATCACAGTTGCGGAAATAGAAGAAAGTGAAAAGAAGGCGAACTACGAGGGTTTCACTTTTGGTTGCTCTAGTTGATGTCGTGGTAGACTCTACGAATGGCAGTCGCGTGGACTGTCCCCATGACTTACGAATAGAGTCGAAACTTATCGTACTTACTTACTAAAAATCAGGGACAAAACATAAACGTTCCTTTGAATGAATTGATGAAATATAATATTGGGTCCAACTGATCGAATAAACATACATTTTCGTACTTGTGTCCAGCATGACAATATCAGTCCATCACGTGAAAGTTTGCCTACGAAAAGGATGGACCATACTGGCTGCCAATTATCATCTCTTTTCAAGACTCAACAGAGACCTAGTATTGCGCAAAACGCCTTCAAACTCCACAGACACCCTAAACAAATCTACCTCTATCCTCAACCTCAAACGCCAACCCCCAAACCCCTCACAACATCGCCCGTCCCTCCGTAGCCCTATGAATCTCCCCACCCTTCTCCCTAAAATACTCTTCAATCTTCTCTTTCGCAACCCCAACAACAGCCGCATCCTCCACGGTGGCCGGGACTTGCACTTCCTTCTCAAACTCACCATGCACCGCGTTTTCCACCAGTTCCCTCAGCACTCTACGCAATGTCTTTCCTGAACGCGTTTTGGGGATCATGCCTTTTCCCTGGATCATGCCGCCGAGGGAGGCAATGGCGCCTATTTGCGTGCGTACGAGCTTCTGGACTTCGGCGAAGAGAGTTGGGGAGGGAATGGCGGAGATGGGGTGGGAGGGCGTGGAGAGGGTTATGAATGCGAAGGGGAGGTGGCCTTTGAGGGAGTCGGGGATGCCGACGACGCAGCATTCGGCTATTTGGGGGTGGGAGGAGATTGCTTGTTCGATTGAACCTGGGGTTGTTAGGAGTTGAAAAGCAGTGTGAGAGGGACCTTACCAGTGCTGAATCTATGGGCAGCTACATTAATGATATCGTCGGATCTGGACATAACGTGAATATACCCGTCTGTATCGATCATTCCCGCATCGCCTGTGTCAATCCACTTCCCATCAAATCGTTTCAGATATCCTTTATAAAACCTTTCTTCGTCTTCCCAGAGAGTTCGGAATCCTGTTGGTGCCAATGGCATACCCATAACGATGTTACCCATATTCCCTTTCTCGACTTCTTTGCCGGAGTCATCCACGACTCGGACGTCAAAGCCAGGCATGGCTTTTCCGGCACTACCAGGTTTTATGGCCAAACTTTCAACTCCTCGCTCTGTCGTGTAGCGGTCTTTTCCAGCGTGAGGTACAAGTGCTATTCCAGATATTGGGGAACCAGATTCTGAGGACCACCAGTTATCAATGACTTTCGCACCTTGCTTGCCATATTTCTCTAGTAAGTCTTGATACATGGTAACAATACTCGGTTCAGATCGTTCGCCCGCCAAAAACAGCGCTTGCAAAGACCTTAGCCCACCCCGCTCACCTCTTTCCTTGAACAATTTGTTCTCTGGATCATCCCGACGGATAGCACGTAGCGCAGTCGGCGCTGTGAAAAGTGTGTTGACTTTGTATTCTTCCAGAATACGCCAGAATGTACCAGCATCTGGTGTTCCAACTGGTTTTCCTTCGAATAGAACTGTCGCGGCTCCCGCAAGTAGAGGTGCGTATAAAATATAGGAATGGCCAACTACCCATCCAATATCCGAAGCGCAGAACATGACATCGCCAGGTCCGTGTATACCGAATAGATAGCTAATCGATAAATGCAGACCAACTGCATGACCACCTGCTTCTCGAAGCACTCCCTTGGGTAACCCGGTGGTGCCGGAAGTGTAAATTATATATACCCCATCACTTGATTTCACCGGGACACACTCGACTTTCAAGCCTCTAGCACGTCCACTATGTACCAGACGCTGCCAGTTTCTATATCCATTTGGTTTATCCACATTATCCCACCGAAGCTCGTCTCTTTGCCAGATGATCGTTTTGCTTGGTTTGTGTGATGATATGCCAATTGCTTCTGTGATGAATGGTTTGTATGAGGTAGGAGGTTTTGCGCCATCGATACCGCATGAGGCAGTGAGTATTGCTACTGGTTTTGAGGCTTCGATGCGTTGTGCTAGGGATGCTGGAGCAAAGCCACCGAAGACTACAGCGTGTATTGCGCCGAGGCGTGAGACTGCTAGAATTCCGATCAATGCGGCGGGTATCATGGGCACTACAGACCTACGTTAGTTATATATATCCTTATTTTCGTACGTCCAGTTCCTGAATGCATCATTGAAATATGTACTTACTATAAACTAACACAACATCCCCCTTCTTCACCCCCTCATCCCTCAGAACCCCCGCAAAAACCTCAACCTCATCTAGTAATTGTTTATACGTATACTTCTGCTTCGTTTTCGTCACCGGACTATCCCATATAATAGCTGTCTGGTCTCCATTCCCCGCCAACACATGTCTATCCACGCAATTGAAGCATGTCGAGATCTCTCCGCCCTGAAACCATTCCCAGTGGTCGTGCTTGACACCGGACCTGAGGGATTTCTTGACTCGTGTAAGGGTCTTGGTAGGCTTCTTGTGCCAGGAGAGGTGGGAGGCTTGCTCTGCCCAGAAGGATTCGGGGTCGGTGAGGGAGTGGTCTTGGACTTCGTCTTGGGGATGGGTTGACATGGTGGTGTATTTGGTGATTGGTGAGGGAGTATGGGATCTAGTGTGTAATTGAAGGTGATATGGCTCTGTGTAAGTGAAAGACTCAGGAGATGTGACCCGGGGAAAGGGTGAGAGAGCGTAATATATATGTCCTGTGTAACTTGCAGGAAGAAAGGTACAACAACGGTAAGGAAATGTCTGGTAACGGTAACAGCAGAATTACCTGAAAGATTTATTTCGACGCTCCAAGCTATATATACCAGGGGAGCTTGAGCTCTGACACCCTAAGTAGTGTGAATGCCATGCTGCTTGACGCAGTTGCGATTGTAAGGAATCCAATGATGTTGCTCAATTTCCCCGCATTTTCATCCCCAGAACACCAAGCTCGGTTACCCCTAAGCTCCGCCGTTGACCCGATCTCCGGAGTCGCTTCCCCTATTTAATACCCGAATACTTTATATATCGCTTTGTGAAGAAGAAAAGAGTGATGTTTGTAAAAAGAAACGAGGATCAGTAAAGAAACGTTCCGTATTTTCATATTTTCTTGTTTCAGAAAAATGTCGGATTCAGGTGCAAGTGTTCTAGACAATTGAAAATCATCAGTCTCCATGCCATGAGGAACTTCTTGGAAAGGTACAGTGAAAAAAATTGGATTGTAATGATTGGCGACTAGAACATAAGTTTCAAGACTGAATCATTAATGGGCCTTACTTACCAATTACTCAAACATTTGTTTTCAACCTCATTAGCTTTCAATGTGCACGGGAAAACGTTAGATTTAGTCAAACAATTAATGAAATTTCGTATAACGCGTAAATTGCTTGATTGACTCTCGCGTTCCAATTACAACATGTCGCCTCCGACTTGGACTCACTTCTTTGTAAATGTCTGCTCGATAGTAACCTCAAAGGCTTACAGCAGTACAATCGTTGAACTGGCCAAATACGTTCACTCATTGGTTTATTATATACAGATCCATAAGAAATCTGTGGGTTGAGCTTATCCTCATCCAGATTGCTCGCTTAATGTAGCACAGTTTTTTCGGCCCCTCAGATCCAAAAAAGAAATGGTTGCACTCACAACCCGCGAGCATAATGAATGCAAACGTAGTCGCAGCTGTCAAGAAACCCCGCAGGTTGGCCTATGAGAATTCTAACGGGTTGAATCTGCTAAGTTACAAGTAATTGTAGAATTAACCACACGGCCATCTATCCTACGGTAAGTTGATGTACACCGAGGCAAAAGCCAAAAAATGGAGATGTTATCCTCTAAAGTGAAGATACATTTTAGTGAAGAAAGTTTGAACAGAGGGGGATTCGAACCCCCGCAGATTTCTCTAGTAGAATACGAGCAGACTAAGTCTGCCAAACTGTGCAAGCACGCTTGAGTCTACCGCCTTAACCGCTCGGCCATCTGTCCTCGATTTGTTGAAGAATTTTTGTTAATTTACAATATCAAGGAAACACCGCAAAAGTGGGGTGGAACGGCCAAGTTTTGGCGGCAGACTTAAGCGAGCCAACCCCTTTTGCAGGGTCACAATGTCCAAGATGCAGTAAATAGTGATTGAATGCCATGCAATGGTTTATTTGTGTTCGTAGAAAAGCGCTTGGTGGAAAATGTTGCTGTTTGGGATTTGGTAAAGATAGGACAATGACTGAGCTGTCTAGTTGAATGAAGCCCACGTGACAGGTATGGCACTCTTGCCCACATTCGTGTAGATCTTTTTATTTTATTTTTAGAGAACAATTCTTGCCCATTTTATGTAAGGGAACAGTTTATAACGGATTTTAAACTTTGTAGTTGGAACTTATTTGGTAATCATTAATCCCCTAGAATCAGCGAAACGTGACGTCTTTAATCGGTTTAGCTTCATTTACTCGACATCTCGTGTCGCACGTTGTACTTGCAAACTACCTAGGTATTCTTCGTTTCCTGCTCCAATTGAAACATCGTTGTCTGATCTAGAATACTTTCAATTACAACTTCTTCATCGCGATCGTTGCAACCAACCATCATGTCGCGTCAGTCAGATTCCACGGTGGCATTCGATGTTCGAATTTCGAACATCCGGATGGGCCTCATGCAAGCCACGGCCCTCCGCGAGTGACAGTATGCCTGATTAGCTGACGCATGGTTTGAGGCTGTAAGATTTTGGAAAATACCAATGAGACTCACTCTACACCTGAGGCTGTTCATGACCATACGGCCAATGACAATCGTTCGATTTCCTGACATCAAAGATGCGAGCCTCCTACATATACTACCAAATCTCTCGTCCTCTCGAAGTATTATGATTGTCTTTTAACAGTCTGGCATACATTTACCATAATTCGCAGCATCATCGACAACGCGCTAGGCAAGATGAACAACAAGAGAAATAGAGAAGCTGCAAATGCACCTTCGGAGGAGGAATGGAATGCTCACAGAGATTTGTTCAGAGAGTATTATGCCAGAGAATCATTTTTAAATCAAAGCAGACCGTTGGGAAAGAAAATCAAAAACATCTCAAACTTGCTTGAATATATGGAGAAGGAGCACAACTTCATCGCCACGTAAGTCCGGGTCGTCCATAGGGGCTCCGTTGAATTGCTAATAATCTCAGTAAGAACCAGTATGAGAGAAGATTCAAGCATTGGGGTTTTAGGAAAAACCTGGTGAATGATGAGATGAAAATAGTTCTTTCCAAACGGAACTTTCGACATCAACACAACAAAGACAGCCATATCGCCCTGAATGGTAGTATTTTGTCGAACGAAAGGTTGATCAAGGCAGAAAGCAGATTCACCTTATCCGAAATCAAAAAAATCAAATCTTCATGTGCGTCCAATGATTGACAGCCTGTCAATGAGTCTTAACTAAGGACTGGCAGATTTTAGACGACCAACACCTGAAGGAGTCTCAATTTACACGCCCCCTCCAATTGCTGGGAAGCACATCCCCATCATGACTGACATCATCAACCTTCCGGGCTTCAAAGTGATGGATATGTTCTGTTCTGGTACGACAGTAATGACTATTGCTTCCCAGGTGCCTGCTGATAAGGTGTTTTAGAATCGTTTTCTCTAGCGGCACACCTCCTAAAATCTGCCAACGGTCAATCATTGGCTCCCTGGACCCATGATCCTCGATATGTTGATGCACCATCAGACTTCGTTACATCATCGTCTCTCATTGACAATAGTGACTCCATAAATTCATTGTTTTCTGATGATTGGGCACCTTGGGACGAGTCGGCAAGCAACGCCCTCACCAGTATTTCAACGCAAGTTCCAATTCCGTATACTGGTAAGATGTCGCTCAATATGATCATGGGCTTGACTGAACACTCCGTCGGTTGCAATAATCTTGACCATGACCTTGCTTGCCGGATAATCGAACCTTACATGTTATCAAGGCACTCGGGAGAAGTTGAGAAATGGCTTGGGACGCTCCTCGGACCTTCGGACACAGAATCCTTCAATCATCTTGTTGGATTTGCTGTCTACTTTTGTTCTAATGGCATGCTTAAGTATGACTCAAGCGGACTCAAACAACGACTTGGCGAATGGATCATTAATGAAGCTTTAAGTTCCCAGCGGAACCCTTTTTCAGCAAAGGCGCTTTCAATGCAAGCTTGCCTAGATGATTTGCTTCAAGGCCCATGGTGCACCGAAAATACCTTACAATCTCTCGTTGATGTCTACGAATTGCGTTCTATGAGCAGCAGACGTCAGCGACAAATAATGTTGACAGCGGTCAGACTTGGCGCTGTCAGGGTCGTTGAGTCCTTTTTGGATAATGGCATGGATCCAAATTTTCCCATATCAGACGGACATACGCCCTGCACATTTCTTAGTGCTGCTACAAACATACAGATTGTTAAGATGCTTCTGAAAGCCGGGGCAGATGTCAATGCGCAATATGGCGTTCTTTCAAGCACTACCGCTGTACGTGAAGCAGTCGGCAGAGGAAACCTTGAGTTAGCACAAATTCTCCTTGATGAAGGGGCCTGTTTTGATCCTAACTTGAGAGCGAGGGACATAACAAGAGTGGGGCGCGAAATGTCGTTCCTTTTTCTTGCTGTAGAAAGAAACAACGTTGGAATGGTCAGATTTCTACTTCGGCGTGGGGCAATCCTCACTAACCATGAAATCGGTTGTGTCATTTCTGACGGTAGATGCTCAATGGACATTATGGAGTATTGTTATTCTGCGGACTTTAATCCATCAGAGCTACAATACGCCGCACGGAATGGTTTAACAGAGATTGTGTCTGCCATAACCGAGACTGCTACCGGAAAACTAGCTTTGCAGACAGGCATTTGCAGATGGGCTCCACTTAGAGATGCTGCTAAGGCGGGCCACGTTGATATCGTCCAGCTCTTGATTGCGGCAGGTGCGGATGTCAATGCTAGCTTCTCGCTGTCTGAGATAGCTGACAAGGACGTGTTGAACCACGTGTGGAAAAGTCGTATAGGCGCTCCGCCTGCGGTTGCGGGGTTTTCTTGCTTTCCTTCCACAGCCCTAGCTGCCGCTATCGAGGGTGACCATATCGAGATCGTTCGAATTTTACTTTCAAAATCTGTCCTCATTAACGCACCCGTTATTTCGGAGTATGGGACAAATGCGCTAGAAATAGCCACTCGTCTGGGTAGCAGCGAGATCTGCCTCCTGCTCAGGGACAATGGAGCATGCTCTTGCCCAGCAAGATTGAGTCGAAGCCATTATATCTTCGAGATTGCCCTTGCACTTATAAGAGGCGATAGTAAAAAGGTGAAGAGATTGCTCTTTGAAGGAGTTGATCTTCCACATATCCTCGACTTCTTTCCCGACTTGGAGAACGAAGTTTACTTTGGCTACCGAGAACATGGTAATAACGCACGAATGTCTTGCCTTGCCAGATCCGTACTCCGTATATTCTTAGAGCTTTCAGGGGAGAACATCAATCAAAGAGGTCCAGTTTGCAATCATTCTGCCCTAGAAATCGCGCTGGCATATAATCAGGTCGAATTAGCGAAGCAATTAATATCTCAAGGCTGCGAAGTCAACATGAGGCACTGCGATTATAATTCACCAACAGCTCTTCAAATCGCTGTTATCAAAGGACAATTTGACATGGCTCAATTGTTGCTGAATCGTGGCGCAAACATTAATACTGGTGACGGTTCTGAGTTTGGCACGGCTCTTCTACTAGCTGTGAAGGGGGACCAATGGAGTAGAGAAGAGCATGAAACTACTGCTCTAATTCGGCTTTTGCTGGCTAGAGGAGCGAACGTGAACGCCCGTAACTGCTATATTACAGTCTTGGAAAGTGCTATCTGTGAAGGGAAAAGCTTGGAAGTAATTCAGCTTCTGGTCGAAAAGGGGACAGACATCAATACACCTGCTGCAGGGGGTGTGTTTGGAACAGCCCTTCAGTGGGCAACGTCCCGCCAACATCCCAATCTAGCAGTCATCAACTATCTGTTGAAGAATGGAGCAGACGTAAATGCCACGTCCACTGATTTGCCTTGGTGTACAGCAATACAAGGTGCAGCATTTAGAGGATACCTTAACATAACCCATCTTCTTCTTGAACATGGTGCAGATCCTAACGCTGCGGCCTCAGCAAACTTTGGACGTACAGCTCTTGAAGGTGCTGCTGAAAATGGTCGACTTGACATGGTCCAACTTCTGTTGAACGCCGGTGCGCAGCCTTCGAAAAGTGCTGTAAAACTCGCTGAGATAGGAAATTTTTGGGTCATTGCAGATATGATTAAGAAAGAAATGACGGCAAAGGCAAATGAAGGAGTATAGTGACATTCAGAACCAGAGTGGAATTCGGATAGTGATTCGGGTAGTGATTCAGACAGTGATTCAGACAGTGATTCCGATGAGAAATCGGACTGAGAATACTATCCGGCCAACCCTCCGAACCCGGAACATTTTCAAGGGCGTAATGCATCTGATTCAACATCTATGCAGCTGGAATCCAAAATTAGTTTTCATTTATGGGGGGCAAACCCTCAGAGTCGCTGCAAAAGCGCCGAAGCGGAAAAGAAACAAGTTCTAGCAAGCATAGTAGTAAGACTGCGTGACGAATCTCCAAGCCTCAAGCGTCCAACAAGAATGAATATCTGACTCGAGTGTTCGAACTTCGATCTGAAAGTCTCTTTCATTAGTTCAAATATCGAGAGAACCTGGAATGGTTCTCTTGCCATTTTAGTTGGGATATGGTATTCAGTTGATTTGACTTATGGTGATTTGTTTAGTTGGCGAACGCTCGCCGGGCAGATTCTTGGTGGAGTGTAGTTATGTGAAATAGACAATTGGTTTACAGAACATTATTAAAATCATGGTGTTCAGCTTTCTTCATTTCTCGCCTTCTTCTCTTTAATTTCTATATTCCTGTCGCAGTTACTATAAAAAGCTCGTCCCGATTTACACTGGTAAAAAGCATCTCTACTTTAGAAACAGTATATCGTTGACAGTACCACAAATATAACAAAGGTTTACATTGTTAACATATTTGCCTTATTCTCTATTTTCAAGCCTTCCCCAACTCAAGTATAAATTAGTAAAGCCGCTTAGTTACTAAATCACCGAAGCTTTTAACCTCAGCCTCTTTGGGATCCTCCTGCCTAAGGATATCTAAAGCTCACAAAAGAAGACATAGAATATAAGATATCGTGTCAGCTCAAGAAGGCTTCCTCCACCAAAACTCCTCTGAGTTGCGCAGGTCATTTGTGACATATTAGTGTGAACGCTTCCGGCTCAAGATTTCGAATACGATGTAGATTGTCTCGATATTCTTATATTACTAGAGATGGGTTTTATTGGGTTTAAGAGTGACGGAGTCTAGGATGCGAAATGGAGTATAGTTTGACAGAGAGGTGAGGAGGTTGGAGGTTAGTGGTTGTTTTATCAATGTACTAGTAAAAGTTATTCAGACAATCTTAGCTGTGTATAGATTTAATAAATTGTTATTGATGATTGATGATTGAGCCCAGACATAGTTAATCAAACTCAAATCGGTAGACAACTGAATAGGTATATTCCTCCCAACACCAAACTCCTAACACCAACACAAAGCCAAAACCAACTCCATACTCCTGAAATCACCACCTCCATCACCAACCCCCCCTAATAATCTGCACCCTCTCCACCTCCTCACACCCCCACTCACTCTTCTTAACCCACAACTCATCCCTATGCCCCTCAACCTCAACCCACTTCCCACTCCACCCGCGCTCCATCCACCCCCTCTTCTCCCTCGCATCCTCCCACTCCTCACAAACCCAACACCAGTTCCGACCTATCCTCTCATACTCCTCCTGTTCCGCCTTCCCGCAATCCTCTCTCGTGATCCGATCCACCTCTCGCCACGCCCTGTCATTCAAAACCCGCCCTAGCAACCCGCCCATCACGCCTTCCATTCTGTCATGCCCCATTACTACGGCGTCTAACCACCGTTCAACCCTTGCTCGGGAGCGCTTCTCGTCTTTGACCGTCCAGAGCGGACGTTCGGGGTCGTAGATGATTTTCAAACCGTCGGGATCCGTAGGGTCGTAAGGGTGCGCGCATACGTCCCAGGAAGGTAGTTTCGCGGCTCGAGCGCGCGCGAGGGCTATGGGGTTGATTGTTGAGGTTGAGGAGGTGGATTCTGCTTTATGGTTTGTAGTTATGGCGTTAGGCGGTGATGTTGGGGATGGTAGGATCCCGGTTTCTGGTACGGTTGTAGTTGTCATATGTTGAGTTGTCGTTGTTGTAATATCTGGTTCGGACGGGGGTGTGGTTGTGATCTCTGTCCAAGGTAAAGGTGTGACATCTTGAGTGCTCGCGGTTGGGCTTTCTGGTTCGATTGCAGACGTAGCCCATTGAGCAATCGCAGGGATAATGTCCGGCTTCTCGGTTTCATATCCTCTAAGGACATCGAATTTGTCTATCATAAAATCGTCAGCACTTGTTGTCTCTTCTATATCACGTAATTCCAAATCTCAGCCGTTCTTCTAAATGTGATGCTCAGACGACTCTCAGCTGCCCAGGATCCGAAGGAGCACACAGCACCGAGAGGCAATAAGCGGCATCGAAAAGAACAAAGTAAAGAGAGTGTGAAGACTTACTTGAAATCGGGATTATGATCTCGTTATCCATTGTTTTTCGCAGTCCTTAAATATAGCTTCTTCTTCCAAATAATGATGAGCGCCCAACACTCGTCCAGTAAATCGCAAAAGGGTATCCAAAAGCAGTAAAGCAGATGCGCCAATAATCAAGCGACAATACGAAATGACGAGTATGTATCCGTGAATTAATCAAGCGAGTAAAGAAAATATATGTTTCTGAATGGCGGTTAAAAGATTAAGAGAATGAATAAAATTATCCAAAAAATGTGTGCTTTTAAAAAGAAAATCATTTCAGGTCCGTCATAAATTGTGACGATAGGATCCAAGACTTGCGGAAGACTTTGCTGAAACGGTGCGGTTTAGACTCGTACCAATGGGAAAAAATGACATCTGCGATGACTAGAACGGAAAGGGAGCACATGACCTCAAACTTCTAGAAGTAGAGAGAAACATGAGGATGCGCAAGTTTTGAGTAGTAATTGCAAGGGAGGGGGAATGCAGGATAATACATTCATGGACATATTGATAATAATGAACTGAATAACAAAAACGCGCTGCGCTTCAGCAAATGTTAAAAGATATCCAGACAGGCAAAGCACACTAAGGGTACAAAATGACATCAGTAAACAGAAGAAAGCTAACAAAAAATATAAGACATGTAAATTTAACAATTATAAAATCAGGATAACCTATAAGATGGTTGTAGTACCTATAAGAGGTTAATAGAAATATGATAATGATAAACTGAATAGAAACAAACTCGCTGCGCTAGGGGGAATAACAAAAGATACCTAAAACGAGCAAAGTATAACAGGGACAACTAAGAGAAACGAGCAGAGGGAAACATGACCATGCAAATATAGCTAGGAAGATAATATAGCAACGCGACACTCCACAATTTTCGAATAATGATAGTTGTGCAAGAAGATAAACGGAGTATGCGAATAACAGACTAAATGGCAATATAAACGCTGTAGTGCGGAATAATGAAAGATACACAACAATCCATGAATTCGAGTAATAGCTGTCGTGAGTGCAGAAGTGCAAAATAGCAATTGATGAAAATAGGCTCGCCGCACCCAAGAGCATATTTGCAGACGCAGAAAAGAGACACTCACATACCACTGTACCACACAAACAAAAAAGTCCACTCCAATCCAATAATTCACACTCAAAAAAATCGTGGTTCTTGTTGAAAATATCCACCCACCCAAAATACGCTGTCCCCTAAACCCCAAACTCCAATGCATGCCACAAACACATCACACACACTTAACCTTCCTTCCCGCCCACAGTCTATTCCCATGGCAAAGAGAACGTCCCAACCCACTCCTCAACCTCACTCCTCAACTGCACAATCTCGCGCTCATGTTCGCCCTCCCCAAGGTACTCCAGGAACGCCTTCACACTCGCTGGATTCTTGCGTCCCTTCGATTCCGCAGATTCTCGCGCGGTTTTGGAGAGACGTTGCGTGATGGTGACGGCGCGGTTTACGACGTCTGCGACACGGACGAAATCTTCGGGTTGGAAACCGCGGGTGGTCATGGCTGGAGTGCCCATTCGAAGACCACCGGGTTTCAAGGCGGATTTGTCGCCTGGGACGGTGTTCTTGTTGCTTGCGACTCCGACGAGCTCGAGGACGCGCTCGACTCTGGCGCCATCTACGCCTTGGGGTTTAAGGTCGACGAGAACCAGGTGGTTATCGGTACCTCCAGATACGATTGTATAGCCAAGACCACCAGATTCCTTTGAGTCTCCCAGTCGTTTCGCAAAGGATTTGGCATTGGCTAGAACGGCTTCTTGGTATGCTCTAAACTCAGTGCTCTGAGCTTGCTTTAGTGCAACGGCAAGAGCTGTGATTGTATGATTATGTGGTCCACCTTGATGTCCCGGGAACACCGACGCATTAATAGGATTCTCCAAATCCCAAATCTCTTCCTTCTTCGTCTTTGGGTCAACTCTTCTAACACCCCTTCGGAAGAAAATCATAGCACCTCTTGGCCCTCGCAATGATTTATGTGTGGTAGTAGTAACGACATCTGCGAAATCGAATGGTGAAGGAATGACTTTGGCGGCGACCAAGCCAGAAATATGTGCCATATCTGCCAACAAGTATGCCCCAACTTTATCCGCAACCTGGCGGAACTTGCTGTAGTCGATTAGTCTGCTGTACGCAGAGGTCCCTGCGATAATAAGCTTCGGTCTGTATAACATTGCCATTTCCTCCAGCTTGACATAATCAATCAATCCAGTCGATTCGTCCAGTCGGTACGGTAGAGTCTCGAAGTACTTTGAAATCGCCGAGATCTTCTTGGTAGGAGTTTGGTATCCATGTGAAAGATGTCCACCATGTGGTAAGTCCAACCCCATTATTCGATCGTGTGTATTAAGGAGAGCAGAATATGCGTAAAGGTTCGCGGGCGATCCGGACAAAGCTATTATCGTCAGTATCGGTCAAGGTGGTAGATGAACGAACGTACGCTGTACATTAACCCCCCAATCCGTATCCTTCAATCCAAAAGTCTGCAGAGCTCTAGACTGACACAACCTCTCTGATTGATCAATAAACTCATTTCCGCCATAATATCTCGCTCCTGGATATCCTTCCGAGTATTTATCTGCGAAGTTGATCAGTCCCGCCACTCTTCCCCAGCTCTACATTCTCAGCTTACTTTGCATAACACTCCCTAAAGCATCTAGAACTCCTTGCGATGTGAAGTTTTCGGAGGGGATAAGATTAATGAAGTGCTTTTGTCTATGTTTTTCCTGCGATATAGGTCAGCCGCATGTCCATACCAAATAGCCTAGCTACTCACCTTTTGAAGAATATCATAAACAGCTGGATCTGCATGCTCCAAATCCGCAGATAAAAGCTATAACACGTATATTAGCCATCTACCCATATCTGCCACAAGATTTCCCTACATGTCTCTGCGATTCCGCCGTCATGGACGACGCCGACCGCCTCGAACAACATATCGGCGCAATCCTCCTCGCACCACCTCTCAAAGCAAGCCTCGAAGCTCCCTTTAACATCGACATCGCAATCTAATTCAATCAGCTTCGGATGCCGAGTAAATTGATGCGATTGACCTGACCGTTCTGTGCTGCGATATTTACTGACGTCGGCCGAATCGAGTACATAGAGTCATCTTCTCCAGGTCTTGGAATTTCCCCGCCACAAGAATTATCGGCGCTCTATCCCGATAACCGGTTCACCTACCAAATATTTATGAATCAATATCGGCTTTCAGGCCCTATTCTGATAATCATTAGTAAAGCTGTGTGAACTTAAATACTATAGTTATACTACTCTGAATTCATATTACTATATAAAAGCTATATATAGTGCTGTTATTCAATATAAAGTTCACCGGCCTGAAGATATGCAAACAGCGGGGTAGTATTAAGTCTATGATCGACCTAGGATTGTACTAACGAATTGTTATTTGGTTAAATGATCGCGTGCGATGAAAACGTGTTCTACAGAATATATTATGGGCTTCTGATAATCACTTCAGAGCAAAGTATTCTTTTGGCGTACTTGAAGTTCTGGGGCGAGAATGACCAAAGGACGTCTTAGCAATTTCATAAACAGCATTTCATCACCACCTGCACCAAGTCCAATCACCATTTATACACATTGCTTCATTTCATTTGGAGATCATGATACCATTGACCGTGAAATAATGCAAGAAAAGACCAGTAAAAGCAACCGGCCTAAATTTAAGACCTTGCCAAACACGCCGTATGCTACCAACACAAAAGCTTGCCCTTTACTTCTCGGTCTCCTCTTCCTCTCCAAACTGTGCCTTGTGCTTTGCCTCTGCTCTCTCCAACTTTCTCTCACGGGCGGCCTTGGTCTTGATACGCTTAGCATCCATAGCCTCCTTCTCGTTCCTCTCGCGTGCCTTCTCAGCCTTGGCCCTGTGGATCTAAGTCGAAATCAGTATCTATAATATTTACCATCCAATTTGAAAACATACGTGCTCGACTAATGCTCGCTTGTGCTTGAAGGTGTTACCCTTGGAGAGGTGGTAGAGTTCGTGGTAAAGGTGTTTATCGATTTTGCCACTCGCACGGTACTTGACTAGGAGACGGCGGAGGACACGAAGACGGCGCATCCAAACGACCTGGCTACAAAGAGAGTCAGCACCAGTCCCTAAATCCGACATCTCCTCCTCTTTCAAATGCATACCTTGGCATACGGGCGTCCGCTGTACCCTTCCTCTTACCGAAACCACGGTGTCTACCAATTCGTCGTGCGGCTGTGAGTTCGCGAGCGCGGGATCGGGAGTGCATGGTGACTGGCTTGCGGATGATGAGGCCATCAGCGACGAGCTTTCGGATGGTTTGGCGGGAGTTGGCATTTGAGATTTCGCTGGTCTCATTAGGATCGAGCCAAATCTTGCGCTTTCCGCAGCCTACAACAGAGGCTGCAAGCCGCTTCTGGGTGGTGAGGTTGACCCTACAAGAAGGATGATTAGCATTCTGGGTTGATTTGTTTTCTTGCCCTCCAGATCTTCGGGTTGCGAGACGTGAGAAAATCCATGACGCTATCCGCCACTCAAGAACGGAATCGAACAAGCGATTGAATTCGACGGCAAGATCAAAATGGGTATCGGTGGAAATATATGCTTACATCTTGACGGATTCCGCTGGTCGTGATGGGTTTTTTGTCGTGAGTTGTCGATGCCGTGGGATTGAATTCGTGTATCGATTGAGGAGAGGTTGTTAGCGTCTGAAATGTCAGCACGGACCATCTTAGCCAGAATTTTGAATTCGACATTGTGGGAGGACTTGAATCAGAGCGTCGGCTAGAAGCCAATCGGGATGAACACGGAGCGTAACATCCGAGGTCCGACTCCATTATGGAATCGACATACAAGCAATTCACAATGGTATTTAAGTACGGAGGCTTATTTTTAACATAGACATTTCTCAATGATCAATTACATATCCAGACTCAGCCATATAGAATCTTTGTGTTATAGTATCAGGCCTACCCGTGCTCAGTTCTATAAAAAGAGCAAGACAGACATGTGTAGAAGAATCAAAATGAAGAAATGTCCCTCTCACATAAATTTCCTATGCACAATATCGACTCTTCATTTTACATAAACTTTTGTCTCCTAGACTAACCGCTCCCCATTTTTGATCCGCCGAAGAAACCACCAAATGCACATCATGATCATATCGTCATTCAGTCATCAAATACACCCTCTCCCAAATCCACCTTCCCGATGCTCTGGATCTCTTTCTCATCATCAATCTCATCATTGGACAATCCTAGTCCACCCTGTCCACCCTCTGCCTCTCTTCTCTCTCTCGCCGTATTTCCAAGTCTTAAGGCCACCCTCTTAAAGTAATCTTGCATACTCCTCTTCTGAGCTGCCGGCAATTCTTGCGTGGATATGTACTTGTCAAAGACCTTGCTCTCCTCGTCGACGACATTGAATAGCGCCATGAACGCGGCTTCTGCGGCCAGCTTAATGGGGATAACCATATCTCGGACACTAGCAAATATTGGAAGCGCGAGCATAGGAAGGTGTGGTCTGACAAGATCCATGTGGTGACGGCAAGCAGTACGAACGACCACAAGTGCAAGACGACGTGTGTCAACAGAAGCACCGGGTTGAATAAGCTTAGCGAGCGCTTCAAAAAGTGGTTTGATTGTTTCGAAATCTACGCTTCGTCCGTCAGAGAGAAGGTATTTACCAGCGGCCAAGACACAGTTGTCAGAGATGAAGTTCTAAAAAAGAATTATTAGCATTCGTAAGAAAACACTCGTGTAATTTCAACGTACATTTTTACTCAACATGCCCTGACAGATGACTTTTGGCAAATCATCTGCAAAGGCACTATCCGTCAGAGACGTTGGCGACTCATGCAAGACAGCATTGAGGGCAAGCACAGATGATTGACTGAAATGCGTCGTCATGACCCGGTTCTTGATAAGTCCTGCAGCGTTCTCGGCGGGGACATTCTTGATTAAAGCACCAAGAAGTTTTGCATAGGTGATAGACATTGCCACATCGTTCTCTTCTGAATCTGTGTCAATCAATCCTAATACTGCGCTCCTCGAAGCTTCACCCATGTTAGCCCCTGCCTTGCTGATGACTTCATACAAAGCTTTCAACATTGCATTGCGGACCCCAGTATCAGATGTCCTTGAACCGGTGACTAGCTCAGCAATCAGAGGGTCAATTCTTGGAGTCAACGTAATCAATGTACCCAAAGCTTTTGCTGCGCGACTTCTTAAGACCTCGCTTGAAGTGTCCGCTAAGGATTTGGCAAAAGTGCGTTGAAGTTGCGGAAGGAAAGGCTTCAAGAAAGTTGGTATTTTCTCAAGTAGGTTGTTCAGCGTGAGTAGGATGGCGGCCTTGACTTCAACAGATCTTTCGGAAACAACACGGATAAGGGGTCCCGTAATCTGTGTAACAAAAGGCTTGAGAGAGTCGCCACTGGTACGATCAACGATATCAGATATTGCGAGAGCTGCCTGGGTTCTCTGTTCGGCGGTACCATTCATAAGACCCTGAAGAAATATTGGCAAAATGGCATTGATACCCTTTGGTAGTCCAAAGCCAGGCAGGTTCGCGCCAGCCACACCAACATGCTGGAGCGTTTGGCGTGTCGAGTAAACCAAAGACTCCATCTCCTCCTTCTTCAGACGTTTTGTAAACTCGGTAAGCGCCGTCCAGGCAGCCTTGACAACTTCAGGGTCCCTGTCATCGAACGACATTAGGAGAGCTCTGATAATTTCTTGGTTGTAACGAGAATAATCGACTGTCGAAACAGCGAAGAACTTTGCAAGGTGGTAGTCCACGGCAGCTCGTCTACGATGGTCGTCATGTTTAACCAAAGCGAGAAGAACGCTCATGGCAGTGTTCAGACCATCGAATTCATCTATAGAAAGCACAACGGTATCAAACGATGAATCGAGATCAGCCCGTAACTCGTCGTCTTTGCAAGATATGATGTTGTCCATGAGTGAATTGAGGATATTAGGTAATCTTCGTGTAATAGAAGAGCCTGCGACAGTAGAAAGTGAAGCCAATGCCTTGGCGTTGAAGGATGAAATAGGCGAGGCGGTAAGAGTCGGTATAAGGTTAGGTAGAATGATGTTGGATCTTGTAGTTTCGGTAAGCAAAGTGAGTAGAGCTGACAGTGCATTGTCTGCTTGGTCTTCTGTTCTGAGAAGATTGAGAAGATAGGGTAGCACCTGGTCAACTGCCCGTTTCCCAAGAATTTGTTGAAGAGAATCGAAGGCTTCCGCAGCTGCCTCCCGCACGTCTTCGTCAGAGTCGATAAGAGCCACACGGACAACCGAGATCAAAGTCTTTTCGTGATCTTCCAAAGCATCGGGCGATGCTGAAGAAATGAGTTCTTTCAGTGCTATACAGATACCTTGCTTGGCATCTGTGTCCGTAGAAGTTTGTAACCCTTCTTCAAGTGTTGGTAGTAAGGTCGACAAAACACCATCACCAGCTTTTCGGATGAGTTCACCGAGTGCGTTACCAGCAATAACCTTTTGTTCCATGTTTGAGCTACCCAGCCGCCTGATAATAAGTTGGGTAAGAGTTGGAATAAGCTCTTTGAGAGTCTTAGGACTAGCAACCAATGCCTTCCAAACATTGACGGCCGCGGTGCGAACGAGACCAGAGGTATCGCATCGGCAAATGTACAACGAGGAGAGCACCTTATTCCGCTTCTCTTCTCCAAGAACTTCCAGTAGTGATGCGCCAGCCTCTTGTGCACCCTCCTCGACCTCATCTTGCTCAGTGTTGGCAGAGATACCGGTAAGATTGAACAACAAATCACCAACCAACTCGACCGAACTTAGACGAATTCTATAACTATCATCCGCCAAACCGCGTTCAAGTTCTGGCAGCAGAAGATCAATAGCTTTTGTCGCAAAGTTCTTGACAAGGAGGCGACCTGCCCTGAGGGATGTGTCACGGATGGACTCAACATCGTCAGCCAGACCAGACAAAATTGGTGGAATAATCTTGCTAAGGTAATTGGCGAAACTGTTACCAAAGCAAACGGGCAAGAAGATGAACAATGACATGAATCCCTCGCGGACTGCGGCCTTGTTCGATGCCACATTCTGTAAGATTGTTGGAAGTGTCTCCTCGAGGCGTACCGTGCCCAGGCCAGCAAGAACTTCGCTGAGCGCTTGGGCTGAACCAAGTCTGTCTCCAGCACCAGTATCTGACTTCAACGTCTGCATCAATCCCGGAATAAGATCTGGGAGAGCGTCTTCTCCCAATTTCTCGATAAGAGACCCAAGAGCTTTCGACGCTGTCGCACGGGTTGTTGGAACCGGGTCCACAACTGCAATTTTGAGGCCAGCAACCAAGATGGGTAAATGTGAAACCAAATCTTTTCGCTCCGTCAAGTGTGCAAGACTACCGATGACCTGAGCAGACTTACGCTTCGTTGCGGATCGATCTCCCAGTCCTCGCTCTAGAATACGAGCAACAAGGGCGAGTGAAGGCGCGTCAAGATAATGAACGAACTGAACCTTGATAAGCGAGTCCAGCGCATTGTCGGTGTACTTTGTAGGGTCACTCAATGCTTTGAGAAGCACGTCCACGAGACTCTTGATTTCGGGGTTGCTAATGACTTCACCGAAACGCTTCAAGCTTCGATTTGCTGCTAAGCGGACCTCTTTATGACTGTCGTTCAAGACACCAGTAAGAGGAGGAATGATTTCAGGCAAGCTTTGCGCCAGTTGTTGAGGGTCGAGGTACGCCATAGCACCGAGCAAATCGCATGCACCCTTTTTGCTCCTCCATTGCTGGTCATCTAATCCGTCGAGCAGGGTCGGTAGGATCTTCTTGACTCCATAAGAACTCAGCCGCGCAAAGCATGCCTTTGCAGCTGCAAGACAGCCTTCTCGTACATCGGCGCTGGCATCACCAAAACTTGAAAGTAGTTGAGGCACAATCTGAATAACATATGGTTCAAATATTCGCCCAAGAATGGTCGCGAGAAGTTCATAGGCAAGCAAAGCTCCTTCGCGATGATTCACGTCCTTTTTATTCTCTTGAGCTCCATTCAAAGTAGTCATAATGCGGAATTCCCTCAATGCATATATACCCTTGCCGTTGACTATTCCAGCAAGTCCATAGGCAGCACCACGACGAGCTGCGTATTTCTTCGAATTGAGCAACTTGTCCATGACTTGAGATATGTATTCCCGGGTGTTGTCGCTTGAAGCCCGCACAAGTGGTGGCAAGCACTCGGCAACAGCGTATTGTACAGACTCTGAAGGTGTGCTGAGTGTTTCCAGCAACCGGTTGACGACCTTCGGTACACGGGGATCACCAGCATCCAGATGTCGCGCTAGGGCACCGTACATGATGATAACGGCCTCGTTCACACGGTCACCAAATTCTGAACCCTTATCAGGTGCTTCAAGAGTGTTCTCAAAGGTCTGCATCAAGTCCTCAACCTTATCTCTACCGTGCATCGCGATAATCGTGGTAGCGGCCTCGACCATTTCTTCCCTGACATTCGGATCTCGATCTCCCAGTGGACCTTTATCAATAAGGAATCGTAAAAAGGAATCCAGGAACCTGTCCTCAAAGACGGATCCAAGTTCTTTGAAGGCAATGGCAATACCATTTCTGGCTTCCCATGGATCAGAAATATCCGTCTTTTTGGGCATACCATACTCATCAAGTTGAGGTACTCGTGGTTTTGCAAGCTCCTGATAGGAAGTCTCTAGTTGCTCAATGACGGCCTCAAGCGTCGCTGGATAAGTCTTAACAGCTTCCGCAATAGATTTAGCAGCTGCTCTCCGAAGTTGCTTGTCTTTGCTATAAAGGTAAGACAACATCTTGAATGGCGTCTCATCGGTAATCTTGAAACCACTTTCTTCCCAAATCTCTCGACCAAGTTCCACGTTCTCTTCCACATCATCATGGCAAGCCAGCCACATCTCTTCCGAGAACTCAAGCTCGCTCATATCAATTTCGGCACTAATACACTGGAGAACTGACGTCCTAACAGAGACTTGGGGAACTATTGAGCCACGAGCAAGGATAGCAATCTCAGGATCGCTTATGTTCGGGGCAATACATCTACTGAGATCGGAAAGACAATCCTTAATTATTTTGTAATGTTGGTTATATTTTTGCATTGCAAAAATCAGTGCCGACAGGATTTCTTGACGTGGCACATACTCATCCGAAGCCGCGTCGGTGTGAAATGTAAGGAATTCCAATGCAAGAACAATCTGAGCCTCAGCATCGTCCGAATCGCCAAAACCTGCGTTTTCTAGCACAAGGAAAACGAGTGGAAGAATGTACGTTAAAGAAACCGTATCAAAAGGCCGCTGTTCTCCAGAAAATCGGAGCCGATATAGAACTCTAGTAATGAGGGGCCCGAGTGGCTCTTGAAGCAGCTGCTCATCCAAGTGTGGAACCTCAAGCGCTCTCAAGGTAGCAATGCCTATAAATGGTCGTAATACACCAATGCGGGCAGCTAGTGTTTCCGAGCAAGAGGTATATGCATCAGGCGCAGCATTTCCAGTAATTAAACCAGCACCAGCGTTTATGACGTCCACAAGGGCTTTCACGGCCGGACCAATCCACAAGCGAGCTTCCGTTGGTGGTCCCGTGGCGAGACTGTGGATGATACCAATACCACGTAGGAGTCGAGCTTCAACAAATCGGAGGTTAAGTCTGATCTCTTGCTCTTTCTTGAGCTGGGCTTTAACTTTAGCCGATTCTTCGGGCGTTAGTTTCTTTTGTTGGCCTTTCTTCTGTGCAAGTTGGGCTCTCAATTCTTCTTCCCACTTAATCGTATCGTAATCTTTGGTGTTTTTGTTTGGGACATAACTTTGTGACTTTGAGGCAAGCACGTCAACAAACGCTGTTCCTTCCTCCGTTCGGAATATCGCAGCTTCAGTTGGAGTAACTCCTGCCAGTTGCGAGGAGTCTAGATCTTTCTGGATCAAGTCAACGAGACGAGGCGTCACTACATCGGGGGCAACAAAGGCAAGCTCGGCGGCGGCATTGTAAGCCGCCTTTTTCACAGATTCCGAACGTTGAGATGAAGCCTAGTCACAATGTTAGCTCTTCAGTCATACAATTAAGGGCCTCCACTAACATTCTCGGTAAAGCTTGTGCATTCAAGTATCTGTTGCATCAGAGCGTCTCCAAAGTCGCGTGCTAAGGCACCGGGGTCTACCTCTACTCTAAGACACAAATCTATCCAGCTCATTTGGGGCAGCAACTCTTGACGGGATAAGATCAGCAGGGCAACCATTTGCTCTTGTCGAATTAACTTGTCTACAGAGCCACCCAGGCGGGTAGCATCTGCCGGCGGCAAGCATATCGATTTAACGACTAGTCGCAGATTTTGGGATTCTGTTTTTGCCGCTGCCGATGCGCTGTCTTTATCTTCCTGCTCAACAGATCGTTGCCAATGCCAAAGGCCAGCAATAATGATCTTCGATATCTCTGCTGGAGCTTGAAGATATATCTCCGAAAGAGATAGAGAAGCATCCTTTCGAACAGCAGGAGGTACAGTAGATGAGCAAATACTAAATATGACTGCTTGAGACCATGCTATAGCACTTGCGGAGTTTGGCTCCATTGATGAGCACTCTGAAGTTAGAGAGGAAAGCGCTCTAATGAACCACTTGTAATCATCATCGTTCGAAAGTTTCCCATAGATGCGGTGGTTAAACAGGAAGGAAGGTTTCGGTTCCATTGCCAACGCTTGACGAGCAATTTGCGATTTTTTTAATGCTGTCTCAACCTTGGGGCTAGAGGTAGCACCCAGCTTTGATCGCGATATCGCTGTAAAGACATAAGCAGCTGTTACGAGACCGGACTGAGCGGCCGAAATAGGATTGTTGACTGTCTCCTGTAAAATGTCGAGCAAAGGCGGGGTGATAGCCTCCGCGAGACCCGTAAGCTTCGACTGCAAGACTCCTTGGTCTTTGATGCTCCAAAATAATTCGCCTAGCCTGACTACCCATAGCTTCTTGACTGGCACTTTCTTGTCCGAAATGCCCTTCACGAAAGCATCGACTGCTGGCTTTGGCATTTCTAGCCCATTGAATAAGCCCCACTGGAGGTAATGGAGAAATGTAAGGGTCTGGGCATTAAGTGCGGCTTCGTTGGCTTCCTTTGCAGAGCAAGCAGCAATCGCTGGGGTAACTAAAGAAGCAGTCTCTTGTGAAACAGGAAGCGCAGAGAGCATATCAGCATGACTAGACCTCTGATCTGCAGATGGTAACTTCCCAGACTTCAAAGGGGTTAAAATCTCCCCAGCAATTTTAGTCACAATCTCTGTATCGTTACATTTAAGAACGATTTCCTTGAACGTTGAAAGAGCCCCTTGTCGAATGGCGGCATTCGTGGACTTGATATTAGACAGGATAGGTTTCAGCAATCTGGTCTGAAGGATATCTGAAAGATCTATCGACTCAGGTAGCGAGTGGAAGAAAGGTTCGATGAGTCCATTAAGCACAATCTCAGGCGATCTGAGAAGCGCTTTCTCAAGAGGAGGAATGACCTCTTTCTCGATATCCTCTTTTGTAGTAAACTCTTCGAAAAAATCTTTGAGCCCGTTTGCCACGTGTGGAGGAACTGTAGTCCGCGATCCTACTACTTCTCTGGTGTAAAAAGAATATATTTCCGACTTGTGGGCGGAGAGGACATCTTTGGCTTCTGGAATTCTGCTGCATACTCCGGCAACTACACCTAACATGACACAAGTTCTAGTTGAAGGCTGAGCGGCTTTCGCAGTGAGTCTTCGCACAACATCTTCAATCGTACTTTGCCTTGTCTTCTCGTTGGAGAAAACTTTCCTCAACCCACGTCGAGTAACCACCAAAGCGGAATTCTTGACATTAGAGCGCGCCGACTCGCCCAAACATAGGTCCAGGGCCAAGGCATTGCTCACAACCGTATCGAGACCCCATCTATCCCAGCGCTTCGTGCTCGATATCTCTTGAAGAAGTATACTGCATAACTCGACTAGAACAAAAGCATCAACCGGGGGGATCTTGATCTTCGTTGTCTCGGTGTGAAGAAGTTTAACAAAATCTTCCAGTAATTCTGGCGCCGCTCCTGAGCGGAATATGCATCTTACACAACGTTGGACCGCTCTTCTCGAATTTCGATCGTGGTAGTAGGAATAGGTGCGGAAGAAAAGTCGTAGGAGGGAAGGGAAGTGCTTCTCATTTATTTCTAGGACGCGCATATTAGTAAGACTTTCTTGTTCAACAAAGATCCTCCGCTCATAACTAATGCTCACCATTCCCTGACAGTCTCTCCTCCAAGATATGCAGATGTTCCAGGCGCGCTGTCGTAGAAGAAGAATTGAGGGCGGCCTTGGTGACTGCAAAATCCAGGTCCACTCCAGCGGATCCGTTGACTTCCACCTCAGTCATAGTTCGATATGAAGAGACTTCTCATCACAGTCAAATTTCGATTTCGTGGAAATTGTGGCGCCGAGAGGTGTTCTGCTCTTTTTTCGTGAGTCGACGGTGGGCTTCGAACTGGAGGGAAAAGCTCGGTGAATTGGATCATCACTCGCCGACAACAAACAAAACTATTTCGCCGCTTCAAGATTCACAACTTTCCACGCGAATTAATTAAATTACTGGGTTTTCGATATGGCAGGCAAGAAGAAAAAGAAGCCAGCAGCCAACCCAGCTAGAAGTGTTGCGACCACTTCTATCGCGTCGAAATCAAAAGTCGAGGTTCCTGAGGTCGATTCTACCCCTCCAACAGAGGAACCAGATCATGTCGAGCTCCAACAAAACAACACTTCCGCGTCTACGAATGCAGTGACGGGGGCTACTGGTGCGCCGCAGCAAGAGCTGACTCCCGAGGAGTTTGAACGACAGCTTGAAACCTCTGAACTTCAAAATTTGGTAGAAAAGCATGCTCAAAAGTCCAAGAGAGATGCCCTCAGACAGAAAACTCGATTAGAGACGGATCGAAGGGTTCTACGCAGTCAAGCGGAGAGCCTCAATACTAGGAAATGGCTTCCACCAGAGCTCATGGATGAGATTTTGGATTTAGTTATGGCCGAAGGTAGATTCACAGGCGCAACATCCGACATTGCCAACCAAGCCAAACCTGTGTCCGAGGAGGACCTAACGATACGACTGTGGACATTACAACAGGCACTCGTTGGCGCGGGTTTCTTAGACGAAAAGGTTACACTGGCCATGAAATTTGTTTTGGATATAGCGGACAAGATCAGTCTAGGGAATAAGGATGCAATATGGGGAATGGAGGAGGCGTTGGACTGGCTTGCCCGGGCTTGCTCGAGGGAAGAGCTTCCAGATTATGAGCATTCGCGCAGGCTTGGTGCCATGGCTAAATCACAGAATGGTGAGCCTGGCAAACTATTGGCACGTCCTGCAGCATCTGCTAATCTTGTCCGACCTTTTAGCAACCCCAATAGATAGTCCTTTGCCCTCTGGTGCAACAACCCCTCGCATGGAATCCGACACTAGACATTTCGGTCATACCCCAATAAGTGGAAGTACTGTTACCTTAGCAGAGAAGAAGCGCTCCCCTATGAAAAAGGTAGCTGCCATAGAATACGACAGTGACATTGAACCTGAAGACTTCCTCAGAGAATATGTAAATTGTAAGAAAATTGTGTATCTATCACAACTGAATAAGTCGACAAAGCGTCCTCTTCGGCCAAGCGGCCGCAATGGTACCCAGCCACAATCAGTGAAAGAGCCAGCCGATCCAGAGACTGCAAAGGCACTTAGAAAAATCAAGAAGATTGAGAGCGATGTTCTATTTGACCCATACCCAGCTCATCTAGAGTGGGAGAAGGAGCGTATACAGTTGGAGCGAGATGCTGCAAGCCGGCGGCAAGCAGAACAGCTGAGGTCAGAAAGTGTTGATTCTCAGGAGTCTGAGACCTTGGTAGATTCGGATGACGAGATTAGCAAGGAAGCGATCAGAATAGGAGAGGCTTTGCTCGAAGAAACTGGCAGTGATGATGATGCTGCTTTAGCAGATCTATTTGCCAGTCTTCCAGTCGACGAAGTCGACCCTCTTACTGGGAAGAGCATCACAGTTGTGAATGGTAGCGACGGGTCCAAAGTTACCGTTCGAGACTTCGGTAAATGGACAGGTGTAAATCCCACTAGAGTTCTCGAAGAAGCTTGCAGAGCAAGGTATGATTTTAATTCTTATGTTTCTTTCTTTTCGCAGGCATGGCTCACTATTTTCAAGAGATTCTTCTGCTCGACTGAGTTTCAATCTCGTCTCCGATACAGCTTATGCCAATCGCCATGCACTTCGGATCAATTGGTCGAAGTCCCAAGATGTTTCTGCAGCTTCACCACCACCACACATTGAATACACCGCATCTCCTAAGTCGCAAACTTTGGCGATGACGTCTATATCCACGCCAGACGCGAAGCAATCTGAGGCGTATGTTGCAACTGTGGCTTTGTTCTTGATATTCGGTTCTTCAACTCGAGAAGACAAGGTCTCGCTTCGGCTCCCAGCTACTTGGCGAGACTTATGGGCCGAACTTGCTGAAGAGAAGAAAGAAAAGGCAGATACCATCGATCGGGACAGCATTCGCAAGATCCGTGATATGGTACGTGAGAAGAAGGATCAGGAGCTCGAAGATGGCGTATTATTAAAAGGCGCTTTCAAAGGCCGCGGGCCAGCTCGTGTCGTTGAAAACGGTGATGATCAGTCCGGGGAAAAAGGCGCGAGGTCTACTTTGACACCTGATGCCTACCAAAGAATATGGTTTGAAAAATCCAATACCCAAAGTTTCCAGTATATGCTTGTAAGTAGCGCCTCTCCCGGCGAGGGATCAACGCTGACTGCGTCTAGCAATCCCGAATGCAGCTTCCAATGTGGGGTTTCAAAGATAAAGTTCTTTCAACCATTGATCAACAGCAAGTGGTCATTATATGCGGAGAGACGGGCTGGTAAATATCCCATCCAACTTTAAAATTCGATCACAGCTAATACAGCATGACCTACAGCGGTAAAAGTACTCAAGTTCCTGCTTTCATTTTGGAGCATGAGCTATCTAAGGGGAAGCCATGCAAGATTTATTGTACAGAGCCTCGACGTATCTCAGCTATATCACTAGCCAGGCGCGTGAGCGAAGAGTTAGGTGAGAGGAAAAATGACCTTGGGACAGCCCGTTCCCTGATCGGTTATGCAATCCGACTCGAATCAAATACATCAAAGGAGACTCGGCTGGTGTACGCCACAACTGGTATCGTGATGCGTATGTTGGAGGGATCGAACGATCTCAGAGACATCACACATATTGTGCTTGATGAAGTACATGAACGTACAATAGACAGTGACTTTTTGTTGATTGTCCTGCGAAAGCTCATGGTTAAAAGACCGGATCTCAAAGTAGTGTTGATGTCCGCTACAGTTGACGCAGAGCGGTTCTCGAAATATCTTGACGGCGCTCCGGTTCTCAATGTGCCTGGAAGAACTTTCCCTGTGCAAATAAAATACCTCGAAGATGCCGTAGAGCTGACAGGGTACTCTATTGACAATGGCCAGAAAGAGCATCTCACGGAGCTTGACGATGAGGTTGACACCGGAGAAGTTGCGCTTAGTGAAGCAGCAAAGGTTGAAAATACCAAGTCGTTAAGAGGCTATAATTCGAAGACTCGGAATACGATTGCACAGTTCGATGAGTATAGAATTGACTTCGATTTAGTAACACAGTTACTGGCTAAGATTGCCACGGACGAACGATTTGGGATGTACAGTAAAGCAATTCTTGTCTTTCTGCCAGGTATTGGCGAGATTCGGCAGCTTAACGACATGCTAGTGGGCCACCCAGTGTTCGCTGCAAACTGGCAGGTATATCCACTTCATTCTACCATAGCAAGCGAAGACCAGGAGGCCGCTTTTCTGGTTCCTCCACCTGGTGTGAGGAAGATTGTTCTGGCTACCAACATTGCCGAGACTGGTATCACAATTCCAGATGTCACCTGTGTTGTTGACACTGGCAAACATCGAGAAATGAGGTTCGACGAGCGAAGACAACTTTCTAGGCTTCTTGAAACATTCATCAGTAAGGCCAACGCAAAGCAAAGACGAGGCCGAGCAGGAAGAGTTCAGGAGGGGTTGTGCTTCCACCTTTTCACAAAGTATCGACATGACCACTTAATGGCGGACCAGCAAACTCCTGAGCTTCTTCGATTGTCTCTTCAAGACTTGGCCATTCGTGTCAAAATCTGTAAGCTTGGTGGGGTGGAAGAAACTCTTAGTGAAGCTCTGGATCCGCCTTTACCGAAGAACATTCGTCGAGCAGTGGATGCATTGATTGATGTTCGAGCCCTTACTCCTGGTGAAGAGCTTACACCGCTAGGAATACAGCTCGCGAGACTTCCACTCGATGTGTTCTTAGGCAAGCTCATTCTTCTAGGCAGCATTTTCAAGTGTCTAGATGCTGTCATTACCATTGCTGCAATATTATCCTCAAAGTCACCATTCGTTGCGCCTTTTGGGGCCAGAAACCAGGCGGACACTATTCGCCAATCATATCGTCGCGGTAAGTTCCAGCATCCCTCAATACAGCCCGAGAACCTCATCATTGGTGTCTTTTGATGGTCCTGGCATCATTGACTTGAATCATGACTGACAGCCTACTAGGTGATTCCGATCTTCTGACTGTCTACAACGCCTACCTCGCATGGAAAAGGGTCTGTACCAGCAACGGATCTGAGTATCAGTTCTGTAGGAAGAATTTCCTCAGTCAGCAAACGTTGTCAAATATTGAGGATTTGAAAGGCCAGCTCATTGTTTGCCTTGTTGACTCTGGATTTCTACCTCTTACGGAAGCTGAGAGGTCTATATTGAATAAGTGAGTAATGAATCGAGCACCTTGGATTTGTGACTGACTGATCATATAGATCTCGCTATAACACCCGGCGGAGACAATTCTTTGACATTCCCCAGCGCGCAAATGTCAACAGCGACAATGATGTCATCACCACGTCTGTTATCGGCTGGAGCTTCTATCCTAAGCTTCTCGTTCGTGATGGGAAAGGATTCAGGAATTGCGCCAACAACCAAAATATCAGCCTCCATCCCTCCTCTGTCAACAAAGGTCATCACGAACTAAAATGGCTGTCGTATTATCATATCATGCAAGCTAAGCAGTACGCAACCAAACACTCCTCTAATTTCATTAGCTAACGATGATAGATTCTACAATGCCCACGAAACAACATCCATAGAAGAATTCTCCATCGCCCTCCTCTGCGGTGACGTACGCTGCGATGTAATTCTACCCAGCTTCCCTACACTAGACTCTTTCTGACATATTCTCCGCTTAGATGTACGCAGGAGTTTTCATTCTCGACGGCAATCGTGCCCGCTTCGCCGTCTCTGACTGGAAAACCATGCTCGTCATCAAAACACTCCGTTCCAAACTTCGCGATATCATGACGAAATCCTTCAAGAACCCAGGAAAACCACTCACTGGACAGCAAATGCGGTGGATGGAGGTCTGGCAGAAGATTTATACTTTGAAGAGGGAGGGGGAGGACAGGGAGTTGCATAAATAGACAAACATATGTGCCGTGCGGTATATTGGGGGTCTGGGAATGAGGGGAGAAAAAGAAATTATAATAGAGGGTGGATAGCATGCATGGCAGTGGCGAGGCGCTGATGGGTACGTTTGCGTATGGTTATTATGATGGGTTTGGGCGCTGCTGTATTTTACAGAAGGATGGTCTAAGGCACAGTGCACAGCATTGAGCATTAAGCGATGAGAAACAATGGTCAGTCAATGAAAATATCTAAAAATACTACGTAGTCTGGAGGAGATTCCTTTCAGATTATCATCCCCATAAGTCTAATCAATACATCTAGTTCACCTACTCTATTGTCATACTCAAGTCAAAAAAGACAGTTGTTACCACCACGTGTAGCATCCACCACAGGCCATCTCCCGGAGTCCCCCACATCCAAAGCAAGCAGACACTCAAATACAATCACGCCTTCTCATACTCAATAAACTGCTCAACCATATCCACAACACACGTCTTCAAAGACCTAAACTCCATCCCCAACTCCCTCCTAATCTTCCCATTATCCACCACATAAACATCCGGATACTTCTCCCCCACATTCCCCTCCGGCACCACGTCCCTCTTCCCAGGAAACTCCGCTCGAATGACATCGCAAATCTGCTGATACGTGTAGCCCCCCGAGCAAGTGATATACCGCTGACCCGCCGCATCCTCGGACTCGTAGGCCCGAACGTGTGCTTCAGCGAGGTCGCGCACGTCGACGAAGCCGAAGAAACTGGTTTCCGGCACGGAGGAGGAGGTGCCGTTGATGAGACGGTATATGTCTGCTGAGGAGGTGTTGAGTTTATCAAAACCTGGGAAGAGGACGCTGCTGGGTCCATAGACCATTGGTGGGTTGAGGGCTGTGATGGTGAAATTTGGGTTGTGTTCAGCGACGTAGTCGAAGGCTGCTTTTTCGGCGAAGGATTTGGATGCACAGTAGGATACTCCGCCGGGGGTTGAAGGGTTGGCGGCCACGTCGTAGGTGGTGGGGTTCCAGTCTTTTTCGGTGTAAGTGTAGCCTGGACGCGGGCCTTGGAAGATGTCTATGATTGCTGCGAAGGACGAGGTGATCACTACGCGTTTGACGGCTGGGTTGTTCTTTTGCACGGATTTTAACACTTCTAGGGTGCCGTTCACGGCGGGTTCGAGAAGGTCTCGAGCGTTGTCTTCGACTTGCAAGACGAAAGGGGAAGCTGTGTGGATGACCTGCGGGAATCAGTATATTGGATGAAATGCGATGGCAGGCACTTACACCATCGACCCCTTTAACTGCTTCATCATGACCTCCAGGCAGTTGAAGATCTTTCACTATGGCAAATGAAAGTTGATCTAGGTATTTGGCATGAGACTTTTTGATCTTCTCGGCTGATGCTTCGTTGCGAACGGTGGTCTTGACATTGTATCCACGGATGAGAAAGGAGTTGAGGACTTCAGCAGCTACGTATCCAGATCCGCCAGTAACAAGTACGGTCTTTCCGACTCCAGAGTTGATTGATGCCATTGCGACTGGGTTTGCCAGTGAATCGAATACCTTCTTGGAGTGGCTGGTTGGCTTTGTTTGATCAAAGTCTAAGGAGTGATAATGTAGAAAAAAGCGTGAAGATTGAATGCTAACTGAGGAACGAGATGGAGATAGTTCTAGAGTAGTGATATCGAAATGAGGTTGGAGATATTTACTGTTCATGGAAGACAGCTTTTTCATTATATACTTCACTTCATTTCATCAATCGTAACACAAAATTATTCTCCAAATGAATATTGTCATCCTCGGACAACATATTGGACCGTATCAATACACAGTCCGATTAACTTTAGGCGTGAAGTAGTGCGCTGAATCATGCACATGGACATTGTGGAGAGAGATTCCTTGGGACTTGTCAACTTTGCCTCCGTTTTCCTTGGAAACAGCCCATTGTTCCAGGAGATACCTCAACACACGATTTAACTCCTAAAAGCGATAAGATCAGTTGTTGAAAAGGTCGGACTCCGATGAGTTGCGGCTGAGTTTGTAGTCGGAGAAGATATTAGGAGTCGGCGATATGAATATCGGGGATAAGCTCGCCTCGGCTTGTCTTTTTTGAAAACGGGTTTGATTAATCAACATGTAACCAAGGACCGAAAAAGATTGTCTTTTCGCTTTCACCATTTGTTGACTGCCGAAACGATATACTATGCTTGCAGGGATAACCGGTTTGAAAAGTTCGGACAATTAATAGAATCAATGTTGGCTGGCTAGGGCATAACTAGATTCGCAGTCACAAACCCGTCCTTTTCGTATCAGCTTATTTAAACCTTTACCAGCCAGTCAAAGCAATCACAAACTTTATAAAGAAAAAAGAACAAATGGGAGTTGAGTGGGTACCATGGAATTTGAAGGCCTGTATCTGGCTTTTCCAGGTTCTGGTTGGTGGCATATGATAGCATATGATACTGCACATCCGCTCATATTAGGATCTCTAGTCACTCGTCGTCTTTACTTCACAAATGGTTATTCTTACTTCGATGTCATTTCTATCATCATAAAGAACATTTCCTCTGATACTTTTTCAAGTGATATTCCACTAAGCAAGAAAGGAAAGAAATCCTCTCTAAACTATTACTCAAAACTTCTTATTGGATTGAGCTGCTGAATGTACCATTGCTGCCTGTAAACTCTCAGTATCCTATGAAATAAGTTTCTTAGAAATCACATTAACAATACTTTTCAATCGATCCTGCGACTATCTATAATAAATTTAAATTCTTTAGAGAGATATACATTGTTTTTCTTAAATTAAGTTACTACTGTGTCCAATTCATGTCTTTTTCCTAATATAATTAGATCTCAACCAAAATCTTGCTTGATTTAAAGGTTTCTCAATGAATTTCGAAGATATTAAGGGTTGGCGTTTATTATATTATCACTTCTCCTGATACCGATACTTCTATTCTGTAATAAATTCAAGCATTTTGTCCTTCTAAATCATCAAAAACCTAACACTAAGAAATTGTCAATTTCCAGCCTTGGTCAGACAGTAACTTGATTGATTTTCATTAATTTATATGCTTGGGATCACCATCAAAGAACATAAGTATTCAAATACTGATACGGTTGCACTGTGCAATTGTAATACAACGATGACTGTCGAAATTGTGAACTACTTCGTGACCATTTAGTGGTTACCGACCAAAACATTATTTATCTTTTGCAAGCACATTGCAGGTTTCAGAGAGGTTTCTTAAGACGGCTGTCTCAAGTACCTTATCATTTCTGTCTGGAAGTGAAATATTCCACCCCTCCTTCTGAACGCTGTCGAGGCTTTTCAAGTTTAAACTTTGACTTGCAGAGGGATAATGCGTAAAAGCCAACATAACTGTGTAATGTTTGTTCGAAGTATGCTCGTGTTAGACCTATTTTGGAAGCCTCTAAGCTTTATCTTATATCACGGTAGAGGCTCAGTGTTCTGTTAAGTGAAAATTCACGTAGGAAGTTGTTATTTGACCTCACTCTCAATTGACTTTTAATAATACTTACAATCTGGATTATCCTTTCAATGATCCATAGTCAAATTCGGCTTATTTATATCCATTCGTTACATAATGAAATCGAGCTCAAATTACAACTCGTACTACCCTTACATTACGAATCTCTTTTATTTTTTGATATGCGGAAGATGAAGGCGAATGGAGACAGTGTCTGGTTTTATTCTCTAACAAAACCAGGAATTCATTTCAACTTGTGGACTAAATGCGACACACTAAAATCTACTCTCCATAACTAGCCACTATGCTCGAGGACAAGGGGCTTATAGGAAATCAGACTTAAAGGAGATCAGATTTTGAAATCACTAGATCCTCTATACTAAAGTAGCTGTTAATGCAGAAGAGGCCCACGAGCCAACATTCGACGATCAACTCAACAGGAAATACTGAAAGATCACATTTGCAATTGGGTAACGCATATTTGCGATATCATTATTGGTTCATCAGGATCACCCTCCTGTTTTAGGTATCCCTTGTCGATAGTTACGGATTTTCAGGATGAATAGTAGACTTTGACAATAGTAACCTACGTACTGTGACCCAATGTCACAATACTTACGATCTATCAAGCCGCACTCTACAGACAAACCATCAACTCTCTCCTCTCCCCCTTTTCACAAGCCCAACCCTTGGGAATATTCAGAAACCCAACATTCCTCGAACATTCCACCCCCTTCTCCCTCTCACCCAGCGAGTCCTCCCAGCGTCCCGACCCGCAAACATTCCACGGGACTCATTCACCCCAAAAATAAACCTCCCCTCCTCGAAACAAATCCCAGCATAACTTCCACACCACAAACCTAAATCCAACGACCAACACCACCGTCCGAAATAAATAACCCCGTGACTACATTAACCTACTATAACAACACCTGAAAATCCAGGGTTGCGATCACTAATCGTGCTATCCGAATGATAAGAAAAGGCCACCAAACAAACCAAAAACAATCAAAATGTCACGTCACAATCACGCCCATCACTCCATCCCAATCACCCAGAATCACAGCCAACCAATCTCTCCCCCATCAATATAAATATACTACCCAATCAATCCTAGCCCCCCATCCCCATCCCCTGGCCCATCTCCTGAAATTGCAATCTCGCTAAAGCAGCACAATCACGCCACGAACGCCCTGCCTCGGCGGTTAATCTCAGTGTCGTGTGTGTGTCTCATTTCCGATATTTGGGGGGGTTCCTCGTTACCCACACTCGTAGTTGTTGATTTTTTGTGACATGATAAAAATCTACTTTACAAGGTGAATGGAGTTTACTTTGTACACGTTTCTGAAATTTGATGGGAGGACAGGAACAGGAGGACGAAAAAGACCATGCATGCGTGTCCGACGTGCGCAGAAATGACGCCTGTGCTGTCTTTGTATATATATAGTAAAGCGCAATCAATCAAATTCGAATGAAGAACAAACCGTGCTGCGTTGCTAACGAACGCGTAGTCTTCAGCCTAATACCGCACTCCATCCCCATTCACCCGTTAACTTGCCTTGCTAGATCGAAAATCGAAAAAAACTCTTCACAATCTCAAAGGATTCAGGAAGAGGATGCAGGATCAACGTCGCACACCCGTTCCGAAGCCTTAAATTATCGTATCACAGCCAAATGAGACATCGCACGAGAGCAGTTTCAGAACGTCAGAGAAGTCAAATGAATAGAATGTTGTTTGTAGCCGGGCCAAAACTTGGTCTCCAAGCAATGCAGGCTGTCTCTTTTTATCCTCCATATTTGCAAAAAGCTGATGATTCTATTTACATTGATATGAATGAGAAAAGTATCAGAAATCCATGCGCATTGTGCAATTCTATAAGGTATTGCGAGCGTTGAGCAAAACCAATAAACACTCCCAGCCGTAATCATTAATTAAATCTAATTAGCACGAATCGAATGAAGCTGTGACCCCCGAGGGGAGAAGAAAGAAAGATTTTCCAGGTGGAACAAATATGTTGTGCTTGTTATATTCACGACCTCTGACCGAGCAGATCGAAAAACTATTGCCTCCATAAATAACAAAACACTCGATATCCTTCTAAACACAAGACTGAAAAAAGACCGCACACTTTGGGGTATTTGGGAGGATCCTCGCGAATCTCCAACGGAGAACGCTTCTCGACCACACAAGCAATTACAAGAAAAGGATGCCGACCTGCAATCCGAAGGTCCGCATGTCGTAAATTAAGACTCCATAGAGCAATGCAGAACACCGTAAATTAAGCCCAAAGTCCAGTCGCTAATATGTCCCGATCCCCTCTACTCCACAACCGACCGCTTTGTCGACCTTGCCATCATGAATCAACCGGATATCCTGAAGAGATTCGTCGTTTCGTGATGTTTAGATGATTTCGCGAACAGAAGATGATGTAGATTCAACCGCTTACAAGATGTAAGCAGCGAGACCAAGAAGACCAGCAAGGGAAGCTCCGCTGAAAGCGAAGGCCTTGTTTCCGCTTGAGGCAGAGATGGTGGATGGGGTGGCAGATGGTGCTGGGACAACTACACCGGTACCGACAGCTGGAGGAGCGGCAGCTGGGGTGGTGGCAGCTGGAGTGGTACCGTTAGGGTAAACTGGAGCTGGAGATGGAGCAGCACTAGAGAAAAGGTCAGCATGATTGTATGATTGACTGCATTGGAGCAGTGTTGGGGTACCAGGTGTTGCAGTACACTACGCTTGAGGTGGTAACTGGCTTGACGATGGTGCATGGGCAGTTGGTGATGGTCAAGGTGGTGCTCTGATTCACTGTTAGTTGATGTTTTGATTTTGATAGATCGATCTGAGCGGTCCAACGCGTCCAATCTCTTCGACGCGTCTTCCCGTCCAAATCTCCCCGGATTCAAATTCTACTCACGGCAGTGGCAGTGTAGGTGACGCCGTTGAAGGTCAACTCAGTGGAAGCTGGGCAGACGGTGGTGTAGGCAGTGTGGACCTCGGTGGTGTACACAACGGTACCGTTGGTGTATCCAGCGGCGGCGGTGGAGGCTGCGAGAGCAATGACGGCGGCGACGGAGTATTGCATCTTGACGGTTGGTATTATTTACTTGAAAAGTAATTAAGAGGGTGGGAGGATTAGATAGAGGTTGAGATTGGAGATTGGGAGTTTGTTTGGGTGAAACGAATGTAAGTGACTAAAAGTCTGGATGCGATTTGAAAGATGAGTGTGTGGGTGAGGAGGAAAAGGAAGACAACTCGGGAGGACGAGAATCTTTATACAGGAGTGAAAGGGGGTGTCCGTGGGGTGGGCGACTAATCCCAAAGGGGGATAGTTGGCCCTGACCGGTTTATTTATTTGGGTGGGTCTGCTCATTTGGCGGCTGCGGTGCCAGTGCGGTCGATGCGAGCGGACGGGGTCGACGCAGGAACCAACCAATTCCGCCTGGGCCCTGGTCGAGCTTGGTGTCTCCTTTTACTCGATCGTCCAGGGGGGGTGAAGGAGATTTATTCCCCATTTATTCAGGGGAAATCTACGAGAGCAGCAGGAAAACAGGCTTGAGCACCACCACTTTTGTACTGGAAGATCCACTGTCGTCGCTATGGAAATGATTACAGGCTTGTCAGCGTTGTTGTCACGAGGATTGCCACTGAAAGGGGGTGTTTAGGTGTTGTTTGTATTGTAATCAGGTGTGGTGGTGGGTGAGATACTTTGAAGTGTCTGCCACTCGTGTTGGCTGGCTGGCTGGCTGGACTCAGTGGACTAGACATCTGGGCAGCAGAATAGACACAGCCACAGGTGAAAATTCAATCACAGCATGTACGGAGTAGTCGCCTCGTTCCTTATCGATTTACAGCTCACGATTTGCTTCCACGGTGAATGGTTGCATCTGAAGGTACAATTGTGCATCTACAGTACACTCACCACCAGCATGTACCTCCAGCTCAACCGCAGTCAGTATGTCTCAGCGCTGGAACATCCCAAGCTCTGTAACTCGGTGAGAAGCTGCATCAGCGCAACAGGAAGAATCGAGTTCCAGGTGTCTTTAGCGAACCGGTGGTCCTTCCATGGGCGGTCGTCCCGAATCAGTCACTATTCAGCCCTGAAGCGGAGAGCGGAGCCACCGTAAAACCTCTTGGCTCTCTATTTCAGGCCTGTTCGAGAACTTTCGAGTTTCCATACGATCACAAACATACGGGTTTCTCGTTTTCCTCCAATATTCAACTGGTCACTCAAATTCGCCTCGCTTAGTTGTTCACCCACACTTTTCTCTTTGAACAAGCTCCAAAAGTATCGTCGCAATCCCCTATCGATACGTTGTCAGGTACAAAAATATACATCTGCGGTACCGTAATATTCGTTATCACCTGCTTGCACCTTTATCGCGCGCCTTGTCCCGGTTCTGGATCATCTCTTTGGTTCGCTAGTTCATGCCGCCTCACCAAGCGTCCGCTGATAGTCAGGGGAACTACCCAAGTGGTGTCCGGCGCTATCCACTTTGCTTCCAGACTTGGTCACAGTCTCGCCAAACCAAATTTTATTTTGTATTTCACGTCGTGGTGGTAACCGTTGCCGATATCCGGGCTTTGGGTGTTGAACTTTCACGATGTGACTCGTCACGGAATACCTGAACGGGTGAGATTAGTATCTCGTATGGCAGGATTCTGAAATATCGATGTCGTCTTTGATGGGAAATTCCCATTGCTTGACTGAGAATACAGCGTATGTTTTGTACCTTTCGTACCACTGAATACCAAATCAGAACTCCAACTTTAGTGCAAAAAACCAACTTTCGTATAATTTGACACATCGAATTCACTCCAATCAAAGCCAGCATATGAACCCAACTTATTACATTCAAATCTCACCCTCTACAGCTTCCAACATCTTCACGAGTTTGACATGTGCTTGATTTCCCCAACGGTTTCCTCGACGGATATGTTTCAGGCATTGCGATCACACACGCAGAACGATGACGCTATGAGTTTTGATTTTCTGTAACCTGTTTCCCCCCTACCTGCCTCAATTTGGAAAGACATTCCTCTTCGAAACGCAAAATTCTTATCGTCTGCCGCTCGTTCATCTCGCGCCTACGGCTCATCCAGCCGCTGTGCTGAGTCTTCTCGTGTTTGCTTATCAGACAATTTCCGTAAGAACTCCCAAGGTCTTTGTCTTTGTTGGCGACAGGCTTCAAAGCACTTGGTTTTACGAGAACAAGCGGTTTACATGAATCACGACTTGAAGTAGGTAAATCCACCCCGTAATTACTCCCCAATCCAGCAACCTCATCTCTTCATCTCGCGAATCGCCTTCTTCTCTCCCCATCCCCAATTGGCTCACCTCCCCATCCCATCCCCCATTCGCCCTTCGGCCACCTCGACATCCACTCACGGCAGACCCGACCATGACCAGAAACATCAACCTCCAACTGCCAACACAAGGAACGTATAAATAGCGTCACATCAATTTCCGTCCACGGAGAATTACTCACCAGGACCTCTGCAGCCCGAGAAACAACAACCGGCGCGCACGACCATGTCTTCAACCCTCCTTGGTTATTTGATACAAGTTATGCCCATGCGCTCTCGTGTTTCTGAGATTCGAAATCCGGTCTCTCTCACGGCTGCAGACTTCCTCGAAATTTTTCCATTCGCCAGACGCCCCTTTTCCAAACCCAACATCTCCCGCGCTGTTTGCTTATTTCCAGCACGCAGATTTTATGTCATCCGCCCAGATTCTCTGCTTAAGGGCACGAACTTTGCGTTCCTGCATAAGCGTGCAGCACGGCTCGGGAAAGTGCTTGGTGCATTTCTTGGGGGGTTGCGAGCCCTGAGCTGTCATTCAAAAGGCGAAGGTTTGCCAATCTCTGGCAGCTCTTTAGCGTTTGTCGAAAAGCCTGATCGTTGTTTATTGGCCAAGCATTATCACTCATGATAGGATCTCGCCGTGGACATTTTCATCCGCTGAAGAACGCATGTCGACGACTTCCTGGATTTACTTCGCTCTTGACGCGCCAGCGATGACTCTGATGGTTACGCATTGCGATCTGCTTGTTGAAGCTTTGGATGGATGTACCTGTTGACGCGGCCGCTACGCAAGCTCAAGCTACCCCAGTGTGCAGAACCCGCCACCGTGGGCCTAGAGTTGAAGCCAATTCTTTTAGTCATTATAGAGGCATTCTTCTTCACACCCTCTCGCTGAGCTTCTGTCGGGGTTCTCTCTCTTCCTCGCATCTTTTTCCCACTTGAATTTTTGTCTGGTGAATGACGAGTTCCTTTCTGGCTTGGTCTCTTCAACTGGTAGGTTCTTGTAGGTCAACTTTTCAACTTTGCTCATTACGAATCTCAACTCGTTGGCACTGATGTCTAGGAACTCTGTCGACGAAAACAGCTGTATACGGACGTCCTGAAGTTACGAACTTCTTCGATCGAATACACGCTCACAAACGCCCTCTACTACCTACCGGACGACATCACACCTAGCTCGAATTTACGGTCACCGAGAAGAACTCTCGACTGCTGGAGATACCAAATGTCGCCATTTGACCAAACTATACACAATGGAACACCGCGGCGGAATGAGCGGATTGGCGATACTGCTTTCGCTCATCACAGAAGCTAGCATAGGATTGAAGCACTCGATGGCGTTCCGCGTTGAAAAATGGGCGCGCGGCCATATGTGGCTATAGATATATGAGAACAAACTGGAATCAGATACTCTGTGTATGCGTTTCCATTGAGATCTGGCGGCGGAATACCTGGTGCCCTGCGTCTTCACACGTAGGATAGAAATCTTGGCTTTCCTGTAAGGCGAAGATCGTCAAAGGAGAGACATGTTGCTCAGAGTCCCCAGAGAATTGAGTGAGATGAAAGAACTCTCTTCCAGTTCGTCTCTGCTTGGGGCTCAACGTGTAGCTCTATCGCTTCAACCAGGTCCTCATGAATCAAAACCCTTTACACCAAATTCATGTCCTTGCCTCTCTATCACAGTAGGCGTTTTGTACACAAAGCGATTTCTGAATATGTCCTGCGTGTGATATCAGATACATTGACAGCTTGTCGAATCCTAGGTGTTTGGATATATTTAACAAGACCTTTGATAGACTTTACCCTTCATGATCCCACGTCCAACAACACTACAGCCTCTAACCCCCTTCAAAGCCATCTAGCCCATACATCTACCTATCCCCTGACATTCAATCCAACAACTAGTCATCCACGCCAGATAGTCACATGCACCACAATCCCCCATCATCCAAACGCCCACGAGAAACCAACACGCTCGATTCTAGGGCTGTCATTGCAGCCTTTTTTGTCATTGAAATCGGGTAATCATCTGTTTGACTTGACTGGTAAGCTGATGGTTTTGGGAGTAAGAATGTGAGATGTCAATCTCTAGAGCGGTGACATGAAGTAGCATTTTGGTAGAGACATGCTTTTGAGATGCTCACGATTTCCCTCTGAAATTTTTGAAAGATAGAAAGGGCAGTTCTGATTACACTAGAATAACACTATGCAATAGTAACTCAAGAGAATAGATACAATCACCTGTAAATCTTTTGGAAATACTCTACGTACGGTATTATACATCAATTTATCACCTATCGTGTTGTTATATTTTACTAGGTATATCGTGGCCGCATTACATCTAGCAAAAATAAAACCAATCTCTCAAATTTCAGGTCCTCTTTCCGAATAGAATTCCCTTAAATCTACCTTCGACAACATTTAATCGGAATATGTCATCTCAATAGCTCAGCGAGACCGCTAAGAAAGTGAGTCAAAACAGTAGTATATACACTTAAAGCAACAAGTTAATCCGAGAAATGATGTACCAACCTAGCTAATCTTTTACCATTCCAACATCTTTTTTTTTTGTGAGAGTAGCTGCAAATACACTTCTTAGCTTATCTCTCCCCGTCATTTCCTTTCTATAAAGTACTAAACACGCCACTAACACAGCCAAAGACCCATTTCGGTGTTCACTTATAAGTGTCAGTCTTTATACCGTATTTCGTTTCGCCTATATGCTGTGTAGGAAAGGGTCATTGAACTCGCGTGAAGTAAAGTTGTTGCGTTTTCGAGATACTAGGTGGCGAGGCTTGTGAGAAGGGATGTCAGGATACTATTTTGGAGTAAGTTAGGAGAACATTGTTTTCATGTTGCGTTGGCAATTCAATGATGTGTTTGTAGGACTTGGGTTTTTGTGAGAGGGGAAAGAGGATAAGGGGGTGGGCTGTGGGTAATTTATGTAGGAGGGACACATCTCAGAGAAGTCAGAATCCCAATTAACAACTCAAGCAGTCTTTTCCAGTTTCCGCTTTAGAAATTGGCTTGAGAATTAACAGAATTACGGGATGAAAGGTTAGATCAGAGGATGTGAATGGTTTACGCTACGCTAAGGAATGTGCTTTTTACCCTCAGTAAGGAAAGTGAAGGTTGTGGCTACTGTAGACTTAGATACCTCGTGGCAAACTTTAATTTTCTAGAGATTGCTTCTACTCGTTATGCCATCTTTTTCAGGGTGAAAGATAATCAAGATGTGATATCTGCATACTTGGCCACAACAGAAATTTGAAGTTTAAATATGCCATACTTTCAAGAGTTAGAAATAACAATCTTTATTAGTTTATAAGTTATCACCCTCTTGCTTCCTCTTTTTACTTGCTAATCTAAAGACTTTCGCAACAATACCTAAAAGAAGGGTTTGATTGCTATTCTACAGGAAATCAAAGGAACGAGGAAGAAAAACGGATTTCTCACATAGAGAAAAGTGTTCAACGGTGGTAAAGATATAAGCAAGTGCGAATATCGGTTAGTTCATAACTGTTAGTCTTCTAATGGATTATCTATCTCATCATCTCATTCAAATCATCTACAATCACATAGATATGTATCATTGTATAAAGTTATGGACACATGAGACCTCCGCAAGTGCTCATATCAGTTAGTGCATAACGATTAATCAGTCTTCTGATAGATTATTCATGTTATCGACGCATTCAAATCATCTACAACTACTCAAATAAGTCTGGATTTACAAATTTGGAGACGCCTAGGTCCTAAGTATCTTTCTTCAAATCCACTATGCATAGCTTGTAGGACCTCAACAAGTCGTCTGGCTGGCTGAGATAGTAGATGTTATGTAATTTCGAAGGTAAGTACATTAAGGGATTAAAGTTGTATGGCATTTTAACTTGTGGTATTCAGGATAGACGAAGAAAATTGTACATAAGTCTCATCTCCTCCAACACAGCTTCCAAGGCTGTGGACCGTTGTAGGTATCAAGTAGGTTGGTACTACCCCCCATAGACTACAACATTAAAAGATTTATCAAGACTCAAAGCTCTTATGGAATGTGGATAACCAGCATTCTCCATAAGGAGTTTGGTGTTTTCTTACGTAGTATAGTGTAGAGTAGACTTAAAACGCCTCATATTCATCATCACCATCACGCAGTCTACACACACAACACCACATTACAAAAACAAGGTTGAACTGTTATTCTTTTCATTCTGCAATCCTACTCCCTCCCCAAAGCCAACTAGCTAACCTACAAAAAACCCCCCAGCCAATCAACTCAAAAAATATACAACCAAAAAAGGGTATCCTCGCTTAAGCATTGCTTGCACGCCAACACTTTGCTCAAAATCCAACACGAAAGCTAATTACAACCAAAGTTTCCACCCCAAAATGATAATCAAACTGTCTCTACAAGAAGAGAGGTGTTAAGCAAGAAATAAAACTAGGACTTTTGCACATATATGGCAAAGGGGGATATATGCAGAGAACAAGGAAAAAGCAGCAAACGAGTGTAAGATACGCCAAGCCCACATATCAACTTAGACTCCCCGATTCAAAGGCGTGAGCCAGATCATATAACGCCAACTCCCCCCTCATTATCCAAACTACAAATTTTCAAAAATATCAAAAGCCACGGAACGGGTCATGGCCACCAAAAGTATGCGGATCGAAATGCCCGTAGTCTTCTTCGCCGGCCGTCTTGCTGCCACCGTACAGATCATCGCTTGGCCGGCCTTTGCTGGAGTAATAGCTATCTCGGTTACGTGAACGACGACGACGTTCTTTGCTACGGCGTCGATGCATACCGACCATATCCATCTCATCTTGCTCGTTAGGGTCGTCGTCGAAACGAGATAGCGCCATGGGACTGATGAAAGCTTCCATCCGCATCGTCCCGACGGCGTCAAAGAAGTTGTTAACGACCGCGCCAGGTCGATTCGAGGCATCGGATGTTCGCACGGAAGAACGCCCGCTTACGCCTGTGTACCCGGAGATGGAACTCGGTGGCTGCGAGTTGTAGATGTCGGAGGAGCCGTTGGTGCCAACGCTCATTCCTGCTGTGCTAGATGTAGGTGCGTGGCCTGCGCTGGCTGGACCAGAGAATCCTCGGAAGGAGAGAGGGGGTGGGATGCGGGAGCCTGTGTTACTCCGTTTTCTGGTGTGTGTAAGGGGGGGACCGCCCAGACCTCGCTCACCGCGCTCGATGAAGCGTGGGACGATTGGGGGGTCGGCGGATGGTGCGTGGCGAGATGATGTGAAGGAGTCTTGTTCGCGAATGCTTTGCTCGGTAACTGCGTATTGAGAGTTGGAATGGGCGCTTGTTGGCCCGGATCGTGCTGACGCTGTTTTGCCTTTTGCTACTCGGATTGAGTCTCGGATTGGGTTTCGGCGAAGTCGACTTCCCTGGCGTGGGGGTTCGAAGTCGGGTATCACTGGCTGGACAATGGGGTTTGCTGCTTGCACGATTTCTGGGACGGCTTGCGAGGAGTGGGCGAGGAAGGATAGAGCGTTTAACCAAACATAATGTCTTTCAGCTGAGGTTGCTGTGAACTTGAGGGCTCGGGACGGTGTGAGGATCAAGATTGATCTGTTGAATATTGATGGAGTTCCCTTGGGTGGTGGGTTCTCGTCTTTCACATCTAGAACGGATTGAATGGTAACTATTATGATTAGCATTTGAGCTGTTGAAATCAGTAATAAAGACGACTTACGCTTTCGACCGGTCTTGCCCATCAGAGCCGACCCAGATGTTGGCTGCTTGCTACTCCACATGACAGCTCTCTCGTAAGGAGCCAACCAGACCCAACGTTTGTGACGAACACCGTTAACACCATCTCCATCCATACCATTACTCTCGGCAACTCCAAATGACTTTCTTCTCCGAACATACTTGAACATCCACTCTCCTACCATTGTCTGTGCAATAGCCTCCACAACGCTAGTAGCCTTGTTTGAACTGTTGACCGACGCCTCACCCGTGTTTGTAGTGTTTGTGGTATGAGCCGTTGTTGATGACGGTTGATGACGGTGCTGTGATCTATACCTACTGCTTCCAGTATCTCTCATATATCGAGGTGTGGTCACATCGTTGTTAGGCATTGGCGGTAGTTTTGGGCTCTCAGGAGCCTCTGTGGATGGTGACATTGGTGGTGGTGATCTACTGCCATGTCGACGACCAGCACGACCGCCTCTAGGTAAAGCCGCAGCAGAGCGAACCTTTCGAATACTGTTGGAGCGATAATGTCTGCCTGGACCTCGTCCCCAAGTAGGACTTCTATTGCCATCGCTAGGCGCGCTTGCACTTGCAGGAGGCCGTCTTGAACTGGCTCGGGTCGGAATTGGGAATGGAGGTTCTTTGACATCTGGAATACTTGGGCTTCGTGAGCGGCCTTGATGTGCAGCTACACCACTCTGGATCAAAGCAGCACGACGCATAGCATTTGGCTTGCTGGTTGTAACCAAAGTCAAAGGTTTATCCATTTGCCGGATTGACTTGACCGAAGCTCGCTGTGGAACACCAATGACTTCTGCGGAACCGTACTCATCGTTACTCATCGGACTAGCCAGTGGAGACATGTTCCTCTCGAGTGGTGATGTAGGCATTTCCTCGAGTTCGTTGTCCTCGGGCACTGGTGTTGGTGCAGAGGTGATTCGCTTATTTGTTCTTGTCGTGTTGCCGTGAGGTCTTGGAGCAGAAAGAGCTGTTCTATAATCGCTGTCACTCATGTCACCATCTCCAAAGTCCTCGTTATCGTCGGAACTAGCGTTCTCGAACCCTGCAAAGAGACTGCTGACACGGTGTGGTCTACGAATGGTACCCTTTTCTTTGGTAAGTGGACCGTCGTCGTTGTTACCTGGATATGCATCACGGGTTTCGTTCTTAGGGAAGGAAGGCGGGGACGAAGGAATCTCTTGCTCGTAGCTTTGTCGGGGACTGCTCATCATCCGACGAGGATTGCGTGGTGGAAGGTTGCCAGGGATTGGCGAAAACCGTTTGTTCTCTTCAAGGGGTTCGGGAGACGGTGGCTTGGATGAGATTGAAGCGGGTTGCAGATGCGGTGGAAGCAATTTGATGCGTTTGTCAACTCTAATTTCTTCTGTCTGCACGGAAATGGACCTTGTCGGGATGGGCGACTGCATAGTGACTTGACAAGCTGCGTCCCTGAAATGCTGGGGAAGAAGGGCTTCACGTGGTGTTGCAGGTGTGGACGTAGGAGGATGTAATTGGATAGATGGTACAGATATAGGTGGTGGGGGTGGTGCTCTTCTGGGTGAGGGGGGAGGAAGTTCCGTTTGAGTTGATGTAGATGTAGATGTCGTTACCCGAGTTGCTGGCACTGGAGGAGGTGGGGGGGCTCTTGTTGGTGACACAGGAGTCCTTGGAGGACTGAGAGGGTCTTCTAATGTCTGAGACGCAGCGGAGACCATAGAATTTGTAGATGGAGGTTCAATTGTGAGAGAGGGTGGATTTGCGTGGACTCGCTTCCGTCGTTGGTTGGCCTCGATCTCCCATTCTCGATGTTGAATTTCCGGCTCAACTTGCTTCACCATTTTTGCCATGCCGTTCATCTCAATGGCGGGAAGAGCTTCAACAATTGGAACAGTCTCAACTGGAGCCATTTTTGGCGATGGAGGTGGTGAGAATTGTATGCCTGTATCAACATACTCAACCTTTTTGGTTGGAACTGACTCGTCATCTTCTTGAATGCCGCCCTCCCGTCCATGTAAAACGGCTTGGTTGGCCAAAAGTCTTCCTCTAGCCACACTTCCTGGACGCATCAGACTCTCATGACTCTGATTGCGTCTATGGGTTTTGACGAAAATGCTGTCGCGGCTCTGGTTACGGTTGTGGCGTTGTGATAGCACGCTCTCGCGTCCTCCATCGTCCGTTTGTATTTCCTCGTCCGTCTCGTCAAAATCCAACTCATCTGCAAGACTAATCCCATTAGTGAGTTTAGATCCTCCATAGCCATTCGGTCCGCTTAATGTCGAAAATCGAATACTGTTGGTCATGCTCATGGTCCGGATACTAGCAGCATCGTTGTGTGCCGATTCTCGAGGAGCTTCTTCAGCTTCGCTTTGAGGTTGGTGACTGGCCTGGTATGCAGCTACCTCCTCCAAAACCACCTTGAGTCGTCCTTCTGAAACATGTACTTTACGTTCAAGTTTTCTTCTCTCATCATCCCAGTTGTCCTTGTCTCTCGCCCATAGATCATGGACGCGAGCTGAATCATCTTCCTGGGCTCGAATCTTCTTATGCGCTGTGTCCAACCGCTTCTTCAACTCGTTGTTGGAATCTACAGCCTCCTCGCGCTCACGAGCAAGTTCTGAAAGAGCTGAAGAGGTTCCACCTTCTAGCAAAGCCAATTGGCGTTTAAGTGATCGGTTTTCTTTCGAGGTAGTCAGAGTTGCCTCCTCCGACTGTTGATATTCTCCTTGTGTCTTGTAAAGTTCTGTCTCCAAGCTCTCGATCGTCTTCAATTTCTCTTCCTGGTCGCGTCGCAGATTCAAAATCTCAGAAACCAAATTAGCATGTAGAGTTGGTGTAAATCGTCGAGGATCCAGAATCGAGATGCTATGTTGTGTTAGTCTAAGGCAGCACCTCCTATGTTTCTTTATCTTACCTCTCATCTTGCGATATATCTCGGGACGCTCGTTTGTTCGTTGGAGGAGATGATGATAGTGGTGCTGGCGAGAGTGACTTCTTCCGCGAGGACCGTCTTGAACTGCGTGAAGGAGTCCTATATGGTGTATCTGTTGGAGTTGGTAACGAAGCTGCTGCTGCCGCAGCAAACTCGTCCTCTGTTTCCCACGCTGCCATGATTGCAAATGCCAAAGGCGCACAGCAGATGCAGAAACCCGATTCCTTCTACCTCCAATTATCCATCAATATCAATTCACTCGTGGGAGGTTTCTACTACAAATCGTGCGGCGTAGGTTCTATTGTTTAACTTCAATGGACTTCCCGTCGAGTGGAGATGTTGTAATCCTTGAATGCTCGGACCGGCTTTGGATGATTTAGAATATTGAGAGGGGCTCTTCTGCCAGATTGGGCGAGAGAATAAATGCTCCTAAAACGCTATGGCATAAAATCAGCATTAAGTTTTACAACGACCAGGATATTTGGACATAGCCGAGACCTGGAGGACTATAACCATACCCCAATATGAAAATCAAAGACTTTTAGCACCACGTTTGACCTCTTTACGAGCAAATAAAGTAACTATAAACCCACTGATCAGCAATTGATGCATGGTATTTCCTCTCGGCCCGCACAAAATATCATCTCATCGCATACCTTTAAAACAACAATGCATATGCCATAAAATATACTGCAGACGCGGTTTCAGAAACTTCTATCCACCACTTCTTTTCTTCTAAAGACCCTCCTTGGCCAGATGATTTGATGATGATATGTTGAGTTGATCTTGGATTGTCGTTCAGATGTCGGATTTGCTTCAGGGTCGTTGTTCAAGCCGACCGATGGGTAAAGAGTTGTAATGAGGGATTGTCGACCTATCCAATGGGGTATATATCGAAATATGTCGAGGGAGTTTGTATTCGTTGTGCGCGGTAATTCGTTAAAGCATCAATTAAGAGCTTCTGGAATATATGTGTATGCGATTGATACTGTGTTCTAGACTCATTGATTAGCCATTGAGTCGAAAGGTTCCTATTGCAGGTATCCATCCACAAAAGAATCAATGTTGGGCAGCTGCAATGGCTGGGCAAGATGGTTCTTTCGAATGACAGAGGGGTTCTTCGTACCTAACTCGCTATCAAAAGCAAAACTTGTCTGACGTTTTGACGGTTTAAGATTGCTTGTGATAGACCTGGCAAAAATAGACGATTCACCGTGGTCGAATCGTCTTCGTTGTGTCGGCTTGAGATTCCTAACTTCAACAACTTTCAGAACAAGAGAAAGCTAAAAGAGCTTGAAACAAGTAGACGCGTTACTCGTACAATCCACGTGCACCAACAGAGGAAACAAACAAATGAAGCACGAAGATCGAGACAAATACAAAGCTACACACGGACTGGCTTTTCCAGCGGCCTCGACGGGTCCCCATTTCAGAGCTTAGCGTACGGTTTGGGATCCATGCCCGCTCCAGAGTTTTACCACATTGAGCTTAAACAACCTTTGAAAGCATGGGGGTATGCAGAGCGGATGCATATTGGGCACAGGGACTCGAAAGCGGGGGTCTCGGAAGGGCCAGCTGGGAATTTGGGAGATTTGAGTGGACGCAGTTGGGGCAGTTGATGATTGGAAGAAGCAGGAGGGGGTTTCGGTTCTGGCAAGACTGAAAGGCTCTCGTTGGAGGCAAAGAGGCAAAGAGGCACGGATGGAAGGCCGCGAGAAGGTCGTTGTACGAGGAGGTTTAGGTAAGACTGCTTCAAAACTCAAGCAGCATTCAATGCAGTCCAATGGAATAAGCTGGGTGGGATGAGGCCAGGTCTCTTCCGCTCTTCTGTGAGGCTTTTAGAGCGTGTCAACTTTCAAGTACCACCGACTGACAGTGATTGATAGGGAGGACCTGGGGAAAAGCAGCGGCGTCCCGGCCGAGAAATTAGCGAACCACAACGTTGACCCCTGAACGAGGCTTCCTGCAATGCAGTGTGCACCGTTGAGCACACTTTTAATTAATTATTTTCCTTTATCTTTTATCTTTTGAGATCGCCAGAATTTCTCACATGTACAGTAAAATGGATACTTCGATTATGATGGCAATTTTGACGTCGCTCACAAGCCTCAAGCCATTCAGTTCACCAGCTCTCATAGAGAAGCACTGAATTGGCAATTCAAAAGGATTTCAACGCCGTACGGCCTTTCCGTCTTGTTACGGATCCATGATGTCTTGACCCTCACGAAGAGTGGAAATCGGCCTTGACTGGCGATTACAAGGGCGATCGATTTCGTGGGAAGGAAGCAGGTGCAGGGGATTCGGAAGACACCCGGAGTAATGTGCGAATAAGCCAGCCTATGGGAACAATTTCGCGATAAATGTTAATTGTTTCGAGGGGTAAACACCAACCATTTACTGATCACAGCAGGAGATACAAAGTCGGTAGACCGTTTGAGCCTTTATTTTGACATCCGGATGGCAAGTAATAATGGAAGGTGCTTGAGTTGCAAGACAGCGAATGGCATGCAATCTACAGAGCTTGCGCGCCACTCAGCGTGTCGTTTGGGCACCACAAGAATATACTGAATTGACTTTCTTCCCGCAAGGAAACAAAACTCCCTGTTGATTTTAAAAATGAAAATCAAGAATCATTTTGCACAATCCGAGCCTAAACACCAAGCTATTCAGAACACTTCCCCATGCGGTAATTCTAGCTGAACTTTATATTCTCAAAAGAGTAAAGCATCTACCGAATGAGCGGTTTTCCCCAAAACCGTCCACTTTAGCAAAAAAAATTCAGACCTCTCGGAAGTTTTGGGTCATCCCGAAAACTTACCAATTAGCTTGCATCTCTAGCTGTAAGAAGGGTGGAGCTAGTGCTAGTAAGGCTTGCGTGTGGAGAACTGTACTGCCAAGTTCTTGAATAACGGGGACGGACAACGTCTAGAGACCCAGAACCAGAGACAACAACAGATGTCTCAACCCGGGTTAATGGACTTTACATTGGGGTATATGCACATCACGATGGGGTGATACATAGTCACTTTGACATGATACTGGACGTGGGCTGATTTGAACGGGAAAACTCCATTGTGAAGTTGTTGGGCATCAAAAGAAAGTTACAGAACATACAAATTTCTGTGCGACGATCTCAATATCACTATCACACAGACCCGGAGAGTGCCTTCAATCTAACTACAGATCTTTACCTCTTCAAAGTTCCCCGGTGTCGCTTTACCAGAAGCTTCTATTGAGTTCCAGTTATCTGAATAAGTTGAACACAAGCTCATCCACCTTGAAGTTGTCGATATGTATCTTCTGGTTCCGACAATTCGTTTTCAGGAATCAGAAGGAACAAACCTTAGCCTTACGGCAGCGGTACGAGTACATGTTCTGGTCTGCAATTTACCATCATGTCGACACAAAAGACTTGCGTCCTGCAATGCAGGTGATCAGTGACGGGTCCTTTTCCTCTGCATGCAAATATGTTGGTCTTGCAGCTTCTCCCTGCGGACTTTAGATTACAGATTTCCAGGCCTACTTCAACCTGCCGACGGTATTTGAAGCTTCAATGAACCTCGATAAATGACTTGAGAGTCTCAAACCTATCAATTTCTAGAGATGAGGTTCACTTTATGTTTCCAAGAAATGCTCCATTTGAAACACCAACTATGATCTCCCCATTGCCGCCACGGCTCACACCAGATCGGAGGTTTTAACAATAAGCTATTCTATAGGACGATATGGCTGGGTTGTGACGCCTTATGAGAAAACATCCCGCGTCGGCTATTCTTATATTTCCAGTTCATCAAATGGTTGTACGGAGTACTTGGGCCGCAAAGGTACATCGATGAAGTGTTCTTCCAACCCGAATGTCTGGTCTTGCAATCCTCATGACTGCTACCATCTGATGTACACAAGAAGTACATCGAAGAATATGTAAGTAACAGGTGCTTCCGATACTGCAGCACGATCTATCACACGTCCCACAGATAGTTGTCGGACTCGATCACGGTTTTGACAGTCTTGTCTCCTTTCCTTCCCCCTTTGTCTCTTCCAACCACGTTCCGAGCCGGAAAGCACAACCGTTTTGGTATTCGGTACCACGATCACAGATGAAAAGGAGACCCGTTCGTTTCACGACGCAAGCCATTTCGCGTCCAATCCCGGTACGTATCACCTCCTTTTATCAGCCTCGGAAGACCTGACCGCCGCTTTCGGCCTTCCCCTCCTCGCCGCTGACAGTGACAGGAGACAGGTCCTTGGCGTGCCACAGATACCCCTCGATCTCAATGGTAGGCTTCCCGATGCTGTGTTACGTGAAGTCAACCACATGCAAGAAGCCGTGTTTGAAGATTAAATCAAGTGTTATGTCAGCGGAAACAATACAATACCCTCGCCACGTCACATCACATGCATTTGCAGTAGAGTACATACAAAGAGGCAAGTGCTTCAATATCAAACAAAGTATGAATACATACAAGCCCAACAGGATGAATGTGTAGAACCCCATTGAGTCTCTTGCAGTAACCTACTCTATACCGAATCTCTTCGCGACCTCGACAAACCCCTCCTCATCCAAACTCACCCACATATCAACCCACGCCTTCGAATCTCTGTACTCCTCGGAATCCGCGCTCCAATCTTCCTCCCCCAACCTCTCCACGTAAATAGTTTTAAATCCACACTCCCTAGCGGCCTTCAAATCTACCAAATGAGCGGCAACCATCGCCACATCTTTCGGCTCCAACCCCAAGACTCTGGCCGCGCCGCGGTAGACGGAAGGATGCGGTTTATACGCCGCGAAATCAGCAGAAGATTGGAGTTTCCTAAACCCCAGATCGCCATGATGGTTTAGATCCTGCAGGAGTGATTGATTTCCATTGGACAAGGTTGAGGTGGTGAATTTCGTGCCTAGCTTGTGAAGACCTGATGAAGTTTCGGCCCATGGCTCGAGGAAATGCCAGATTAGACTTAGGTTTTTGATTTCCTCGTCGGTGTAGAGGTCGGGGATTTGCCATTTTTTGAGGAGCGAGATTAGCGCGAGGTGGTGATGGGTGTCTATGTCCCTCCATTCGCTTTCGCCGGGGACGAAGCCGTGGACGAATTCCTTGTAGGTATCTCGCCATTGTTGGGCGAAAGTTCCCCAGTCTTCATTGCTTAATTTAGAAGCCACTTCGCGAGTTGAAGATGGGATGTCCGACCCTGATGAGAGCTTAGCCGTAGATTTCTCAATCAAAGTGTCTGTGACGGTCTTTCTCCAATTGACTAGACGTTGAATCAGTGTTGTTCTCGATAGATGAGTTTAATCAATTAGATATTGGGCGTTTGGCAATTGTCCCAGGCACAACATCAGTCGGGTCACTTGTCACCCGGTGCAACGTTGATAGATGAAAGCAATATTGCTTGCTGTTTGCACAAATTGTAGATACAAACTTACCTACGGTGCCGAATACATCGAATGTCAAAGCCTTCGGGGGTTCACTGAAGTTGTTGTGATGCGGGGTAGCCATGGCGCTACCTGTATTTTGGTGTTTCTTGAAAATGAAATCCTGAAAATGACAGCGCGAGAAACTGAAACAATATAGAGAATCTTCCTACAATAGAGCCATTAAATGATGGTGGTGATGAAGAGGTTCCTGCAGAGAGTTTTGAAAGGACAACCCCACTAATAAGCTGACAGCTTTCTCAATCTCGTGATAATGACGACTTCTTCACTAGCTTACCTTCATTTATATCTGTAAAAGCATAGAGACAAAATCTCTAGCCAAATATCTCAGCAAGAGGTATTTTGTCCCCGAGTCTATGTCCGTCTTTGGCTCTGGTTCATTGGATCACTTCAGAAGTCGGTCTTTGTGAGCACCCGTGAGTGAAAAACATGAAGCTATCAGCAACTAAATGATCATTCCAGAGATAATTCATTAGAGTTTTCCTTCTAGACCATTAATGCTATTGAATGTTGGCAGTATGGAGGATCATGCCGTGGAAAATATTAAAGTCACTTGGCTGGCTCTAGAACTGTAGCGCTATTTATTGAGGATTTATGACTTCAAATCAATACAAAAGTCACAATTCAGTAAAACATAGAAAGACAATTACAGTAGAATATATGAAAGAGTCTTTATAATTCAGAATCATGAACCCAAAGTATCAAATCTCTCAGAAACAAGCGTTGCCAAGGCACGGCCCCTGAGAGGTTTTGTATGCACCCCGGATTTGGTGACATTTGCGTCATTCCTCAACAGTCATCAATAAAATTCTACATTGTAAACATGTATTTTCTACAGAAGCAGCGTCTTCATCTCTTCCCATTGACGCCCAATAACCTCTCGCGCGGCATTTTACCTCGATAGCACATGGGATCGACTCTGAATAGAGCACAAGCACAATGAATCTCTCCCAAAGATTCAACCGTCACAAGCATGAGGACCATTCATACGGACCCTTCGGCTTCCTCAATCCTACTATTCGAAACCTATCATTCCCCGAGCACATCGATCAAGCCGGCAAGGAAACTGCCAGTCAACCAGAACCAGCGACGAAGAGCCCCAAACCCTGGCACCATGAAATCCACAGCCAATTCCGAACACGAGACAACAGAAAAGGTACCTCCCCTTCCTCTCCTCCTCTGCATCAACTAATCCACAATCAGGTCGCCATGCCCTCCTCCTCACCCATCACGCCCACACCTCCCCAAAAATCTCCACACCCCCTCCCACAACCTCCCTCCCTCAAACCCTCCACACAATCCGTCTTATGTTCACATCCTTCCCGTACTGGGACATATCCTACCTCGTCGCCATAATCTTCACATTCGGCTCCGTAATCTGGTGTGTAAACGCGTTCTTCGTCTGGCTCCCTCTGCAGGTGCCATCGAGCGAGTTCGAAGGGGAAATCGGGGATGCAGGTGGGATTACGGCGTTTATTGGCGCGACGGTGTTTGAGATAGGTAGTGTGTTCTTGATGTTGGAGGCGGTGAATGAGAAGAGGGAGGGCTGTTTTGGGTGGGCGGTTGAGGAGTTGATTGGGAAGGAGGTTAGGGTTGGGAGGGGGGTGTGTGGACATCATCATGGGAATAAGGGGAATCTGGTGGGGAAGGGAGGGGGAGGGGTGGGTGATGTGAAAGAGCAGCCCGATGGGGAGGGGGTTGCGGGAAAGGAGAATAGGAGTTGGGTTTGGTGGCCTACGTGGCATGAGTTACGGACACATTATTCCAGGGATATTGGATTTCTTGCTTGTCTGGCTCAAATGATAGGTCGGTGGTCAGATCGAGGTATTTGTCTTTTGCTGACAGATGTAATAGGAGCAACTGTTTTCTGGATATCTGGGTTTACTGCTCTGCCTCCCATATACGATGCGTTGACTTCGAGGGCAGCTCAAAATGGTGCATTTGTGAGTAGCATTCCTTTTCTGCCATTTTTGGCCTCTCAACTTGGCAGGGGAACGTGGTGGCTTTGGCCAGTATGCTGCTGTTACTTACGCATAATCGTATTTGCAAAGAGAAACAAAAGCATTCGCGTGAAGTGCGAAGGATAGAGCTCGTCCAGACCTCGGCTTCTTCACTTCTTCAGAGAAATAGCTCTTGCATTTCGGAGTTCTCCTTCGCTTAAGCCCAGTTGCATCTTAAGAGCTACTTTCTCCATCTTGAATCGTGATACACCTCTCACTAAACACAACTGACATATCCAGTGGCTCCCACAAGTAATAGGCGGAACAGGCTTCATAATCTCCGGCACACTATTCATGCTCGAAACCCAATCTCACTGGTATAGACCAGCTTTTTCTGTCCTCGGGTATGCTCCTCTCTCCTCCTTCATGTCTGCCCCCTCTTCCCTCTTCCCCACTCGTCTTTTCTCCTCACCGTTTCTCGTTTCTTCTCGCTAACAATCCATAGCTGGCACATCGGCGCCTGGAACCTAATCGGCGGAATAGGATTTACCCTCTGCGGCGCACTCGGTTTCGCGAGCAGTAATAGCGGATGCGTATACCAAGGTAGTTTGGCTACCTTTTGGGGTTCGTGGTGTTTCTTGATTGGAAGCGTAATTCAGTGGTTTGAGAGTTTGGAGAAATTTCCGGTTGTGGTTGTGGAGGTGGGGGGCGGGGAGAGGGGAGGGGATGGAAAAGCGGAGATGAAGGGGGAGGTGGTGTGAGCAGGTATGATTTGGGGGTTGGGCTGGGTTGGGTTGGTCGAGGGGCTTGTAGTAGGAGAATAAGTGGAAGTTGAATATAATGTTTAATCAATCAGATTACTAGAACATCCTGTGTTTCTTCTATCAATATTCAGTAAAATGGAGCCTCCGACTCTGCTTGAAAGTTAGTAAGACCCAAAGCGTCTTCATTTTTCCGAGTATAATTTGGTATAATTTGCATCACAAGGCAGTCAAAAATTACTGCCATTTATCTTGTCCACTTTGAGAAGTGTCTTAAAATAGAGAGAGGTTTCTACTTCTTTGAATATCAATCATCTATGAAACCAGTTGAAATTAACATAAACCTCAATAAAGAAGTTAATTTCATGTGATCCAGATATTTCATCCTGCTCCCAACCCACTTGATAAGAAATGAATTCCACCAGAAGTCCATCTTCAAAATACATACCCGACCTCTCCTTCATCAACCCAATCACCTCCCCAAAAAGAAGAAAACATTGAAATATAAAACACCAAGCTCTGAGAGTGAAATGACTAACCATCGTCCACCGCAACACGCCAACCCTGCCAGGACCGTGGTGTATATGACACTTCAATGTCGTCTGCCACACCATCTCTGTTGAATTCTAGAATCAGGCAGGAGAAACGAGCGGATACCTGATCATATTTTTTTGGTTGTTGCTGTATCGATAGATTGGGAGAGGGACGGAAAGGGTTCCGTAGTGAGATAATATTCGGTGACAAACTCTATACGTTTCTGATTTTAGAGGTAAGCCAGTAAAGTGTTGCATTCTATCATTTCCATAGATAGCTCACTAAATCTCAATTATCTCAATTTCTGTCAATACATTACATGGTCTACTGAGTGGATTGACACACCAAAGTGTCTCGCAAAGCTTTGGTGGCCTTGCTTTTGCTCGTTAATACATCACTGGCGGTTAAAGCATTTATTATCTAACTTTCTATTTTAAATATACGAAAGAAAACAGACGACAAGTCAATATAGCAGAAACAGACAGAATACAACAAGATAAGCAAAACTGGTTTTTTCCCAGCAACATTCTGAACCACCCCCTTCAAATACTCGCTCATAAACCTCCATCCCTTCTTCGCGACCACACCTCAAAACATAAGGAACCGAATGGCAACAATCCTCACTAATTATTTCCAAAACCGTCAATTATCGACAGGTGTATTAGAAGACGTAATTGCATAAACGCCTGATTCTAAACCGAAAATCAAATTCCATAACTATTCTCACAAATCACTTAACACTCGACAGGATTGCATAAATTCAACGCAATCGCAGCTAACAGAGAGTTAGATAAACTCAAAGTACTGATTGATAAATCGGTAACGCTCGCCTTAAAAGCCGCATGGACTCTTCTCTCAGTTTGCTCTTGAATCTCGTTAGCCTGGACTTTCGCCATATCTGGTGAGTTGAGACAGCACGATTTCGCGCTCATCATTCTCTCCAATAAGGTCAGTGGAGAATAGAATGATGTGACTATGAGGATAGAAGGTTAATATCATCACAGATTTCGTTTAGGAAAAAAACCATGGAAGCAGGTGATGAGTTCGGTGATGAGAGGGAATTCGGTAGTGAATTTTGCGGGAGGACGAATGCGTTACAAGAACGATATGACACATTCAGGTATTACAATAATGTTGAAACCCGAATCTATAACATTCCTTCCTTAACATATATAGTGAGAGATAATTTTGTCAACTTACTCAAGCAACGTAGATAGACTCTGTGCGGGAATAGAATTATCGTTGTCCTACAATGTGGCGGAGTATCTTAAAAGGCACCCTCTGCAGTCCCCGTCTGCTGACTCGCAGAAACAGGCTCTCCAAGTTCATTCCACACCACACCCAAAGCCTCTCTAGCCGCAGTCGCCTCCGAGCTATCAATTGTATATCCCGCCTTACAAAGCAAATCCAAAAGCGAAGAAATCCAAAACCTACACCCCTGCCCCGTATCACCAAAAGTATAGGTACCATAGTTTGCGGACGTAATCTGATCGATGATATTCCCAACATTAAGATTAGGCGCTGTGGAGAGGATTACAGTCTTTACAGCATTGATGTCCGCGCGGTCTTTAGCGGAGATGATAAGATCGAGGGTGTTGCCTGGGCCTGAGGGGCTGGGATCAAGACGGATTGATTGAGAAGGGGACGTGATGAGATAAACGACCCAGTGGTTAGTTAATTTTTCGGTGGCAGGGTCGGCGTTGTCCTTGGGAGCGAAGACTGCGTTGGGTGGTTCGGCGCAGATGTGGATGCTGGTGATGGGTTGGGATTGTGAAGTGTTGAGCAGAGATTTGGGGATGTAGGCCAAAGGCATGTTGAGTTATAAGGGATGCAGTTATTTTATGTTATAGAACTGGGTACCTTTTGATGGGAAAACTAGGATCAAACTGACGACTTATTGGTGTAGTTGAAATTAGGTTGTTGGTCTGCTGGTTTTAGAATTTTGGAAGGAGACGAGAATTGTGCTGTGCTTCATGGAAGTTTCTGACATTTGGCCAGTACAGCAAATGATTCATTTTTGGAATTTTGCCGTTACAGCAAATTTTTCTTTCGTTAGCATAGCCTCTATTCTTGAATTTGAAAGAAACGGCCCCGACTAGGTACTTGCCAATTCGACTCGAAATGGGAATTCTTGGCAAATTTAAAGCCAACCTCCTGGCAACGCGTGTAACATGCGCTTTACGAAATCCACGACAGAGATTCATAAGGTGACTGTTACTAAGCTGCCTAAGCCTCACTGACAATATATTGGTTTATTGTACTGTAACTTCAGCTGTCGCGAATATTCATTTTATAATCCACATGACTTCCGAGGTTCACTTTTTGTTTACATATTTTCCCGTTTTAAATCAAGATTCACTGTATTATAGGCTTTTAGGATAAGTTGTATAAGGTGATATGAGAAGGAAGCGTACAGCTAGATTCTATCTCTTCTTCAGCTTTTTGGAAGTCATTTACAAGTATCCCCATGTGGAGCACACCTTGATGTCAGCAAACAAATCCGCGACGGGTAAGAGGCCAAAAAGCAGCATTCCCGATATCCTCTGAAAGACACAATTTTAACTCCTGATGTATGCTCTCATACTTCAATTTTTAATGTAGCTCAATAGACTGCCTTTCCAATTTCCATCTCTGAATGTCGGCAATGTTTGTCCCACGCATTGAAATCGTGCCCACTCTCGTTACAAATTCTCTGCTTGGCTGCCATTCTACTACCAGCATGTTTACTGACGAAAGGCCGCTTCCCAGGATGATACAGCTGTATCTGCCATCTAGCAATTTCCCAAATACGTTGTCTATCTTTTGAATTTCTTGAGAAACATTAACCCAGCAATCAGTAGGATCTGAGATATAATCGAGACACACACAAAAACCTACGATCAATCCACTTTGCGATGCTCTACAAATGCTTCGAACTGGACGTCTTTTCCAGTCAAGCCATATGGTCGGTCCAACGACCCATGCACTCAAACGGATGACCTTGGAAATCCCAGAAGAGAGGACTTGTGATGGCATATTGATTTGGTCAAAGGGTTCTAGTGCGATGAACCTTTTGCTTCTGTCCAATATCCACACCTCTACCTCAAACGTGGTAAAAGACGAGTCGTCTTTCAAGAACGTAGCCGTGGCTTCCCAACCAATCCAAGACCGGGAAGGAAATGCGGATCTTCTCTTTGGGCTCCTGAAATTGTAGTCATTGTAATGACTCCATCCAAGCGCGCTTATGAAGCTTCTCGTTGAAACACCAGCAGCTCCGCAGACAACTGGCAAGCCTGAGATGTGATAAATTGGCGGGACCGCAGACTCGAATGTTCGCAGTATCCCCAGTAGCGCCAAAAGGGAATCCGAATCGTGACTGAGCTGTCGTGCTGTAAAATTTTCAATATGACAAACGAACTGGCACTGTCCCCTCTTACAAAATGGTCCGGTTGCGTTAAGCCCCTTCGACCAATCCGTCGAGACTCCACCTGCACCAGCAAAGAAGCCAGGTCGATTCCAAGACATGAAACTCTTCATATCTTTACGGTGCAGCAACTCTAGTGATGAAAAAAGAGCTTCCCGGCAGTGCATTCCACAACATTCAAAGTACAACTCTGTTTCTGTGAATAGAATACGCCGACGAGAGAGCGTCGCTTCCTGATATGTCCACCCCCTACTCCACCATTTGGATTCTTTGATAGTATCGTATAGTTGAGCTTGCGATATTACACGCTGTAAGCCCCTCAGATCTCCTCTATATAGGCCCTCCCTGACATGGTTGTTTACTCCAGGCAGTCCATGGTTTTCATCGCTCCCAGCCGCTGCAATTATTGTGAACTCAGCACTGCTATAGATCAGATCCATTTTCCCAATCTGTTCCAATTTCACATCCAAATCCTTCTGATTGATACAGTACTTATCAATCCAAATGTACTTTAGTCCAAGTTCTTTCGTGACAGTGATCGCATCCCGGACAACTCTGGGAGCTCGTTCATCCAGAGCAAGATAACCTTGATTCGTTTCGGAGTTGCAAATTAATGCATCACGGTCGACTTGCTCTGCATCTGATACTGCGCCCCAAACATAGCTAAGTGCAGCATATGCACAACCAGATGGAGGGGAAACCAGCTTTCCGGAAACACAATCGATAGCCATAAATGATTCTAAGCGGTGTGATCTATCAGGATTACACGATTTTGAGTGGTGCTTCGTGCAAAAATCGAGCCAATACAGCAATAGCTTGTAATTGACTTGAGGAGACACTTCTCGAGCGCAGGATAAATGTGAAGACCCAGCAGGATTTGTGGTTGTACGAACAAGATAGCTGTTCTTTAACAACGTCAGCTGAGTTTTGTGTAAAAGTTAGGAGCTTATGTCCTGGGGCCCGCAACCTGTTGTTTGAGATCCAGACCTAGAATGGAATTGTCTAACTGGGTCCTTATAGCCATGGGTACCTTCCACTGCTCATTTTCCGTGAGTTCACGCATGGTCGAAAAAGCTCTGAGTTTAATTGTTGTCGGGACAAGGGAATTATTGCGGTACTCGCTCAACATGCACGACAAAACATGGCAAAGAGAGCACGTAGAAGCGTGCTTTTTGACGTGTTTTGGGCTTATATTGGCAACCCAAACTCCTTTAGTATGCTTAATTTTCGCTGTGGGAAAGTTGAGAGCGCGGTCCAAGTCAATTTTCCTGCAGCGGCTGCATAAATTGATGTTCGTAACCACTGTCAACTTGGCTGACTTCGAGGAAGATCTTTCGTCAGAGAAGTATTCTTCCTCGAGAATGCGTGTTCGCTTCATGTTTCATATACCAGGGAAAGCCTAGACTTTCAACCAACAGTCCGAATTCTGAAACTCGTCTGTAGTTAAGGATTGTTAGTATTGAAAAGACGACCCAAGTAGTAAGTTAGCAAGCGGTGGTCCGCAAAAGGTAAGATATACCTTATTAGTACCCACCTTGTTCAATCGTTTTCGGTACCTACCTAGGGGTTCAAAGCTTAGTAAGGTACTATACCGATATATACTAGGCTAGGTATCGGGTTACCTTGACTACTAGTTATATTATAGTACTACGCGTTATGTAGCTATACGCGACGCGACTACTTCGAAGTAAGAAACTTCGGCAGCCGGATAATCAGCGGCTCTCGGACTAACCTCGGGAGCTGGGACAGAAGGCTCGGACCGGTGAGGCGGCCCATCGAGTACTATAGCGGACTACCTTTTAAAAGATAAGGTACTAACTCTTATTGCTTAAGATATATACCTTAGTTACCTAATACGTTACACTGTAAGTTAGTAGCCATTAGGTAACAGCCTACGTTTACAGAGTTGACTAAACCTCGAGCTATCGCCCTATCCAGTTCTCGGAAACCACTTACACAATGAAATACATAACCCAACACACCTCATACCCCTCTCAACTACCATCGGTGCCTAGCAAGAAGACAATGCTTCTAAAATAATCTAGTATATGATATATCATAATAGAATATATCATGGGGAAAGTATTAACGAACATCCCCAGCTCAACCACATCCACAACCAATTCTCAAATCCCGCTCTCAACTCCAGACACTCGGATTCGTCATCCTAGACTTAGTTGTCAATGTCTTTTAACAAGAGTTGGTTACTAGGTGAGAGGTTTGAATAACTCACATCAATGCTTTATTCGTGATATACCATCTATTTACTATCCTAACATTTAAACCCGGGTATCTCCCTCCCTTCCTCCTGCACCCCCAACTCACTAATTCAACCAGCAACATTCTCAACCTCCCTCCCCCATCCAACCCAACCTTCCCCATCTCCCTCTCCAATCCCCCCTTTCCCTCCCCCTCATCCCCCGCAAGCAACCCCCCCAACGCCTCAACCCCAACATTCCCACCACTAAACACAATCCCAACATCCCACCCGCCATTCCCCCCCTCATCCTGCACCATCCTCCTAAACCCCTCATCCCACAGCGCCGTCGCAAGTCCCACCACCGCACTCGGCTCCACAACGACCTTCATCCTCTCAACCACCAGCCTCATCGCCTTCTTTATTTGTCCCTCACTAACCCCATACATACCCTTCACTAGGCCCCGCTCATAGATAATACTCCAGGGAATTTTACCTAGCGGCGTGCGTAACCCGTCTGCGATCGTCTTGGATTTCACACTCTCAACGCGAGTGCCGGAATAGAACCCGCGACGGCCGTCGTCCGCACCTTCAAACGTGGGTTCAGCGCCGAAAACACGGATACCGGTCCCTTCGCAGGAGAGCGCTGTGCCGGATAACATGCCTCCACCACCACATGGTGTTATAATAGCATCAAGACCCGTCGTTTCCCCTTTCTTCCCATCCCCGTTACTCCCCATCCCTTTTCTCCCCCCCATAATCTCCCTCGCCTGCTCCTGCAACTCCACACCCATGGTCCCCTGTCCCAACACAATATCCGGGTGATCATACGGCGGCACCAACCTCGCCCCGGTTTCCTTAACCACCTCCGCCACCATTGCTTCTCTCTCCGTAGAGGTCGAGCCCGAGAAATACAGCGTCGCGCCGTAGGAGCGTGTGGCTGCGATCTTGGAGGGCGTGGAGATGGTCGGCATGACGATGTGGGCGGGGATGCCCATGGTGCGGGCGGCGAGAGCGAGGGCTTGTGCGTGATTTCCTAGGAGGGTGTGTTAGTATGTCTTGTTCGAATTATTGTTGTACATGCAGCTTCTTTGAAGCGCCTTCTCAACCACCTTCTCCCGCAAAAGAACCACAAGATCACATACCACTACTATGCGTAACCACCGCCCTCACCCTCTTTCCACCCTCTACCCCCTTCCCCTTTCCACCCTCTACCCCATCCCCTTCATCCTCACCCATCCCCTCCCCTTCACCATCCCACTCCCCCATCAACCTCCCCACAGCATGAAAAGCCCCCCTAACCTTAAAAGCGCCCACGCGCTGAAAATTCTCACACTTGAAGTAAAACCTGATCTTCGGCCTCGCGGGTTCTTGTCCCTCCCACTCCGTCCCTACCAACGCCTCAGGACTCTGCGGCGTCGAGGCCAGCTCATCAAGGTATGTATTCGTGAGGACGGGCGTGTGGTGGATATATGGTTTGATACGTTCGTGAGCTTCGAGGACCGAGGCGCGTGTTAAGGGCGGGCAGTGGGCGGGGTTTGCCATTTTCGAGGGATGGCGGTGATGTGAAAGGATGTTGAAGTTGTAGGTCTGTAAAGGTAAGTAAAGTAAATAAAAACATTAGTCTACCCCGCGGCCCGGCCAAAAAAAGTTTAACCCGATTTCGGAATGGGTGAGAAGTGGGATAGAACATCAACCCAAAGTATGGATCAAAGGATGTGAAAAAAAACTTTTGCAATTCCAGGTACCGAGAACGAATTCCTTTTGGGGGAATAAAAGTATAGTACAAAGCGCCATATTGCATCCGTATTTGAAAACTAAAAACACCGCTGCCAACCCTCCCAAGACCACCTATTTACCCCCTCTACTTTTGGTTTTCTGGGCGGAGAGAGCTGTGAATTCATTAGCAGATGATCAAGATACTAGAAGGGTTATGTAGCTCACCGAACAGCCTTTCCAGCTCTCCAGATCTCCAACTCGCGAATCTCCTTCATCTCAGCCTCATACTTCTCACGATAATCCTTCTGGGAGTTGAAAGTAAGAGATCTCTCAGTCTCCTTTCCAGTCTTGACAGAGTCGTAAAGGTCGTTGAATACAGGCTTGAGAGCATCCTTGAACTTGCCAGACCAGTCAATGGCACCACGACGGGCGGTGGTGGAGCAAGCCTCGTACATCCAATCCATACCATTGGCACCAATCAATGGGTACAAAGATTGGGTGGCCTCCTCGACGGTCTCATTGAAGGCCTCGGATGGAGAGTGTCCTTGCTCACGGAGAACCTCGTATTGTGCGAGGAACATACCGTGGATACCACCCATCAAGCAACCACGCTCACCGTACAAATCAGAGTAGACCTCCTTTTCGAAAGTTGTCTCGTATAGGTAACCAGATCCGACACCGACACCGAGTCCGATTGCTTTCTCCTTGGCCTTACCAGTGACATCTTGGAAGACGGCAATGGAAGAGTTGATACCACGACCCTCCTTGAAGAGAGTTCGGACGGTACGACCAGAGCCCTTTGGAGCGACGAGGATAACATCGACATCGGATGGGATATCAACTTTGGTCTGGTCCTTGAAAACCGGAGAGAAACCGTGGGAGAAGTACAAAGTCTAAAACAATCAGCCAAATCTCAATCACTGAAATATCCACAACCATCACTCAACACATACCTTTCCCTTAGTGATCTGCGGCTTAATAGCCGGCCAAGTCTCACTCTGCGCCGCATCCGAGAGCAAGTTCATAATAATCGTACCCTTAGAGATTGCCTCATCAACCTCAAAGAGGTTCTTTCCTGGCACCCACCCATCCTCTTGAGCATCCTTCCACGACTGACCATTTTTGCGCACACCCACGACAACATTGAGGCCCTGATCACGCATGTTCAGCGATTGAGCATGGCCCTGCGATCCGTATCCGATAATAGCCATCACATCATCTTTGAAGTAGTCCTGGTCGGTCAATTAGCAAAAAGGGCGGGAAAAAAGTGCGGTGTAGATATGCAAACCTGGAGTTTCTGGGCTGGCCAGTCGGCTCTTTCTGCGATCAATTAGCAGTGAAATACATACATGAGAGGAGAGGAAGGCATACCGTAAACATCCTCCTTAACACCAGCAAAGTCAATGGTCTTGACACCACGAACCTGCTGAGCAGACGCAACAGCAGCACGAGCAGCCGGTCTGGCAGAGGCATTGATAGCAGAGACGAAAGTGCGGCGGGCCGGGGCGCTGAGCTGTTTGAGCAGCGGCGAGCGAACGGCGCGGGAGAAAGTGCGGGATGCCATTGTGAGTGAGTGGAGATGTATGAGATTCAATTGAATTGATGGTGTTGTTGATGCGAGATGGGTGCTGAGCCTTTTTGCAATTATGACTGGCAAGCCAGAAAAAATCAAAGCTTCTGCCGATGGTCGGAGGTTGAATTCTGGATCCGATGTGCGTGGACGGCAGGGGTTGGGAGATGTGGAGAGAACCTTGGAAGTGGGGATGATCTTGGACGAGAATAGAGGCCGAGAGTTGAGTTGATATATGAAAATGTTATTTGATTTATTCAATTTCCTAAGTTGGTATATGTTCAATTACTGGCTTTTTATTTAATTCACAGAAATCAAAATAACATAATTCAACCTACGAGTTAGGTAATGGACAGACTGTAACTGGGTAAATGAAGAAATAGGTGTAGAGAAGCCAGAAACTTGAATATTCCTACAAAAACAAATAATACATTTACATTTCTATATATTATAAAACACAAACCTAGAATATCTCGCGAATAATAAAATAAGTTTTAGTTACCTACCTACTAATCTAAGACTAAACAAGAAGTCGCCTTCGAATAGAGTATAAAAAGTCTTTTCTACTTTAAATAATTAATAAAATATTAATAATATTCTGTTTTAACTTACTAAATATATAATATTTCGTTAACTTAATCGAAGAATTATTATACTTCGACTCCTACTTAATTTTGTCCTCGGCGAGAATATACGACTTCTACCTTTATTCGAAACCAAAAGACTTTGACGACTTTAGCTTAATAAACACCTAATTAAAGCCAACATCCCCAAAACCATACTACATCAAAAATGATGGACAGGCAGTCCATCTACAGATAGGTATTTCACCTAGAAACTCTGACATTTATCCTACCCAGAATCTAGGTAAACACATATCTTAGACCAAGTTGAGTTAGTAGCCGCAAAATCAACGCCAATATCACCAAAAACATTCTCACGACCTAAAACAAATAGACAATCTATTCACATCTACTACCCTCCGCCCCTCTCCCCCCTTCCTCAATCCTCAATCACATAAAATTCATCTACTCATCACGCCCACCCTCATTTATAGCACAAACAAACTATACTCCATGCGTCCAACGCCTCATAATGCCAGTCAAACGCTCAATCGACCATTCATATAGCTCGGGCATCGGATGGATCTTTCTCTAATATGTATAACCATCGACCTCCGCTCCGGTATAATCATCAATTTCCACTTTCAGTGTAATCATTGACCCCCCTTCAGCACTTTATCAAACGACTCCCCCTTAACCGAACCCCCCGCCATGCTCTGTCTGACATTCCTCTTGAAGCCCTCGCGATTCTGTCGGAGATCCTCTGCGGCGTCTTTATTTAGGGGATCTGAAGCGTTGGGCTCGAGGAACAAAAACTACATTCACATTAGCCTTCATCCATATCCCCATATCCCCATCCCCCCCACTATTCCCCTTTCCCTCCTCCTCCCCCCCTCACCATAAACATAAATCGACATACCTGCAACCCCACAATAACCGCCTGCAAATTCAACACGGGTTTCCAATCCTCCCTCAGGATATTCAGACACACCTTCCCCTGCAGATCGATATTCGGATGGTAGATCTTCTCTTTACACAGGACTTTTGGGGCTTGATGCGGGAACTCCTGGGAGATCTCGAAGCTGAAGTGGAAGACGCCACCTTTGTACATGCCCTCGTCGGGCTCGATGATGACGTCGAAGTTGAGCACGTCGTTGGGGTCCGGGAAGTGCGTGTTCATGTGTTTGGGGAGGGAGAGGTCCGAGAGATCTGTGATAGTAGATGAGGTTAGTATGTGATCTGGGTAGGGGAAAGGGGGGGGGGGGGGAGGAGGAGGGAAAAGGAGGAGGGTGGAAGTACCTTTCTGAACCCGTAGTTGTGCTGCTGTGACTTTCTTCTTACGCACTCCGCCGCCGGCATCTGCGTTTGCTTCTTGCTGCTGCTTCTGTTTCTGTTTGGATGTTAGTGACTGAAATCTGCCCTCTCCCGTACTATGCTCGCCCATGCCATGCAAGCCCATCTATGCCTGCGCGCGAGGTCGAGGGCTTGAAAATACAAGATCCTCTCACAACATCCTCTTCCCCCAGAAACTCGCACGCAGATTTACATACCATCGACCATATCTTCAACATCTTGGCGGTATTTTATCCGTTCTCCCAAATGACAACCTGCTCTATCCGTCGTTGTATCGAAGTCTCAACTTTTGTGTTTTGGGGTTGGGCCGCCGGGACGACAAGGCTCGCGATTAGGTAGCCTTACGTGGATGACTGAGGTGGAGGGGTATTCGAAATTCGGAAATCACCACTTTAGGTGCTGGACAGCCACAAAATATTTTTCTTCTGGTCTAATTGTAGAAATATAAAAAAAACTTGAAGAACAGAGAACGTATGATTTGTGTTTTTTTGCTTAGGATATTCAGTCCGCTTATCTCGTGAGGTTATCGTGAAACTGGGATGTGAATGTTCCAGGTTACTTTCATCCAGTGACTCACTCATCAGTACCACACACGCTACTCGATGAAAGTATCAACGCCTGTACTTCCTCCCCCCAACATGGGCAATGATCGTATACTTAATCCAAAAAGCTCAAGTAAATGTAGCTTTTTAGGTCGAACTCATCCCTCTTTCATAAGAGGGTGTGCTGTCAGACTTGTAACACGCTAGTGGATAGAAATGTCAAAAAATTTACACTCAACAATATCGATTAATGTCATTGGTATATTCAAATTTCCATACAACTAAAACCCTCGAGCATGTAACCACAGTCGGCTTTCCGACCTGTGCAAAGAACGCCACTATGTGCAGATTGCGCAAAAAAGGCAAAGACATATCCCAAGTATTCTTACAAGGATCAACGAGATATCATAATCTAGAGCCGTAGCCCAAATTTTCAGATTCCACTCAAAATACCACAACTCGCTTTTTTTCTCATTATATGTACCGTCGCCCGCCAGATCTTAACGTCGGGCAAAGCAGCACATGATTCCAGATCGTCCCAAGAACCACATACATCCGATGAATCGAACAAGAGCCAGGACAGCGGTTGCGTAAAGGAGTGCTGTGAAGAACTTCTGTGTACGTGCTGCGGCATCGTAGCTTGACTGCATAAGGTATTAGTAAACCGCAATGTACGACTGGGTATTGAAACTTACAGAAAATCCAAACTTGTCGATACTATCACTGGTAATGACAACAGCGAGGAAGGCATTAGAAAAAATCCAGGAAATCAAAAGCTTGGTTCTGAAAGACTTGTAAGAATCTTCCAAACTCTTACTCTCCTCTTCAACCTCGGGAACAAATGGTTTCAAAGCACGCTTGACAGTAGCCTCAAACTGACTGTCAATATCCTCTTGTGGACGATCTATTTCTTCAATAACAGCACTTTTACCATCGCCCTTCGTTGTTTTCGCAGAAGGAAGTGCTTCAGCTTTATCAGATCCCTTGGTACCCCAAGAAACATCATGCCAATTACTGAATGCGTAAACCATCAAGATGTTGATGTAAGAGGACATGAGCAAAAGATATTGGCCGAAAGAGGTGAACATGTGCCATGGGTCGAGGTACATGAACGAGGCGACGAAGTACAATCCAAAGGTAGCCAACAAAGCAATAATAATAATACCACCACCTCCGTTGTCGCTTCCAAAGAAACTCTTGAAGAAATCACCGGTACCATCGCCGCCGAAAGTCGTGTTCATAATACCATTGACAGCCAGATACATGGAGAGGACGATGAGATATGCGTTGATCATTCCAAAAACAACGAAAGAGATCAAGTACGTGAGTTTAGATCCCTTTGGCCGATTTCCAAGAGCAAGGATGAATTGTGTGATTAAGAATCCGAGGTAGAGGTATTTGAGAATGGTGTTGATGATTGGGGTTGCAGTGTCTCCAAAAGGCCAGCCGTGCTTGTCGGTAGATGGATCGTTGGGATTGTCGCCTTTCGCCGGAGTACCTACAAGGTCCATGATAACAGTGGTAGTCAACCAGAAAGAAGCCAACATGAACCAGGAGAGGAACACACTGAAGACGTTGTAGATAAGTTGGATGTGGAGGAAGATCATTCGGACAAGATTGTGACCACTCTTGTACCTGTTTGTGATTAGCAAGTCGTTTTCAGTGATATGATGATATTTTGACTTACATTCGACCAAAGTGCATAATGGCGTACATACTGGCAGCGAATGAGCCGTTCAGCCATCTTCGACGTTGTCCAATAAATTCAGCAGCTCCTTCAGGTACATCGGTTTCACCCTTTGCAGCCTTGATGTAGGTCAAATGCCATTTTGATCCAGCCTTGGCCACCAATTCAAAACACAGAATTCTGTCCTCGGCCAAGAACATGTTCTTTTTGAAAATGTTCATACCCTCGATACCCTTCTTACCCAGCTTCTTGGATAGCGTGTGATCACCGTGGAAATATTGCTCCAGAGGTCGTCCCATAATTGCTCGGAATCGATACGCAGAGAAAGCTCCCGGCAACACACTGACATATCCAAAAGAACTCTCCAAAGGTTTATCCAGAATATTACTGATCTTGTACTCGAAATTCTGGCCTGCAACCAATGGATTCAGCAGCTTTCGTCCGCCCTTGCCTATGAGACTATTAGTACTTTTTTATTCTATACAGTAAATAATTAGGGTTATAGCATACCCAACATAGCGTGAATCTCTCCGCAAGCTCCTCCAAGATCTTTGTCATTGTAGAAACCTTCCCAGAGCGAGAGAAGAGATTTCGGACCAGGCTTCGTACCAGCATCAAGAAGAATGCAGACTTCTGGATTTAACAAACGACCAAACGCGTTGAAAAGCCATCTGTGGGAATTGATCTTTTTGGTGTTCTTTTGTTTCAAACAGAACATCATCTGGACTGGGGGAAAGGTCGCAGAGCTGTCATCGGTAGGCCGAATGAGCTGCTGGTTCGCAGTGACCGACAATTGAGTGGTGTACTCGAAGATATGGGCTACTGTCTCCTTGCCATCGACATCCTTCTTCATAACACCGTCCTGGTAGATTCCAATAGTCGCCAAGATATCCAATGTATTCTTATCACAAGGGTCGATACCATCGAAAACAAGGCACACGACAATCTTTTGCCAAGCGGGTCCGCCGACGTTCCAGAAATCGGATTTCTTCAGGTTTACGATATCGCGGATGTTTTGCATGACACCGTGGAGAGTACGGGCGGTCAGAGTTTTATCTTCGTTGTAGTAGGTAACGGCAATAAGAAGCTCGGTATGGCGATTATACATCGCAGGCCGTAGATTGTAACCATTCTTCAGTGTGAAGTCATCTGGATCGCAAGTAGCGGCTGTGTATCTCATATGGGTGAACTCCTCGCTGCTGGTGGCTTCGGCCTCGGCACGGTATTTCTGCTGAATAGCATTTTTGATAGCAGAAGGAACTGGATGGTTAAGACTCAAGACACTTCCCTGACCAAGCTTGATTTTACGTGTGGCATATCGCTTCAATCCTCCAGCCGCAGGTGCTTGACGCTGCTTCCAAGCCTCCGTGGAATCGGTATCTGCTCGTGAATACGGGGAGCCCGCACGACCATATGAATCGGCGTCCATTCCAACATTATACGCAGTGCTGCCTCCGCTGTATTCGCTGTTGTATGGCGCAGGAGTGCCCGCACCAGGTGCATAGGACTCCGTGAGACTGTAGGTGGAAGTTGGTCGCACAGGGGGTGTGCCAGTGCGGAGCGTTTGGTTGTCGTAAGGGGAAGCAAAAGGTCCAGGGGCTGAGTGCAGCAGAGGCTGGTTACCATCTTCTTCATCGTCGTGTGGTGGCAGATGGTACTAGAGAATGTCAGTAGGGACAAGTCAACTCGAATTTTGGATCGCTCACATTTCCAGCTCCAGGAGGCATATCCTGCAGATGGTGACCATCGTTGCCAAACCCTCCGTTGCCGCCAGGGTGAGCCATAATGAAGGTCTTGTCTAATATTGATGCAGAGGGGTATCGTTATGTTCAATCGCGATGGTCGAAGGTATTCGCGAGTCCCTGATGAATGGACGGGCTGAAAGGTTGATTGTTGAAAGAAAAGGGATGCCGCAAGAATGCAATGTTGATATGGGTCGACGTAGGGTTTCCGGGGTAGCCTGTCACCAACGTCAGAGCTACTTTTCTGGGCCACCTCGATCGCGAAGAGGTTGAAAAGAGGTTCTGAGAGGAGCGGTGGATTTAAGAGAAAGGAGACGGTGGTGGTTGTGAGATTTTCGTCAACACGGACAATACGATAGGAGGCTCTCGCCGTGGCTTGGTTGGTAGCTTTGGTTGGAAGAAATTCGGCTGCTGTTGGCTTGAATCGCTTGTCAATGTTTTACCTCAAAGACGGCTGTGAATGGCGACAACCCTGCACTTGAGGCGGTGCAAGAAACAAATTCTAACAAAACACCCAACGAACAAAGAGAGAACCAGTCAAGTGCAGCAAACCGTACTACCCATTAATACGAGCTATATTATATTCAAATTTGCTTTCGTTTGCCACATTATTCAACGGTCTGTCGCATATCCATCTCCTATCCTCTGCAGAGTGAATCTTCCTATCAAAACTGACAGAAGCACTGCTGAGCTGGCTCGACGCGCTTGATGAACATGAAACAGAAGATCGGCACAACTTCTTGAATCAATGGATGAGAATCAATCGGATTCAACCCCACCAACGTCATTTCTTGGAGTAATGCAGTATCCTGCATTCTAGAATATTGGAAGTACATCTATATTATTTCCAGTTACTTTTCTTCCCATCAAGATCAATCTTTAGTTTGGTAGGTAAATAAACACTGCGGCAGTCTCAGCGTTTACGCGGCTCCACTCCCGAATTTAGATCAGGGGTCGTGCTAAATTTAGTATCAACCGCCTCGTTCGGAGCTGCAGTCAGCAAAATCCGATGAGCGGCAACGAAAATTCTATACTCGCCGCACTCGTGTATGCTTCAATAGAAGCTAAGCTCTCAAAGCGCTCGGGAAGTTTTCAAGAGACTCTTTGTTTTGACGACCTGAAAGATATGAGCTCTTTTGTTTGGTGACGGTTTCAAAGAGAATTGAACCTCGGATGATTCTCTAGCTTCCCTTCTGTACCTGAGCGTCTGCCACTACTCACTTCTGACCTACTAGTATATCCTCAAGAGTTTTGACAGATTGGGCTTGGTATGCTCAGTGTTGAAAATGATACGATTCGTGGGAACGCTTTGAGCCCTAACCTTTCGAGCTGAACGTCGTGTAACTCGAGAAGGCTACGTGGTTGGTGCTCGTTGTTGTCATGTTGGTATTCATTTCGTATAATAATCGTGGACCCCAATTGGCCTTCGTCAAATGTGATGTTGGTAAGATTCGCTTGTAGAAAACATCAAGGTTCCTTGTAGATATAAGTCAATCGATGCATTTCAGTTGGATACTTAGCTGAGAAAAAGCCACTAACGGCATTTGCAGGACTGTTTAACTGCAAGTCCATGATGGGATCCTCTGCAACGACGAATTGCAGATACAGAAGACATAAAGTGCTTCGTATCTACAGCCTGCATACCTCAGTCAGATATCGTCCTCTTCAGAAAAGCCTAGTATCTCAGGTCTTTCCCGTACAAGCTGACACTTGGGCGGCTGGGGTCAAAGTATTTCCATTGAGAATAAACTTTGGACGGCTGCGTGTAAAAAAGACCATGGAATCGTTGATGTAGCAGAGTTCGTAGACATGTCGTATTTAGCGGTCGAAGACGTCTTCCTGAAAAGTGGTCCTGATGTGAAAGATATGCAGATGAGAATCGTAGGCTTTCCTAAGGGTATCTAAAATATCGTGAAGAAGAGCAATAAGTATTCTGGCAAAGACGATATGGCAAGATGGAAAAGACGCAGAAGTAGCTCGCCTTGAAAGTCCAAGACCAGAAGAGGAACTCCTTTTGAAACCTTCTAGAATGTAAATGTCGATAAGTTCCAAACAAGGCAATCTCTGTGTACACTCCAATCTGCAGTGACAAAACAAAGGAAGACAGAAGGATGAGTATGCTAGAAAATGGTGTCATTCGGCAAACATCATCTCTGAACTGGGAAATTGGCGTAAGAATATCTGCAACTGCAACTGCCACGGAACCCGGACAGGTGCTTCGCCATGAAATACTTCGGGGAGCAAAGAGTAGCAATTTCGAGAGACCAAGATCATTGTTCTCCTAAGCTGACGAAGACTGGAATAGCAACCTGCATCTTACTTCGCACGATGGAAGTCGTCCACCACAGCCCTACCAAAAACTATTATTGACTTCGAATAAGGTTATCTGGAATCTGGGATATCTTCAGCAAACCATGCGTTCCCGTGGAAATGGCTGAATCAGAAACATCTCTAACACGAGAATAATATATTCGTTGCCGGCTTCTGAAGATTGAAAACACTGTTTGATGGGGCCAAGACTGAGACGTTTCGTTATGGAGTCCTTCGTACAGAGTGGGTAACAATCATCGATGAGTGGAGGAGGCGCAGCGCTTCCATAATTCTGACTGCCCTGTCCTCGTTGAGATGAAGATTCAGCCCATCAATTGACTGTGCTTTATTATCATCCTGTGGAGGTCGAATTAGCGACGTAGAGAATAGAGAGTAACCTTAAGACAACGTATAAATAATTGATATTCGATGGTTGTTCTTCCATCTCATTGGATCTACAAGCATTGACCCTTCAAATTAGGTTGTCCGGTCGAGATTCATCCTCCTTGTGCCTGGTGGTGTTCGGTTATTCGCATGTCGAATGGAAAGCGTTTGCTCCAGTATCCCAGGCGTGATCGAGGAGAATTTCATCGTATCAACGGCCGCGATACTGAAGGCCTGGATATCCAGTTTCCCTCCCTGCATTCTGCCGGTGTAATGGTCGTGGGAACAAAAGCAGCTGCATGTTATTCCGCTATCTGTCGTCGATTGGGTTAATCGTGTGTGGTTCAAACACCCCTCCGCACTGCCGCCTTTTCTTTCCTTAACTGTCAGACGGCTTCCTGAGGCTTTTTCCTGCGGCCCCTGGCCCACTTTAAATCCACTAGCTCGACGGTCAGTCTCCACCAGGCCATCTGGGCAGCGGAGCGGGTGGGCAAGTGAAGGCAAAGACCCGCCCATGGCCACACTCCTTCGATTGCTGATCGATCCTTCATCGACTCCGTCCTGATCACCTACACCTTCAACAACACGCGAGCGTTGGGATTTTCAAGGACCACCACCGTTCAAACAAAACATCGGCCTCGAGATCTCATACTTTGCTGTCCATGTAGTCGTCGCAAGCCGCATCTTGCCCTCATCCGCAACCCAAGAGCTTGTTCTCTCCCACACTCGTTTTTCCTTCCCGTCTTCTCTTCCACCTTGCTGCGACCTGCGACCGTGGTCTTGTCCCCGACGTCCTTTACGATAACGGAAACTTGCACCATCTCGAACAATTACCTTCTTCGTCGAACGATTTAACTGTGTTGGATCTTGTAGCACTGTATCAAACTTTTAGTTGTAATCTCGACGACTCAGACCTTACCGCGATATCTGTCATCCGCTATTACTCTTCATCGACCGTCAATCATCACCCAACGTTCGATTCTGTTCAACGATTAAAGCGCACGCGTGCTGCACATACCCTTTGATCACTTAGTCGACATTGTTAGATAATTGCGGACGATAACCATATCAGTCTCGTTTCTCCTTCTCCATCCACCGCTCACCATGGCGTACTTCGAGCCAGGTTAGCACTTAACGAAGCCTCCCTGGTCGATGAAATAACTGACATCCCTCTAGCCTCATTCAATTCTCTTTTCCGTCGGTGTGTTACTTGCGACGACACAGCCCAGACATCATGTCCCTCATCCTGCCCAACGGGTCAAGTTTGTGGTCAAATTCCTCCTACCTGCGACACCTGCCAACATATGACATGCGTACCTGATCCCAACGCAGCAGCATCTGTATCGCCTACGAAATCTTCGAGCACGGGACCTAACGCTGGTGCTATCGCTGGAGGTGTTATTGGAGGAGTGATAGCGATAGCTGTGGCGACCTACTTAGTATGGCGATTCTGTATCAAGCCGAGAAGACAACAATTCGAGCAGGAAGAATGGGCAGAGGAGCACGAGGAGCAGACAGATGCAGAGAAGGAATTTACGATGAGACGGGACGCCAGAGCCTCCACACATACAGTTGGCTCGATCGCTTCCACAGTCTTATCAAGAGCTTCCAATATCATACAAATCGCATACATCCCAGGCGTTACCAATCGATCCGATCCTTCAACGCCAGGCCTTCTCGTACCACCCGTTCCACCGATCCCAATTGCTCTTTCATCCGCTGCAAGTACCCCACGATTCGAACAGGAACACTTCTTCATGCCAGGCGAGCTACGAGATTCGACATATTCTGGAATTAGCGACCGAACATCATATGCCCGGACAAGTGTTGCCTCAACAATCTACGGCAAAAACGCAATCGTCTCTCCAATACCAGCTCAAACTGTCATTCGAGGAAAAGCTGCCGTGGTTAGCGTCAGGTCAAATGGTGCAAATTCTCCAGGCGACATGACACCACCAGTTCCAAGCGTCGATTACAGCAAATACCAATCTTCAATGGGTAGACCACCTAGTGCTGCTTTCTCTGTCGGGTCAACATTCTTGAATAGTGCCAGTGCGGCTACACAGGTTAAGCCTCAGGTCATCAGCATGAAGAAGTCTCGTTCAACACTCGGGGACGATCAGAGCGATACCCTTTTACCACCAGATTCCCCCGCAAACGGCATGTTTGGTTCACCCATACACGGAACCACCAGCCCATTCCGGGATCCTCCCATCCAACGATCACCCAGTCATGGCTCACTCGGTGCAGTTACCAAAATATCTAACGGTTCCATGAGAGACTCTACCCCTTTTGGAGATGAACACGAAATGAAGCATTAAATACCTGACGTATTGTTGGCTATTGTTGCGGGAGAAACTCCTTATAAAATTGGATTGGTCAATAACCATTCGAGTTGCAAATACTCATCACACGCACGACCTCATTGAGATTCTTATGTCTATATTCACAACTATTCTGATGGGATTTTTGGCGTACTAGGGGAAATTGGGAAGATATCTAAGCCATATTTTTGGATGGAGGCTACCTTTGATAGCTATCATTGAAGCAATTAGATAATGATAACAACGCTCTTTGCGAACCACAGTGTTTCAGATTATGCTTTTCTCCTAGCGACTTGTCCTGCCTTTGACGAGTAATTTGTCTAGCTTTCCCACCTCCATGCTCATTCCGTGCTCCAGTCAACCCGTTCCCGGGAAAGTAAAAAATCTGCTCTCTTCTTCCGAGGGAAATGCCTGATGAGGATAAAGCGTTCAGGAGCCAGGTGCCTAGAAGTGACGTTTCCACTCGCCAACGTTAATCAATATCAGATGGTAATGACTAGTCTCTCAGAATGGGATGATAAAAAGGAGGTATTGCGTTTGCTATCATATCATTTTTCTTCTTCAGTTCCCCGGATACCCTGTACGGTAGTTGTATCTTTTGAAAGCTGCCCGATTTTCCCAACGGGGCTTCCTCGCTCGTGCCAGAGCACAGGTATAGACGAGTTCTAGACCAGCACATATGTGCTCGTTGAAGTAGTGATTGACATGATCATCGACTTGGGCTCTTGCGTTGCTGGGTCTTTGAACACCCCACTCTTCCGCTAGGAACTGAGAGCGTAGGGAGTGCCAGTGAGAACGTTGGGCGCTGCTTTTATCCGTGCACCGCTGGGAAAGCCTGCATTGAATGCAGTGCCGTGAGCGAGAGGGAAATGCATTTCTATCGACCAACACCCAGGATTCTGCTGGGCACGAAAATTTGACACGCCTTTTTTCTGTTTGCCTGTGAACAACGTGGTCTGCGTTGCCAGCCATACAAATAGTCGATTGCTTGCCAGCAGTAGTGAGACGCCATTATCGAATTGTTTTCTCCACTTGGACCGTTGCCGTTGCGCTGCCCCTCCACCAACTGCCCGCCGTCTCTGCTTCCGACAGGTGCTACTGAGAGCTACAGCACCGCACGAAGAAAATAGTTCCTCGACTCTGGACTGGTGGCCGACGTGGACCCTTACAGATTATTCGAACGAAGAGGAGGAAGATTATATCGACCCGACGCTACACACAGAATCAGCCAATTCTCTCCTGCCAGACCACTGAGGCACGCATTACTGCTGCGACCGCATTTCAACTATTGGTTACTATCGCTGGTTCTGACACTGGCATTGACTGGCAGACGAGACGGTATCTTTCCATCCCGACCGCCGTCGCAGCTCTCTATCGACATCATCATCCCCCACGAAGCTCGACCCCGACAACTCTTCTCTCTCTGCAGCATTTCCTCCATTCACTTGGAATAGCTTCAATAGCCCCTCGACACCAGCTCCACTCGTCGTCCAGCCCAGCTTGACCCCCATCCCAACCGCGCCGCCTGCTATCGCCCACCCTACCCGAATCCCTCCTCGCTATCGTGCCGAAATCCCTCCACAAGCAAGCACAGGCGGAAGTCCGAGCTTTCTCTGATACCTCCTGCCAAAAAAATAGCCAAATCGTGGTCTCCGCTCCTGATCGCCAGTTATCGTTCGTAGCGAGAGGCGGATCGTGTTTACTGGTCCCTGGATTGTGTTGTTGGATTCACCACTGCCTGACCCGAGACCCGCGACTTGCTGCTCGACGCCCCTCGTTTGAAACCCCTTCGCAATCATGTCGGGCAAGATGGTATTGTACAAGCTGGTGGTGCTTGGAGATGGAGGTGTAGGAAAGACGGCGTTGACTATTCAGTTGACGCTACAACATTTCGTTGAAACTGTGAGAAAATATCTCCTGTCAACGGCTCAAGCTTCGTTTGACAATCTTTGACATGGACTAACCATACTTACAGTACGATCCCACGATTGAAGATTCGTACCGAAAACAAGTGGTTATAGATGGTCAGTCATGTATGCTGGAGGTATTAGACACGGCAGGTCAAGAAGAATATACAGCCCTACGAGATCAGTGGATTCGTGACGGAGAGGGATTCGTATTAGTGTACAGCATATCATCACGATCATCCTTCACCCGAATCACACGATTCCACAACCAAATCCAACGAGTCAAAGAATCCTCCGCCTCCTCACCCACCTACCCCGGCTCACCACTCTCCTCCACCATGCCACAAGCTCCCGTCCCTATAATGCTCGTTGGAAACAAAAGCGATCGAGTAACCGAACGAGAGGTGTCCACCCAAGAAGGCCATGCCTTAGCACGCGAATTAGGATGTGAATTCGTAGAAGCATCAGCGAAGAATTATATCAATGTGGAAAAGGCATTCTACGATGTCGTTAGACAGCTCCGCAGACAGCGGATACAAACGAGTCAGAAATTACCTACGACAGGCGGGAAACAGAGAACGCAAACTTCGGAATCGAGTCAGCGAGATAGTGATCGCATATACAGACATAAGCCCAAGAGTCGGAAATGCGTCATATTATGAGACCGCTCTCTTCATACTTTTTTGGACGGCGATTGGGAGTTTTTACCTTCTTTGCATAGCTTTTTTCTTCCTTTTTAGCTACGTTTGGTTGGACTTATGCTAGGAAAGACACTGCTTGTTTCTTCATGATGCCAGAGACATCATGAATACACCATTAAATCACAACTTCTATCATCGATATTAGGGGACGCTTTGTGTACGCGTCTTTTTCCCATTCTACCACAACCCCCCAATACTACACAACATCTACAAATTCCGGATGGCGAACGGAGTCTTAAAAAAGAATGAGGGCTGGCATTTGGGCGTCTTTTTCATGTTTTGTTGGCTTTTGTTTTAGGGAGGGGTGGAAGAGAGAGGATGTTTGGGAGGGGTGAGGTGAGGGGAGGCACGTTCTCTCGGTTGATGTGGGGGATTGTGTTTCTTGGTATCTACGCGGCTGGTTCTGAGAGTGAAAGAGGTTCACCAGGATGTTTCCATGGCTGGCGTATGGATTTTTCTTGCTTTGTTTGTTGGGGTGATTTTTTGGTTTGGACCCTAGTTGAAGATTTCGTGGTTTGACTGTTTGGTTGGTTTTGGTGGATGGGCTTCGTCTTTTTCTGGTGCGTAAGGGGAGGGGTTCTTCTTGTTAGGTGGGTGGGAGGATTTGCTGCTTGTGGGGATGGAGAAGAAGGGGTATATTGTGATGGGGAGGTATAAGAGATCTGAGTTGATGAGGGTGGTGTGGGGATGGAGAGTGGTATATGACCCGTGTGGTATCAAGGAATAGAAGATGTCGATTCAAATTCGAGTTGATCAAAGGGATATGTATATGGGATTGTTTGCTCCGCTTGGTACCTTTGGTAAAATCTATCCCGGGCTAGCTAGCTACTGCTTGAAGAATAGCTAGAGGATCGATGGTTGGGGGGTGTGGAATATTAAGAGTTTGATCTACGTCTATGCTCTGTTTTTTTTTTTTTGATTCCGTCTTATATGTGGAACCCATTTTTGTCTTTGACGGTAAGTTGAGCGCGTTGACTACATTTTGTCCCATCACACACATCCCTCATGTGTATTCTGACCGTCGATAGCTGGACGTCTTCCCTTCTTCCCTTCTTCCCTTCTTCCCTTCTTGGCTTAGGTATGAGGGGCTCAGGTACGGCACAGATGATGGATACGGAAGCGGAGAGGCGGCCATATTGTACGACGGGAGGTTGACCAATTTGTCGTGCGTGCGTGTGTGCGTTTTTTCATGAATAGGGGATAACCTTATACATGGGTATAAATTATTGTATAAAGGCTATTCATGTACCCCCCCCCCCCTTTCTCTAAGGTTATCGAACCTACGATGTAGGGGTTTTTTTTTCTCACGGTCTGAAGAATTTCGTTCGTGGCTAGCCTAGCTTTTTTCGAGCCTGGGTTTTGGATTTTGGGGGTTGGGTACGGGCCGTACCCGTATACTACCCGTTCCCGTGATGGGAGTCTGTATGTGGGATGGGGAGGGTATGTGATTGTGATGAAAGCATTGGAACGCTGCATAACCTTACCTAGGGAGGGAGCTTGGCGATGCTGTTTGGGAGTTGTGCAAATACGAGCCGAGGGATGTGAGTGTGGCTTTTCCCGGTGGAGAGGTTTTTGGAGGTTTCTAGCGGTGTATTGCGTGTGTGAGTCTACGGATTGAATTGAGCAGAGGGGGGAGGTGGAGGAAAAGGGATGTTGGTGCGGAGCTGGTTGTCTCTCTAGAAGGAATGTAATTGTTGATTTGGGATAGGTGGATGGGAGAGGTGGGCAGATGAAGATGATACTCACGAACCACGAGTACGAGTTCTCGTGGAGGAGGGAGACAACGTGGATAGACGTGGGGGTCAGGTGCTTCTCGTGCTCGGCTTCAAGCGAAAAACGTGTAAACCTCCCACGGAAATTCTCCTTGTGGGAGCACCTTTCTGAGGATTCTTGGGGAAGGTTGATTAGGGCATTTTGGGCACGATCGACTGGGTTTTTGAGGCGGTGACTCCGTGGTTGGTAAAAGCGACGATGCGGAGGGTTTTAGGTATGAGGAGAGGGAGGTGAAATATATTAGTACGTCCCTCATATGGCATACATATATATAAACTCATATCTTGAAGTATATCACTTAGCATCACATACTAACAAGATGTTAAAACCCCAGAAATCCCTTTCCACTCAACCACACCTAGGTACTTATTACATCAAAAGGGATTTAACCCTCGGTTCTATGTTCTGTAGGGTGTTAATTGACCGATCAAAGCTGTATTTTTACATTTTTGTTTTCAGTCGTCGAAGAATCGGAGGATGCAGAATCGTAGGGAAAGATCTGCTGCATACATATAGTATGCATGGTAGAGTTCGGCGGTGCCGAGGTGAAATAACATCCAACGTCAACTTTTGTCTGAAGTGTATTTTGTTTTGGCATGAGGTTGTTCGGGGATGGAGATGTGTATATTCTCTAATCTCAACTTCACTTCACTTCCTACTCATCCCCAATTCCAATTTCGAAATTCAACCTCCAAGACACCCGTCTCTATCTATCGAAAGATTACCACACGGCGCGGGCCGCCCGTAGACAAAAACGGGAGTGCGATTCGCACATTTGCGCAATCTACCTTTTCATCCGGGTCGTACGTAAAGAAATCGGCAGCATTGTCACTCTCTCTCCATCACTCTCATTCCCTTTACCATCTACTCTCAATCACCCCCCTCAATTTCACCTCATTACCCCAACCTTCTAGAGACAACCACGTTCTACTTAGACCTGTCTCTGACCGGACCCGAATGCGGTTTGGATATACTGAAGCTCCGATATGATGGTACGTGGTATAAGGTGATGTAGAAGAGGAGGAGTGAAAAGCGGCGACTATAATATGCGCAGAAGTGGAGGTGGGAAACTGGGTAGGGGTGTAAGGGGGGGGGTGTTGGCAAGCGAGTTTTGGTGTGCAGTGGTTTGGGATCACGTGAGGTGAGATGTGGTGTAAGGAGGGGAGGGGGTGAGAAGGGATGGGGAATGAGAAGGGAGGGAGAGGGGGGTTGAAAAAGGGTTGTGGTTGTGTCGAGTGGGTTGTAGTGTTGTAGGAGGGAAGGGAAAGGAATAGAAAGGTCGTTTTACTATTAAATAAATAATTACATATATAAAACACAGCGTTGTTTTAATTACTATAATTCTCTTATTCTATATTTCTCTTATTCTATATTTATATCTATAACACTAAACTATTAAAATAACTAATTAAAATATATAATATAGAAAAAATATAACTATAAGAAGATAAACTATAAATATCTTTAAATATTAAAATGTAACGATTCGTATTCTACTCGCGGTAGACTGAGGTCGTAAGGTTAGTATAAAGTAAGTAGGCGTATTATTACTAGGGTATAGACTCGGAGGTCTATTCGTTACAATAAGAGTAAGATAAACTAATAAGATACTATTACTATATTAAGTTAAGTACGAAGCTCCTATCTAAGGAAACTATAATCATTATATAGGACCTTTATCTCCTAGAGCCCTCTAGGATCCCTTCGACGACTTAGGACTAAGTCCCCTCTAGACCCGACGGGTCCTAGGGGATCTAAGTCACCTAACTGTGGGTCTCGTGACCCTATATCCCTAGGTCGTAATACTATCCCCTATTCGGACTAGCCTATCCTTATACTTAAGTATAACTAAAGAAACATTATACTTAGAGTAAGTTCTTCCCTTCTTTTAAATATAACCTCGGTATCGACGCGTAAGAGACTAGAGAGAATCGCCCTAGCCTTACGAATCGACCGTTCCTCCGAAGCTAAAGAGATGTCTCTTTATAATTTTTGTCGGCTATATAAGCGCCGGTATATCGTAGATTCTAAAGAATCTACTCGATATTCCGAGTATATTTATAAGAAGCGTTCTTCTTATAACTATACTTCTAAACTTTCTTCGTTAAACGATTAGGCCTCTCTAGACCGTTAGTGGTAGAAACTCCGTGACGAGGAGGAAGAGGCGATAGTAAAGATCCTCCGGCTACGTAAGTAGTAGCGTTTCCTAGATAATCGAGAGAAAGAGATAATCTATTATAGGGTTAAGACTCTAGACGAGCTCGACGCGGTTAAAGCCGCTAAGCGGGCCGAGGAGGTCCGTTAGGAGGTAGTAGCCTCTTCCCTAGCCGAGGCTTCTAGGTTTCTCGATAAGCCTACTCTCGACCCCGAAGCTTTCTCTAGTCTCTCTAAGTCCTTCTAGGTTAATCTAATATCGTCTTCGGACTTTCCCGGACCTATTTTAGATATAGGCGGTAGAACCTCTTAAACTACTTTAGGTAGTTAAGGTTTCTCGCTAGTTCCTATATATTTTCTAATTACGGGTAATCCTTCTACTTAATTAGGTACTTCGGTTTCCTTCTAACGTGTTTATAGTCTAAGATTCTCTTAACTTTATACTTAGTATTAGGGTTTACTAGTTATATTTCTATTACTAGAGCTAGCGGGGCTCCCGGCGGCGCTAGTTCGAGGAGAGATATATAGAATACTAGAAAGATATTTATACTTTTTAGTAGAGCTAGCTTGTAATTTAAAGGTCCTTTATATACTTTAATTTTAAATAGTCCTAGTTTCTTATTATCTAGTTTATCGCTTAGTCGTTTTATTTAGATATTTTATCTAACTAAATAAACTCTATCCCTCTCTCTTAGTATAGGCTTCTAACTACGTTTCTTATTATAGTAAAACGCGTTTCTTTCTAAGATAAACTTAAGTTCTTCGATAAGTTATTTATAAAGAGAGGAAAGGTCGTTAATAAGGATCCTTTCTACCTAATTATCGATAGATATATTATAAGGTTCTTAGAATACTATTTTCTTATAACTAAAGTTAGCTCTAAATAGCGATACTTATATTGTCTCTATAGCCGTACTATTATATAAGAACTAGGCTATTAGTAATAAGGCGACCTAATTGTCTTACTTATAGTTTATATAATACCTTAAGTATACTTTAACTACTTAGTTTATTCTCTTATTACCTCTATTTAT